GCCTCCATCCGCTCGATTCTCGCGCACACCCCTCTTCCCCTATAACGACACTCCCTCCCTACCACCATCCTCTCTTCCTTCTCCTTCGCGATGAAAATGCGCGCGCATGGATCCATGCCGAACCGACCAGACCGGAGATTTTTCCACCGGCTTTTCCTTCACGATTATCAGGGATGCCGAGGAAAAATCCGAATATTCGAATACCGATGAAATTGCAACTTCAACTTTGCGTCGTTGAAAGTACCTCCCTTCTGGATCGCACAATTTATTGTTTTCAATATTTTTGAATATTGGATGAATTAAAGTTTGGCTAATTTGAATGTTCGATAATTCGGAATTAAGGTAATTTGAATACCGGGTGATGGGAAATTTTATAATTATTATAACGTCTCTCGTTACGGAAAAGTGTAGAATGTTTTTTTAACGATCCTTTCTCCGATCTCTGCCTAGCTTCCGTCAACGTATACGCAACAACGATGAAAACCAATGCGAGAAACAACGCAATTTCCCGAGATTGTGCGTGGATAGACGGTAATGGGGTTACTAAGTTAATCGACGCCTCCCCTGCTACGAAAAACGATGAGAACCCTCACGAATTTGTTTCGTTGCGATTGTCAATGGTTCGTGAATGAAGAGTCAAAGGCTGACAGACGCAGTGACGTACCATGAATATTCCGATAGCCTCCTTCTTCGAAATGAACACCCCTAAAAAATACACTTCCACCCATCGCAAATCATAGTTTGTTCAGTAGAGTAAGAATACCGCTTAGAAGCGGTCGTAATAAGTTTAAAGATTGCAAAGAGAATTTCATTGAAATTCCCTGAACGAAATTTTCAATGGACCCGCGGATAGCGGCGCCTGCTTTTCAAGAGACGCTACTGAATGCACGTTCCACTTTGGACCCCTCGTCCCGCCCCTCTGGCGTCCGTCGACCCGGCGTACGACATCGCAATCAATGAAGCTACGATTCACCGAGCAGTGCCGTATCAACGACCGCTCCTTCTGGTTCCAGTCTCATCAATTTTCCAATCATTTACATGATCTTTTGCACGGAACCTTGAGCTTCAAATTGATGCGACGGAAATGTAATTTTACAGCACTTTTATGTCATGAAATTGTGTCAGATTGGGTCGTTATACAGCAAGCCAGGGTAATTGGTCCAATTACCGTGTCATTAGGTTAACTTGTTCATTGATTAATTAACCGATTTCCATTCGTGTTGGCTGAAAATTTCTATCGATTCTGGAATTTTCTACGAAAGGGTTAATAGGAGAGTGGAAAAATACGCGTTGCTGGAAAAGCTGGAAATCGTTGTCGCGGTTCACGGAAGACGAAGTGAAATGCGCAAGCTCGTATTTTACGATCGGCCACTGGCTTCTTTGATAACGCAGACGTTGGGGAAAAGTGTTCCTCGTTTTTCATTCCACCACCGGGTCCCGTGTAATCTTCCAACGGGGTGGACCCGGCAAGCATCGGCTACGAATTTATCGTTTGACGAAGTTTTGTTGACCCAAAGGCTTTTGGCCTTCCAAGGAGCCCATCGAAGGGACGCTTCTTAACATACATAAAACGCCCAGTTATGCTCCCTTATGAAACATTGTTGCGGTCCGTTTTATATCAGGGATTACATGGAAAATTAGTTTCCTTAGAAGTTTGCGTACGCGTTCAAATGTTTAATATGTTCCTTCAATAGCCGGCTTAAACTTCCTTGCTTTCGAGCTTCCAAAAATATTTGTTGCTTCGCAGGATAAAATTGTGCAACGATTTAAACGGATGAAATAGTTAGTTTCGGAGAATAGATTCGGCTGGAGAGAAACGGTAAACGTAGAAACGCGAGTACGGTTAAAAATAGTGAATCAAAGTCATTCCGAGTTCGTGATCGTAATGGTTTCTACGGAAATGCGAGCAATCTGCACGCGAACCAACCACGTAAAGTTAGCAGGAAATTTTGCATTCGATGCAAATGCGTCCTATCTACATTGCGTTCAACTACGATAATGGCTGTTGTAATGCGCAACGATTCATTCTACTACAAACGATGCATCGATTAATCCTTTCTACGTGTGTACTGTACCGAATGACAAAAAAAATGTCATACCTTTATCTCGAGTTTAGTACTAGAACTACCGACATTTGATGCACACTAATTTATAAGTTGAAAATAATCCAGAAAATTAAATAAATACGGGATGAAACATAATTTAATATACAGGGTGTCCCAGGATTAAACGATCAAACTGCACCAGCATGTCGTGTTTTTCGATTACTCATTCGAGCCTTATCAATTGGACACAAAATTTATGGACAATATTTGCTAAATTGGACTAATGAGTCAAAGTTTATTTCGTGTAATTTGGAAGTAAACGTGATTAGGGTATCAATGGTCAAACTATTCGAATGAATTGTAAAAGTGCAACTTAACAATAGAACTACCAAAGGGGTCAAAATGACTGCTCTCCAGTTTCTTATATAAAATTATAATTTTTATAAATTTAAAACTTAAAATTATAAATTAAATTTTAAATTATCAATTTTATTTTTGTTGGAATATATGTCGGCTATTGTCGAGATAAAGAATGGATATACATATACAGTGTGTTCCAGGATTAAACGATCAAACTGCACCAGCAAGTTCTATGAGTAAAAATAAGAAAAAAATATAGGCCTTCAAACGCTTTGTTATCATACTTTATTACATTGAAGAGAAATTTTTGTTTCCATTTTAAAGTAGTGTTCACCATTATGAATGCATGCTTGACATCTTAGGAAAACTGAATTTATCACTCTCCGAATTTCATCTTTATCTTGCTTTAATTCAGAGAATGCACTATTAATCCTTTCTATTAGTTCATGCCGGGAATTAGCGTCTCAACGATACACAATTTTTTATTATAACTATTTTATAAAGCATCTGCGGACCTATGTTTATATAACATTTTTTTCTTATTTTTACTCATAGAATATGCTAGTGCAGTTTGATCGTTTAATCCTGGGACACCCTGCATATGTATATCCATTCTTTATCTCGACAGTAGCCAACATACATTCCAGCAAAAATAAAATTTATAATTTAAAATATAATTTATAATTTTAAATTTATAAAATTTATAATTTTAAATATAATTTATAATTTTAAATTTATAAAATTTATAATTTTAAATAAGAAACTGGAAAGTAGTCCCCCCTTTTGTAGAAAGCAGTTTTGACCCCTTTGGTAGTTCTATTGTTAAGTTTGACCATTGATACCCTAATCACGTTTACTTCCAAATTACACGAAATAAACTTTGACTCATTAGACCAATTTAGCAAATATTGTCCATAAATTTTGTGTTCAATTGATAAGGCTCGAATGAGTAATCGAAAAACACGAAATAAACTTTGATTGATTAGTCCAATTTAGCAAATATTGTCCATAAATTTTGTGTTCAATTGATAAGGCTCGAATGAGTAATCGAAAAACACGAAATAAACTTTGACTGATTAGTCCAATTTAGCAAATATTGTCCATAAATTTTGTATTCAATTGATAAGGCTCGAAATAGTAATCGAAAAACACGAAATAAATTTTGACTCATTAGTCCAATTTAGCAAATATTGTTCATAAATCTTATGTTCAATTGATAAGGCTCGAAATAGTAATCGAAAAACACGAAATAAATTTTGACTCATTAGTCCAATTTAGCAAATATTGTCCATAAATCTTGTGTTCAATTGATAAGGCTCGAATGAGTAATCGAAAAACTCGTGTGCCGTCAGAACATCCGAGTTTACAGCCGGCATTCAGCTCCGATAATTTCGAGCGATCGTCGACCTTTGCACTTCGCTGGCTCTCCGCCTCGATATTGGCCGACGATATCGCGAACGGATCACGCTCGAATGAACTTCATTCTCTAATTAATTTAGAGACGAACGCGTCTCATTCAGCCTGTCCTTTCCAAATTCGACGAAAATACACCTCTGTTTTCGGCAATCGCGATAATCTTCACCGTCGTTTCTTTCGTAAACGATGAACATTAGCAAAAAATCGAAGAGGAGAAAGCAATACCATAGCGTATCTATAGATTTTTTGTAATTTTAATATTTTTCAAGAATCAAATAGGTATTTACAATTTCTAAATTGTGAATTTCAAAACTATTGGGAATCACTACCATTATTTCTTGTATGAGACGGGTACTTCCATGGGCTCCTCATAATTGTAGGTCGATATGGACTAATAAAATGGCCTGCGAGATCCCCCGATTTGTCATTGAATTTTTTGTAGGGACATATTAAAGACACTGTTTACACTACACCACCGAGAAATTTAGACGACCTAGAAACTAAGATAAAAGAAACGTGTGCATGCATATCTAGTGCAACATTAGCAGAAACTACCAGGAGTGTGGTCAGCAGAACTCAGAAATGCATTCTTGCTAATGGAATGCGCATTGAACACGAAATGTAATCTTAGTACTACTATAAATACTAGTAAATAAAATATTACGAAATGTTAAACTTATTTCCTTATTTCTGCCTTTGTATGACCTTAAAGACCATATTGCACTACATGGTTGAACTCGCCTCGATGTCTGCTTTGATGGTCACCTTTGTTTCTTGAAAAATATTAAAATTACAAAAAATCAACTAGTAAAAAAATTACAACTTTCTCCTCTTCGATTTACGAAAAAAAAACGATGATAAAGATTAACGCGAACACCCTGTAATAAATCCAAATTGTTCGCGTCGAGACTTGCATTCCGGTTGCAATAATCGATTTCTTGCACCTCGAAATTTTCGTCTCCCTCAGGCACACACTATACTCGAAGAAATTCCAGTCACGGTGCCGATGTAACGTTTAACGCGGACTTCGTTTAGGATGCAAGATTCAGGGGAAAAAGGAATGTTTAAGGACACGGTCGAATCGTGGACTGGTTGTTCCCACTTGACCGTGAGCAGTCCGCTTAGGCAAAGTGATGAAAGTTAAGTGGCGCAGGCTAAGGTCGTTACCACTCTTCGTTACCGTACGTATCGTTCTCAGCGTTCAGTAGACGATGATCAGTCGTCGGCGTCGGGTCGAATCGAATCGAATCGTTCGAACATCTGCGAACCATGAGTACCATGCGGTTGGTATCGTCGCTGTTGCTCCTGCTGGTCGTCCAAACGAACTCTTTGAACCCGGACCACGGTCCCTGGGTACAGGCGACTCGTGGCGAACCGTGGCCTTATCCTGATCTCCGACGAGTCAGCAAGGCATTCTATTTACTTCGCGCCTCCACTTTTCAATTTAACGTGAGTAAAAAATATTATCCTTTTAGCTCTGTGCATTACCCTTTCCACTATGATATTACATCGGAATAGAATTATAATTTATTTATACATTTTCAAGTAAAGATTTCGAAAACGTATACTTTATTAATTAATAATTTTCAAAACATGATATCCATGAAAATCACTATAGTGGCGTACCGTTCGAAAAGATGACTTACGCGAAAGCCATTATAGTGGCGTTCAGTAGGTAAAAGGTTAAAACGATGAGTTCAACGGGTCCATGGATTTTCAATGAAAATAACTTCACTTCCTTCGCCTTATCATGTTTTTCTTACACCCTTCCTCTCTTGACCCAGTGATGATACATCGTATTTTTTACCGGTAATTACACGTTACAAGTGAATTGTACGGTTTCAGTTTTCACAGGGACGTTAGCACGCGAGAAATCATTTCTAAACGTCAACGAGTCAACCGATTGACCATTGAATAAATTGGCAAGATACGTTTCTTCGCTTGTCAATATTAATTACTTTATCTTCTTCCAACTTCCTCCGCGTTTCTTATCCGTATAATTTTCACATTAATTACGCTACGGTCATCGTTATCGTTACGTCATTTACGACGACGTATCGTATTTACGACGTGCATTCAGGAAAAATAAGGAATCCGGGAATTCCAATTGCCGAACGAAATTATCTCGACCTATATTGAATTAATTTTGTAGGTAATCGGTGAAACATGCGACATCGTGGTAGACGCGATAGAAAGGTACAAAGCAATTATCCTGACGGAAGCAAGAATAGCGAGGATCTATTCGCAAGGGCATCCAGAATTATCGAGAAACAATGACACAGCCAAAGGTACTCTCAGTGCTTTGAACATTCATTTAGGGGAACCATGCGAAAAGGATGGCAACCACTGGCCTCATTTGCAAATGAGTGAATCATGTAAGTTATCTTAATTACCAAACAAAAAGTCGTTTTAAACAGGTATTCTCGTAAGCTGTTTAATGTTAGTAGATCATGTCGAATGACGTCACTGTTAGATATGTAAAATTAATACAAAAGATGCCTAACGAAAGAATTTGAGGATAGAACATCTGAGTCAATAGGACGATTGAAGCAAACGCTGATTTGAAACTATCGGTTCTTATCGCGTTCAACTTGGAGGTCAAACCAGAGTGATAAGCCAGAGAAATAAGTTCTAGAAATTCCGTACACGCATATTCTTACGAGACATTAGGCTATCGAGCGAATTTAAGCTCTTTTCACACTTATATCTGTCACTTCTCTCTATTCGCACTCCATATCGTGATAGGACAGGGGTCTACAGGTGTTATTCCATGGCGTTCAGGGGTTTACACGACTGTCCCCTTGGATTCCGAAAGCAATTGTGCTTAGGAAAAAAATATTTTCTAATTTCTTCTCTCTATTCGCACTCCATATCGTGATAGGACAGGGGTCTACAGGTGTTATTCCATGGCGTTCAGGGGTTTACACGACTGTCCCCTTGGATTCCGAAAGCAATTGTGCTTAGGAAAAAAATATTTTGTAATTTCTTCTCTCTATTCGCATTCCATATCGTGATAGGATAGGGGTCTACAGGTGTTATTCTATGGGATTCCGGGGTTCACACGACCGCCCCCATGGATTCCGAAAGCAATTGTGCTTAGGAAAAAAATATTTTCTAATTTCCAAAATAATTTCCAATAATTATCTAAACGTTTCCAGACACTCTTAGCATTAACGAGACGTCCACCGTCGCTAACCTCGTGGCAGAATCAGTATGGGGGATTCTTCGTGGTCTCGAAACCTTTTCTCAGCTGATAACACCAGCTGGAGACGGTTCAAACGTGAGTAGACGTACATTTCGAACATTACGAAATTATATCAATCGAACTATCGCCCATCATAGCTGAGGATCAGATGTCAAACCATCGTGGATCGACCAAAACTACCCCATCGTGGACTCCTACTGGACACCTCTCGCCATTACCTGCCTATCTCCGCCATTTTGCTGACTCTGGACGCGATGTCCTTTAACAAAATGAACGTTTTACACTGGCACATCGTCGACGATAACAGTTTCCCTTATCAGAGCTCCAAGTATCCGAACTTATCCGCTAAGGGTGCCTACCATCCCACGATGGTTTACACTCTGAACGATATCCAGAAGGTTGTAGACTACGCTAGGTTAAGGGGAATTCGGGTAATGCCGGAATTCGATACTCCAGGACATACCAGGTCATGGGGTTTGGCTTATCCGGACTTATTGACCACTTGCTACGGTAAATATACCTAAACGGACACGATCTTCATCCATCGCTCGATTATTTTTCGCATCAGATTCCAGAGGAAGGGCTAACGGACAGCTAGGCCCAATGAATCCAATAAACCCAAATTTGTACGAGTTCTTACGTCACCTGTTCGCCGAGATAGTTCAAGTATTTCCGGATCAATACGTGCATCTAGGAGGCGATGAGGTCCCGTTCAATTGCTGGATGAGCAATCCCGAGATCAACGCGTACATGAAGCACCGTAACATGTCGAGAAACTACGCCCTCCTCGAAGCGGAATACATAGCGAAGCTGCTTCAGATCACCAATTCGCTGGAGGCAAACACCATAGTATGGCAAGAGGTAAGAGCTGTTTCTATCGCCTGTATCCTATCCGTTTCGTCGGATAAATTGCTGAAAATAGCGAGGCAATAAAACGGAGCGTTCGCTTCGAACGGGTGTTTGCGGAAACGAGGCGATGTCGAATGTCCTCGTGAAAAACGCGTATCCGTGTCCAGTCTCGTCTGCGAAACTCGTTTCGCTATCAGCTTCGCTCACCTCCGAGGAATAAATTAAACTCGACCTGTGCTGATCTATTTGACGACCAACCGTGTGAAATTCCATGAGGATAAACATTTGATCACAGGTGTTCGATAACGGTGTGAAAATGCCGAATACTACCGCAGTCCACGTGTGGACAGGTGTATGGGCAAAAGAACTGGAGGAAGCTACCGCGGCCGGACATCCCGTGTTGCTGTCCGCCTGTTGGTACCTGGATCACATCGCAGGCGGTGGAGACTGGAGGAAATTTTATAGATGCGATCCACTGGCATTCAATGGTGCCGCGCATGTGTCACACTTGATGCTCGGAGGAGAGGCTTGCATGTGGGGAGAATTCGTCGACAAGTGAGTAAACATTTCGATGAACCCCCAAACGCCTGTTAAAGATGTAGGCGTTTGGTGGAGGGAGAGAAGAGGGTTTCGTCTCCCCGGGCGCCTTTGGTTCGGGCCGGGGACCGCTAGGTGGCGGCGAGACGACAGCGTTCTCGCTAGCGGTCGCCTGGCAGGCAGTTCAAATATACAGGGTGATCCCCTCGCAGCCGGACACAAAGGAACACTGGCGACGATGGACCTCTTGACCGCACCATAAAGAGGTCCCTATTGTCACGTGCCAGCGGGGACCTACCCGGGCCGAGACGACTCTGTGTGTCTTCATGTTCCTTTGTGTCCAGCTGCAAGAGGATCACTCTGTACAGGGTGATCCTCTCGCTAGGTGACACAAAGGAACACTGGCGACAATGGACCCCTTGACCGCAGCATAAAGAGGTCCGCATTGTCACGTGCCAGCAGAGACCTACCCGGGCCGAGACGATTCTGTGTGTCTTCATGTTCCTTTGTGTCCAGCTGCAAGAGGATCACTCTGTACAGGGTGATCCTCTCGCTAGGTGACACAAAGGAACACTGGCGACAATGGACCCCTTGACCGCAGCATAAAGAGGTCCGCATTGTCACGTGCCAGCAGAGATCTACCCGGGCCGAGACGATTCTGTGTGTCTTCATGTTCCTTTGTGTCCAGCTGCAAGAGGATCACTCTGTACAGGGTGATCCTCTCGCTAGGTGACACAAAGAAACACTGGCGACAATGGACCCCTTGACCACACCATAAAGAGGTCCGTATTGTCACGTGCCAGCGGGGACGACTCTGTGTGTCTTCATGGTGCGGTCAAGGGATTCATTGTCGCCAATTTCTTTGGGTTCTCTAGCGAGAGGATCACCCTGTATAGGAGTTCCGAATTCCGAGTTGTCAGCCCCACTGACGAGTCTGACAGACGATCCCGAGACGAAAACGCCTTTTTCTCCCCTCTCTTACAAAGAGCCTCGAAAAAATGATAATTATTTTTAGAAACAACGTGCACCCGAGGATATGGCCACGAGCTAGCGCAACAGCCGAGCGTCTTTGGAGCAGCGCGAAATTGGACGAGAACAAGGCTGCTCAAAGGCTCGAGGAACATTCGTGTCGCATGAACAGACGTGGAATTCCGGCACAACCACCGAACGGGCCTGGATTCTGTGTGATGTAACGCTGCCTCAAAGATTTTCCATTCCCACTATGAAGCTTCGTTTTCTACCAACTTCACGCGAGAATGATTTTATCGAAGAAGAATTAAATAAATTTTTATGAATTTCATCTGTTCTATATTCTTTCTATCCCATAAACCAGGGGTGGGCAAATAGCGGAGTTCTTTTGTGGCCCGCCAAGACAGTCAGAAAAATCCGCCTTGATTTCCTATCATTGAATTTATGTTTATTGATTTTTATGGTACAATTTATACCTTTCTGAAATGCAAAATTAACTAATGAATGCAATCATTTGAAAAGGTGCGGCTCTCCGTTAACCTCCGCTTCCACAAAGTGGCCCCAAAACAATTATCCATCCCTGTCATAAACCTTCGTTAATTTTGTATTAATCGTAAAATCATCGTTTACCGCCAAAAAAAATCAAACGAGTGTTGTGCAAACATAAGAAAATCGTGTCGTACGGGCAACCAGCAAAACAAGCAATGAATTGACCGTACACCTTCGGTCATTTCTCCTTCGTTCATTGACAAAATTTCAAGTGACCCCGAATGATTCCGAAGCACACCAATGCCGTTGTCTCTGGTTGGATCGTGGGCTCTTCCATCATCGAATAATCAATGACAGTGATTGAAAGCTTTCGAAAATGTCTGCATAATATCGCACCTCGAACGTCATCCAGCTAGCTCAACCATGCTCAAGTAAATCGATCATAGAAATCATCAAAATCTAAGATAGAACTTCGATAAGATCCACTTGAAATGTTGTGTATTTAATTAAAAAATTAGAACATTGAACTGATTAAATTTAGATTGAAGTGAAAAAATTGATCTGATTCTAAAGTACTTTTAAGAAGCTTTTAATAAATGAGCTGCCAATCAATTCTCTTTTTCGTGGTCAACATGTTGACAAGTTTAATTTTAAGTTTCCAGATTATTCGTTCTTAATAAACAACATTATTTTCCTCTTCGAATCTTATGTTTATAGCATTGGATAACATTTGTTTGTTAATTCTGCAGAGGGTGCACCGGAAGTATCAGCGAATGTCAATCTTGTTGTTCATCGTGTTGCACCCCTTCACCCTGTTCACCCACTGTTATATGCAGACCATCGTGTCCCCCTCGATGCCCCCCAAAACCAACTAGAACAACGGTGAGTTTCGAAAAAGAAAATCAAATACATTTTCTACTTTTAATATACACTGGTGAAATTAATTCTGAACACTTTGAATAAAAATATTCTTTATTTCATATTTGTGCAGAAAATGTATTGTGATCTATAATGTTTATACTTAATATTCTCACATAATTTGATTTGTAAATGTTTTAAAATTTTTATTTAAAAAATCTAAACTGTGTTATGTCGCATGATGTGAAATAGCCAATCACAGGATGAAAAGATATCCAACGAAATATTAATTTTTTTCTACCTCCTTTGATGTGCTGAAATTGTAATTTTTATTGTATATTAAAAGTATGGCTATAAATGGATAATTTGAATAAATACGAAAAAGAAAAAATTTAAAAGTTTCCAGAATTAATTACACTAGTGTATGTAACTTGAGATAATATCATAAAATTGGTGGAAATAAAAAAGATAACAGTGTTTATCGCGCAAAATGAAGCTTCAAAGAGGCTCGTAACAGCAGTGCAAATCTATAAAACATTACAAGAGGCTGTTATTGGAGGTAACTTGATAACTGGTCTCGAAATTAGGTTTACCTACGACCGTGTCCACCTTGTCCACCCTGTTGCCCGCTTCCTTGTCCGCCAAAGATAATCGTCACGTGTACACCACCCCCGCCACCGTGTCCACCTCCACCACCCTGTGTGACATACGTTTGCACCAAGAAACTGGTCCCCTGTATGCCTTGTCCACCACCCACGCCACCACCTTGCTCGCCTTGTCGACCAGTTTGCCGTTAGTTACACACAATTAACTCGTTTCTCCTCGATTCAATTAACGACCAATACCGGGTCAATAATCGTGGCCCATCCTTATCAAAACTGTACAAAGGGAAATTATTTTTTTCGATACAGTGCCCTATAGCTGTTCACCTTGCTAGAGGACCATTCTTGAGGCAGCGTGATAACACAGTGGATATTATAATTTTGGGTAAGAATTAAATAATTAACTCTTTAGTAATGAATACTAAATAGAAAATTACTCATATTTCCAGGAATACATTGAACGAAGCATCATCGAACGTGGACTCGAAAGAACTAATTAAAGGAACCCTGATTGAGGAACAAGGACTACGACAAAGCGCTTAAGATTCGAATCAAATTCCCAATTATAGTTTATTTCATGAATTAGTCACGTAATCCTGATTAAGACTTGATACTGGAATCGATTTAACACGAACGTGCCCCGATACTAAATTTGGACAACATTCTAATTAGAGTACTCTACTTAGTCAACGATCGAATTACGACCAATTAATTATTTAAGAAGTGACCCCCACCTTGCTTGGACTTTCCTGAATTGACGAATTACCGAAATGACAAATTTATTTTATGTAAATACGATGGATGTATTCGACATTTTTTTGTCACTGTCAAATTTTTTGACCTCATACCCGAATTCTGATTTAATGGAGCTGCCTTTGCTTTGCGCTGGTACATATTTTCCCCCCCTGAAAATATGTACGATTGCAAAGTAAAATGGTACGAGGTGAAGTTTCCATTTAAATAAAAAAAAATAGCATAAGTACCGATCGAACGTGATTACGATGAATTTCTACATTTCAATATGTTGCTCGCAATAGAAAGCAGGTACCATTCAATTTTTTTTTTAGTGATTTTTTTTATGAATCAAGTCACGTTTTCAAGATTTTGGTACGATTGCGGCAACGAAATGACTGATTTTGTCGTTCACGTTTGAGATAAAATTTCAAATTTTAAATATTTAATGAACAGTACCATTGATAGTGACAAATTGATGTTGCAACAGGGCTAAGAATCTCGGAGAACACATTTGTATGTGCTTCTACATGTAAACGATGGAAAATAAAAATAGTAAAACCATACTCAAATTGGTGTTTTATTATTAAGTTCCTAGATAATTTTATTCATAGTATCTTTACTGCAATATACCATTTATCTTGTTATTTACCTCATTTTGCAATCGTAAAATCACGTTTATCGAGGTGGCATTTTTTCAACAAATTAAAAACAAAATAAAACGTTGGTAAATTGAGAACACCAGCAAATTGAAATTGTAAATCTGCCACAAACGGTGTCCATGGCAACCTAGACCTGTCTACGTCTCGTCAATTTTTCGTCCTGGTTTTTAAAACCTTCGTGAAAAAAACCTAGCCCTTCGGAATTTCCCTTCTCCGGTGGTGATGCAAAATCAGAGCTAGACAATTATCTGGCCAATTACCATTCCAAATGAAATTTCTCTAATTATTATTTGACCCCGAAGTTAAATTTTAAACAACCATGAACAAGAGGTGAAGATCATAGCCTTTCAAAACCTTATCTTTTCCTATGGCTCATCGTTTATCAAAACGACCCATCGTTAATCAAATTTTCCCTCATAGGAAAGCCTCAGCCGACAGGAACTCGAAACAGAGGGGATCCTCTCGACGTCCAAGCGCGTCCAGCTTGCATTCGAGGCCCAACACAGCTCATCAAAAGCTGAAACCCGAAAAATCACCGTCCACGCAGAATCTAGTAACCCCGGAACCACAGAACTTGTCTAAGACGATTCAAGTTAGCAAAGCTGTCGAAACATGTGTTCCGAAGACCAGATTCAGCTCTCAGGATAGATGCAGAGAGCTGAGATCGTATTCATCGCCGAGGCTGAAATATTTCCCTGCCGAGAGAATCAAGAGGTTTGAGAGTCCTCCGGGCACCCCAATCGGTGCACTAATTGCACAACAAAATCTCCATGAATCTGGTAGCTATTATGCTGCTGGCCATCCGGAATACAACAATGGACAGGGTGATGCAACGACAGCAAGTCAATCTTTGCATCAGCATCGACCACCTCAGGTATAGTCGTTAGATTAGATTGGGATATCTAGTTCAAGGTTTCTGAAACTCCAACAACTTTCTTGCAGAAACTCGAACTGTTACCTCTTTAAGTATTCAACCCGATTAATCGTCCAACTCGGATGACACGTTAAAATTATGAATTAATGATTTCGCAGCATGTGCAGAGCGTTGGTCAGCAACAGGTAGCTGGTAATCAAGTTGCTCAGATGAATCCTCACTCGGATCCCACTTTACCGCAACAGATCCTCAGTCAATCTCATCGTCCCTTCGTTCCACATGGGCCCCGGGATCATTCTCCCCAGAAAACAATCGCAAATGTTCACAATTCTCATTCAGCTTATCATAATCCATCTTGCGCGATGACGACACCACAGCCTGTCGCTTCCATGATGGAGCAAGAGAGAAACACATCAGAAGAGCCCACCATAACCCATCCGCCTGATTACGAGAGACAACCGATCGGTGGTCGAAACGCGGCTAACTACAGGCAGGCGATAAACAAACAACAGATACAACTGCAATCACAAATGTCTATGGATCCCAATGCGTCCAATTTGACGCCCAGTGATCATCAGCAGCTGCAAAATCATTACTCGAGACACGGTCAATTTTCTCAGAATCCTCAACAAGTGTATCAGCAGATGCAACAGAATATGCAACAGCAGATGCAGATGCAACAGCGAGCCATGACCTATCAGATGCAAGCGATGGGTGGGCAAGGTCAAGGTCCTTATGCGGTTCAATATGGGAGATACTTCCCTGGACAGGGTATGACGACTCCTCAGGATGCAACTGTTAACCAGATGAAGAACCTACGTACTGGACAATCATACGGTAACCAAGGGCATCAGAGGGATCTTGATTACTCCATGAATCATCAAAATGGATGGGCAAAAGGCAATCAAGTAGGTGAGTTCTCGAGCATCAAGGCTCAATTGAACCCTTACACCGTAGAAGTGACGAATAACAATCAACCACATCATGGGACACATCCCTATCATCATGCAGTGCATCAGCATCGACCACTGTACAAAAATCCTGGACAAGGTACTCCAATGATGTACCATCAGCCAGGTTTCGATCAACAAATCCCTGCAAATCAACAAATGCCTCAACAACCACCTACAGAGAACAATCAAGTCCCTAAAAATGACAACAAGAAGTCTCCGCCGTTCACTCATAGTATGCTACGGGATCAAGAGAAGCTGTTGAACACCATGAAGCAACAAGGAGTACCACTGGACATCATGAGGAGACAGTTCGACATATTGCTAAACGAGCAAAAGAAACACCTGGAGTACCTGGAGTGTCTTTGGCGACAGGACGAAGAAGAAGTTAGGAGATTACCGGTTATTAATCGAAAAAAAAGGAACATCGATGAGAAACCTGAATGGATGACTCATTTAACACCCACGCGGATGTCCTATTTGGAGATGGAGAGATTGAGGGAGCAGCAGAAGAAGGAACAAGAAGCTCGGTTGCAACAACAAAACGCAAACGAGATGGTTAATCAACAGCCTCCACTTCAGCTTCAGAACCAACAGATTTCTCAGCTTCAGAGCCAGCAGATTCATCAGATTCAGAACCAACAGGCTCCTCCTCAGCTTCAAAACCAGCAGATTCCTCAGCTTCAGAACCAACAGGCTCCTCCTCAGCTTCAGAATCAACAGCCTTATCAATTATGGCAGCCTAACTGGCAGCAGTCAAGGATTTCTCAACCCTATAACCACATGTACCCTCAACCCTACATGAATCAAGGTCCAATGAACTATCGACACCAGCAGAGTATGCCAGATTACCGGTACGCTCATCAGCAATACAATCATCAACATCAACAACAGCACTACCAGTACGTTCCACAGCAGAATCAAGAAGAAATTCAGCAAACCAATGGCTACTCAGGATACCAAGATGTCAGGCAACCAACAGAACCATCGAGTTTGATGAAGATCCGTCACTACAAGAACCATGTTCGTACTCAGAAGCGCAACAACGGACTGCAGGATCCTGAAGTGGCTCGTAGACAACTGGAAGAACTGAGGGCCAACAGCGAATTGAGGAAGGGACTCGAGTACCTGGCCAATTTCGCCCCTAAGAAAGCTACATTCCGACTAAACGGTATCCAGGATCGCAATGAAACGGATACCGAGATCCAGAATCGTCTTCCGGTACTCAACGCTGAACCAGCCGTCAAAAGAGTATCAGCGAATGGTTTAGAGAACAGTAGGATCGCGAACAACCCTCCTCCCCAACGACTGTCGCCCCTGAATAAGCTGGAACACGAATTCGCGAAGGAATATCCTAGACAGAGAGAGCCGACACCTAGAAACTGTTACAGTGTCCCAGCTGAAAGGGAAAATGGTACCATGGCCAGTGAACAGCAGCCACAATACCTTCCACAGCAACTTCCTGTAGAAAATTCAGCAAATTTGATTTCTTACGACAAGAACCCTACGATGGCTCGAGGGAACGTGATAATGCCCTATAAATTTGATGTCAATTACCCTCAGCATTATCAACAAATGCAACAGTACTATCAGAACACCAAGAACCTGACCGGGAACAATGGCGAAGGTGACGTGGGGGTGTCTCAGAAAATAGAAATGAACAGAAAGAATTTCGAACGAGCTGGTGGGGATGCTTACGAGAATATGAACGGTCAAGTGATGCAGGAGGGGAAGATTCCTATGCAAGGGATGCAGCAATACGGTCAACCTGATATGCACGAAGCAAGGACTATAGGGGGTGTTAGGTACCTGGCGAGGAAACAGGATTATCTGCCCAACCAACAAATCGTGTCACCGGAAACTCTGATTGCGAGCAGACACCTGCAACCCCCTATTATTTATTGATTTTATTTTTCAGATGTTTTTACATGTTTTGATAGTAGTGTTTTTTCGTAGCTGTATATGGTGAAGGCGTTTGTTTGATACAAGTGTAATTTGTAGCCAGCTGGGTTCTTTGAATCGAAAGATTGTGAATCTGGAAGATTCAGAGGACGTGGCTTGGATTTTTTGTATTTTTCATTAATAAAATGATGTCTTCTGAAGTAGCGTTTTGTTCGATGCCTATCGAGCGATAAGAATCTTGAGGAATGTTTGAGGGTGGCTGTTACTTGTCAACATCAAGCACACCCTCATTGCTAGAATTGCTGCTTTTCTTCTTTCCTTTCTATTGTGATTCCTCTAGAGTTTCGTCCTCATCAGCAAATTGCTGTCTACCGATAAAATACAGTTCGCCAGCGAAATGACTCGTCCTTAAGGGACATTATCTTTCCTATGAATTCAGCATTCTAGATACTTTCATGTTTTACGAATGGATAGTTCAATCAACGAAGAATCGTGATCGTTTTTTATTTACTTTCTCAGAAGTAACAGAAATTTTGGAAAATTTGAAATATAAAATTGCAAGTAAGATGAATTCCTGCGAAAATTCTCGTAATTACCTTCAGGAAGTGTCGGATATTATTAATGAAATTGAGTGTCGGTAAGCGATTGTTCATTAACGAATAATTAATTAACCCTATTTTCATTCTGATTGAAAATACCTCAAATCTAACCCTATCAAAAATTCCTGCAATATTTTAATTACAGAGTACCAGAACCAGAAATATGCAACATCAGATGTCCACCCTTAGGGTGTCCACGAGGACCTTGTCCAGGTGTGTGCGCTTACGATGGAGTACCTGATGCTTGCTGCATGTCCAAGATGCCTTGTTGTGCACCTCCTCCCCCACTACTTTGTCGAGCACCCCCGGCATGTTTATTAAAAGCATACGCCAAAGCGGTTGGCTACCCTCCCGAGTCCTGTTTTTCACCACCGAAGGCGCGACTTCGTTTATTACTCGGTTTTCCGGCGCGCAGAAACCTGCAGATAGATTGTTCACCTCTATCCCCCTGTTATTTCAGCCCTCCAAATTGTACATCCTGTTGCCCTGCTTCCACGTTTTCGTGTTTCTGAAGGGAAGTTTACAAATGTGCTCTCCCTTTTCCTACACTAGTGGAATTAATTCTGGACACTTTTAAATTTTTACTTAAATTTCGCATTTATTCAAATTATTTAATATATAATCATTTATATTTTATATTCTAATCGTTGTTTTCTAATTTTAGGGCGTCGCTTATATAAAAAAAATCAGTAAAAAGACCATTTACAGCTATACTTTTAATATACAATAAAAATGACAATTTCAACATATCAAAGAAGGTAGAAAAGATTAATATTTCTGTGATTGTCTATTTCACATCATGCGACGTTTCGTGTTGCCAGGCGCAAAAATAAGAATAATACAGTTTAGATTTTTGAAATTAAAATTTTAAAATATTTACAAACCAATTCATGTGAAAATATTAAGTATAAACATTATAGATTACAATAAATTGCAGAATATACATTTTCTGCACAAATATGAAGTAAAGAATATTTTTATTCAGTGTCCATAATTAATCCCACCAGTGTACCCCGAATAATTAGAATAATTAATCATTCGATCGCACCTCTCTGTATACCTATGTTTGCATTTAAAATGAATTGTAATTATTTTAAGATCACCCTAATAATTTTTTGTAAAATTTGAAATACATCACTTCAATAGATTTGGTTGTCAGGGTATTTGCTTCTAACTTCGTGTTAATCAATGAAACATTAATCACTATTGAACGGAATTTTTCGAAATATCAAGATGAACGAAGAGATAAACGATAAGATATTGAAAGAATCAAAACTGTTTAGCGCGACAGAGATTATACAATATCTGTTGGAAAGATCGGATTGCAAGAAGAACGAGGATGAGAAGGGGGTTAATATTGAAATTGTTACTACATTTCCACAGCAACAAAGTGAAAAATTTTTTAATTATTCAGCAGGGCGCAATTCCGTCGGAATATATGAGGCAAATGTCGATGACGACAGAGGAGAGAACGAGGCATCTCTTCAAGTTGAGGAACAAGTTTAATTACTTTTTTTTCTGCCCAGAGGATTGCAACTTCGAGATAACTCCTAGTGTCGTCATTTTTCAACAATTCACTGTTGGAAATGCTTTAACCGTGACAGTGACCGTTCAAAACAAGACGAAGGTATTATTAAATTATATTTAAAATGATGGTCTCACTGTTTTCCTTTTTCGAACAAAAGATTCCAAGGTACTTGAAGACGTCCTGTGAATTGGATCCTTGCTTCAGCGTTGAGCATCGAGGGAGTACTTACTCGATGATGATAGCTCCTGGTCTTGCTAATTGTTACAATGTCAAATTTACTCCTGAGAAAAAACGAGACTACCAATATCTATTAAAATTCACCACTGACAGTGGACAAATGATCGTGCCTGTTATAGGTAAAATTTTCTTTTTATTATCAATGAAACGTTTCAGTCACTTTTATAATGGAATTTTCATTTCAGCGATCGGATCGAGAGGAATTTTAGATTTTCCCGATAGAATTGAACTTCCATCGACAGCAGTGAAGATTCCTTCCACGAAAACGATTTTTGTGCGCAACGTTGGAAACGCAGAGGCAATTTTCACTCTTTATACCAACGAGTAAATGATTTTCAACGCGATATTTATCCGAATTTTAATCGATTAATTGAATTTAATTAACTTTGATTAATTTTAGCTCACGTTTCTGGATCGAACCGTCCAAGGGTAGAATAGAGGAAGAAGAATCCTTGCAATTTACCGTGTACTTTTCATCCAACAAAGCTGGTGATTTTCAAGGAAAATTGTTTCTCGAATATGAAACAGGTGAATGATGAAAACTACTCAGCCGATTCACGATGGAAATAATTGTACCTTTCACTTTAGGAGAAAAATTGCAAATAGATCTTCAAGGTTCCGCAGAAAATTGTACTATCAGAATCGATAGGGGTAGTGTTAGAATGGAAGAAACTTATTTAGGACTGTCCAGAAGCAAGACTCTCACGATTCACAATAGGAGCGATTATATTGTTAAATATAAATGGATGTTGCTTAAAGATGAAGATGAGGACAAAAAACGAAAAGAAGAGTACAAAAAATTATATCATATGGTCTACGATGCAGAGCTGATTCGTTGTGTGGATCTCGAATATTATAACGTGTGCACCCCTGATATACATAAATTAATTTATCAACGAATTTATGCGGACGAATTGGAATCATTAACGAAAGAAAGTTTTCCATACAATCACCTGTTCTTTATATTTGCACCACAGGTAAATTCCAAACAATTAGCTGATCTTAATTGATTCAATGAATTCCTATTTGAAAATGTTTTTTTAGGAGGGTGAAATTTGGCCACGATCGTCCACCGGTGTTACAGTATTCTATCGTGCCATAGAAATCGGTGAAGTAACGAGCATTGCATATTTAGAAGTAACTGGATTAGAAAATAGAATCCCATTAAGGTAGAAACTTTTTATTTATTGTAGGCGTTAGTGGAGGGGGAGAGAAGGTTTCGTCTTCCCGGACGCCTTTAGTTCGGGCCGGGGACCGCTAGGTGGCGACGGGATGGTCGGTGATCAGCGTTCTCGCTGGTGGTCGCCCGGCATCCAGTTCGAATATACAGGGTGTTCGACAACAGGTGGGAAATTCTTTAAGAGCCGATTTTTGAAATCAAAATAAGACGAAAATCACGAATGCGGCGTTTGCGGCTTTGTTTTCCAGTAATTAACGTTTTAAAATTCGAGTAAAAGCGCGCTTGAAACGTGCAATCTGCCGAGCACTGACGACTGAACGTCAGGTCAGTCATAACCAAGAAGAGAAAGCCGAATGGTGCAGTACCGAGAAACAGAATAGCACGAGGTAAGTTATTATTATTATTATCACATGGCTTTTCTTGGGCGAAGCCCAAGATGGCGTTCTGCAGGAGGGTGCCCCTCCTATATTGCCCAATGAAAATCAGCGGCCTTTTTAAATTCTTCTCTAAATCTGCACATATAAGTTTAGTACGATTATATCAAATCATCCCATATAGTCTTTTCCATTATTCTCATTTCTTTTTTACTTCTTTATACTCTTATTTTTCCATTCATATACATTTTCTCTCTTTATTTCATTTTATTCATATTCGCTATCCGCTTATTTATTGCTAACAGCACACGGTAACCCATCTTTTGGCAAAACCGTGCCCACTTAGCTTAACTTCGGTGATCTTACGGGTACCGGTGTGGCCTAAGTGGCTAAGGCCGTTGACTACGAGGTAAGTTTCTACTATTCAATGATTCTTGGTTATAACTGTACCCACCCCTGCTGACCTGACGTTCAGTCGTCGGTGCTGGGCGGATTGCTGGTTTCAGGCGCTTTTTACTCGAATTTTTAAACGTTAATTACTGGAAAACAATCGTCATTCTTGATTTTTGTCTTATTTTGATCCCTGGAATCACCCCTTAAGAAATCTCCCACCTGTTGTCGAACACCCTGTACATAATAGAAGTTCTGAATTGCGGTGTGATGGGTGTCTGAGGCAGGGAACGTCTATTGTCAGCCCCACTGACGAGTCTGACAGACGATCCCCGAAATGAAACGCCTTTTTCTCCCCTCTCCTACAATATCTCCTTTCATAAAAATAATTTTATGATTTCCACCTAGTCTTTATGGAATTGGGAAGGGACCGGTTCTTCGTTTAAACGTGCTCACGATCGACGTAGCGAATATTTATCTGTGTTCTGTGCATAATTACGAGGTAATTAACTACTCCTTTTTATTTACAATTCATACGAATTTGCAAACTGGGAGACCCTGTTTTAGATAATAGTCGCGAACAAGGGACACATTCCTGGAACGTTGGTCCACAAGCCAAAACCGAGCGATTTTGGGGGTACAATTGAAATAACACCTATTTGCCTTACATTGGAACCAAATCAGCACAAATCTTTCAATTTGTCATTTTCCTCGAATCGAAAGGGAGATTTCGTAGAAAGGGTGGATTTCGTCGTGAAAGAGAGCCTCGAAGTGCTCAGCTTACACATCAAGGGTTGCATCGTTTGTCCAACATTGCATTTCGACAAAGACAGCCTCGAATTTGCAACAACTGCCCTAGGTAAATTGCAATTTTTCAAACATCCAAAGGGTTTTTCAATTGAATCTCGTTTTCAGGATTCAGTACTCGACACGAGGTGAATCTGAACAACTTATCCTTAATGCCAGTGGCGTTTACCATAACCGTGCTCGACGATGGGGACCAACCACCATTAACTCACGAAGAATTTACCAAAGCCCCCACGAAATACAGTTTCCCTTCGAATCCTCGGGAATTTCACATCATCCCCGAAGAAGGGGTTGTTTCAGCCCAGGATGTACTCAAAATCAAAGTACATAAACTGTCGACAAATGAAATGGAATTTATTTTAATTTATTCGATTGATTCACAGATCACTTACATAGCTAATATTGCTCGTGCTGGTCACACGATAATCCAAGTCGACATGAAAGACTCAGATTTAGATCCATTACAGTTGCCAGTGAAATTCTATGGTCGTGTGGCTTCGTTACTGATAGTGCCATCGGATATCGTCTTCCGATTTTGTTTTATCAATTTCCCTTATTCGAGATCTTTTACAGTGAAGAATACTTCTGATCTGGATGGATATTTCTATATTCTACCGCAACAGGTACAGTTAACCCCAAGGATCACGCGTGATCCGTGTTAATTAATAATATATTCTAATTAGGTTACGGAACACACAGCCGTGATCTGTTCCCTGTCAGTGTATCAAGGATACATCAAAGCGAATCAATCAAAAACCATTAATGTAACAATCATCACGAAGGTTTTGGGTACAGAGAAAGTTACCCTCAAGTAAATATACCATTAATTAATTACTGTGTGTAGGGGTAGTAAAAGGCGTTTTTCGTCTCGGGATCGTCTGCCAGACTCGTCAGTGGGGCTGACGACAGACGATCTCTGCCCCAGACGCCTGTAACCCCGCTTTTCGGAACTCCTATGCAGGGTGATCCTCTCGCTAGAGGACACAAAGGAACTGGCGACAATGAACCCCTTGACCGCACCATGAAGACACACAGAATCGTCTCGGCCCGGGTAGGTCCCCGCTGGCACGTGACAATAGGGACCTCTTTATGGTGCGGTCAAGAGGTCCATTGTCGCCAATGTTCCTTTGTGTCCTCTAGCGAGAGGATCACCCTGTATATACGAATTAGTGATGTGCGGCCCGAATAGTCGGGTCGGTTCGAAAGAAATCGGGCGGGCTCGGGCGGGCGTCCGGTACGTGCGTGCAGTCGGGAAGCCCGACTATTTCGGGTTCGGTCGGGGACAGTCGGGCAGATTCGGACGAGCTCCCGCGGGCCGCGACCCAACTCTCATGTACTTGTTAATGCTTGCAATAAGCATATACAAAATCGGTTTTATATGGAATTTTGGAATAAGATAATTTTTATTATGTGGAAAAATAATACTTCTAACGAATCGCAAGTATTAACACAAGTGTATGAGAGTTGGCCCGAATCGGCCCGACTATACCCGACCGAACCCGAAATAATCGGGCTACGCGACTGCACGCATGTACCGGACGCCCGCCCGAGCCCGCCCGATTTTTTCCGAACCGACCCGACTATTCGGGCACCACATCACTAATTCGTATATACAGGGTGATCCTTCGCTAGAGGACACAAAGGAAAGAGGTCCCTATTGTCACGTGCCAGCGGGGACCTACCCGGGTCGAGCCCGCCCGATTTATTCCGAGCCCGCCCGAGTCCGTAATACAGGGTGATTCTCTTGGCGCGCAACACAATAGCCGTCCCGCACAATGGAACCCTGCGAGTAAAGAGACCCAGGGGCCATATCGCCGGACCCAAGACTGCTCTGTGTGTGTTTATGGCTGAGACGAAGACAAGAAACGGAACAGCAGGGGTTCCATTGTGCGGCACGGCTATTGTGTTGCGCGCCGAGAGAATCACCCTGTATCAGGTACCCGCACATCCCTAATTGGAACCCTAATCCCCAATCCAATCCCACTGCCACCTGGCGGTCGCCGACCCGAGCTAAAGGCGTCCGGGGAGACTCACCGCCTTCCCCCTGCACTAAACGCCTACACGTGTAAAACAATTAGAACATCTTTGTTAATTGATCGACAGTATGTTAACAATGGGAGAAAAATCATCGAGCACGATCTGCATTGTCACCTGTACCGGTCAGGGACCAGTGATTTCTGTAGAACCAATAGTTTTGGATTTTGGAGACATACAGGTTCTCGAAGAGAAAACAATGGAACTATTAGTGATCAATGATTCACCGATACCTGCTCATTTTAATGGAGCTTTGGTACAATTTTCTAATTAAATTTTCTCAATGATTCTACTCTAACGTTTACTCTCCGTTTTAAGGAGAAAATGAATTCGTTGTGGACGATGGATCCAGAGAGTGGAGATCTGGAACCGGATAAAACCATCACAATTACAGTGAAATTGTTCCTTCGCGATGTGGGAAAATTTAGAAATACTGTTTTGTTGTCTGTTCTAAACAGCAGAACGATTCATGTCGAAATTAAAGTGACTGGAATCGGATGCAGCGTTGTTTTTGATCCGAGCATATTCCCTGTATACGACTTAGGCCTTCTTTTCAGGTATCCACAGTTATTTATATATTTCTTAGGTTTGGAATTTTTTATTTTTTTATTCTCTGCAGCCATCACTTAATAAATCGAACTATAACTCTAACAAATTATGGAACACGTGCTCATCAAATAATCTGGGCGAACGAACCGGAAATACAGTTCTATCGTGGTCAAATATTGCAGACAAAGAGGTGAATAAAATATTATCATTTCATTTGTACAAGTGGAACACACGTTTATGAATCTATATATTTTGTTTGAATAAAATAGTTCCAAGTTTCAATTGCATCCTATGATCCTAGATATTCCAGCCGAGGAATCGAGGGTTGTTCAATGCAATTTATCGTGGGAACAGTGAGTATATTTTCAGTAAATCTCTTTGAAAAATGATAAATAATATCGATGAACTCTGCGATAGAAACGAGTGTGTACTCGAAGATTGGTATGTTTTTGCAACGATTCAAGGAAAAGGAAAACGTGAATTGATCGGTAAATCTATTTTCAAAGCCACGCTAACGAAACCGCAAATCTTGTTCAGTAAAAGAGAGCTTACGTTTCGAGTCGACGTGTGCCCTGAGGGTGATAAATCACAGCAGAAAGGTTCGATCAATTCTTTTTCTCCAGTTTTCCTACATTTTCACGTATTTAAGTATCTTACTTTTCAAATTAGACGAACTGCTGGTAACGAATCAATCGAACCTGGACTTAAACGTGCAATTATCCGTGAAAACACCGTTTTATTTGTTGACCACCGCGAAGGAGCGCGTGCAGAGCATGAAAGTGATTTTAATCGATAAAGCAACCACGAACATCTCCGTATTTTTCTTCATAGACGAGCAATTCAAAGATCTCTATTCGCGCGTCGACACTGGACAACTTCTGTTGGAATACATGGAACACCCAAATCAAGTAAATTGTATCGCTCCGTTTGCTCGAGAAAAACTTTTCAAATCTCTCCTTTTTTCTTTCTAGGATAAAATCCCGTGCAAGGCTTACGTGAATTTCCCGAATTTAATCATCGAACCCAAGGATATCGTCATTGATTGCGAACTCGGTTGCAGCGCCGAGAAAGTGTTGGCTTTGACCAATAATGGGCCAGTGACGGTCGTGTACAAATTCTTGTGGATTGCGGATTCCATCGAGATAGATAGAGACACGAATAGCGATCAGGTAAAACGAGCTATCGATTGATATCGATATTGATTCTAATGGTAGAAGGAGATACGAGAAAAATTTGAAATACTTTTATAGGTGTGCCCAGAATGTTCCCCTCCTCAGACAGGATTAGATTTTTATAAAATGGAAAATAGGAAAAGCGATGATGTTTGTGTAAACGATAGACAAGATGGAAGCGGAGATGGGCCACTGCAATCCATACAACCCCCCACAAATTGTACTCTTCTCTTAATTAATTGTGAAAAATTAAGGGGTTGCGACTAGTTGGGATCGGGAAAATGACGTAATTTTCAAGATTTATAATAAATATTTACTATGAAGTAAAATACAGGTAAGTCTCGATTAGTGCTAGTTCACATAGTGCGAATTTTAAAATGATAACCAGGTCGCATTTAATGCGAACAAAAATTCAGTTAATTCGAGGCTTGCGAGACTTTCTTCGATCCAGACATGGATCGAAGCATGCAAGTTAACAGAGACTTGGATAAAATACTACGGGTTTATCATCATATACGAAGATTTGAAAAAGCAGAAGAAAGTGCAATCAACATTGTTAAAATTCTTTAAAAAATAATAAACATGTTTATGCTATTATATTTTAATAATATACGTATGAAAGGTATATTTCAAAATTTTGATCTTATATTTTCTTTAACTAACAAGGGACATTACCCAATCGACACACGCCGATTTTCATGTCCTTTGATTATGATATAGAACTCAAAAAAGTATTTGACACGTATTTTTTGTTATCGACAATCGTCCTTGCTGAAGGGGTGAAAATAACCCTCAAAGTTGGGGTTGCAAAACATATTTTCTTGAATATCTCAGGAACTATTAGGTGTAGGCGAAAAATTCAAAATGGAATTTGTGTGTTTTTGAACAGCAAATTTTGATAAATTTATTTGTTTAAAAAATATATTTAAAAGTAATCTATTTTTGTCATTTTTTTCACCCTTTCAGCATGGACGATTGCCGATTAAAAAAAATACGTGTCAAATATTTTTTTGAGTTCTATATCATACTCAAAGGGCATCAAAATTGGCGTGTGTCGATTGGGTAATGTCCCTTGTAAGAACCAATTCCTATATTTCAAATAGTACGAATTCAAATAATGCGAACAATTTCTAGGATTTATTACTCGCACTAATCGAGACCTACCTTTATACCATCGAAAAATACATGTTTTAAGATTTTTTTTTAAGTAAAATGTTAAATAATGAGGGAAATACAGCTCTTCTCGAGATCACTTGCGGTGGCCACGATATTTTCCAAACCGCTTATTTAAAATCAAAACCAAAGAAGATTGAGTTATACCGCAGTTCACCAGAGTCCATAACTGCGACGCGCAGGTTGGAAGGTGGTGGGGGAACGCAGCGAGCTCTCCGCCAATCGCTTTCCACTTCGTTTGGGAGTATCGCCAATCAGGGCGAAGATGCGCACTGGAGATGCGCGAAGAACGAAAACTGGTCTTTTCGCAGTTATGGACTCTGGTGAACTGCGGTGTAGTATATTGTATTGTTAAGGGCCTGAACGAAGGGTTTTGCAAAATTTTGATTTTCACCAAAATGACAACAATTTTACTGAAAAATCCGGTTTTTGAAGTGGTCAAATTTTGTTTTCTTTGCGATAAAAAAACAATTTTTCAACGGAATTAAAAATCCTTCGTTTAGGCCCTTAATAATACAATATACTAACTCAATCTTCTTTGGTTTTGATTTCAAATAAGCTGGCCACCGCATGTGATCTCGAGAAAAGGGCGTTCTACGAGCGTTCCCTCATTATTTAACATTTTACTTTTAAAAAAATCTTAAAATTACTTTAAAACATGTATTTTTCAATGACATATTTCAGTTCATAGTAAATATTTATTAGGACAGTTAAAAACTCTTGAAAATTACCCGATCCCAACTAGGCGTAACCCCTTATAAAGGAGAAGAATTCGATGAAATGAAAATTCCTATTTCTTTTCAGCGCCTGTTTCAGAGACGCTAAAATTAAAACCGGAAGTATCGAGTGCTAACGATTCCGAAACGAATGATTGCACCGTGACTGCTGAAGAAATGAGAGAATTTTTAATGCCCATTTTTGGAAAATATTTTCTAGAAGACGAGGATATCGTCGTTCTGAAGAACTTGAGCTTCGAACCTCCCAAAGATCATTATATAAACGAAGTTAGCGTTTAAACAATTTAAAGAAGGAAATCATTTTTAAGATATTTCATGTTACTTTTAAAAAATTTCCAAGAATTCCTCTTCAACATTCAGAACGAAGATTCGAAGCTCGTTTTTTTATTTCTCTCCTCCTCGTGATATTGCACCTCAGTTTTTAGATATTACTTTCAAAGTTTTACTTCCACGAGAGGGTGTTCTCGTTTACGTGTTGCTCACGTGCCACTCATAAAACGTCTGCTCGGTAGGTGGTGAAAATCGTTCCGAGGGAGGGTACCGTGCCACCGTATTCCGTGCACCACGTTTACCTGGGATTTCACGGTTTCCAACGGCTTCGAGTACAAGCTAAGGCGGTCTGCGAAATTCTTCGAGGACCAACCGAGGAGATTCGCCTAATTGCTCGAGCTGACGTCACTCGATTCTCTATCGACACCGACGTCATTAATTTTGGTCAACAAGTATTTCAATCACCGTTAATGAATTTCTTTAAATCTACCTTGAAAGAATAAAAGTTTCACCCCCTTCGGGATCTCTTCTTTTCCTAAAGAAGTCTGATTCGTTCGCGAATGTACAGGTTGGAAGCTTTAGTTTCCATTTTAACCTAGTTTGATCCGTTTCAATTTAACAAGATCATTCGAGAGCGAACCCTAAGTACCTCTAATGAGAGAAAAATGTTCAAGTATCGTAGAATTTATCGTGAAACATGCTGCAGATGTTCCTGGGAAGCACTCGTAAGAGCTTCGCCTTACGGAATCTCGGCACGACGACGTTCCAGTATAAAATAAATGGCACGATACTACCGTCTTCCAACGAAAAGATCGATCGTCTCGATATGAATTCGCTAAAAGTCGAACCATACACGGGTTACGTGGATCCTCAGTTATTCGTGGAAATTCAGGTGGAACATTGCGCAGAAATCCTCGGACCGATCCATCATCGATTTCAACTAGAGGCACGATCATCTATTTCCATAATCGATACGAATTTTTATACATCCAATCTCTATACAAATTTTCATTATTTTCAGATTAATCATTTGATGCCTGTGACTGTTAAAGTGATCGCCTACGGAGCATTCCCCCAAGTCTACCCTTGCATACCGAAAGGCAAATTACATCAATATCATTCTGTCGAATTGGAGTACTTTGCTATCCAATCTCTAACCGAGGATTTCTTCATCAACGTAAGTGAGTATTAGAATACCTACGGATATAGTTTCCATAGATTGTCTATTATAGATGCTGGACGATATCAATTTCAAGGAGGGTAACGATCTACCCAAAGAAGATATTGAAACTTTGACCAGTAAGTTGGAAACAAAATATATTTTAAGAAAAATCTGATATTTGCAAATCGTTTAAACCAGAATACCTTGTTTAAAATTGGTTCAAATCACTTGAGGTTTTTTGAGAAGCTATACAAATTAATTTACTAAGATATGTGCTTTTGCTGTTTTCAAAAATTACAATTTGTTGAAATCGTGAAAAAAAATAGTGATCTATATAAATCAAAATTAAATGCTGTTCGTTAGTAAGCGCATCACTTGAGAATGGCTGTTTCTTTTTTTTTTAATTTTCGTAATAGTCCGAATAAGGTTTTTAGGGAAAGAAAAATTGGAAAAGTTACCCGGAAAAATGGAAAATTCGGGAAAAAATAAAAAACTAATTACCATAACTCACCATTCGAACGATGGATATACGTAAGTCTTTTTTGTTTTATTTGTTATGGTCCTGGAAAAGTTTGCAGGAAAAAGAATTCGAGACAATTACAAAGGGAAGTCGGAAAATTCGGACAAACTGTAAAAATTAAAACTTTTGAAACGATACAAGTAGCAGGTTGACATGTTTGGCTGGGCATTATTGGTTCCCAATGATTTCGTCGTTGAGCACAGTTGAAATTTGGACAGCACAACGTCTGTCAGGTCAGCTAGTAGGCAATAGAAAAAAATAGACAAATTTTAATTTCCATCGAGATCGGTCGATGCACTTAGAAGTTACAAGTAATTAAAATTTCCGAAAATCGCGACTTTTCACCTAAGAACATGACTAATTATTTTCGGAAATTTTAATTACTTGTAACTGCTAAGTGCATTGACCGATCTCGACGAAATTTTCAGCATAGACATAACAAACTTAAATTTACAAATGTCATATTTTAAATTTTAATTACAGGCTGAAATAAAAAAATTAAAAAATTGCCTTTTACTATTTTTGCGATTTCGACAAATTGTAATTTTTTAAAACGACAGAAGCACACGTCTTAGTAAATTAATTTTTATAGCTTCTCAAAAACCCTCAAATCATTTGGTCCAATTTTAAACAAGATATTCTGTTTTAAACGGAGCGCGAATACTTTCCCGCTCCACTGTACGTCTTTATACATAAATCTTTTTACCATTATGAAGATTTGAAAAGCAAATAAATAAATGATAAATTCAATAAACGGTAGGCTACATTTCACGGAATTCATGAATAAGGATCGCATAAATATTAATCGTAAGAAAACGATCGTTCGCGTTCACTCGTTATTATGTTTGTTTCGAGACGAAGGATGGTGCATTATTTCTTACGAAGAAACGTTTCCTCGCGTCATGGATATCGACATGGCGGTGGAAAGACACTTGGCAAGAAAGTTCGTCGATGCAAATTCATACATTTTAATACAGTACGCCAGCAGACAGAAAAACCAGCCAATCCCCCAACTTTTCTCGACCGAGTACATCATCGGTGAGTCTTATTATTTGAAATATCTCCATCCACGATTTCCTATGCCATGAAAAATTTGATAACCATTTCTCTATCAGACATGAATTACGTGATCGTCGACTGCGTCGCTCATTATTCAGCGAAGATAATTAATTATGGCCCGTGGGACGTGGAGATGAGAATGAAGGAGACAAGAAGAAAGGAGGTGCTCGCGAAATCTGGCATTCTAGTGCAATTTAAGAAGCACTCGAAATTAGTGGTAGACGATTCCGCTGTTCTCCACATAACTTGGCATCCGACTCGAGAAAGATTCTCCGTAAGAAGCACGCCAGTCAGACACACGATCCACATACAGGTAATTAACGTAATTAACACCTACAACATCTGCCAGCTATTCGGGTATTTTTATGAAATGAAATTTGAAAATTCATAGGTGATACATGGATGCACGATTCCCATAGTGATACAGGGAATAGTAACCTACCCATATATTACTGTGAACACGAAACTTTTGGATTTTCAAGAAGTCGTCGTCGGGGAATGCTTGGTTCTATCCATCTTGATGAAAAACGAGTAATAAAATATTCAAATTTTAATTCAATTTTCTCTGTATGAATCTTTCATTCCCTCGTTAACACTTTGACTGCCACGCTAAAACCATTGAAAATTCCATTAAATATTACTTTCGTCTTCACAAATCTTGTGTACACTAGTGGAATTAATTCTGGATACTTTGCATAAAAATATTCTTTATTTCATATTTATGCAGTAAATGTATATTCTGCTATGATAAATTGATACCGTAATATTTTATATTTATTTAAATTAATTTTAAATTAAAATATTGGAATTTAATTTTTGAATTATAAAAGGAATTTGTATAATGTTTATACTTGATATTTTCACATGATTTGGTTTGTAAATGTTTTAAAATTTTAATTTAAAAAGATCCAAACTATGTTGTTATTTTTGTTTTTTTGTATTTTTGCAACACGAAACAACGCATGATATGAAATAGCCAATCACAGGATGAAAGGATATTAATTTTTCTAATATTTAGTCTACCTCCTTTGATGTTTTGAAATTGCAATTTTTATTGTATATTGAAAGTATGGCTGTAAATGGTCTTTTTACTAATTTTTTTATTTAAGTGACGACCTAAAATTAGAAAACAATGATTAGAATATAAATATAAAAGGTATAGCAGGATAAGATGGTCAAAAGTGCCCTTGAGCCGATTCTACTTCGCAATGCACCATTCGATAGCTTATCCCAAAAAACCACGGTACACCAAGTTTCAACCCTGTACCTCAACCGGGAGGGTTGTTATAGGGTAAGATAGAAATTACCGTTTTTGCCATATTTCTCGTATTTAACATTATGCAAAAAATCTGAAAAAATTCACAATGATAAATAAGCATGTCTAACATATTCTAGAATTTTTTCAGATTTTTTGCACAATGTTAAATAGGAGAAATATGGCAAAAACGGTAATTTCTATCTTACAGGGTTGAAACTTGGTGTACCATGGTTTATTGGGATAAGCTATCGAATGGTGCATTGCAAAGTAGAATCGGCTCAAGGGCACTTTTGACCATCTTATCCTGCTATACCCTTTAAGTAAAAATATAAGTGTCCAGAATTAATTCCACTAGTATATATTATCTTTAAAACATTTCATTATATTTTCATCCACAATTTCAAGCATCTAATACAAGTATTTCCAATTAAGTAAGTCAAAGAATTCCTAATAAGAGTGATGGATTACTATTGAAATTCAAACGTCACCCATACATGAGTGACGTGACGCTCAGTGTTAATACTACCCCTTAAAAAAAGAACGTTTGAACGTGCCCTGTGCACCCAGAAGACTGTACCATTTAATTCCCCGTCCTACGGTCACTCGAGGATCTCCCGATTGAAAACTCCAGAAAATGAATGAGGATCGACCGAGTGACCTACATAGACTCCTGGAAATGCGTGCGTGAGTACTAGGGCTGACAAAAAAAAAAGAAACTCGCTGACTCGACGTGAGTAGAGCTTTTCCACCGGTGGGAAAAATGCTTACTCCTCCGCATCGTAAGAACCATAGGCGTAACCTCAGTTTTATCCGGAATTTCTTGCCTCCCCGCCACAAGCGTAAGCATCAATTATATTTCTTCATTGATAAGATTATTTTTCAACATTTTTCAGAGGATTGATCGACTGCAAGTGGGAGGCAAAATTATCAGGAACTCGTAAAAAGCAGCAAGAAACTTACCCCTTTTACGTGCAGTATAATTCTAATCATATTCCTCCTGGTCACGAAGAAATCATTCGTATCAACTTCAAACCTCAACAAACCGTAAGAACTTGCGATTAGAAATTTTTCTTTGGAACTGTCAGATTTGTTTGCAGTGCAACGTAGAAGCTAAATTGAAGATAATCGTGAAGTTCAGTCTGGAAAGTCAAGTGATTACGTTGATCGGCCGTGGAATCGAGAAACATTTAAATGTAATTGAACCTGATATTCAATTCGAACCAATCGTACCTTTCACAAAGATTCAAGAAACAATTTTCACGATTGAAAACCCTTGCGATTATCCTGTGGAATTTTTCTGGCATCATTTGGACGAGTGAGGAAAATTAACAAACAACTTCGTTTATAAATCATAAATAATAAATTTTTCTCTTGCCTTTTTAGTTCTTTTCAAACGGAGGATCAAATCATAAAGACGCTATTGTATTATTATCAAGCAAAGGAAATATTTTTGCCTCCAAGAAAACCTGGCGATTCCATACCTACAAGTTTCTTTCAATTTTACGAGCAACTTGTGAACGAGATGGCTCGCACGATGGTAACAGAGGAACCTGAAGGAACCTTGCTGGAAGACGAACAGTCTGATGTTAATGAAAGTAAGTGTCCACGTTTAACACTTTGATGTAGAATTAATTGAATTTTGCTTAGGGAAAGAGACGGATGCAGAACAAGAAAGAACAAGCAAATTCAACTTGTCGAAGAGGAGACTAAGGAAACGGGATAGTAGATCTACTAAACGATCGAGAAAGAAAACGAGCGTTCGTGGATCCAGTCGTCATGGAAAAAGAAGCGATATCTTCAGCGAAGCTTCCAGCATAGATCTGGAGAGAAATGATTGTCCAACATTTTCAATTTTAAACGAAAGTGTGGTAGAATTCGTACCTTTGCCTACCAGTGATCCTGAAGAGATTCAGAGACTGCTTTTCTGTAATTTCAAATTAGAATACCAAATATTCTCTTGAATATTAATCTAAAAAGTTTTTTTAAAAATTAAATTTTGTATTAAATATTTTAATTTTATAAAATTTAATTAAATTTAATTTTAATATTTTAAGGCTACATAGACGCTCTGTATCAAACACCGGATATTTTGAATAAATTGAAAGATCCTGTGAAGGAATTATTCAATGATTCAGAAGAGAAATCAGACGATCTTCCTGATCCTTCGAAACCGATGAAAAGAGTCTGCATTATTTTCCATGGAGCACCTTTTACAGGTACTCTTTTTATTTGCTGTTTTCTTTATGAATTTACAATTTAATAATGGAATTGACACAGGGTATCAAGAAACTGCATGCAAAAGTGCAAGAGCATTACAAATACCTGTGCTTAACATCGACAATGCGATTACTGAAATAATAGCACTTGGGGGGAATTCATGTTCAATTCAATTGCGACAAATTATCGATGATGCTTATGAAAATTATTCGGAAGATTTCGAAAGACACAAGTAAATTTTGCCAATTTCTTAAATTTTTTCAAATTATTAGGTTGTGTAATAAATTCCCGCGTTTTTTGTATTTCATTTTCTTCCCGCAATTTTGTGTTTTGTTAGGTAAAGTATATATAAGTAAAAATTATTTCATATATTAATTGAAGGCAAATATAGGGGCAATTTATCGTTAATAAATTTATTGAATTAAATTCCAATTAAAGAAATATATTTGCATTCGCAAGTCTTTTTCTTGCTCTACAAACATGTCTGCTTCAATTTTTCTAATTAATTAATTTTGATCAATTTCTAGGCTTTTGAACTGGAAGATTCCAGGAGGCAAAAAACTTAATTTTCGACACAAATGTCGCAAGCTGCTTCTATAGCTTTTTGAAAGGCGAAATAGAGCAGATGTCGAAAATAAATTTTTTTGCCTCCTGGAACTTCCATTTGAAAATCCTGAAAATTGATTATAATTAATTAATTCGAAAAATTGAAGCAGATATTTTTGTAGAGCAAGAAAAAGACTTGCGAATGCATATATATACTATTAAAATTAATACCAAAAAATTAAGTTTATAAATTATTAATTTATAAATTATTAAAATACAAAAAACGCGGGAATTTATTACACAACCTAATACTTCTTTCAATATATCTATTTCTGTCATCAGGAATCGTTTGAACATGAAAGTCGATCGCAAAGAGGGAACAGAATCACCAACCGATGCAGAAACGCAACGGGATGAGGTGACGAACGAACCATCTTCAAGAACAAAAAGTTCAAGAACGAAGAGTTCGAGAAATCCTTCGAGCAAGAAGTCTTCTCCGAAGAAAGGAAAATCCTCCAGGTCGAATAAAACTGATACTTCAAACGCGCAACAAGAAGTTTTCCTTAAATTGCACGCGGAGTCCGATTATTTGAAGGAGCTCAATAAAGTACCTGCAATCGATGTACTGGAACTGCTGGATCCTTTGAGCCGATACGAATATAAAATTCAAGGTCTTTTATTGCTGGAAAAGATACTCGACGGTGGAAGTCCAAGGAAGAAACAAAATGCTTCGTTCCTTGGAATCGCTCAGGAATTGCTCGTCGAAGCTGTCGAAGAACGGTAGAACAGATTTTCCAAATTTTCCAAATTCTCTGTAATTTCAGGGCTCGTTAACGAAATTACCCCTGCGCAGATTATCCATGGAGGATTTCGAAAGCGGTTTTGTTCTGCAGAGTTTGGAAAGCAATTTTCTATGCAACAGCGTCGTCGACGTTTTGCTTCTTTTATTGCGGATCATTGGCCACGTTGAGTACTTCCTGTTCGTTACTTTCTTTAATTCGATGGCCAATTACAATAGCAAAGTCGGTGAGCTTCGACGAGAACAAGGTATGACGTTGAAAATCGTTCAGCATGATACATCGCCCATGATACATCAAAGATTTCCATGTGTGTAGCGGAGAAAATGGTCGATGTTGGCAAGAAAATTCAGGACATTCGCGAGATGACGTCGTCCCAATACGATCTGCTTTCAGAACAAGATAAGAAGCTGTATCTAGATGCAATTTTGCCTGTCAAAAGGGCGGAAGCAGCCAAAAGAAAAGCCAGATATCTTGAACGAATGATGGAGCATAAAAAGAAAAAGGTTTCTCACATTTCTGTTAGCTCCTACCTAGTTTTCTTTATATTTCATGAATCGATATCCAAATTTTCAATATCATTCAAAGTTTAAAGCAATTTTATCTAACAGGAGGTTCGTGGACGCGTTACGAACTCGAAGACGTCGAAAGTAAAAGAAAATCCTAAGTCGAAATCAGGAAAGATAAACAGTAAAAAGTCCACGAATTCGAAACATTCCAGCAAACGAGATACAACTGGCAGCAAAGCAACGAGGAGCAGGGATAGCCCGAGACAAAGTAAGTTAAGCACCGTGCGTCGCCGACTCTCCGGAGAAATTCTTCGTACAAGCAATAGGGATGTGCGGCCCGACTAGTCGGGTCGATTCGGAAAACATCGGGCGGGCTCGGGCGGGCTCGGGCGGGCTCGGGCGGGCGTCCGATACATGCGCGCAGTCGGGTAGCTCGATTATTTCGGGTTAAGTCGGGTGCACTCGGACTGATTCGGACGAGCTCCCGCGACCCAACTCTCATGATAAAATGAACATGCAGGTTACATGGAATAAAATTCAGTTCAAATAAATTCGTTACAAGTATTATTTTTTCACATAAAAATTATCTTATTCCAAAATTTCACATAAAACAGATTTTGCACATGCTTATTGCAAGTATTAACACAAGTACATAGCTGGATCGCGGGCCGCGGTCCGCGGAAGCACGTCCGAATCAGCCCGACTATACCCGACCGAACCCGAAATAGTCGAGTTAGCTGACTGTACGCCGACCCGAGCGCGCCCGATTTTTTCCGAACCCGCCCGGGCCCGTAATATCGGGTACCCGCACGTCCCTAACAAGCAAGTATGCGGATGCCTCGCATCCAATGCTTCTACGATTGTTTTATAGAAAAAGGTGTTCCAACGGAAGTTAAAGAGATCACGATGGCAATGGATCAATATTACTTGGATCTGTTAGCAATCAAGAACGTAATTAGCAACTGGGACCCAATTAAGAAGATTCTGGTAAATATTAATCATACTACAGATATAGATCATTGATAGCACCAACGAGTTTATTTCAGTTGCAAGAATCACCTTCCTCTGCTAAAAGTAGAATACCAAAGAGTGCGAAATCCAAAGATGTAGGAATATTGGACACCGCCAGAGAGGTGACTATTTATGATAAATTTTTAATATATACTGGTATTGCTGAAGTTGTATATTTTAAGAAGCAGGCACCAATAAATAATTTTCACGTTTGGTACGTGCGATCCAGTGATCCTTGGCAGGATAAAATATATGATATGGTGACTGGACAAATGAGTCAAAATTCTTTGGCAAAATCTGCTCTTCGTAAGTGAAAATATAGATCTTTACTTTAAGGAAATTAAGATTTTTAGGATCTTATATAATAATAATTACTCATGGATTATGTTCTCCAGGATTATTTTATTTATTATTAAATAAAAGTTTATTTTATTTTAATTTTTATACAAAATTAGTAAATTCAACAAGATTAAGATCTTTAATAATTAAATTATTGTTTTATTCTTTAATTAGATTATATATTTTTTTAGTTTTATTGTTCATGGAAAAAAATTTTTTTTAAGAGTTTAAGAAGAGGAAAATTAATTAATTTTTTAGTTTTTATTATTTCATTGAATGTCCTAAGGTTTCTAATTAATACCTCTTTTATAGCAATCGAGGTTGTACCCGAGCCAGATCTTGAACCAAAATTGTACTCCATTCTTAAGACAAGAAATTTTGAAAAACGAAGCAGTACTATAGACGAGAGTACGAATTTAATTAATAATTTAATTTCCAATTTTCCAATCGATAAACTGATTGATTAATCCTCGTTAAGGTACCTATCAATTGGTATCTATCAGTTCGGTACCAGAAATTCCATCGGTCGTCGAATCAATCTACCCGAGCGAGCTGAGCATGCAAGAAAATCGAGCGGAAAATCGAAGAAATCGGAAAAGTCGTGGACAAAGGAGGAACAAAGCGGAAGAGCAAAGATCGAGCAAAACTGAAGATTTTTCTTTGATCGCATCCACGATCGACAGCATCGACACGAATAATGTCTCCAATTTGGAGACGATTTTAGAAGAGCCCTTGAAAGCACGTTGGATCTTGCTTCCGAAAGAGTGCCACAGGTTCAAGATCCGCTTTCAACCGGAAGTAACAGGGTTCCATGAACAAATGTACGCGTTCACCATCGTCGATGGGAATAATATCACTTATCAAGTGAACGTCAATGGTATTGCTGACGTGCCAAAATTAGATATGAATCCAAAGACGATTTTCGCAAAGGTATTAAGTGAAGAAAATTAAGTAATAAATATTATATTGACAAACCGCTGTTTATTTTGCAGACTGCAAATAGCAAATTGAACGAAACATACATCCCTACATATTTCTTGGACAGTGGGATTTATGATTTTGGAACGATGCTGGTACTTCGAAAGGACAAAAGGTTATCGATATCAAAAGTAGAAAGCCATTTCCTCGAACTATTATAAGAACTAATTTATCTTTCCAAGATAATCCAGCTGCAATTACACAGTCTTATTTGAACAGGCCTCACCGTCGAGAAGCCGAGCTAAAGTTTTGCAACATCTCCAAGGTGGACGTAGAACTTCATTTCTTCCTGGCTAAGAACAATCCTGAATGTTTCTTCGTTCAATCAGAGGAGCTTCTGATCGCTGTGCGTTATCAATTAATTAAGTTTAATTATCCGTTTCTACTAACGAGATAGGAAATTTACCCCAGGCTGGCAACAGTGAGTCGCTGGTTTTATCCACAATCGCAACGAAATTTGGAATAATTTCAGAAAAATTGTACTTGTGCGTGAAAAATAATCCCAAAGTCGAAGTGATCGAGGTAACTTACGAATCTTCTGATTTTTAATAGATTTTTAAAAGCGATTTTATAGTTGCAGCACGAGGGTACGAAATTGGATATCGAATTGGAGAAGAAGCAAATATCCTTCGATCGTGTGCTCCTTTATCGAATGGAATATCAAAGTCTAATCGTGAGGAATAAATCAGCAGTGCCACTTTTTTGGTCCTTGAAAGCTGAAGAACCTGCCGAAGCTCAGATAACATTTTCACCATCGGAAGGAACGATTGAACAGCAGGGTGAACAGAAAGTTGAATTTTGTTATCATGGCACCAAGGTTAGCAAACCGTGAAATTATTATTTATATTAGAAAGCAATTAAGAAAAATATTTATAGGTCGGTGTAACAGAAAAGAAAGCGACGATATTCGAGGCGTTCTTATACGAAGAAGATAAGGAAGCAATTTTCACAGACACCATTTTGCTGACTGGCGAAACTTACGACGTCCAGGTCGATATCAATTACGCGAATCCCATCGATCTGAACTATATAAAAGTCGGCTTTCCTACTACTGGTTCGTTCACCATAAAAAATCGTGGCAATTACGAGGTGAAATACGTGTAAGAATCAATAAACCTAAGTTATTCCCCTGATCTTAAAAAAGAAAGTTCTTGAATGATTCGTTATCACAGAATCACGTTGGAAGAAAAGGAAAAATTGGAACAATTAAATTTGCCGAAAAATTTGAAGAAGGATCTTCAAGTTCAACCTGTCAGTGGTTCTATACCATCAAAGAAAGAAAGAATCGTAGAGGTTTGTAATTTTTGAATGATAAAAATTGAATAAAGAGAACGATTACAATAATGGTACTTTTATTATAGGTGGTTTTCGTACCGAAGGCTGAGTTGTCTTTGAAAAATGCTCCAATATTAAAGTGCCATTTATTGGATACTCAAAAGGGGACTGCAATAATCGCTGAAATACCTCTTACTGTTTCTCTCATTGCATATTACACCAGGTATTATAATATACAGTCAGAGGCAAAAATAAGTGGACACTGTTCAGAATAGAATACCTCGGTTAAAATTGGACTAAATAACTTCAGGTTTTTTCAGAAGCTATAAAGATTAATTCACTAAAATATGTATTTTTATTTCAACGTAACGTGAGTTACGTTAAAGACATATTTTAAATTTTCATTATATGTAGACTCACATAAAAAAGTTGAAAAATTACCATTCACTATTTTATTTCGCGATTTCAACAAATTGTAATTTTTTAAAACGATAAAAATAAATATTTTTCATATATAGCTTCTCAAAAAACCTTAATTTTAATTTTAGGAATTAAAGATATTTATAGAATTATTTTGGAATTAGACTAGAAAATTTTCAATAACAAAATTATTATATATTCAGCTAGAAAAATTAAAGAAAATCTTCCACTATAATATTCTACATTAAATAGTTATTTAGTCAAATTTTAACTGAGCTATTCTATTTTGAACAGTGTCCACTTATTTTTGCCTCTAACTGTATAGTTTAATATCGCAATGAGTGAATAATTAATTTTTAATTACCTTACAGATTTCGAGTCCACCCTTATCCCCTGATCGATTTTGGAACACTGGCCATATGCACCGAGAAAACCATGTACCTGAACATCGAGAACACTGGAAAATATCAACTTTGTTATACTATATTCAACCCATTGAAGCATCCGTCGGTACTTTATATGAGTCAAACAGCAAAGCAAGTGGCAGCTGATTCCGCAGAAAAATGGTCAAAGAGAAAGAAAAAATCTCCCAGAAATGATAAAAGTCATGCCAAGTAAATGAAAATTGAAAGATAAGCTTTCTTATGAATTCTAATTTTATTGTCCTATTAACAGAGATAGTTTGGAAGTAGAGCATTTAACAATGGGACCAATGACTGTCACGAAAATGATGGGCCAGATCGAGCCAGGTGAAACCGACACAATTGCCATCAATTGTTTCCCGGAATTCGCGGGCTCTCAGGAGGAACGAATGACTGTTCTCGTGAACGATACTGTTCCGGAAAACAGAAATGGAAAAACTATTACATTATCGGTGAAATCAGCTGTTCCTCGTATTGATTTCCACGACTTCGATTCGATGTTCCAGGAAAATCATGTGGTCGATCGAATTCAGGACTTCGAATGTCCCAAAGAGGTCTTTATATAATTAAGAAAATCCAGCAAAGTATCGACGAGCTAATTAAAAATTTGTTCTCTAGATCGGACCGCACACGGTGTTCGCGCGACAAGAAGCCGCTCTCTACTTCCGGCGTATCAGGGTGCTGAGCACCCATAGCACGTGTTTCAGACTGTACAATCGCGGAGTAGTATCGGCAAACGTGGACGTGCATTTCCTATCTGACTCTCTGATACCGGAAACAGCGAAGCAAGACACATTTCAAGTAGAGCCACGAAACGAAAGGATCGCTCCTATGAGTCAGAAAACGTTTACGATTTCATTCAAGCCCACAGCTATCAACGTGAATAATTAATATTATCTATGCAACGAAACGAGAAGTTTAACAGCTGTTCGTTAATTATTCGTTAAACTTCCCGGGGAAATGTTTGCAGACGTATCAAGGAAATTTACAAATGATCGTGGCTCTGCCTATTCATCTGGGAGAAGAAAAGCTGTTCATCAAGCTCGTAGGGGAATCCTGTGTACCGGAAGTGGCAATCGTGGAACCGAGCCACGGGAAACGAGAAATGGCCGCTTTAAACTTTCCTCGTACTTTGATTAACGAAGCTAGCGGGAGATATTTCAGCCTGGAAAATACCGGGTTAATTAAGGCGAAAGTAATCGTGGAGATCGAAGAAGATTTGAATGATGTCTTCAAGCTTTCTCCCGTATCTGACTCGCGCCATTTCTTGCAACTTTTGGACAAAGATCACGATGGTAAAATAGAATTGTTTTGTTTAGTATTGTAGACGTTTAGTGGAGAGGGAGAGAGGGTTTCGTCTCCCCGGACCTCTTTAGTTCGGGCCGGGGACCGCTAGGTGGCGGCGAGATGATCGGTGGATCAGTATTCTCGCAAGCGGTCGCCCAGCATGCAGTTTCAATATAATAGAAGTTCCGAATTGTGGTATAATAGATGTCTGAGGCAGGGATGGTCAGTTGTCAGCCCCACTGACGAGTCTGCTGAAGGCTGGTTCAGACACGACTAGTAATTTAGTCAAGTGGCGAGTAGCTACTTACTTACTACTAAACCTTTAGCGCATGGAAAAATGTCCGGACTAGTACAGTTGAGCTTTGGAAATCGCGGACAGGTCTTTTCGGACACCTAGTTAGTGGTGGGGAAAGCCTAGTTAGTGGTGGGGAAAGCCTAGTTTAGTGGTGGGAAAAGCCTAGTTTAGTGGTGGGAAAAGCCTAATTAGTGGTGGAGGAAGCCTGGTTAGTGATGGGGGAAGCCTAGTTGGTCGTAGGGGAAGCCTAGTTAGTGGTGGGGAAAGCGTAGTTACCGGTGGGAAAAACCTAGTTAGTGGTGGGGAAAGCCTAGTTAGTGATAGGGAAAGCCTAGTTAGTCGTGGGGGAAGCCTAGTTAGCGGTGGGGAAAGCCTGGTTAGTGGTGGGAAAGCCTGGTGGTTAGTGATGGGGGAAGCCTGGTTAGTGATGGGGGAAGACTTGTTAGTGGTGAGGGAAGCCTAGTTAGTGGTGGGGGAAGCCTAGTTAGTGGTGGGGGAAGCGTAGTTAGCGGTGGGGGAAGCCTAGTTAATGGTGGGGGAAGCCTAGTTAGTGATGGGAGAAGCTAAACTGCAGTGTCCATATATAGCAAGTTACTAGATTACTCGCCACTCAACTAAATTTCTAGTCGTGTCTGAATCAGCCTTGACAGGCGATCCCGAGACGACACGCCTTTTTCTCCCCTCTTCTACAGTATTAAACGATAAAAATTTCAACTTTTCTTTGTCATAGAATCTAACGACCGATGCGTAATGATCCTTCTATCCCCTGAAAACGTAGCCCGATTCAAAGTCGCATTTTCTCCCGATGAAATCGGGACATTCTACGGGAAAGTTCGTATGCATATCATTGACAATCCTTACGAAAATTTAGTGATAAATTTGGAAGGTGAATCGTACTTGGAGCTGGTAGTTTTGGATGGTTTAGAGTTCGATGATAATAAACGTAAAAAGAAAAGTAGAACTTCTTCCAGATTACGAAGACTATCATCGAAACAAAATTCCTTGATATCAAGTAAAAAAAAAATAAAAAATAACGTTCTGAAATTTTGTTTTAAAAAGAAATTGAGATAAAAATGAATTTCAGTACCGGCCAACTCGAGCCTCCCAGTGACACTGACTTACAACCTCGACTACGGTCTCTGTTTCGTTAGCAAAATGTACAAGAAAACTTTCCGGATCTTCAATAAATCCTTGGATCGATGGTTTCGTTTCCAATGGGGCGCGCATCCCCATGTAGTGTTCATGCCAACGATCGGACACCTCAAGTACCAAACGTGCAAGGAAGTTGTTGCTACTTTCCTCGCGTCGGAACCAATAAATCACTCGAACGTACGTTTCTGCAATGAAACCGAGGCACGAAGAGAAGAATCAATTTTGAATTTCCTATTTTTATCGCAGGTTCCTATCGAGTGCAGCTTATGCGAAATCATACTGGTGGATTCGAAGGGCGAAGCACCTTGGGACGACAGGCAAACTGAAGTTAAATGGGAAAAGGTTCGGCCGGAAATAGTGGAGCAAATGAACGAAATGGAATTGCTGGCGAAAAAAATCGTACAACCAACTGCAGAACCATTACACGAGATCACACCTGGAACCAGCAACAGTATTAATCTGTTGCTAAACGCGACCGTTGCGTTCTCAGAATATTCCTGTGATGTTGAAGAAATCCACTTCAAAGATACCTTGATGTTCCAGGTATGACTTTCTAATTATTCCTAATATTTATGAACTCGTTTTAGAATTGCGTTAATTACACGGTTCGATCACAGACCAGGGAATACAAGTTTACGCTAACGAATCCGGGAATCGTAAACACGCTGTACGCTTGGAAGATCAACATGGACGAGCAATATCCAAAAAGAGAACAAGGAGACAGTTTACATACTTTTTCCAGACGAAAAATTGTTACCGAGTCTAGTTCTCAATCGCCTTCGAATGCCAAGAGAATCTTTTCGATTACCACCGATTTCCCTCATGGGAAATTCGATAAGTACAGGCAAGGTGGTACAGGCAGCGTGAAACTGTTCTCTTTACCATGTACACCGCTGCAATATGGTAAATCTGGACCGGTTAAATAAGTACCATTTCGTAAATTAGAACTCGATGAAAATTGTTGACGCGTGAGCAATGGTAATAATTAGGATGAAAGAAAACCTTCACACGCAGAATTAACGGCGTATGAATATTTGAAGGGTGGATGGTGACTGCACAGTAAAAGTGTAGTAGAATACGTTAAATATATTTTGCAAGTACAAAGTATACTTAACTCGCCGTCCAAAATTATCTTCACTATGTAGGAGAGGGGAGAAAAAGGCATTTCGTCTCGGGATCGTCTGTCAGACTCGTCAGTGGGGCTGACAACAAACGATCATATCGCAATTCGGAACGCATGCCGGGTGACCACTAGCGAGAACGCTACCGTCTCGCCGCCACCTAGCGGTCTCCGGCCCGAACCGAAGGCGTCTAGGGAGACAAAACCCTCTTCCCCTCTACTAAACGCCTACAACTACAATTAATTTAGTATACTCTGTATTTGTAAAATATATTTAACGTATTCTACTACACTACTACTGTGCAATCACTATTCACCTTTCAAATATTCAATTCAAGGTGTCCTTTCATTTGAATTATTATCATTGCTCAGGCGTCAACGAAAATTTTTATAATAATTAACAGACGCAAGAGCAGTTTCAACAAAGAGCAGTGCAAAAAAGTCAGATCTCTTCAGTAGCACAGCTGGATTATCAGGGAGAACCGCTGACAGCTGGGTGGAAGACGATCTACCATTTTCAATTTCCCCGGAAACAGGAATGTTATCGCCTCAAGAATCCGTTCAATTCACCCTGAAATTCTCTCCGATGGACGTGTTTCACTACAAAGCGTATCTTATATGCAGGTAACCAGAAACATTATTTCAGAATAGATGAATGTTTTTAATAATCGCTTATTTAATAGAATAGATAATATCGATCGAAACAAAATGAACCTGACTATACCAGTTGTGGGAAGAAGTTTGTTACCCTATTGTCACTTCGACATACAGGAAAGCGACTACGTAACTAGCGGCAGAAGGGATGGAAAACTACCCGGTCCTGTTGGATACGACATAGAGGATTCCAGCCTGTGGCAGAATATCAGGGTAATCGAATTTAAAGTGGTCGGCACCGGTGGCACCCACGTCAAGTAAGCACGTAACTTTAATGAACTTCGTAGTTAGCTAGGGATACACTAATTAAAGTAGCAACAGGGAAAATACTATGGGATGTGAGATAAGGGTGTTTGGGTCGTATGATAGTCGAATCGAGTGAGGTGTGAATAAAGACACGCCGAATTTTTTGGCGTGGGTGGTACGAGTCCCACACTGCCCGGGCTCTCTTAGTCGAATAGTGCAATAGGGGATCACCCATGCATACGTAAATGTATTTCCTCTCCGTGAATAAAGAATGTTTGGACCGACTGACAGTTCTTCGGAATGAGAATGCATGTGTGTACGAATCGGTGATTGAATGTGACCGTGTATGAGTGAATTTAAGAAAGCAAGAGCGTCGTGAGGGTGGAAGGAAAAAGTAGCTGTGCGAGAATATTGAGAGAGTAGTAGTCGTTAATAGAGAATTGTGCGAGAGGACCATGGAGCGAAGAGTTGTATTTTATTTTTCATATTGTAGGAGGGGGGAGAAAAAGGGCGGGATCGTCTCGGGATCGTCTGTCAGACTCGTCAGTGGGGCTGACAGCAGACGATCCCTGCCCCAGACTCCTAACATACCGCAATTTGGAACGCACGCCGGGCGACCGCTTGCGAGAATACTGTCACTGATCATCTCGCTGCCATCTAGCGGTCCCCGGCCCGAACCAAAGGCGTCCGAAGAGACGAAACCCTCTCCCCTTTATTAAACGCCTACAATATTAAATATTTTTGTTAAAATAACTGAAAATAAATCCCTACAATATTGCGATTTCAGAAAATTTCATCTGATCAATCCGACGACGGACGATTACCATTTCTCGTGGAAAGATCGAACGTGTCGCGGCGTGGAGGATATATCGAATTTCCATTGCACGGTAATGGAAGGAATGGCTGAACGCGGTAAACAAACCGACCTGGCTTTCACGTTTCTGGCAGAAAATGTCGGCGTCTTCGAATCTTTCTGGCTCTTCTCCATCGCGAGATATAATCTCAAGTGCCTTTTTCTGGTCGTCGGGATCGTAACCGAACCGTCTGTGCACTGCCTCACGGTTCACGTGAAACTGAAGCCAACAATTTTGGGTTGAATTTGAAGTATTCTTATCGTGAACCTGACGTCTTCCTCTCCCTTTCTCTTCATTCTCTTTTTATTTTCATTCAGGTCACAACGTTCGTGACTCTATTAGATTATTGAACAACGAGGATTACGATATACCATTCGCAATTTTTGAAAATTCTTTATATTCCGAGGGTAAATTTCAAAGGCTCAGCGTTACTCCGATGACCGGTGTTCTGGTGGCGAAAAAGGAACAGTTTCTCTGGTGATTATTTTCACGTTACAATTGTTTCCCGTTTCTCTAATTAAACGTTCATCGCTTCCGGTGAAATTAATAATTCTTCCAGCGGGAAAATTCGTAGCACGAAGAAAGCGCGTTCGAGGGACGGTTCGGTGAACATTTTAATTCGTCCACAGGGTCGAGTACCATCCAACTCGGGTCGGCGAATTCTACTTTTCCATTCAGTGCGGCATAAAACTGATGAAAAGACCCCTCACGGTTTTCGTCACCGCAGTCGTTTACGAGATCGTGTCTTCGGTTTCGTACATCAGCCCCGGCCACGAAATCGCGCAAGCTTTTCAAGACAAAGACAATGTCATCGACCTGGGCAGGGTAAAAGCGAATCTCTTTCATTACTAAAACGTTTTACTCTTCCACTAATTTTGTTCTCATTCAGATTTAAGGCACACGATTCTCTTCTTTTATTTAACGCATGAATCAATTACAAAATTTTCATGGAACTTATTTTTATACCACGTTTTTATTAACTCACTTTCTTGTTTGTCTGTCTGTTCGGTACAAATTTTGCAATTGTTTTTAAACTAACTTGAGACTTGAAACTTTAAACATAGTTCAGAACTGGATGACAATGCAATATTAACTCGCAAAAAACAGTCTTATGACATTAATTTTGCTTGCTTCTTTATTTTATTTCTCAAGAGAATAAAAATTAAACAGATTGATATATTATTGGTAGGTAGGTATAACAATTTTCTATTTCAGATATGATCAGGTGAAGAGAAACTGAAATCAACCTGAAATTTACCACATGTCTCTGTTATAATCTCATCAAAATGTTTAAAATCGATTGAAAAATTTCACACATACGACTAAAAAGCAGAAAATTATTATTTAAATAAAAAAGATTTTTATAAAAAGTATAAAATAATTTTTCCTAGCCCCATACAGATAGTCCTGAAAATTTGTAATTAGGAATTTTTAATAGCTATGAAAATACTTGTAAGATTTAAAACGAAAAACAAAATAATAGTGAGTGTAGAGAGTAGCTGCCGTTGAAAAAACTCACACAACAATTCATATTATTTGCAGTGCAATAAAATTGTTAGTGACTTAGGTGAATTATTCATGCATCAATATCGTTTTTCGTTTTAAATCTTACAATTATATTCATAGCTATTAAAAATTCCCAATCACAAATTTTCAGGACTATCAGTATGGGGCTAGGAAAAATTATTTTATACTTTTTAGTCCGTCTTAAAAACGTGGTATATTAAAAATTTTTTTTCATTCAAATAATTATTCTTTTTTTATTTGAAGCTGATAATGGAATCATCGACCACTATCGAATTCGAGGTGAAAAATTCTGGCAATGTGGCGTTTTATTACACCTGGGACCTTGGTATAACGCCAGAAATTGCATCTAGAGACGCTTACACGATCTTGACTTCGCAGAAACAGGGACACGTATTCAGCGAATCTCAATCGACCTGTTGTCTGACGTTAAAGACGCTCCGGAAGACGATCATCAAAGATCACTGCGTCCTCCTGAAGGTTCTGATCCGTATAACGACGAAAGTGACTTTCGTGGTACTCAGACTGTCGATGCTCTTTAATTTCCTGCAGATTACCAATGGTCCGAGTTATCGATTTCTGCTGAGAGCCAGCTCGAAGAAACCTGCCCTCGACTTCAGCTTCAGTCGCTACGATTTCGGGCCCTGTTACATCCAAGAGAACAACGGTATCTCTTATTACAAGGAGCTCCTTGTGCAGAATTCCGAGAACGTGGCATTCATGTGAGTTCCACGAGAAAAATCTGTATACCGTTCGCAGATAAATTCCCACCTCCTTTCGTACAGAGTCGAGTGCAAATTCGAGGAAAAACCTCACCTGTCCGTCGATCTCGCTTCGATCTCTCAGGCCCTTGCAGCCAACTCCACGATCTCTATACCGATCACTTTTAAACCATTAAAGGAAACGAAGTACCGTGAGTGCTTGCTGTTCACGATCAACTCGGCGAACGAAAGGAAAATAACGATCCTCGGCGAGGGAATCACTTACAAAGTGAGTTACCTTCCACCGAAACAAGCATCGACTTGTTAAAACTTTGCGCGAGCGGTAAGTTCCGTGAAAGAATCGAAAGGTTCCAAGGAGAAAGCTAAAGTTACTTTAACAAAGTAAAGAGTATAGCAGGATAAGATGGTCAAAAATGCACCAATGCACCATTCGATAGCTTATCCCAAAAAACCATGGTACACCAAGTTTCAACCCTGTAAGATAGAAATTACCGTTTTTGCCATATTTCTCCTATTTATATGCAAAAAATCTGAAAAAATTCTAGAATATTCTAGACATGCTTATTTATCACTGTGAATTTTTTCAGATTTCTTGCATAATGTTAAATAAGAGAAATATGGCAAAAACGATAATTTATAACAACCCTCCCGGTTGAGGTACAGGGTTGAAACTTGGTGTACCATGGTTTTTTGGGATAAGCTATCGAATGGTGCATTGCTAAGTAAAATCGGCTCAAGAGCACCTTTGACCATCTTATCCGGCATACCCTTTCCCATTCGTCATTCGACCCATGGGAAACGAATTGCCGAATTGCTCGACCTAAATCTCTTTCAGATCCGTCTAGTGAATCCTCGCGACAAGTGCATCGACCTGGGCAGCGTGTCCGTTTCCAGGACCGTCACCAGGAGGATCCCAGTGGTGAACGAGGGTTTGGCATCGATAGATGTACGATTCGATTTGTTGAAGAACCTCAGCAGTTACGAGCAACACCGGGAACGTTCTCAGTGTTTAACGACGCAAAATGTTGAAAGCACCCCTATTGATTTGGAACGAGCGTCCATCATGGAAACGAAACGTTCCTGGACCCAGGATATAGCGCTTCAGACCAAGGAGCCGAGGCTTTCGGAAGTATTGAAAATCGAACCGTCAACGAACGTCGTGTTGAAACCCAACAAGAGGACCAACGTGTTGGTCACTTTCAAAGCTACCTCGAGAATAACACCGTTTCTGAGTAAAGTGGCCCTTCAGACTGGTTCAACTATTATGCCGTTGTTCGTTGTGCAAGGAAGTTGCGTCGCAGCCGAGTTCCAACTAAATAGGACCCGGGTCTCATTTGGCACGGTCGTCCAAGGCTACACTAGCGAGACTAGGGTGGTTTTAATGAACACCGGTGACGTGGGTGCAAGGTTCGTGCACGATTTTGTCATTTAACGATCACTTGTTGATTGGAAAGGTTTTATATTTAGGTGATAATGAATATATTAAGTTCGCTAAGTAAGGAAATTAATTTAGGTTTAAATGGAACACCTCAAAATTACCAGATGTGTTTAAAATCGACCCTTTAAACGGCTATTGCTCCCCTGGTATGGATATCACTTTCATGGTCAGTTTTCAACCCTATGAAGAGGCCACTACGATCGACGGTGAAGTGAGTTATTTTAAAATACCATCATTTTGCCAAATTAAAAGAGGTGAATTTGTAAGTTAAAATTCGCGCTGTTCGATACACTACCACTGCCTACTGTTGATAATAAGAACTAAAAGTCGATGTTTAGCGCCTCTACTGGCGAAATCAGAAATAAACTCATTTAGTGCAGCAAACAGTAGATGGTGTCACTTTATTTTGGCGGATTTTTTAAATATAGACATTTTCAGGGGTTCTGCGCTCCTTTTTAACCCTTTCCACTCGTATGTCACCATATAGTCGCCATTCTACATTTTATTATTATAGTATTTCATTCTAGGGACCCTTGTTACAATGTTTTCTTTTAGTTTCTGCTCAGATGTGTGTGTATATATAAAATAAAATAAAAGAAATAAATGAAAGAAATTTTGAGTTGATTGGTACCCTTCTCAAATATAAATACGAGTACAAAGGGTTAATTATATCATCGGATCGGAAAAAAACCCGGATAATTAATTAAGACTACGTTTAAATATTATTGCTCCAGGCAACGATAGAAATTGAAAAATACGGTTCCCTGAGGACGAAAATCACCGGAGGATGCTGTCAACTTCCGGAACCAACAGAGACCATCCTGTTCGAGTCTTTTGTACGCGAGAAAAGCGTGCAATCGTTCGTTATCATGAATGACACTCACCTATCTTGGACGTTGAAGCCGGAAATTACTGGTGACTACTTCATCGTCGAAGAAGTGCTGAAGATTCCTGCGAAGGGATTCGGCTCTTGCGTGATCACTTACGCACCTCTTACAATGAACTCCGAGGACAACCTGCACACAGTAAACATTCGTGTTAGACCGATTACAATAAATAATTATTACACGGAATATCATTTGTGCAGGGAACGTTATTGTTGAAACTACCAGATGAAAATACACCCATATTGTATTCTCTTCATGGAAGAAGCTTTCCGCCGGAAGCTACAGCAATTATTACACGCCAATTTCCGGCGAAAACGAAATATACGGAATCGTTGACTGTTCAAAACTGGCTCAATAGACAACAACGATTCATATGCAAAATTGAATTATTAAATAACGATGAGGAGCAATCGAAGGTCCTATCATTATAGCATAAATCAGGGGTGGGCAAATAGCAGCCCGCGGGCCACACGCGGTCAGAAAAATCCGCCTTAATCCGAGATTTCCTTACCGTGCGCCAGGCACTGCTCCCACTCTTACCGCTTCAGACTTCCCCCACTCCAGTAGTGTCAGTAGTAGGGCAGCGGTTTCTAGCAGATAGGACTAGGAATATGCGTCAAATATTGGAAGAGTGGGGGAAGCCATGCGCGAGTTGCGTGGTGGGGGAAGGAGCCACGAGTGGCCCGCGGGCCGCAGGTTAAACAGAAGATTCGTCTCGTATTTAAATAAATTGAATAAAACTGCGACTATTTTATTGAATTTATATTTATTGATTTTTATGCTACAATTTATACCTTTCTGAAATGCAAAGTTAACTAATGAATGCAATCGTTTGAAAAGGTGCGGCCCTCCGCTAACCTCCGCTTCTACAAAGTGGCCCCCGAGCCAAAATTGCCCACCCCTGGCATAAATGAAATTGACGTTCCTTAAATTTATTTTTTTCTTGTCTTCCATTAACAGATACCTTTGTTCAAGTTTCTGGGCAACAACAGGATTGATGTACCAGCGAATGGGCGACGAGATTATCGTGCTGTTTTTTATTCTTACGAAGAATCGGAATTCAATTTTAAAGTAATTGTTTATTCTATATGATTTATTGAACTTTTTTTTTAATTTAATCTGTCGATGCAGGTGTCGTTCATCAACGAGGATAACGAGTATCAGTTTTATAACATAAACTACGAGGTCACGAAACCGGAAGTGATCGAATCGATCAAATTGACAGCCTCGGCGAGATCTAAAGTGTGTCACGAGTTGAAAGTGGAAAATCCTTTAGAAAATAAAACGATATTGTACACGGCGAACTGTGATCATCCGTTTATCGCTATCCGCGAACTGCCGAAAACTGTACCACCCATGTCACACGTGCGTGAATTTTATATTTAATATCCAAGTTTAACACGTTGAACGCCACTGTGAAATGGGGCATTTTTTGTGGGACGTATTAAAGCTCTAATTACTAAAAATAGTAATAATTAATTTTCAAATCTCAAATTTTTTTTAATTATTCAAGCGTGTGTAAGTTGCGGGGCAAGACCGGCCCTGGGTCTAGACAGACTATGCGGCTGCCTAGGGCCCCTCAAGATCCAGGGCCCCCATAAGACGATTTCTAAGAATGCAAGAAGAGTAATGTTTACTTGAATATTAATCGATGTAATTGTAACTCTAAATTAGTTATACAAGCTTTAATGTTAATTTTATAAATTTTATTTGAGGTACTTTTCTTTATGTCATATATGTGAAGTGGCCCTTTTCGGAGCTCGCCTCGGAGCCCCGAATCTCAAGGCCGGCCCTGTTTCGGGGACCCCCATGGCGTTCAACGTGTTAAAAGAAGGAATTCAAACCTTCTTTTTTAAATTACAGGAGTATATTTATGTACTGTACTGTCCAATGATACCTTCCGAAGAAACTATCACGATGCTCAACGTTAATTCCCCAGAATTAGGACAATTTCCATACGAATTACGATTAAAAGCTTTACCACCACCCCCAGAAAAAGTTACACGAGTGAACGCAACTTTGGGAAGCACGTGTATATTCCCGCTTCTTGTTCATAATTACACTAAAGAACCTGCTGAGTTCGTAATTAATGTACGAATGAAATTATGAGTTAGTAGGAAGCTACGAAGATTTATTGGAAATTGAGAAAATGTTTGTTATAGGTGGATGACGATTGCTTCGTCTCTCAGAAAAGCATCAGTGTTCTACAATTAGATAATAGAACAATTGAAGTAATCTTTGAGCCATCTAATTTAGAAAATACGACTGCCACGTTAAGAGCATCGTCGAAAACTGCTGGAGATTATATGTAAGTAAGAATTAATTCAAGTAGATTAAAACAAAAATTAATTGTACGTTTATTCGAAAGATTTCCTCTAATTGGAATTTGTTCATTACCGAAACCTATGGGGCCCTATATAATTACACGAGACATCCCAGCATCGATACTATTCAAAAATGTTTTTAGAGAAGAAAAAACGTTTGAGTTTCACGTAGATCCTTCTGAAATCTTTGAAATAGAAATACCATCAACAATGTTACACTCCAAACAGGTGATGTTCTCATAATTATTATTAAGTTTTATTTCTCATAAGATTAATTAAAATTTTTAATTATTTCGATTTTTTTACCTAACAGAACATTGAAATCAAGGTACATCTCCGAAAAGAAGAAGAGGTCGTAGATAAAGAGACAGTAATGGAAGAAAAATATCCGGTCACCGGAAAATTGATGGTATACTGCATTGATCACACACTTTCTCACGTTAATTGGATATATTATGTAAAAGGAATTTTTGAATAAAATAAAAGCTTCGGAATTTTCTATAAATTAACATGAACCCCCGGGCCCTTAAATTGAAGTCGCTACTGCCATAAATATAACCAATCAGCTGTTTCTCCCAGTTGTAGCATCCGTGAAACATTACTGCTTTTGGTGTATATTTACTTATATTCTTAATTAGAAATCATAATCAAAAGATCAATTTGTTAATATAAGAATTTGATGAAAATATACAGAAGAATAGTGTAAAAATACGATCGTTTAGCGTTAATTTCGATGAAAGCATCATCAGGATGAATACCTAACCTCGTTTTTTCTGTACCATCGGGTATTCTCGAGCAACCATGTAAATCATCGAAAACATTCCAATGTATCATTCAAATCGAGCTTATCACGCGGAAAGTACATCCACATTCTTTTCTGCCGAGTGTGGGAGTTTTTCAAACTTTCCCCTTCGAATTAACCTCGATGAAGGTTCTCGCGAGAGCGAGTCGTTGCATATACGAAGACTCATAATACCGATACTCGGAAATAAATCTTCCACCGATTCCACGTTACGATGACGGAGAAATCCAGGAAGATAGTAACAAGATTTCACCCGACCCACGGGGAAAACATTGTGCTACGCGAAGACAGTACCGTGGCATACCGTACAGCTAGCTTTGCTAACTCCCTGGCCTTCAGCGAGAAGCCGCTACAACCAGGTGAGATATTCCTGGTGGAAATTGAAAAGACTGAAAGAGGATGGAGCGGACACATGCGACTAGGGCTTACCCTACTCGATCCAGCTTCAGTGAGCAACAGTCTGCCACAATTTGCTATGCCTAATCTTGTCAGACTGGGAAATACATGGATATTTGCTATTACTAAAAGTCACACTATATGGGATAGCTTCGAAGGATACGGTAAAGATTGTCGAATCTCTTTATTCACGGTGATTAAAGTTTTATAGGTATAGGTTTCATTTATTTATGTTTCAAGGTGAAGGAATACCATCCGGAGAAAAGAAACTAATCACAGATGGGGTCAATGTGCAAACTTCTCGTGGAGTTATACCATTCAACGCTCTTAGACCAAATATAATTGATCCTTCTCAGTATATTTTACCTACCGATGCTGGTAGTCGTATTGGAATTATGTACGTGCCACAGGCTGGCTCGGACAAGGCTGAGATGCACTTCATAATCAACGGTGAAGATCAAGGGGTGTGTGGAAAGGATATACCTTACAAGGCAGGACCTTTACGAGCAGTAGTAGATGTATATGGTACTACAAAACAAGTCAGAATAGTTCAGCTATACGGTGGTATGTTTTACAAATTAAATTTTCTTCGCATATGCTAAATACAGTATCTTTAGCAACCATATGTTTCAGCAGTATCTACCCTACAAAGTGCCTGCCGCGATGCTATATTACAGTATACAAAAAGGAACGCAGTCGATTCGCTTCCACTTCCACGGGTTCTAAAAGATTATTTACTGTACCAATCACAGTAAATTCTATATCATTCCACTTTATCCAATGACTGTATCTCAAATCATGTTCGAATAGCAATTTCGATGCTCATATAATATTTTTACAGTTAAACTTTTCTACAACTACGTTTATTGCTTGAATTACGCTTTCATTTATTCTAATTAACGAAGGATAATCGTTCGAACGAATGGAAAAATTCTATCTCCGTACCTTTCCATTAAGCGGTTTCTTCGTTTGTATAATTTACTGTATATGTAGTATAATGTCATTCGCGTGAATGCCAAATTTTAAATTGTACATAATGTAAGAAGTTGTTGACAGAGCACCGGATAAGTTCTCTGATAAGTCGAGGAACGCTGATCACTCTCATTAACATTTTTAATTAACATTTATTAGCAGCTACGCTATATCATAATATAGTACACGATTTCACTGAAATTTCACACATTTCATGTAACATCTGATCTAACGCAAAATTATACATGTAACATTCGTTCTAAACTCGATACGACTTACATACTTGTATTTACCGAAAGTGATGTAAAATTACATTGGGTCGCACTGTTAACACACGCAACAATGGGTCGAATTGACGTAGTCAATTGAATCCGAAATGTTTTTCAGAATAAATGTATTTATAGAAAAATCATCGATTGTCTAATATCTAACGATTTCTATTAAGGATGTGAAATATTATACCTCGTATATTTGTACCGTAATCTCAGTTACGTGTTCACCGCGAAGGTCTTGGCACTATTGCTCGTCGGTAGGAAAACCGCGAGCATAATCACGTAAACAAATAACACGCTCAAGAAGGCTATCCAACCGATCAAAATAGAGGTGTATTTCCAAGTGGATTCTTTTCTGTCGAATGACACGAGATTTGTGTTGTCATCGGTGTTTCTTTCCATACTGGCTGATACCTTCGGGTCTAAGATGCTTATTAAAAACACCTGACCTACTTTGCTTTTCAAAATCGAAATCGTTACCGACGATAACCACGCCGGTGCATCGGTGTTCAATTCTTGCACGTGGCGAAGAATGCTTGTAAGAATTAACGAGAATGCAGCCAAAACTAACGAATTCTCGTAAAAGAAAACTAAAAAATGATACTAGATGAGTTAAGAGACACCCAGTAAATTAAGAAAAAAGAAATATTGTACACTTACTTAGTTTGGGAGGATAATTGCCATTGTAAGGAAGTTTCCATTGCAAATCTTGCAAACAAATCAGGTGCAAAATAAAATTGAAATTCGCGACTACCATACGTTCGGTGGATCTTGGATCCAACCACAGTACCATCAACGTCATTGTCATTAGCGCTGTGCACAATTGAACGAGTAAATCTCACAATACTTAACGAGCCTTAAAATTAATAATATTTCACAAACCTAAAACCATTGTCATATAAGAGGAAGTGTAGGTGGAACTGTATCTCTGCAAGATGATATGATAAGACAACATTTTGCTAGTGAACTCCACACCGAATTTCGATTCGACCAAACGTTCGGTCTGAGAAATGTGCACCAAGTCCCATTCCAAATTTTCGTCATAAATCTCCTCTGTCAGCTGAGAATTAAAGAAACGTTAGGATTAACTGTTATCCAGATCCAAGATTTACTTTTCGATACCCACTTGGCCTTCTGGATCAAACGTTACGAAATATATATCGATCTCGTTGGCGGAATGAGACCAAGATGCAATGTACAAACTGCAATTCATCGAATCGTACGGCCACCATGTGTGATCCGATTCGCAAAAGGTGGTGTACATCGCCGTGGGTACGCAAATTACTGTACCCAGGTGATACAACCAGCATTCAACCTTTGGTATCTCTGTATCCACGTCCACGTTTGATCTGAATTTAAGCAGACATCTTTGAAATCCTTTCTAAACCTTAGGAACTGCCTAAGTGTTACGCTCACTTATTAATGAAACTTTGTCACCTTGTAGAGCTCATCGAGCTGAACACACCTATACCCCATTTTAGGGGCAGACGGCTAATTGTTTAAAAGATATTAACAATTAAAGTTAGTTATTCCTTACATTGAGAAGTATGACAAACTCACACATACAAACGGTTAGCTCCGCGGTTAAACACATGAACCGCAACCAAAAGGTTCCTTTTGGACCGCAATCCTTGGTTCCCAACATTTTATTTTTGTTTTTAAGATAATTTGTCTCTTTTTGAATAATTATTACAGCTGTGCTATAATCATTGCATTTATTAATAATTAATTACATACGCTGCTATTTTTATAGAATTTAAGTTGTTTTCTATCCAGTACGTACATTACCATCCTTACCGCGTTCGAAATTTACACGCGTTTATTTGTTATTACACAAATAATTGTAAATAGATATAAGAGACAAATAATTATCTTAAAACAAAAAAAAAACAAATGTTGGAAACCAAGGATTTGAACCCCGGACCTTTAAATTTACCGCGGAGCTAACCGTTTGTATGTGTGAGTTTTTCAAACTTATCAATATATAACTAACTTTAATTGTTAATATCTTTTAAACAATTAACCGTCTGCCCCCAAAATGGCGTAGTGTTCAATTCGACGAGCTCTACAAGGTGACAAAGTTTCATTAATAAGTGAGCGTAACACTTTGGTAGTTCCGTTAGAAGATGTTTTTATTTTCACCATAGAAATGGTGGATAGAACTTACGTGCTATGCAACACTATATCTGGCACCCACATCTCATAACTCATTACTTGAAGCGACGTTATACCATCGAATTGCGATGGTTCCCACGTCAGATGAGGATTCGTCCATATCTATGGTGTGTTAAAAAATAATAAATATGGATTTTTTACAGATCCCTCTGATTTCTAACTTTACTCACCATCCTAGACCAAACGTGAAAGTCAACCGTGTTTGCCAGTTCATTCTGATGATTGAGAAAAAAAGATTTTCCAGTACAAAACTTCACTAACTTCGAAAGACTATTTCGCCTGAATTACTTACGACTTCGAACTGGTGTATGTACAATCCAAAGTTAACGACAGTGGCATTTCTATGATCGTCAGTGGGTCTAACTTCCTCGTCGTAAAAACAAAATAGATACTCTTTCAATCGTTGCAAGGTAGAATTATCCACGATTTCCTTGCAACTCTGCAAGAACATGCAGGAACCCTGATGATCCTGCAGGATGCAGAAGATCACGAGGAACGGGATAAAGATGCTTTTCATTCTGAAGCACCAATCAATGTGGCACTCGTATTACGACTGTATATTGAAAGATCGAAGAGGATCCATTGCACGCCCAGTGAAACGTTAAACCGAACCATGGAAAACCGCCCCCTTTTCGGGTACGTCATCGAGGACCTATCATTTAATCAGTGAGAAAAATTTGGAATCTCTCTGTTACGTGATTACACACTTGTACGAGATGAAAGTACAGTGTTATGTAACTGAAGCTTCCATTGATTAAAGAGAAGTATAGAAGAATAAATGGACTAGCATTCGCCATATTTGTTCGTGTTCCTTATCTCAAAATCAAAAGTAAATCAAGAAAGCTAAACTGTAAAGTTTTCTTAAAGATAATCGCGTTTTCCTTTGAAACATTTAATTAGATCGATTCTATAGCAATCGATGAATTAGATTTAGAAAAATTACTCCCAAGAGGATTGTTCAAGCATCATAATCAACTATATACTTGATGTCACGAGAGTCCATAACTGCGAAAAGACCAGTTTTCGTTCTTTTCTGCGCATTGTCGCTCTGATTGGCGATACTTCCAGCGGAAGTGGAAAGCGATTGGCGGATCGCTTTCCCCCACTATCGCTGCGTTCCCCCACCATCTTCCAACCTGCGCGCTTAGTTATGGACTCTCGTGACATCAAGTATAGATTAAAACTTACTATCGACCTTGTTTTAATATTGCTATTATCAGGGCCGGCGCGAGGCAGGTTCAGCGCGTTCGCTGGAACCCGGTCCCGCGTTTTGAAAGGCCCCGCGGTCTACGAAAACTCATCAGACATTTTGCAGGAGCCCTTGTATAGTAGATTGAATATTCGGCTGTGTGTGGAAAATGCAATCGCATAATCCACTAATCGATGACAACTTGCTGCACACTGACATGAATCTTGAATCGCGAATCAATATTTTGAACAACTTTTTCCTATACATATAACTACCGCTCGGCCTTAGTTTTCGAGATATTTTTGAAAAACTGTCGAAACTAACATATTGTATTCTGGCCCCGCAAAATTTTGGAACCGGGCCCCGCAAAAGGTCACGCCGGCCCTGGCTATTATTGTAAATATCAGGATTCGAGGAGGAAGGATCCAGCAGTTCTAATCAATTAAAAATAGAAACATCCTTTATTTGAAGCTTCAGAAAATTGCAACTGAATCGAGCAGGAATAATCGCGATGACCATCGACCAACTTAACACATAGTACAGTACAAAAATCGCTATAAATGATCGTTTATTGACAATGAGAATCTACAATCGATGAAACGTAGAATAAAAAAAAAGCTTTTCTTTTTCAAGTAGCTAGCACCAAAGTGGCCAGAATGATGATATAAGTAAAAACCACCGCAAAGAATGATATCCACTCGATGATGGCTGCGAACAGTCTCCAAGACGATTCTTTGGACCTAGCCTCTGTTTTCGGGAGATCCGAATTCTCTTCGTTCTCTCCTCCGAGTATTCCACTGTTGGATAACTTACCATTATCGTCGGTGAGAATTAGGAAACGTCCGGCACGGTTGTTCAGCACGAACGTCGTCGTCGTTGAGATCCAGTTTGGTACATCGATGCTCATGTCTTGCATTTTCCGTAGTAGAGCGGTTAAAACTAACGCGAACACCGCCATTGCCAGCGAATCCCGGTAATAAAGTACTAAAATATGAAATTGTTCAAACACACCGACGACGATCAGGATTTTTCAATGATATTCTTTACTTACGTATGTAAGGCGGATTTGTACCATTGTGCGGTAATTGCCAATGCATGTCAAATATGCAAAGTATATGGCAAATTAAGTTGACGCTAGCCAAGGCAATTCTTTCTATGGATCTCGAATCCAACCAAAGAACTGTTATTGTTAGCAACATCACAACTGGAAGAGGAGGATACGAGTAAACGAACTTGTCTAACCGATTGATACATACAGTGGGTCAGAAAATTATTCGATCACCGTTTAAAACAGAATACCTCATTTAAAATTGGAACAAATGACTTGAGGTTTTTTGAGAAGCTATACAAATGAATTTACTAACAAGGAGAACTACCCAAGTGTTACACTCACTTATTAATGAAACTTTGACAGTTTTAGAGCTCGTCGAGCTGAACACGCCTATACCCCCTTTTGGGGGCAGACGGCTAATTGTTTAAAAGATATTAACAATTACAGTTAGTTACTCCTTACATTCTGAACTATGACAAACTCACACATACAACTCGCAATCTAGAGATCCACGGTTCAAATCCTTGGTTCCTAACATTATTTTTTTTTTTTTAATGATAATTTGTCTCTTTTTGAATAACTATTACATAAAAATTATCATAAAAAAAAAAAAAAAAAAATTGTTGGGAACCAAGGATTTGAACCGAGGACTTTCAGATTGCATAACACACGACTCCTAATCTAAACGTCCTCGGTTCAAATCCTTGGTTCCCAACAATTTTTTTTTTTTTTTTTTTTTTTTTTGTTTTTATAATAATTTTTATGTAATAGTTATTCAAAAAGAGACAAATTATCATTAAAAAAAAAAAATAATATTAGGAACCAAGGATTTAAACCGTGGATCTCTAGATTGCGAGTTATATGTGTGAGTCTGTCATACTTCTCAATGTAAGTAGTAACTAACTTTAATTATTAATATCTTTTAAACAATTAGTCGTCTGCCCACAAAACGGGGTATAGGCGTGTTCAGCTCGACGAGCTCTACAAACTGTCAAAGTTTCATTAATAAGCGAGTGTAACACTTGGGTAGTTCCCCTTGTAAGATATGTACTTTTGCTGTTTGAAAAAATTAAAATTTGTCGAAATCGGGAAAAAAATAATAAAAGGCAATTTTCTAACTTTTTAGGTAAATTACTTTAAGTAAATTAATTTGTATAGCTTCTCGAGAAACCTCAAGTCATTTGGTCCAATTTTAAATGAGATATTCTGTTTTAAACGGTGAGCGAATAATTTGGTGACTCACTGTAATTAAGAAAGAATATCCGTACCGATAGCAGGCGTGACATACGTGGTATGCAGCATCCCATAATGCCGACTTATATATAACTCGTAAACGATCATGGGATAAGTATCGTTCGGGCAACATTTGTATTTCTTCAGAACTTTGTACGCGTCTGTTACTTTAAAATCCCATTGACTATTGTTCGTGTATCCGTCCATTTGAAACTATACAATCACAAGACATTCCTATATGATTTCTACATAATTACAGTTATCCAATTAAAGAATTCAACCGATTTACCGCTTTTTTGTCTAAATTAAAATTCACTTCCTCCCCGGAATGGGACCAAGAGCCAAAATTGATACGACAATGGTGAGTGTCGTAAGGCCAGTGAGCGAAATTGGTGGAACATTTGGCAGTGTGTCTCAAGGATGGCACACAACTGACCGATCCTGAACTGAATATCAGGCAAGTAGTCGAAGGTATCCCTGTCTGATCTATCGCCATATCGCCACTGTTTTCGAAAGAAGCCATTAGTAACTATACAAAATACACCCGTAAAGAAAAAAGGCACAGGATTCTGAAGCTAAAGCGTCCTTACGAATTGTAAACCGACAAATCGGGCACCCATATCTCGTCGCTTTTCACGTGAATAAAATTGATCCCATCGAAATCGCTTGGTTTCCAATTCAGATGCGAGTCGGTCCACGTCTACAAAGATCATCGAACGCTTTCATCGATAAATCTCAATGGAAATGATAATTACCGTCACTTACGAGTGCCATCCAACTGTGCAACGTCAACCGGCTGTTCCATTCGTCCTAAAATGGAAACACTATCACAAACCGGGAAAACGATTGAACGATGATCGATGGAAACTTTCTCTTACGAATTCCAGGATCTTTGGCAACAGCTTCATGGTCACGTTGTTGACGATCTGATGAGAAAGAGTCGGACGAATAGTGCGATCGTATTGGCAAAAGAGATGCCTCTTCAGGTTCAACATCGGCGACGGATTGTCATAATTTTTACAACTTAACGAGAAGAGGTCGAGATCCAAGCTAGCTTCTGTGTAAAGATTTTTGTAAATCGAATTGAACAATTGATAGAAGAACGAAACGAAGGAGTGACAGAGAGAGACACATACACAAGGAATTTGTAATTCAAAAAATTAAACGACTTGCTGAAGACTTCGAACACCTTTTACAATTACTGATACGTTTAATTAATTCAATGTTAAAACGAGTTTATTTAAAAATCGTGAGAAACTACTTGCAGACACGACTCTGAAGGTTACCACATCAAATATGAATTAAAGTTTATCTTATAGAATGATAATTAACCCTCGAACACTGAGGAAAAAATTTCAATGCCTAGTAGATCCAGGTCACAACTGACCCTTCCCTTCGTCCAAGGGTAATACTTCACGGAATTACAAACAGATCAATTGGAAAGGGTTGAAAGGAGAAAAAATTTTAAAGATCAGGATCTAGACACTTTAGCAACACTTTACCAGAACCATCATGGAAGAAGACGAGGAGTAAACCGAGCGCCGTAAATGTTCTCATTTTGATCGAAATGAGCCAACAGCCACCAGTCGACTGAACTGATTTCGCGTTTGTAGTCGAACGATTATTGAACGCCCCGTGAAATTCGAAGCGAAAGATACGCGAGACGCCCCCACACTGGTCGAATGCATTTTTTTTTTGCGAGTTTTCAGATAGAGCAATAATAACTGATTGATTAATTCTAAGCGTATAAATAGTCGAAAGATCAGTATTTGACCGATTAAAGAGTAACTCCAAATTTCGCCCAAATCAAACTATGTGACAATCAATTCTATATGATGGTACATTAATCTCAGAAAAAATTTAAGTTGAGTATAGGGGTAGTTTTAGAGATACTGGAGGTCAAAGTATTCTCAATATTGTCCAAGCACTGTATACACAAAAAAAAAATCAATACTTCTTTGATAATAGTGGGGATTTTACTAGAATTAGTCAAAATGGTTTTCTGACTCCTCCATTCCTGTTGTTTAGCATTTTAAGGGTTGTTTAATATTTAGAACAGTTTTTATTGAATTTCTCGAAAACAAAGACAGATACGAAAGAATGTTTTAGACAAAAGTTGTTTGCCTTAAAATTCTACATAAGAAAAGTATTTTTCATTTTTTCGATAGGACTAATCTTTTACTCGAAAATCGCAACTGAAAAGATATAGTTTCTGAAAATAACATTGCAATATAAGCAGCGATTTTTTTAATATATGTATTTGATTCAGAGAAAAAATTTTTAATTATTATATTTTTTGTTACTATATACTAGAATAGATAGAACTAATCCTTTAGTCAGAAATTGCGGATATCGTATCTGATTCTATAAAAATATAAAGGATTAAAATAAAGAGTTGCTAGTTGCTATGTTGAAAAACTGATTTTTTTTCACATCAAATACATATATTTAAAAAATCGCTGCTTATATTGTAATGTTATTTTCAGAAACTATATCTTTTCAATTGCGATTTTTGAATAAAGGATTAGTCCTATCGAAAAAATGAAAGAGACCTTTTTCGTGCAAAATTTTAAGACAAACAACTTTTGTTTAAAACATTCTTTCTTATCTGCATTTGTTTTCGAGAAATTCAATAAAAACTGTTTCGAGGGTAATATAGGACAAATTCTATGTATTGTACGAAAGTTATGAAGTAATATCTCGGAAACTAATAGGAAGCCGAAGATACCACTTTATATTTGGGATCCCCTCCCCCTGCCCCTCAAAATTTTATCTTAATCGGCGACCGGTCGTATTCGGAACTTCATCCCAATTTCCATATAAACAAGTTTTCGTGTCATCAATAGTTACGAAATAAAACGCCAGTCACACTTTATCGCAGACACCCTGTAGAATTGATTAACAGATAGTTTGATTTGAAATTCGAGTGGGAAAAAATGGTCGAAAAAACGTGTGTTTTTGGGGTCACTTTCCGTGGATGTTCAGATTGTCGTCTAATTTAAACAGAATCATAATTAATTCATAACGATTGGATATTAATTGGAAAAAATATAATCTAAATTTTTATTAATGCTCGACTATATTTTCAACCTGAAATAGAAAGATGTTTAGGTGTTGTCCTCGAGTGTCGAAGCTAATTATCGCATATCATCGCTACCAAGGAGGCATTTAATCGCGACGTCCGGTACCAAGTCGCGCCGATAAGAATAGAAGAGTCTCGTTGTTCGCTCGCTCGCTCGCTCACTCGCGGAGCGAATTCATCGCTTCGAGCTACGTGAATTTAATCTGAAAGAACTCGCTGAACGGAGCATGCGTGCTGCGCTACGTTCTACTTAAAATACCGAGCACACGCGATAAACGTGCCCAGTTCGCCGCGCGTTTTCGTACCATCCTCTCTGACACGTTGAGTGGTTTTCGTGAACACGTGGATCTATTCAATTGAAACAATAGAATCGTCGGGCTCGAATGTGACGAATAATTTCATTTAAAAAAATTTATTCTTTTGGAAGAATGAAATATATCGGAGCCCTCGACGTCGGGACCACCACTGTACGTTTTCACATCGTCGACGAACAAGCAACCACCGTCGCCTCTTCTGTCGAAAAGGTTTGAAAACGATTCCTATCATTGTAATTTTTCAATAAATTAAATTGGCAATTGTTAGAGAACTCTGGAAATATAACGTGGAATAATTCTACGTCTACACTTGGAGCATGTTTATTATACGCCGTCGAAAGAACAATGGTTTACATGCAAATGGAAAATGTTTTGATGCTAGAGAATCGATATTTATGAGATTGTAAGAACGTGTCTTACGTCCATGTCGTGAAAAAGTTTAATGAATAATTAATAATCGTGTGATCGATACGGTAGACATAGTTAAGGTAGATTTGATTATGTTTTCCTTTGCAAGTACACAGCTCATTAACAATGTACCTACAAAGTTCAGTTTCATTATTAAATAAAATTGTTAATTCTAAGCACTGTGCTTTATTTGGCTCATTTGACATTCGCAATCAGTCTTTGAAATAATTTAGTGATAAGATATGCTCTGAGAAAACAGTGACATAGCATTCTTCTGAACTCATAAAACTGAAATTATAAACATTTATCAACTTCCTTTGAGTCTTAATAATATACTTAGGAACGTTTCATACTGTTTACATAACGCGTATACTTGTCCGGTGACTATTAATTCAGTCTAATTATCGTTAATTAAATAAGACGAACGTGATGTTTGCGTACAAGTGTTAATATCAATTTATTGCTCATTTCTATTTGAAAAACGATGACAACAAGAAATACTCGAAGGACAATCGAACTTTTCTAAATAATGAAATACCAAGAGTCTATTGTCTTTCAAATTTTTTTTTAATGACCAGTGCTTCGAAGTTAATAATTAAATTATTATTTCTTCCCTCAGAGATTCCGCTCATCACGCAATCGTTTGATTATAAAACAATTTCCTTCTGATTCATCTGTTTATCGTTCCAACCACTCAAGGATCAGGAAAACTCCAATGTGGATTTATTCTATAGGGTTATTCAAATTTAGTGTCACATCTTAAAATTGAAATAAAACTGGAAGTATGGTTTCTTTATTTCAACACAAAGTCTACTGTATGACATTAATTACACAGGCCTGCGAAGTTGAAGTTTTTGAAAAATACAAGAGAAGTTATGTTATTTGTTGTGCTGATTTCGAAAATGACCTCAATTTTTTTCTATCACGTCAGGATTTTTTGTAAAATCGATATCGTTATTTTTGCTAAAATCCTATTTGAATAGGAATTCTTGCGAACAAAAATAAATAAATCGATTCTTGGTGAGGCAAATTGATTTTTTAGCAATCGATTATGAGATAACGATTCACAGAGGGGTATTCTGTAGATTTTACTCGGTAGAATGATGGTCAGGCAGGGAGGGAAGAAATTCAACGCCGAATAAAATTTTTTATGGTAGTAAACGTTCATAAAAATCCAAGTAAAATTGAATTTTTCAAGAAAACATGACGTGATAGAAATTTTTCATTATTTTTTTTGAAATCAGCATCAAAAAATACATAAAGTTCAGCTATCAATTCTCTTGTATTTTTTTCATTTAATTTATTTTGTATTTTTTTCTTTGTAATTTTGTTATCAAAGACAATATTATTTAAATGTCCTCCTCGGTTTTTTTCACGAGCCTGAGGCGTTTCACCCAAGTTTTCATTATATTTTCACACAAGTGGAATTCAATTTCATCAATAGCGACTGTGATTTTGTTGCATTGGCGTAAACTTCACTTTCCATAAACCCCATAAAAAAAATCTAATGTTTTTAATCATTCGATCTTGGTGAAAATTAGTGTCTCCTCCTCGTGAAAAAAAAAAATACTGATCGAATTGAGTATCCTCCTCCTTTTCGAAGTCGGATTAAAAAATTACCAGTTCGTTAAATTTGGTCAAACATATCAAACTCGCAATAAAAAAACGGAGAAGGACCGTTGAATGATATTGTTTTTCATAATTAATATCATAAAATAGACTTTGTATTAAAATAAAGTAGCCGTACAAAAATCAAATACCTTGCGTTTTATTTCAATTCGAAGATGTGACACTCAATTTGAATAACCCTATAGTACACCTTCGACTTTCCACGTTTGTACGAACCGGTTTGAAACGCGTCACGTTGTAACCATTGTGTTATACGTGGGTTGGAGACGAAATATTAACGACAATTGAGGGGATCAACGATTCAGACGAGTAATTTAATAACACCTTTAACGCGGTGGTGCTGATCGACCCACTTATGTATGTTCAGTCGCGCAAACGTTTGTTTAAAATTCATTCAGCGAAGAAAGTGTGATCAAATAACAAGTTACTCAATTCGAGTGCTGTAATCAAGTTTGACCTAACGTAACAATTGGCTGATCGAAGTATTTCAATAGAACAGAGAAATGAGTATAATGAAATGCTTAGAAAAAATAATTAATTTTCTTTTTATTTTAGGTGCAACTACTATACCCAAATCCTGGCCACGTGGAAATAGATCCAGACGAATTATGGAGGATTATAGTGGACGTAATTAAAAACACTCTGAAAGGTAAATTCTAAATATTTGATTGATCAGGTGAGCACTCAACGCTAGAACTACCAAAGGGGTCAAAATGACTAGTTTGTATTTTCTTATTTTAAATTATAAATTTTATCGAGGTATTTTCATTGAAATTTATGTTGGATATGTTATCGAGCTAAAGAATGAATATACAAGATGTTCGATAACAGGTGGGAGATTTTTAAAGGGATGATTCTAGGGGTGAAAATAAGACGAAAATCAAGAATGACGAAATAGCGTTTGCGGGTATGTTTTCCAGTAATTAACGTTTAAAAATTCCAGGAAAAAGCGCCTGAAATCTGCAACCTGCCCAGCACCGACGACTGAACGTCAGGTCAGCAGGGGTCGGTACAGTCATAACCAAGAATCATTGAATAGTAGAAACTTACCTCGTGCTATTCTGTTTCTCGGTACTGCAGCATTCGGCTTTCTCTTCTTGGTTATGACTGTACCGACCCCTGCTGACCTGACGTTCAATCGTCGGTGCTGGGCAGGTTGCAGGTTTCAGGCGCTTTTTACTCGAATTTTTAAACGTTAATTACTGGAAAACAAAGCCGCAAACGGTATTTCGTCATTCTTGATTTTCGTCTTATTTTGATCCCTAGAATCACCCCTTAAAAAATCTCCCACCTATATTAAATTATGTTTCATCCTTTATCTATTTCGTAATCTACATGACTTTTAATTTAAAAATAAATGTACATCAAACGTCGGTAGTTCTAATGTTAAAATTCGTTATAAATTGCTCGTAATTGCAGACAGTGGGATAAAAGCAGAATCGATTGTTTCCCTTGGAATATCTACGCAACGAGGCAGCTTCACGACATGGAACTTGAAAGACGGAAGGCACTATCACAAGTTGGTATAAACCGATCCGTTGTTACACGATTATTCAACCTTTTGTCCTGATATTTGACGACCGTTTTATCTTCCGTTTCAGTTTTATAACATGGAAGGACGTGCGTGCCGATTCAATGGTGAAAGAATGGAACTCCTCGATATCCATGAAAGGATTGAGATTAGGATCGCAAATTTTGTACACGCTTACCAGGAGGAAGCGATTTTTGGCCGCTAGCGTTTTTAAATTTATGAACACACAGGTTCGGATTTTCCTCTTTTTTTTTATTTTGAAGAAGACGAGAACAAAAGTGAACCGAAGAACGAGTCGCGTAATACACGTTATCGAGTTTTTTATTCTATTCTATCGATTTATTATTTAATTCACACAGTAAATTTTCATTTTTCGCTCCTTTATTTTTCATCATTTGTGTTGCACTAAAATTTAGATGACTCTGAAGTTATTATGGGCGTTACAACACGTGCCAGGTTTGCAAGAGGCAACGAATAATGGAAATGCTGTTTTCGGAGGCCTTGATTGCTGGCTTTTGTATAAACTCACCGGTATTAATTTTAACATTATAATTTAAAACCTTTATATTATATTTTAATATAATTGTATTATAATTATATTATAATATTGCAATTTTATTTTATAGTTATATTATAATATTCTAATTTTATTTTATAATTGTATTATAATATATTGTATTATAAAACCTAACATTATATTTTAAAGAACGAACACCTATCAAATAGAAATTCAATTATCATTTCTAAAATTCGGAACCAACATAAGAAGCTTCGATTAATAGAAATTATAATAGAAATTCTATAATAGAAAATCTATAATAGAAATTAATTTTGATACGTATATTACAGGAAGACACGTGACGGATGCATCCAGTGCATCAGCCACCGGACTTTTCGATCCATTCACGATGAGTTGGTCCAGTGTACTGATAAACCTACTGAAACTTCCGTGTAATATCTTTCCGGAAGTGCTAGACACAACAGGAAACTTTGGCGTCACTCCAAAAGAGATATTCGACGTCGAAATTCCGGTACTTTGTTCAGTAAGTTAAACAAATTCCAATAAAGTACCAAACTCAACAACGAAGAGGTCGTAAGGTTTGGAAAACGAGAAGTTAAAATGAAATTATTTAAAGTAGATGGCAGATCAATCGGCTTCCCTGTTTGGTTCAGGATGCATTCAACCAGGAGATTTGAAAATAACAATGGGAACTGGTACCTTTCTGAATGTTAACACTGGAGCAAAACCACATGCATCTATCTCAGGTAACTTATTGAAAATTATGCTACTACGATATTAATATTGATCTAAACATTCCTTCTTGTACGATAGGATTATATCCTCTAGTTGGATGGCGAATTGACAACGAAGTAGTATATGCAGTGGAAGGTGCATCGAATGACACAGGTGTTCTGGTCGAATGGGCAAAAAAGATAGGTAAATCAATTTTTTATTCTAAAATATATGTTGGAAGAAAAGTCATTCGCACTTTAAAGATGCAGTTTTTTTTAGGTATTATTAATACTGCTGATGAGACAGCAAGTATTGCTAATTCAGTAGACGACTCTGATGGAGTGTATTTTGTTCCTGCGTTTAGTGGACTGCAAGTATGAACAATTTTTTTTTTCTAAAAAATGGGTGTCCGACAACAGATGGGAAATTTTTTAAGGGGTGATTCTAGGGATCAAAATAAGACGAAAATCAAGAATGACGAAATAGCGTTTGTGGCTTTGTTTTCCAGTAATTTACGTTTAAAAATTCGAGTAAAAAACGCCTAAAACCTGCAACCTGCCCAGCACCGACGACTGAACGTCAAGTCAGCAGGGGTAGGTACAGTCATAACCAAGAAGAGAAAGCCGGATGCTGCAGTACAGAGAAACAGAATAGCCCGAGGTAGTAAAGTTGCCTGATTGATTGATATTTTCCCTCGATTTTGAGAGCGGCATTTATCTGGAGGCTATAACCTCTCTTTCTGCCCAACGAAAGTTAGCGTCCACGCGCACATGTGCGCCTTTTTTCAGATGATCTCGTCTTTTAGCTTGTTAATTTACTTCTTTTATATTTTGTGCCATACTCTTATTTTCCATTCACAAACACTTCGCCCATTCACCATTCATTCTCGCTATCCGCCTTTGTTGCTTCGTTTTACCCATCTTTTGGCGAAACCGTGCCCACTTAGCTTGACTTCGGTGATCTTACGGGTACCGGTATCGCCCAAGTGGCTAAGGCCGTTGATCGAGGTAAGTTTCTACTATTCAATGATTCTTGGTTATGACTGTACCGACCCCTGCTGACCTGACGTTCAGTCGTCAGTGCTGGGCAGGTTGCAGGTTTCAGGCGCTTTTTACTCGAACTTTTAAACGTTAATTACTGGAAAACAAAGCCGCAAACGCTATTTCGTCATTCTTGATTTTCAATTTATTTTGATCCCTAGAATCACCCCTGAAAAAAACTCCCACCTGTTGTCAAATACCCTGTATATGTAGAATATTTGAATTCATTTTATGATTTATTTTCAGGCTCCTATAAATGATTATTCAGCAGCCACTGGTTTCATTGGTATAAAACCAACGACAGAGAAGAATCATATTGTTAGATCGTTATTGGAAAGTATCGTTTACAGGATATTACTCCTTTACGAGTCCCTCTGTGCAGAAACCTGTTTCACTTATCATAGAATACGGTTAGCTAAATATTTCCATTTGTTAATTGAAAATTGCCATCAGACATTTTAAATGTTATCTTTATTTTACCTTAGCGTCGACGGCGGAGTGTCTAGGAACGATTTTATATTACAATTATTGGCCGATTTAACAGGCTTAGAAGTGGAACGAGCGACCAGCATAGAAATGTCTGTTTTAGGCGTTTCTTTCCTAGCTGGTTTGCAATGCGGTATGTAAATCATTCCTACTTAAATCACACAATGGAATACAATGGCTTTCACCTGGTTTCATATTGGAAACAATTGTAATAGTGATATTGAAGAAACACTATTAACAAATAGCATACCATTATGTAATTCATGTGACAGTTTTTTCACTGAACTTTCCCTATATTGGAACAGAGAAAGTCTTAAGTACTACGCCCATTTAACTACGCTTTCTAATGCAGAACAATTGATAATGAGCGACTATGATTTCAGGAGTTTGGACGGACCAAGAAGACGTTCTGAAACTTCGAAAGACAGAGAAAATATTTATACCAAATGAAGAGAACAGATTAAAATACCAGCCAATAATTGCTCAATGGAAACGAGCTTTGCAGAGACTCAGCCAATGGTATTAAATTTATTGCCAATAAATTGAGACTTGATTTTCTCTACGAAACATATCAATTGTAATATCATTAGGTAAACGAAAGTGATTTGGTAATAATTGTAAATAAAGATGGTATTTTTGTTAAAAATCCTTGGACAATCTTTCTTTCCATCAAACAATTCTTAACAATTAAAGTTTCATTTATCTTTTATTCAAATCATTAAAAAATTAATTTATCGTCTCAATTTTATTAGATTTAGTTCGTTCCAGTAATTTTTAATTATCAGGTTGGTACATAACAAAGATATTAATCATTACCTATGTGCAATCGTAGATAAAAAAAAAATATTCATATCATATGGGTACAAAAAACGCTGATTCAATGCTTAAACAAAAATTAAACAATTTATAAAACGTGCCCGATAGGGACCACCGAGGTGTTCTCTTCGGAGAATAAGATAACGTCGAGAAGTGTGAGGTGACGAAAATGTATCGCGTTCAAAAAAGAAAATCAGTCGTCATCAGATCTCGGGCGCGGCCGCTCAAACAGTTATACTTTTATATCGCGTATTCGGGGTTAAACAGTTTTCTTTCATTGTAATTACGTAAATTTTTAATAATACAGTATCTGATCATCTAAGATCACGTCGTCAACCACAAAATATCAATTAACGTCTCTCTGCGCAAGAGACTCCAACGGAACCTGGTTTCCGTACCATCATAATTGGACGTCTTTTCGCATGAGAGACTCCAACGGGAACTGTTTCCCGAAAAATCCGTTATCACGCGATTAGTCAATCGCTGATGGGCGCCCAACCTCGTGTACGCGAAATCATTCATAACACACGCGACACACTCACACACAAAACACACGTAAAATAACTACGACAGTTCCCCGAATTTCCATCCGGTCTTATCGCTCTCGAATGTTTAGAAAACTCGAGAGCCGAAACTAAAGGGGGAACGAATTCGAGGGGAGCTGAGATCGAGAGGACAGGCATTCTCGTTCCAGCCTTCTTGTATCGAACATACGAAAACGCTTCGGTTGAACGGTTTCGATCATACAAATGCTACAAAAAGCAATAGTGATACGCACGATAAATTGAAGTTCTCTCTCTGCAAAAACCTTTCCGTAATCAACAGGCCTAGAGGAATCGAATTCTTTTTACGCAGATATCGACATTGACATAAGAAAATCACATATTACATTTCCGTAACAAGGACATCCTGCGCGAGTACACTAATAATTTTCTATATGGATCCTCACCGTAATTCTATGTTACGAATCCTATCGTTAAAACTTTCAATTTTCTGACGTGGCTTAAGTTGAAAAATTGAACGATGGAAAATTCTCGGGAAAAGGCGATGGTAACCTGGGTTAATTTCAAACCATGCTTTCGTAAATACAAATTTAACAAAATACAACGACGAAGATTACGTATGAAACTTTCTCGATTACGTTTATTTCGCACGAATTTTCCACGTGATGAATGAAACGCGTTCCGGGCGTAGATTTATCTTACTCGAAGGAGAAAGTTGACCCGAAGAAAGTCAATGGAGCACCAGTTTTGTACTCTAGAAAGGCGTAAGATGGAAAAGAAGGAAGTTGATACGATTATGTTACTTGCACGGATATCCCGAGTAACTTGTTCAAAAATTATATACTTTCTTAAACTTGCATAATCGAATGTCTTAGGTCAGAAAATATTTTTTCCAATTACATTTCAATTTCATAATTTCCAGACCATTTGACCTTAATATTCCAAAATCTTAATATTCTATAAATTATCGAACATTGTTGATCATTTATCAATGACGTCAATGGGCTGCAAGCGAATATGCTAATTCATAAATTGTTATAGAAAATTGGTAATGAAGTAATATGAATTTATGGGAAATTACACGTATTTCTTGAATGGATCACAAAAAATTTTCCGTGGAAATTTTTTCGTCTTCAGCCCAAATCTCAACCAGACATTCTATAAAAAAGATATATCTCCATAAACATCGACAGTTTACCCGTCGAATTCCAGACAATCGAAAGACGAGCCAGATATTTTTTTTTTACGATATCAGAAACTGGACGGTTTATCGAATGAAGATAATCAAAGCGTTAGTCGTAGCTGCTTGTATTCAAATAAACTACGACCTCGACTCTTTTGACTCGATGCATAAGTTACAATGAACTCCTCCCGCCAGTTACTTCCGTTCGGGACGTTTCTAAAATTAAGCAAACTCCGATTGTTCGATGCGACATCGAATCAGGGATCTTCGTTAATTCTTGCCGAACGATCGAACACGTCGTATCGATCCTCTAATCAACAAATTTCGATTTAAAAAAAACAGTTCACGCGGTTCGAATAAAAAATGGTGAGTCAGAACGTAAGGAAATAATCGTGACATAACAGAGTCAAAGAATTAGTTTAATTTAATAAATTTTTCGAAAATGTGATAACGAAACTCTCGGTGATTAAATAAAATAATCAAAAGGATTGTTAAAAATCTGCTCTATCGCGCGGTATAATTCGATTTTACGCTGCACCTCTACTTTTTCAGATAAATTAAAAAATATCCTAAAAAAAGTCAGGGTCACTCCGCGTTCAATGATCGTTCAAACATACTTAAACATTTGTATTAGAAATATTAAAAATATTAAAAATATTGTATTAAAAATCAGGAAAGTCTACAGAATCTTCTAGTGAAAATAGAATTTCAATATTTTTTATAACTACATCGGAAAATTTATTTAAATCTGAGAAATATATTTTTTTTTCAAAATCAAATTTCTCAAAAACTGTACGTATAGTAGCAAAACGGTTTGCAGATTCGTAATCAGCGTATAAAACACTATAAGAATCACCCAGTGGGGATCGGAATTAAAAAAAAAAATTAAAATTTTTCGGACAGTGTAATGGGATGCACTTTCTTATCCCATCATTAAAATTTCTTGAAATCCTTGAAATTTGGAGATACCGTGAATGAGAACATAGTCTGTTAGAATTTATTTGCATAAATTGATATGATATCGTAAATATACGTTCCCCTTTTTGCTCAGAATACCATTTACGTATGTACGTGTTAATGGGTACTTGAGATTTATAGATACTTTGCAATGGAAAATACAAGCAAGAGGAGTAAGGAAGCTAACAAAATGAGTGTCGTCGCGGAACGAGAAGCGAGAAGTTCGGAATATCGTGTAAACAAGTGTGCTTTTGAAATGTTTAAACAAAGTGGGTTTTTTAATGAATCCTTTTATGGTTATCGGGCAGTGCGATTAATGCGACGATAAATATGTGACTCGTTGAATAACAATTAACAGAACACGTGTCGCGGAATATAACATATGCCTTTTTTAACGCGGAAGCATAGCAATAATGTAACAATAATAATAAATCGGTTATTGTTAATTCTTTTAAAATCAGTGATTAGAATCATGCTTGAAGCGTTTATCTTTTATTGCTTTTGCCAGGATTCTAAATAATTTTATTAAATCGTAGTTATCATTTTATGCAAGTACATGCAAGATCGTACAAATAGCCTACGGCATGAATATCTCGGCCCAATCGTACTCGTCGCGTTTGATTTATTCTGTTATAATGGAGGACGGTTCTTTCATTTGCGTCACGATTTTTCACGATATAGCAAACCTGTGCGTTTGTATTTTTCATTATTCCTTTTCCCTATGGGAAAAGTACGTTTCAAAAGGGAGAAACAAGGAAAGTCGGATTCGTTTAAAAATTGAAATTCTTAATGGATGGTTCAATTCCTGGATGATTTCAAATTCTGGATGGTTTATACCATCCAGTGAAATAAATTGAATTCTATATTTGTGATAACGCGAACTATCGACCTTATCGGAATTCTATTTAAATATTTCTTGACCTATCTACGCCCCGAACTATCCATAGCAAAATTCTTGATAACAAGACCTGTTAACTTATCGAAGCTGAGTAGAATCTAATAGAGAGTTCTATTTCTAATGAAAGTAAAATCCTGGAAAGGACAATTCAGCGTTCAGTCGTGATACAGCTGAGCGAAAGGCAACATCGTCCTTTCCGTCGATAGTCAACTAGTGAAACGTCTAATTTCTTGTACAAATGTGAAAGAAGAAAGAATCAATTATACCTAAGATTAAACTGGTTAAGTATTAACATTTGAGTAAAATTGACGGTTCTACTGAATTCCAAAGTAATCGTTAAATGTTAATTTATCCTTTTTTTTTACTACTTGCATAAATTTAAAATAAATAATTTATATAGATAAATTTATTATAAATAATTTATATAGATAAATCTATTATAAATAATTTATATAGATAAATTTATTATAAATGATTTATATAGATAAATCTATTATAAATAATTTATATAGATAAATCTATTATAAATAATTTATATAGATAAACTTATTATAAATGATTTATATAGATAAAAATATTAAAAATAATTTATATAGATTACTTAAAATTTTATCAATCGCTATCAAGCAGTTACGTTTCACCTTATACTTATCTATTCCAATGATAACTACACTTTGAAAATTAGAAACTATAAACTTGAAATCAAATATTCGCTCAGCTTGTCGGCTGTTTTATATCTTCATTATAGAAATGAAAAATGGCCAGGTTGAAAAAAAAGTGGATTCATTATGAAACGTCTTTTTCAGCAAACGCATCGGTATTAATTAACCGGTTTCTAAGGATGTGCACTTTGCACTCATTAAACAACCAGATATCGCACGATCAATTGTAAACAAGGATTCTCTGCATCTCAGAAATCATGTTTTATGAATGAAACATAATACTGTGTCTATGTCCTTTGGAGCAAGGATTCGGAAAAAATGTCCCTTATGAAAGTTCACACGAATTTCCTTTCCTATTCGAACTTTCACTCTCAATCGACTAAGCAAGAAACGAAACAGGAGAATCCAGTGTTACCGAAAACATTCTTTCGAACATTTCAAGCAACATTTCACCGCAATGTGGTTAATTGGAATATAGTGTTCCTTTTTCCTTTTGTCTTTAAAACAAGTATTTATTATTCAGAATTTACAGCTAATCTAACGAGTCTGCTTATTATAATATTGGGTCATTCGATGCGAAATCTAACACCTTTTGAAGCACCATGTCGGATTTTGCTCAAATTTAGATATGTTGTAGTTTTCAGTGATATGTAAACGTATCTCGAAGGATTTCAAAAATTTTTTAAATTGTGAATTGAAATATAGTACTCACATTTTTATTATTAAATTATAACTGCTGAACTAAGAAACTGATAGAAATGAGCGTTTAGGAACTTAGAGTGGAGACATGGGAATATCTAATAAAAATTATTTCAGTTGAAAAAATAAATTTTTTGTCCGCTTATTTTACAATTGTTTTAAACAAATGCCATTTTATAATAGCGAGGAAATATTGAAAAATCTGAAAAGAAATGAGGATATATTCCTATTTATCCCCTTTACGAATCAGTTTTTCCAAAAAAAAAACACTTTAAAATTGATCATAGGAAAATGAATTGAAGTTAATTCTTTTTCTTTCTTATATTATTCATAAAGTTAGACTAACAATAAGTAAATGGATCAGTGTCTCATCAAATGTATACATCAGTGTTTCTCAACCTTTTTTGTGCCATGGCCCACTTAAGCCTTTCTAAAATTCTTATGCCCCTACGTAACGTATACATAATTTTTAATATTCAAAAATTGTACTGTTCACTAAAGAAACTTAAATGATAGGTTTTAGGAAGAAATCACTAGGAAATTGTTGAGGAAACGCAGTAAGTACATTTTTAAAACATAATGGAGAACTAAAATTTGAGTAGGAAATAATTTTAATGAAAGATTTTTCTATATTATTTTAATATAATTTACCCAACTCGAGTAGCGACTGAGAGTCACCATACGGTTAACTTAAACTCTGGACGAGTTAATTTTCGAATTGCCCCCCTTCCAATTAAATTGCCCCCCCCCCCCCGTGGGGCATGGGAAAACACCAGTATACATAGTTAAGTACATGTGTTGTTCCTTTAAAACCCTAAAGATCATTGCAAAATAAGCGGTCAAAAAATTTATTTTTTCAACTGAAATAATTTTTATTAGGTACTCCCATGTCTCCACTCTAAGTTCCTAAACGCTCATTTCTATCAATTTGTTAGTCCAGCAGTTATAATTTATTGAAAAAATGTGAGTACTATATTTCAACCCACAATTTAAAAAATGTTTTTAAATCCTTCGAAATATGTTTATATATCACTAAAAACTACAACATATCTAAATTTGAGCAAAATCTGACATGATGCAACAAAAGGTGTCCGAATTCGCATGGAATGCCACAAATTGAAAGAAAGAAAACAAAAACTGGTCGTTGAAAATCTTGACTACCTTGCTCTGGTAGTCTGGTTTGCCATCAAACGGATGCTAACATTCTTTGCAAACATTTGGCAGGCGGAGGTGGCGATTGATATGCCAGGGAACAAGGAGGAACCGAAGACTTCCGAAACGGAAGGAAACGAATCGACGACGGAAGAGTGTCGAATCGAAATTCAGGAAGGGGTATCCAACACTGCTGAATCGGGTAAGCGAAGTTCAATTTCATTTTAATTAAATCTTCTATCAACGGTGATCTGTTTCGGATAATACTATGGACAGTATTGGGAAAGGAAAACCAGTTGGTTATATAGCAAGTCAATTATTAACATCTCTCGCAAGCGTAACAAAAAAAATAGCTATAGCAAATGCTAAAAAATCTATAAAAAGCAGACGCGTGATCGCGTTCGCGGGAGAACTCATTTGCGCTCGAAACCGCAAGCCACGCTCGCGGAGAAGTCACCCGGATGAATGATTGACTTAGCCAATTACTACCACTTAGTACCACTTAGTTACTTAATTAACGCTTGAAAAATCTGAATTTATAGCTAAGGTTTTTAATCAAATTATAGTGTACGTTCTTGTGTCTGTGTATGCGTGTGAAAGTGATAGAAAGGTACGTATCAAAGTTGATTGAACTTCACCGTTCAATCATTATTTCCTGATTAATTTGATTAATTAAATTAATTTGAAATAGGGTCGATTTGCTAAAATATATTTTAGTGTTTCTTAGTAGAAAATATAATACAGATATACAGAGTGTTCGACAACAGGTGGGCAATGTTTTAAAGGGTGATTCTAGGGATCAAAATAAGACAAAAATCAAGAATAACGAAATAGTGTTTACGGCTTTGTTTTCCAATAATTAACGTTTAAAAATTCGAGTAAAAAGCGCCTGAAACCTGCAACCCGCCCAGCACCGACGACTGAACGTCAGGTGAGCAGGGGTCGGTACAGTCATAACCAAGAATCGAAACCGAATACTGCAGTACCGAGAAACAGAATAGCACGAGGTAAGTTTCTACTATTCAACGATTCTTGGTTATGACTGTACCGACCCCTGCTGACGTGACGTTCGGTCGTCGGTGCTGAGCGGATTGCAGGTTTCTGGCGCTTTTTACTCGAATTTTTAAACGTTAATAACTGGAAAACAAAGCCGAAAGCGTTATTTCGTTATTCTTGATTTTCGTCTTATTTTGATCCCTAGAATCACCTCTTAAAATATTGCCCACCTGTTGTCGAACACCCTGTATAACCTCATAGCAGTGAATGTGTTAAGTAACCGCAATTACATATTTATTTCTTAAAAGAAAAAAAGGCATAGAATTATCCTCATTAGGGGAGAGCGGGTATGGTTGTCACAGTTTTTTATTTTTATTTTTTACAGATTATAGTTACAGGGAAATTCATTCAGACATAGTTTAATATAAACTACGTACGACTAGGTTTATAAAAAAAATTAGTTTTATGAATATTATCAATAAGATTGTGAGTTAATTCACATTATCTGTAGTAATTATTTTGTGACAATGTACCCTGAGCTTGGGTTGGTTGTCACAATATATGGGATTGGTTGTCACATTGAAATAGTCAAATTTATTTTTAAAAAAATCAATTCAGTTGAAAAACTAACAATTTTATTATTAATGTTATCACATACGTTATAAAAATCTCATATTTAAAGTTTCATTCTGAAATTCGAACACAAAATAATAATGAAACTTGAACACAAAATTAAACATACGATTGGAAATATATTTTAATTCTTTTTAATTCTTTTTATATTGTAATTCTTTGTATTGATTATGAATCCTAAACAATATTAAATATAAAATTAAATTTTTTAATATTTATAATAAAATTAAGAATTCTAAATCATTAAAAATGAATTAAAAGTAGTTGTAGCAAACTTATCAATTATTTTGTTAATCAGAATCATCTGAATCGCACTGATGGCAAATATACATCGGTAATCCTGGCGAATACATGTGACAAACGGGTTGCCATGGATTATGAGTACATTTCTATTGTTTAATTTCTTTTTTATAACAATTGTGACAACCAACCTGTGTGACAACTACGTAGCAAACCATCGTGTGATTCGATATTTAAATTAACGTCTGCTTACTTTTCAATTAATGAACATAAAATATATGAAGAAGTAGATTCAATCTCAGGGTACCATAAACTGTACTCGCAGATCAGATAATTTTTTATAAATATCATTAATAATTATCATTAATTATCATTAATTATTTAGGAAAATAAACGCTATTCGTTTGAAGATAATAGCAACATTGAAAAATGAACCACGTAAAAATTAACGTGGAACCAACACACGTAATACACGATAATGGTACAAATTTAAAGAATTAAATTGTATAAATTTCACTGCATGAAAGTGAAAGAACACATAACTATGCAATTGACATGATTTTAATGAATGCACCTTGCACATTTTGTTTAATATCATTATTGTATAAGTTAGAATTCGTAATACACAGTATTGAATCTACCCTTCCAACATGGCCGAGGATTTGAATTTTCGCGCGCAAATGAACCGCGGTAAACTCGTCTAACCACCATGTAATAATTTCTGAATATTTTATACTATTTTAAAATTAAATAGTATATTTTACATCATTACTCACGTATTCTGTCGTCAGATCATTGGAAATTGAGATTGATTGATGATTTTACAAGCAAACGACGCCAATTCTCGAAACCAAACAACGCCAATTCTGAAACCAAACGATACCAATTCTTGTCATTTCGGGAAATGGCAAATTATCATATCTTTTAACAAAAATCATCGTTTCTATCGATGTATAATGCTTAATGTAATTAGATTCTTGAAATATTTCTCACCTGCTCTTCATACGTGACATAATCATACATAAAAACACAATCAAACCGGGTAACTAATACCCAACACGTGTTCACGGTCCCGCACTAAACGTATACTGATTTCAAAATCCTATTCCTGCGGTGCTCAACATCAGCATTGTGCTGACCTCTGTAGCAAAACTCAAGATATATGTATGTATTCTTCTTATCGATCAAGCTGTTCACACAGTAAACCAGTATTGTAAGAAATGTCTTTCTCATAAGTGACAGCCGTTTCTGGTCAGTTTTTTTCCAGCCTTCTCCAGAGTAAGAAGTGTCGGTATGTAATATTAGTCATTCGAAAGATAGGCAAAGGATAGGGCTGCCAACCGTTCTACAGTTATTAAATACCATTCCAACATTTTAATATTTTCATTATAAACTTACTTTTGTTTAACATTTCATCATTCAAGCAATAAATATCAGCCATTGTTTGTTTAGAGTATTTATATCTTGTCTGTAAATAGTACTTATATCTTGTTATTGCAAGCGTTAATTATTATTTAAATAAACATTTATTTATGTTACACTATCATTTACTGCATATTATTACCTATTTGTATCTCTTTTTATTATAAATGTAATATTTAATTCATGTAAAATGATGTAAATCTAAAATGTAAGATTTTATACTTCTGAGATGAAACCTATTTTAAAATATATTTACTCTCGTACTTTTTTATTTTACTGTAAATTGTAATTTTATATTGAATATATTTATATGTTACAATTTATGTCAATTTAAAGTTTCACTGATAACATAATCTGAAAGTTGCACATCTTATCGCGAAAATATAAAAAGACATCACGGCCAAAAGATTGATTATTTATTCAACTGCATAATTTCATAATCACAAAAATTCAAGTCAACTCAATCCTTGAAGCAAAATTCAATCTTTAAATTACGTATTTCGAACATCTCAAGTTGGTATTAACGAACAATCTTATCTATATGCATTAAAAATATTTCATAATAATTAAAGCTTATCATACCACTTGGTACAGATGCTCGGTACGTATTAACATCGGCGACTTACATCTTAAGTTGGAATGTTAAATAGAAAATTTTAAATGAATATTAAAAATATCTCATACGTATTAATATTTTTTTGAAAATTTGTATAATCGCTTATAAAACAATTCATTCCAATCGATTAAATTTTGTTGAAACAGGTTTATATTCATGAATTAAAATCTCTATTGCTTTATTTGTCCACAATATCCACACAATCTGTTTAATATTTATGAATAGACACTTAATTAGGATCTTTATACTTGTAAACGGATATGTTTACCTCACATTATCATTAAGATTTTTTTCTTTTTGTTCTCCGTATAATACCGTATTAAATCTTTCCCCTTAAAATAATTCATACAATTAATTTTTACATCTCATTATGTTTATATTAAAAATAAAAAGTTAAGTTGAATCACGTGTAGAAAAGGATTGTATCTTCGAAATGTACCGATAGTTAACCTGTTGACTTTTGGAAAAGTTACATTACATTTAAATGTTTTCTTTGAATTATTCGCATCTGAAGAGACTTGAAATTTCTTTTCATATTTATTCCATTTATTATCATATGTTTGTAAAGTATAATGTATGAATAACATCATGTTTCCCTAATAAGATACTTATAAAATAAAAATATTTAAGAAAATTAAGAAAAAATTTAAGTAAAAAAATAAGATAAATATTTTTGTTATATGTGTTGGAACCTATATACTCTGAAGAAAGCTGTAATTAAGTTTACTTTTTATCAATATCAATTAATTATTCATATTTTTTTTTATTTTAGCATATTCTAATGGTAAAATGGTAACAGACTATGCAAGTGTAAGTATATTATTTTATTTTATATTTTATACTTACAACTGAAAATAGTCAATAAAAGAATAGAAATCATTATGTTTCATATTTACATTTATAATTTGTTTGCAGCTTGTTGAACGAACACGGAACACTTTTTTTACTGGCAAAACAAGGCCATTAGAATGGAGAAAAAAACAATTAAAACAATCACTCCTTATGTTAGAAGAATGCAAATCAGAAATTATATCAGCCCTTGCATCCGATTTACATAGGGTATAATATTACATATTACATTTCTTGAATAATATTGTAATCCTTCTATAAGCCTTTTATTTGTACTATGCACCTTTTGTTTCAGTGTAAATTTGAGAGTATAGCTATGGAAATCCAAATTATAGAAGGAGAAATCAAAGATATGCTTATGCATATCAAGGAATGGTCTGCTGATGAAAAAGTATATTTGATCTTTATTCTGTATATAATTCTTTTAGTTTATATAATGTACATAATAATCTGAATATGTTTTTACCTTTTTAGCCTCCAAAAGCAATGGTCAATATGTTAGATAAAGTTGAAATTCGAAAAGATCCATACGGAATAGTTCTTGTTATAGGGCCATGGAATTACCCCTTACAGTTATGTTTAATTCCTGTAATTGGTGCAATAGCTGCTGGAAATTGTGTTATCCTTAAGCCGTCAGAACTATCTCTTGCTACATCACAACTTCTTGCAAAAATTCTTCCACGATATTTAGATTCAGTAAGTAAATAAATCTGTAATGAATAAAAGTTGTAAACAAATTGTGTTTCAAAATGTTTCTAATTATAATCTATTTTACATTTTATAGGAATGTGTTCATGTAGTGTTAGGAGGTGTTCCTGAAACGACAGAGTTACTTAAACAAAAGTTTGATTACATATTTTATACGGGTTCGACATCGGTTGGAAAAATCATCCGTGAAGCAGCTAATAAATTTTTAACACCTGTTACACTAGAACTGGGTGGAAAAAGGTAACGTTTAATTTTATAAATCGTCTAATTTAAAGAACTGATTAATATAAGTTAATCATGACGATTTATAGTCCCGTGTACATAGATAATACAGCAGATATAAGTATAGCTGTAAAAAGAATACTTTGGGGAAAATGTATTAATGTTGGCCAAACATGCATTGCACCGGACTACATAATTTGCACACCTGAAGTACAAAACAAATTTATACCAGAGGCAGAAAAGGTCTTGAAAGAATGGTATGGTGAAAATCCTAAAGAGAGTCCAGACTTAGCGCGTATAATTAGCGACAATCATTATCAGTTAGTATAAGTGTATAATAAATTTCTTGTTATTACATTGTACATTATTCTAAATTATAACACTGATTACAGACGTCTCGTAAAATATTTAAGTGGAAACGGTAAAGTAGCTATAGGAGGTAACTGTGACCCTGTTGATAAGTATATCTCACCAACCATACTCATTGATGTGAAGCCTACAGATCCTGTAATGCAAGATGAAATATTTGGTCCGATATTACCTTTTGTAACAGTGAACAATGCTTATGAAGCAATTAAATTTATCAATAGCCGGTAAGTGAATAACATGTCAACTATGATTAATTATAAATTATGTGTTTGTTATAAAATTTGTCTCTACTCAATATGATTTAGGAAATCAGGATAGTTTTTTCTAGAATGATTTTTAGACTCTGTCAATTTCTACAAAATTTATAGCAATTAATTTTTTACGTTTAGCAATTCCCCACTTGTACTTTATGTATTTACCAAGGACAAACGAGTTCAAGAATTAATAATAAATCAGACTCAGAGTGGAAGTGTGGCAGTCAACGAAACGATAATGCAATTTACGGGTGAGTGAGGTCATTGGGTGATGATTGCCAAATGCCTTGCTACTATGTAGCTGTTGAGTAATTTTAAATGAATATGTTACTGTGAAACACCGAAATTAGTGAATGTCAACACATACCAAATACCTCGGCGAAAGATCGAATATTTCTCAATATTATTATACATTCGGACCTTCGCCGGCAAATGTCGACAAATACAAATGAGCTCTGGTGAACGTCGGACGACACGTCTGAACAGGATTATCCTGTCGTGTAGCGTAACACGAGGTGTGTTGTGTTGTTGATGTTCGTCAGTTTCACTAACCTACCCTAACCTTCTCTTATTATTTTTTTTTTATAATAAATCATGATATACAAAATTTCATTTTGTTCGAGTTAAAATAGACATTCGCCATCAGTGCATACTGATTGTCGACATTCACCGGTGTAAGTGAGAAATAATGATATTTGGCAAATATTTCGGATATAAATACATAAATCGACTTAGTGAATGTTGACATTTACTAAAGGATGTCGACATTTACCAGATTTCGGTCTTACGCCGTAACAAATACATTAATCTTTCCTACTAGTGATATTGTAATTAATATTTTCTAGTTGGTTACACTTAATTTTGTTATACTAATATTTACTGTAGTGAGTAACTTTATTTCATATAGTGAATAAAGTTATTTACTAAAAATGAAACAAGGTATTGGTTTTGTATTGCATTATCGAATCGCGTTGGTATGCTGATGATAATCAAGGGTATCATATAATTGGTATTTACTGGGTTTATGGTGGTGGTTTATAGCTAGTACCTGTATAATTTATATTATCTCTAATTTACACTTTTATTTAATAAGATATTTAATTTGATTGAAAATAATTATTGCTGTAAAAAATGTAGAATGAGTCTTTACTTTAAGCTCTAATTTTGCATAACTCAAGTTAGATATTAAGCTATATGTAGTTTTAAACATGGTATCATTTTATCATTTAGATAATTTATAAAGCATTACGTATTTTGAACAGGGAGAAGCCACTAGCATTGTACATATTTAGCAGTGATGAGAGTACTATATCACTGTTTCTTGAAAATACAAGCAGTGGTGATGTTTGTGTAAATGATGTAATGATGCATGCAGCAGGTATCGGTTATTTCGTTATTCTTTGTTTGCTTCACATTAACACAGATTTCTTTTGTATATATTTTATATGTAAATACATTTTTTCAATCATCATTGCTTTCATATGCTTTCTATGTTTCATTGTAAATCAGTAGCAATTCTCTACTTCCACTTTGCAGACGTGCACAGTGCACTTTATTTCTTTTAAACTATGTGAATATTGTACAGTTTTCATACTATTTCGTGTGCATGTTACAATGGCAGAGTAATTTATAAATATTTATATTTTAGTTGATACTCTACCATTTGGTGGAGTTGGATATTCTGGTATGGGATGTTACCATGGAAAGTACACTTTCGACACGTTTGTGCACAAAAAAGGCTGCCTTATTAAAGACTACAACAAATTAGTTGAATCAATAGCATCGTAAGCGAATTTTCTTTAATTTTACTAATACATACTCTAATCTACTAAAATGTTGTACAACAAAATAATTGAACATTGTAGGTGTCGTTATCCGCCATATTCCGATAAGAAATTATCTTTCTTATCACTTATGATAGCAAAACGACCCGATATACCAGGAATTAAATACATTCCTCATCTTCTAGCATTTGGTTTTGGAATTCTCGTTGCCGTTGGTGTTTCAGCTGCTTTAAAGGTATATAAGCCGAAACGCCTTTAATGCACTTTTTTAATTTTTATTTGCAGTAATTAAAACAGTATGTCGCACAATATATATTTTAAATCACTCGTTCGAGTAATATTCAAATTTTGTAAATATTATGAAAATGTTGAGCTTTTAGTATTTTTACATGTATACAGTGTGTTAAAAAATTCCCTGAAGACCTCTATACGATAGATCACGAAAAATCGAAGCGAAAAGTTCTGTAGCATTTTTCGATGGGATCACTAGTTTAGCCACATTTCGTTATTGAAAATTGAAAAATTGACCTAACCTCCTCTGCCGCGACGAACGCGCCGCTGAGCGTCACGTTTACGCATGCGCCGAGAGCGCTGATTGGTCAATTTTTCGATTTTCAACAACGAAATGTGGCTAAACTAGTGATCCCATCGAAAAATGCTACAGAACTTTTCGCTTCGATTTTTCGTGATCTATCCAACGGTGTAGAGGTCTTCAAGGAATTCTGTAACACCCTGTATATTTTGTGCTGCTGGTTTTCCTTATTCGCTTACTTCATTTCTTTGGAAGAAATTACACTATACACATAATACTTTGACTATATTTTATAATCCAATTTTGGAGTTATAATACTGTTGAGTTTCTATATATTTTATATGATCCGAATTTATGTATTACGTTATATGCAGTACATATAAAGACAGTTTATCCATGAAGCTATTACCAAATATTACGCACAATTAAGCACAGTGATTACAGTACCCAAAGAATGTTGTTTATGTAATAGAAATAATTATATAAATTCGTTATCATTTATTTTAAATAGAACATTAGATAATGATTTATTTCAAACTAAAAATCACATTTTGATTTTGAATTGTCTTTCTAGAAACAATTGTATTATTAAATTTATAATTTGATAATAAAGTATTATTACAATTTCATGTACCATTTTTCACGCGAGAATTGATGATTCAATAAAGGCAATAAGGCTTGCTATATAAATTATGATTATCTTAATTGTTCCTAACCAGTTATATTCAATATAATTGTTTCTTAATTGAAAAACTAAAAGTCAGTATATTAGTGTAAAAAACCTTTTATCTTTTAAATGAAGAAAGAAGAAAGAAGAAATATAATACACCATTGCACGATTACTGAACACTTTCTGTTATATACAAATTTAATTTCAATAATAACATACTTTTTTCAGGTTCAAGAGGAAAACTACTAATGGAATTCTCGCAACATTTGTTACAGAGATTCGTTATTTATTAGTATTAAGAATAATATCTATGTACAATTTTTATAACTAGTTATTTGTTGTTATGGTACTTTTATAAAAATGTACTATAATTTTGTTTTCTACTTTAATGTAAGATATTTTACTAAACAAACAATTATTTTATGACGCATGTTGCTACTGGAACATCGATTACCCGAACAGTTAAAGAAAACCATTTCATTGTTCTAGATATGTATTCAATTTCAACTGAAACAATCGAATAGTTCAATATTTCATGAAATATTGCAATTCTTTCAGCGCGAATGAACTTTTATTTCAAAACAATGCAAAAAAAGAGCATTTTGTTCAGTACTTAAGAAATAATGCTACTTTCATATAATCGCTTAATAATACAAGTGTCATAAATATTGTACAACCATACAATATATAATTTTGTATATATAATAGTACAAAATTAACAAAAAGAAATCGTTGAACGATATAAATATTTTTTTAGCATTATGACTAACAGGGCATGAACTTTTATATGTTTTTTATTATGTCAGAATTTTAGTGAAATGTTGTATCAAAATGTACGGATATTACATATGTACAAAATGTCTATAAAAGCACGAACAATCTATTGTAATTATTAAATCTATATATAATTTCAATGTACGATCTTTGTTATACACTGTTTATAGTACAATGTTCTGAACAGATTATGTGTAAAATATCATTTATTTTACGTTCAATAAACGCTAACATAATACAACAACTTTTCATTTTTTCTGAAGAAAAAGTACTTTTTTTAAACGTAACATCCCATAATTTTTCAAATGTGTGTTTGTGTAATAATCAGTATTAACAAAATAAGTACGTATCAATTAATGGTATTATAATATATAAGATAATGATACTATACGAAAACATATAATGGATGATATGAAAATAAAAGATGTCGTTAAACGTGAAAAAAAAAACATGTTCATATATTTATTGATAATCAAATTTCTAGTGTACATAATACCAAGATTTGTTTATACGCGTGATTAGCACGATTTTAAAAATACTAACTTTTTACTTATAATATATCGTAATATATACATGTTGTGTAGTGATTATTAAAATCAAATTTAGTATCAGCATCTTAAATATATTATGTTATGATTTCCAATATGGTACAGAAGTACTTTTTCATATTTTACTGACCGTGACAGTAATCTACAGAAACGTACTTATTAGCCAAAAAATTAGTATAAGTCACAGTTCAATTTCTTACCACTGAACTATTGCTTCCAGTTAACTGACATCTCTCCTGCTTGAGTACTATCACGTTGAGGACTCTATAACATTAACAAAAAATCGGACTGTATTTGTAGAGTTTTAATACAATTTCTATTGTACTTTACAATTACCTTTACTTGAATTTGTTGCTTTAACATAGCGGCTCGTAAAATTAACATGCGAGTGCGCCTTTGATATTCTTTTCCAACACTCATAGATTTTTCGAAAGTCGTACTACGTTGATCAACATCCTTTGCGTACAAGATCTGAAAATGAGTGTAGAAAATTCCAATAGGTTTGTTATAAAAATATCAATACCGATAGTACTAGTTAATTACCTTATTATGGGAATCAATACGGGCTTGTATTTGACCATCAAGAATCAACTGCATGAGCTCATCTTCTAACTCTGAAACTGTTCTATTAAAAGCAGTTGCCATACGTTTCATATCTGCACTCAAGTATGGACTGAAATATTGTATTAATGCCCTATTTCGAATTTTTGTGTACAATACATTAACATGCGGTGCTATATACATGTCCAAAAGTATGTTATCCTTTATTTCATCTAGTAATTTTAAGCACGATGCATATTTTGATTCATAAAATTTAAAGATGATATCTCTCAATTGTGGTTCTAATTCTAAGAATAATTTAAAGGAACTATTAAAAATGACTTGCTTCTGTAATTCTTGCCTATCAAAAGTTGCCAAAGCACAAAGTCCACCATACAGAGCAACATTTCCAGGAGACAACAATTCAGGACAATCGCAATGATCCAATGATGCTTGCAGAAAATGTCTTGCTGCCATTTTATACTTTCTTGTGGCTAATTCTGCTAAACCAGCAGCAACTTTTAACTTTGTGATTATAAATTGGTTATTATCTTTACCGTGTACATCAGAAAAATCTGGTGTGCTTTCAGCCTTTGTTACATAACTTAATACGTGAGTCCAATTTTGTAAATAAACAGAAACTTTAATAACATTTAGGCACATATTAACAACATGTTTGCCGCTGGTACAATAATCGCGTGCTCTGGAATAACATTTTAAGGCATGAACAAGATCTCCACAGTCCAGGTAATGATCCCCCAAGTCGTCATGACCTCTTCTGATACTTTCTTTAATTGAATTACTTCTATAGTTTTTAAGATCCGTATCAAATTTCTCTAGTTTTAAAGCAGCCTTTTTAGAGCGAGAATCAACCCAAGCTTGGTCTAAGGTTAACATATCTTGAGATGTTGACTGTGCTGCAACATCTGGTAATCCAGGTGTGCCTACAGCTTGTACTAGCTTCTTATGTAGTATCACATAAAGAGAAACATTGTATGTTGTCATCACATAAGATATAGCCATTTTTAATGCTTCTATCCTTAACATTGGACAATGATCAGCTATGTATATTAGCCTGTATAATTTGGCAAGACCTGTGTAGCTGTTTGCATATACTTCCAAATCCTGAACAAAAAAAGAATGAAACATAAAACATTTAAAGCGCTTGAAATATTTAAGTAGTTCCTTGCAATAACTCCTTTTAGGATAAGCTATTAAACAATTCAATGACAAATTATACAAACCAAAGTTGGGTTTTCTACAATATATGGTTCTTCCTCTGCATTATCATTATCCTCTGCAGGAGCATCGACTTGCATAGGCTCCACCACATTTTGCTGTATGTATGAAATATTGGATATTAATTACATTATACATAGGAAACTATTTCAAAATGTTACATTATTTCTGTAGTAATATATGCGTTAAAACAAAATTAGTAAAGGACGTTATTAAATAAACAAAATATATTCAATGTTAAAACATGACAGGATAATGAACAGCTTTTAAATTCATTACACCTCTTGTCTACATGAAATATTCGATTTATCCATACAAACATTAACTGTTCCTTTAAGAAATTACCTGAACGTCGTGAACTTGCAACGGCATGTCAACGTTCTTTCTTAATTACGAAAGATCTACAAAAGAAAACAAAATCCTAAGAGAGCAGTGACTACAGATACAAAGACTAGACATATTTTTGTTCTCAAGGGATCATGATTTCGGGATCTCAGATACCCCCCATGTGAATGGAGGTCTGCATATATCCTTCTTCTATTACACTTCGCTCTCCCAACTAAAAAGCCACAATTTTGACTCCCTCTGATTCTATTTTTTACAAATCATTAAAAATCACCACAAAACCGAAAAATTATTATAATAATAATTATTTGACAAATTTATATTTTAAAAAAACCGCCATAAATCAAAACTTATTAATTCGATCCTAGCGCGATCTATATAAAAACGGCGGAAACTACTCGATGATTAGTTCCCGCAATTTCCGGATAGATGGCGCTAGTGTTCCCTCGTTACCGACCAGGGTTCTGAAATCGTCGAGTAGTTTCCGCCGCTTTCGTATAGATGGCGCTGGATTCGTATTTAAGAGACTTTGGCTTATGGCGGTCTTTTTAAACTACAAGTTTGTCAAAGAATTATTTTAATATAATTTTTCGGTCTTGTGTTGATTTTTAATAATTTCTAAAAAATAGATTCAGAGGGAGTCAAAATTGTGTTGTTGGATCTGTAGTCATTGATATATATGTATAAGGGGAGCACAGAATATACACATGTATGTATAACCAATGCAGTGTAGGCAACTTGGAACAGCAAAATGTTTTTTATTCGTTATTTTGTTTGAATACAATGATATTCATTGTTATCATTAATTAATACAATTTCTCAACAAAACATACATTATAGTATAAACTTAAAATAACTTATATATCTATATTGACTTGTTAATAGGGCACAATCATTATTTTACCTACAAGGGCACATTAACGATTAATAATGTCATTCTTTTTTTTAAATTAACCATCTGAATATGCATATGTAAAGAATAAATAAATTATTAAATCACTAAGAAATACTTTCGAATCAGTATGAAACCTTTTCATTTAATCAGAATAAACTTTCATTTGCAATTAAAAGTTTTATGAATATATCAATTGACTTGCACGCTTATGGAAAATATGAAATTGCAAATGAAGATTTCTTTGATGTAAAGATATCATTAAATTTAACATAACATTTACAATGATCACACTACACAGTATTTTGAAATATAAATATGTAATTTATTATAAGATTGTGTAGTGTTATGGTAATTGGTATTCCTTACAGTAGTTTTATCTTAATTCAACAAACGCATCTATTCGAGTGACAGCAATGATCCATTTCATGTTTATGCGACGCTAATCGCATAATTTTCTGAATTAATGAAAAATAGTTGTCAGAGGCAGTTAAATGCATTATAAAACAGTTATGCGTCGGATATGCAGAACGCGAATTTATATCAAGTAATGTTTGTATAACATTAAAACGAGCTTTTGGATATTTAAATTTTTCTGTAAGAAACTTAAAAAGCATGATCGATACAGATTATATTGTAACGTAGCTAAGCTACCTGGTTCCAGAAGACGCGTGATATCTGTGTAGTAGTCGTGTCCAATATGGCGTGTGTATTGAGAATTGCATTAACGTGCAGGTAAGCCTTAGTTCGAATTTTTTTCGATTCACATTCGATAGATAAATTAAAGAATAAAAATCTGCGCTTTTGACAATTGTGATTGTTCATGTTTACTTATATTTTCGATCGCAGAACGTGAAATTAAATATTAACGCAAGTTTTCCCTTAAAATATGTGAACTTTGTCAACCTTTGCACCTTCAAGGTCTGTTTAGTGAGGTGCATTTATGATGACAGGTGTGTCGTATGAAGAATATATATTTTCGACCAAATCATTTGAAAAGGAACAATAACTTTCTATGAACCGAAAGAAGAAATTTTGTATTTTAAAGGAACATTTGTATTTGCTGTACAATAGAATCTGCTCTTGGCAACTGTTATGCAGGTCTGAGTAGAACATTTTTTTACAGTTCTGAAAATTGGGGCATAATTTCGAAAGGGGATAATAATGTATATAAATATTATTTTTACTCAATTATCTAGGTCATTTTTTATTAATTGGTTTAACATGATGTTAAACAAATATAATAATATTTTTACTGCAACAATGTATGAGTTTATAATGAAAATGTTATTAATACAACTGTGTTGCAATAAATGTTTCATTTTTCCACAGGTTCTGTTCCTGCCTCTAGTGCATTATTTTTGTGAATGAAGTGAATGAGATAAATATTACCAATTTGTACTCAAACAATGTACAATGAACTACGGTGGAAATATGCCAGATTGGCACCAATATAATACTTCTCAAACAAATGAAGTTGCACCTCCTACTCAAAATGTGAATTCTGGTCACTTGGCATTCATTCCTGGTGTTAACCATCCTACATTGAATGCCCTTAGTCTTAGTTCAGAGGGTCTTAATAAGCATCAGAATGATGCTAACTTTAATCCAAGGAACTATCAGTCCTACAACAATGTCTCCAATGGTCCTAATATTCCAAACAACAGTCCTCTTGCATCGATGGTGCAAATGCAAAACTGTATTGGCCACTATGGTTCAACAAGTACAAGAAATCCTATGTTAGACAACATAAATGCTTCTGTGGATCATAGAAATGCTACAGTTGCAGCTATAAATGACGATATAGGATATAGAACTAATCAGGTGCCTTTTAATGGGCCTATTGGTCATTTAAGTGGGCCAAGCTGTAATTTAAATTCATCATCTGGACCCGGACCAGGCTCTGGGTTTGGTCCAAGAACTAATTCTGGGCCAGGATCCAATTCTGGAACTAATTCTGGAAATGGAACTGGTCCTAATCCTATGTTTGGACCTGGTCCTAGGCACGGACCTGTACCAGGACCTGGATCAGGAGTAGGATCTGGAAATTTGGGACCAAGAAACGCTAACATTGGTTCGGTATCTTCTGGGAAACCTGGACCTTCTTCGTTTATGTCTTGTAAGGGAACGTGTTGTAATTCAGATCCTAATATTAATTATCAACAATGGGAAAAGTTTGGACCTTATCAAAATAATACATCATTCAGAGATAATGTGCATCCGTCTGGCTGCCAAATGGAGAACCGACATTTCGGAAATAATTGTAACTTTAGGAAAGATAATCTAGAAGCTAAAGAAGTAATGGGACCTGTATTATCTAATGCACCTGCCATAGATCATAGAAGAAACTATACCGATTACAAGTACCATAAGGATCATTTAGTACACAGAAATTATCCAGCATCTTCTGGAATGTTTCATAATTATCCTGTACAAAATTATAATTATTCAACGGAACATAAAAAATATAATTATCCCATGAAAGAGCATCCAAAAACAAATAACATGAATATTTCGAATTCGGGAATGCTTAAACATCAGGAACAAAATTTTATTAATCAGCAAAAATTCAACAACAAACAGTTTCAATATCAAAATGGAAATATGCTACCTAAAGGAGTGCCTACATTAAATGTTAATGCCAATATGGCATCATCCCCTCAGAATCCTTATTTTAATACACAATTTTCACGAAATATTACAACGGAAATGAATCACGAGTGTCAAGAAACTACTGATAGTGCTGCAATTGTAAATAGAATGCCTAGCACGTTTATGCATAGTTCTCCTTCTCAGCATCAAGTGTATCAACATAAAATAGCAATCCAAAAGTATTCAATGGAAAATCACCTGAGAGAATTGAGTAGGATACCTGGTTATCAGTCTCACCCGAAATACAAAGAATGTGTTCATAGGTACAGAGAAATATTGAAACTACAACAATCAACTAGTTACCAAAATCCTGTTCAACAGGCGTCACGCGTTACAACAGCAGTTAATGCTTCGGTAACACCGATTAACTTGCAGTTTGATCAGAATGGTTTGCTAATAAATACGAGTTACATCCCAGAAGGATTTCCTAAAGTACATCATGCGCCAAACATTGAACAACCATCAGAGAACATAGAGAAACAAACTAAGGAACAGACCATTGCTATTGCCACTGAGAAATGTCAGCAAGCGCAACAGCCAGAACAGTTAATAATCCCTTCGCAGAACGAGCACATTCCATCACCGTGTGTAGATACGTTTCAGAAGCAAAATCAATTCTCTATATACAAGGATTTCAATCAGAACCAATTAAAAGTACAAACGAGCGAGAGTGATAATTTTAATACGTTAAATCCAGTTAAAAGTAACGAAACAGCGATGATGCAGCAGCAGAAAGCTTCTAAAGAATTTGCCAATAAACCAGAGCTTGACGTCCGACAATTTTTAGCCAACTGGGATGAAACCGACGACGAAGATGCGTCGACGTCGAACTTGCAAGACTCTGTCTTAAGTGAAACAACACCGGTCGTTGTGGTAAGTTATGAAAATGTGGATCTCTCGTCGAAAACAGCGCAGGGTACAGAGGCACAGGTACAGAAAAGAACCAGCTATTGCTCAAACGAAACAGGCTTGGACACCGTGAAAGAAAGCGAAACGAACGTGATAGCGGCCCAAGATTGTTTGACGATATCCTATTCGCCGACTGACAGCACCGAAATTGCCAAGACGTCTAAACGTACGATCAGAGAAGGTGTGGTGAAACCTGGCAGTATCATACACTGTATAAGCAACGGTCCCGACGAGATACCCACGATACACATAGTGGATAATTTAGAAATAAGTAACATTCTAGGCACGTGTAACGAACAAGTTATACAAACATTGGAGAAACAAAAGACGATATCGTTCTTCAAAGAAACGAGCAACAATGAAACGGAAGCGATGAACCTGGAGGACACCGATCAGCAAGATAAGAACGAAACTGATGTATTGTCTACCAGCTACGAGGGATCTCTTAACGACGTAACTAAAACCACGAATATCGAGGATTCTGATCACGTTCAAGCCGCTACTGTCTCCATAAACAATCAAGAGTTGAGAGGGTTATCAACATCAACCAAGAGCAATATGGACTTGAAAAAACAGAACAGCTTCGTAAGCGAAGAGTCTCATAATCATGATGATATTAGTCTACCAGATCTACCAACATCAGAGTGCACACCGATCTCTACTACGCTGAACACCCCTACTCATTCCGACACCGAGGAATCTTCAGAGCACTTGGAGGACTTGTCTATATCTACACACCTCATAGAGGTGATGCAGAACAGTCCTGTAATCAGTTTTACTCAGCTGAACAGCGAGGAGAAGTCGAAAAATGAATCTCTTGGTACCCTGAAATTGAAGTTCCGGAAGGAAAATAGTTACAAAGCTAACGAGCAAGAGGTAACTCTTGATAATTTTGATTTTTCTGCAGGTAATTCTAAGGTAAGAAGTGTTGTCTCCGCTGGTACCAATGCGAATTTAAGTCCAACAGAGTCTGACGACGAAACGCGTGCGTCTAGAAGAAAAAAAGTAAAAACTTCAAGCGTATCCACCAGCACCAGTCACTCTAAGATTGATCTGTGCGCCAGGAAAAGAGCAAAGGAGACGATGGACTTGGAAGATAAAGGTATGAACAAATATTCAGAGAGAAGTTTAGTTTCAAAAAAGGATACGGATCATTCGAGGCAATCAAAGAGTTCTGAGACGAGAAGGTTTGACGATGCAACCTCCTCCCATAACGAGGAGAATTCTCTGTGCCATATAACTTCTCAATACAAACATTATTCCGTTGCTGTGATAAAGGATAACGTTAGTTTAAGCGATAAGCGATCAGCTCGCAGCACAGACAGGACTTCCGGCGATAAGTCGGCAGAACTGCAAACGAGGACAAGCAACGATACCAAAGAGCACGATAGCGTACAGTTCCAAAGTTCAAGAAAATCCGAATTACTGCAGAAAGATCTGAAACCCGTCGACGGGGATGTTAGGTATACCGCGGAGGAGATACGTATGTTGAAGGAGTATAGAAGGAAAAAAGAAAAGCTCCATCAAGCTCAAGATAAATCCAAACATCATTCTCATAAAACTGTAGAGGAAAGGTCTCCGAAGAACGACGAGAACTCGTCTCATCCTAGAAACAAGACAAACGAGCTTTTATCCGTGGTAAATCTGAGCACGAAAAAGCTGGACGCGCGAGAGGAGACGACAGGGCACGCCTGTTCAAAAAGCTTCCGTAAGAACGCTGACTTTGGGATTCAAGTGGCGAACGTGAACTTGAAGATCAAAGACAGCGACATAGGCAAAGAGTTGATCCTGGAGGAGAAGGGACAAGAACAGATGAAGGATTCCTTAGAAGGGATTAAGATTGAAATAAATGTATCCTGCAAGGATCAAAATTTAAAGGGACAGGAGCAGAACAAACGGTTGTTGTACGACGACGGAGATTTGTATGAAATTGATGAACCACCTGCTTACACGAGCAACACGTTAGACTGTCAATGTCGGTTACACGCCAAAGAACAAGAAAACGATTCGAAAACGATTGATAAAGCTCACAGAGCAGCTGAGAAGGCTGTAGATACTGCTGAGGTACCTTCTACCTCTGCTACAGATACGAATGCCGGTACCAATCTGAAAAAACGTAGAAGATCGTCAATGGGAACGAACGAAGAAACGTGCGTTCTAACTTCAGACAGTAAATCCTCGCATAACAATGCATCTTGTAAAGATACGTCGATCGAGGGTACCGTTTGTCCCGTCGACGATATGGACACAGTTAAGTTAAACTGTGCAATATCTAATACTGCCATAGTCGATGCAAATAATAAAATTAAGGCGAAGAGTAAGTTGGAGGTTGGTGACACAGAGAAGGATAATAATAATAGGAGCTTGGAGACGATGAAAGTACAAAAACCAGCTACCACGAGTCACGTGGACACTTCGACAGCGACGGATGTGTTGAAGAGACACGAGGAAAAAGAAATGGCCAGCAAGAATGCAAAGAAACTGCCAGATAATAGCCCCGAGGTAAATGCGAAATCGCTCAGCTCCCTGAACGCTATAGATTTTAATTTCGACTACAGGAAGTACTCCCATGTGGACGAGTTGGACGACGATTACCCGGGTAAATGGAAGAAGCCAAAGATCGATCAGATTTTCGAAGACTGCGACATGTTTCAAAGTAGCAGCGGCTACGCGAATCCTATTTTCTCGAGCATAGATAAAATGGAGGACTTGAACACAGTTCCTGTATACACTACCAAAGATGGCAAGATATCCTACAGTCCTAATCGAAGGTTCACATACCACGAGCTTATGATGGAGGCACGCAGACGAGAAGCTTGTTTCTCCGGGAAGAAGTCACATTATGCGGAAACATGGAACAACTATTACGGTTCAAAGTTCCGGAAATTGTACAAGAGGAAACGGCATCATCCTTTCAACGAGCGAAAGAAGCACGAATTCAAAAATACTAAGTATCTTTATGATAGAAAAAGAAATTACTCTGACGAGTTTTATGGAAGAGGTCAGACAAAGTACAAGGATTACGTGCATAGCATTAAGAACAATAATGCTGACTGGTTGGATCATTATAAAATGGACAAGATGTATAGTAGTAGCGACTCGGACGAGGAGATTGTGAATTGTAATAAGAGTCGCATTGCTGAGGCTAGCAAAAGAAGTCATGAAACTAAGATTGAATCCTCTAAGTCACCTGGAAACCATGTTACCATTGATGCGTTGGATCTGGAGTGTAAGGAGAAAGAGGATACTACGTCTGATGCTTGCTTAAGTAAAGATAAAGATACGAGTTTAAAAGACACACAGCCTGTTCTACCGCCTGATGATGATAAAGGTAATGTGAATTGTCAGGATCAGTGGCGGCTCGCATATAGGTACTGTGGAACTGCAGCACCCCCTCTTTCCACTTGATATTATCGATAACATTTAGTATAATGAGTCTTTTTTTTCTTTAATTCTTTCTTTATACTTGTACAATATATAATCCTTAAGCTTAATGTCAGTAGTCATCCCCCAGTTTATGAAAAAGATACAAAAATCTTTGTATGGAACTGTGCGCTACACAGTTCCAGCGGCCTGGTGTTTGATCATTGTGCGCATGCGCACATAGGAAGCTGCGCGTGAGGCTGCGCGGTAAAGAGAGCACTGTCTAAAACTGTTTTAAAACAAAGACTAAAAATTTTCTGGAGCAACACCCCCACTAATTTTACCTACGAGCCGCCACTGGTTAGGATCATAGTAATAATGTCAATAATAATCTTACTCTTATGCCAACAGGTACTTTAGTGACAGTGACGGAAGATCAAGAAAATGAGAATGTTAAATCTACTCTAGATGAATGTTCAGTGTTGAATAAATCGTGTGATTTACCGCCAGAGAAACTGGAATCAAATGAGAGTGAAAATTTGGATGAAGAACGTATCGAGCAACATGATAAATCTAAAGATTCAATTATTTCTGGCAACGAGGAAGAAAATATAAATACTGCAGATGGATCTTCACCTGTAAAGTCGCTCAATGAAGTTTCTTTGTTCACTGAAAATAAGCAAACGTCCGTTTCGAGTACTGTTAAAGAGGAAAAGAACGCCACAGATATTGATAAAGAAAAAGAGGAAACCGGTGACGATACAAAAGTGTTGGATGATCAGGTTTCACTTGCAGATGACAGCAAAAATATACAGATTGAAATTTGCAGAAACATGCAAGCTAAACCGTCTGAATCATTAGAATTAGAAACAGACGTGATGGATTGTTCTTCGGTAAAAGAACTTTCAGAATTCCACGCGGATTCTGATAACGTAGCTGAGCAGGTCTCGCAAGAATCTCTGGAATCTGAAAAATATATCAACGTGTCTAACGAGATAGCTGAAGAATCGTCTGAGAATATTAAAGACAAAGTAGACGAGGAGAACTCAGTGGTATGCGAGGAAAATGTTTTAGAATGCAAGGAAGCGAATGTCCATCTTACCGAAGAGATAGTCACTCTGATCAAAGAACGCGAAGAATCTTTAAATGAAGAAATTAAAAAAAGTACTGAAACCTTGGTAGATGAAAACGATAGTAATTCTCCAAAAGAAGCTGAAAATGAGAATTCAGAAGACCGAAAGAAATCTGAATCTCAGATTGATGCTACGACTGATCAACAAAATAATTCAGAATACACTTTGCTTGAAACTGTTGAAAATCAAAAAGATACAATCATCATTCCTGAACAATTGGATAATGAAGAATTAATGCTAATGGATTTTTCTAAAGAAACAGTTTACAATGAAGATGATAATACTGCTGAAAGTTTAGTTTCATCTAATACAAAAGAAATACAAATTACTTTATCAAATATAAATGAAACTCCAATAGAAGAACAAGTGACAATTGATGATTTGAAGGATCGTTATAACGAAACTCGTCTTGAGGAATTGCAGAATATTTCTGTGCATAATTCAAGTCGAAATTCTTCGGTAGAAAAAGAGGTGCCTGTTTTGAACGAGTATTGCACTATCAAAAATTCTGAAAATAATATAGATAGAACAAAGGAGGATGAAGATAATGGAAAACCAGATCATTCGTCATTTTTCAATCCTGATGATAGCTCCAATCATTCGTCAGAAAGCAATATGGACGTGAAAGCAATACCAAAGCTAATCATTAAGAAAACCGACGCTTCAAATCCAAAATCAGAGTCTCTGTCGAATTGCTTAGAGTCTGATAATTGCACCGAGAGATACGATGCAAAGGTACTATCTAAAACACGTCCTAAGATTCCAAAAATGATAATCGTAAAGAACAGATCTCGTTCAGCAACTCCTATCGTAGAGCTGTTGGAAAAAGGGAAATCCGAAAGAACCCATTCTTCAGAGGACAACGACGTTAGCATAAATAACAGCGACTCGGAACAGTACACATTAAAGTACAATGACTACACCAGCAAGGTACCAAAAGTGAAGATAAAATTGGAGGATATATCCTCCAAGGACTTGAAGCTCTACTTGAAACGCAAAGCTTTATCCAAGAAAAGTGTTCCAAAGGTGAAGATCAAAAAGCTTAAGACTCAAGACACGAAGGCACACGCTTCAGTGTCAAAATTTGAAACAGAAGATACCTCGGAGACGGATGCTATTGATTCAAACGACGAAGAAAATGTATTTCACGAATCAATGATTAGTGATGCAGAATCTGAAAAGATACCAAAACTTAGGTTAAAGAGACAAGATGAAGAGAAGTCGCCAGATCGAACGAAGGAAAATGATTCGAACGCTTCGAAAGTAACGCCAAAGAAAAGCAAGAAAACTAGGGAGGAAGATACAAAGCATTCTGTGAAGTACGACAATATCACTACGAACGATGATGAACTGAGAAAAAAATTCCCCCAGTACATCGTCGAAAAGATTCCTAAAGTTATAATCAAAAGAACGCAAATAGGGACCGAGTTCAAGTGTGAAATCAGCAAAGGTAAAAAGACCTCGATTGCTGAAACCTCAAAGTGGCAACCAAAGGTGAAACTGCAAAGACTGGAGCTTCTGGATCACATTGTAAAAGATTTGAAGCAATCAAAGATCACGTTGAGGAATATATTCAACACGCCAACTCGCATTACGGATAGTAATATCAATGATACTGACAACAGGGATTCAAGCCAGGGTAACAAAGTTAAATTATCTAGGTCTAATTCAGCGTCAAATTTATCAACTGTTAAGTGTAAACAAAGAAGGCTATCAGACTTTGATTACTCAAAAATGGATATGGATAACAGGGTAGCTGGTCTTAAATCAGTTGACAGTGAAAACATAGGTCTAAAGAGGAAAAGTAAAAAGAAATTATTCTCTCAGAGTAAACAAATAGATCCTTATCTAAATAGTGAAAATGAAAATGAAGCAGATGAAATTACATCAGAGAATATGTTGAGGGACTCGTTCAGAAATCTTCTTATGGACGAATATAATGATCTGATGACTATAAGGAGCGAATTCTCAGACTTTACGACTGAGGAAAGCACACCTTTCATAGGAAACAAATTCTTAGAATCTGATAATGCACAATCGTATAATTATGACACTAATGACAATTCCATTATCAAAGTCGAGTCTTCTGATGAAAGTCAAACCACCATTGAAATTTTACCAGCATCACCGGACAGCTGTGATGGTGAAACAGAAAAAAATTCTGAATTTGAGAACATTGATAGATTGCACATAGGTGATGCTATGCCAACTCAGTTAGAACTTGAATTGGAACTTATGGATAATAATATGCAACATTCTGATGTGTTTAATGATCACGCGTCGCATTCCAGGGGTAAATGTGCTAACAAAAAATCAACGAAAATATACTTCAGCGAATTTCAACGTTCTTCAGGAAATACTTTTAATCGGGATATGTTCAAGCAAACTGAACAGAGTTCAGAGAATACGTCGAGTGATTATTTTTATTGCAACGACCTGTTAGTTAAAGAAGTACTAGCCGCCAAGGAGGCGTTAAAGAAATGTCTGGCTCGACCTGAGAACCAAGATTTGGAAAACAGGAAGTCAAGGCCTAAAACTGTGGCAGAGAAGAAGCAAGGTTTAAGTTTTGATTTTAAGGGTTTTGATGAATCACGTAAATCTGAGAATGCAGACTGTAATGACGGTAATGATAATGTAACGATACATAGAAAGTCTATAATTTTGGAAAAGAAAGAATACTTAAGAAAGAATAAGCACCTCTCCATGGAGAAAGAGACTGCTTCAGTGAATTCACAAAATGAAAGTCCTACAGCTTCTACGTGTGGATACACTAATGTACCTGAGTCAACTACAATTTCGTTAAAAGCTTCTAAGAAAATTGATGAAAATTCAGCGAATGAAATATCTGTAAGTACAGAAGCAGATGTTTCTAAATTAGCCGATGAACCAGGCAATGCAGGTGATGTGAAAGATCTTCATGGAGAGAAATCTGAATGTCAAAAACCTCTTCAATGTCAAAAAGATGACGGTTCTAATGATGCAAAGATAAAGGAAGATAATATGCCATTATTGGTACCAGAATTTTCTTTGAATTTTGATTCCAGTTCGGATAGAGATAGTTCTAGATCTCCGCCTGTTATAACAAATCAAGAAGAGGTTGATAATGCTGCAGTGAGCGAGAAAAGTATAGAGAACAAAGTGATAACTCCTATTGAGAAAATTGAGGAGAGCAAGGAACATTCTTACAAGGATTGTGAAATGACCATTGCTGATATTATAACGGAATTAGCTTATCATGAAAAGGTAGAAAAACACGCTTGTTCAATTGAGTAAATACGATACAAATATTTATCGTTATTTATTCCAGGCAACAATAAAACATAAAAGATACTGCAACTTATGTGAAAGATGGTTTCCCACAGCATCACGACACCGACGGCACTTAGCTGGATATCAACATCGGTACATGGAACTAACACAACGTAAAAGCATTCATGCACTTTTTATTCTTTTCACTGGTAAACCTTGTCCAAGACTTTTACCAGCGAACGTCATTCGAAATGATTGTTCTATAGGGGAATTAACGCCGTTACAAATCGCTGTTCAGGTATAACTATACATTTATAATTTCTTAATTGCACTCTACACACTAATCCAGGGGTGGGCAAATAGCGGCCCGCTAAGAATTTTTTGTGGCCCACCAAGGCAGTCCGCTTCCACAAAGTGGCCCCCGAACCAAAACAATTGTCCACCCCTGCACTAATCGTTTAATTTGTAAGCACATTATGAAACCCTATTTTATTGATAATATTTTTTCAGGATATCGCAAAATGTGTAGAATACACACAACAGAATTTGAAAACAAAAGATTGATAATAACGAGTTTTAGAAAATTATTTTGGTTACATATACGCATTTCCTGTGATCACCTATACTGGAACAAACGATGTGAGTACCTTTAAACAAGTACTGTAATAATAAACAAGTAAGTGACACTTTTAATCTCAATCAAATTGTACATGATTACTACTAATTATTGCTGTTTGGTAATAATATTGCCGTTGTACAATTATTATTAAAAAAAAATTAACATTCATGAACTTTGCGTAGAAGCTTTGTTGATTGATGTTAATTGTTAAAAGTTACTTGAAAAAAAAAGAATATTATAAGTAGTTGTATATTTAGCCAAAGATTTTAGCAAAAAAAAAAAACGTACATGTTAGATTATTTATAGTTTTCGAGGACTACACAGTCTTTTATTTGTACAAATGAAAATATGAGTAATAGAGTAAATTAATGTGCTCGTTACAAATTTTTATTTATATCGTGAAAAGACTTATATATACAATGTATAAATATATACACCTATATATATACATATTATATACATATAAATATCTAGAATCATATGTATATTTATTATTCTTGTTTTAAAAAAATATGTACTCTTGCAATGTTAAACAGAACTAGAAGTATATACAGTTACATTTGTATAAAGTTATATATTTTAAACAGGGGTAGTCGAAGTGATAAGTATCTATACTATATGTTAAAAAATGAAATAAATGAACTATGAGATGTTACGCAAGTATGCACCTTCAGTTTACTTTATGACGATATTTCTTACAAGCAATAACATCTCATAGTTTATAGAAAAATTTATAAAGTGTACAGCGATACCTATTCACTCCCCTGTTATACGTTTATGTTTGATTCAAACTATTTAAATATGTATGCCTAATGAGTTACTGTTCATACAATATCAAAGTTTTTAATTGTTTTAAATGTTATAACTGTTTTCTTATTATGATTATATTAATATACATGCACTGGAAGTGGGAAAAGTCCTTAAAGAATGAGTTCCTGGCTATAGAAACGAATGGAATAAGTGTATTCTTTATTAAGAGGCTAAAAAGAAAACAGGTGTTATACTAATACAGGGTTAACAGACTATATTGACAATCGCTTTATAATTTTGCTTTCCTGGTTTACATTCCAAAGAATAAAAAGACAGTAGAAGTCACTTTACAGAAAAAGGCTAGTTTTATGTTGAAATTTAACTAAATAAGGAAGATAAAGAATATATATATATATAAGTCCATCAATTGTTATTCCACTTAATATTTTGTTTAATAAGTTTGTTTTAACTGTTTCATATTTTATTCGCACGAGTGCCTTAAAATACACCTAACAGTATTTGTCGTATCGTGTTATTATACATCATACAAGATTGAATAGAATTGTACCCATACACACTACACTTTTGTGTGTACTGTACACCGATGACAAGATGTCCCATGAGAAGCATGCATTTGCATTTGTCTCATGGGACATCTTGTCATCGGTGCACTATACTTCTAATGTTCTTGTATAGTATATGCATAACGTATGTTACAGTTATGAGAATATAAATAAAAACGTATGATTGTTTATTACCGCTTTTATTGTAATTTTAATATAAGAACTACTTCAGATGATGGATTCTTTGAACTTTCTTATTTATATAATGTTATGATACTATATACATTGAATGAATGTTCTCATGATTGAAGCTCTGTTATGCACATATTTTATGATATCATTGTGTGTTCTATGTGCCTAAATTTTAAGGAATTTATACGCATCTGAAGTTCAAATATGCATAATAACACTTATGCACATATAACATATGACTATGAACATTATACATCACGTGTACATTGTGTAAAGAAACAGAAATCTGAAATCTTTTTATAAATACTGATAATTATGTGATGCAAAATTGTATCTGTTTGGTGACATGTGTGCTGTGTTTCAAAAAATCTAAGAATTAAAAAACTTTTTTGAAATATATTAATTATGGGTATGGAATATCCATGTAAATCAGTTACAAAAGGAAATTACTATAGTATTTTATCATTCATTATTATAATTGATTATTTTTTAAATATTTGAATTCTTTCATTCAAATTCAAATTATTTGTTGTACAAATTTAGACCGGAATATTCTTGAAAAATCAAATTACACTTAGTTTATATTTGATTTATATAAATAATGATTTTTTTTTTTAATTCAATTGTTGACTTCCATTAATATTAACTAGTATAAGATTGCACTGATCTAAATATTTCTAGTTGAAGAAGAGAAATTAAATATTGTTTTGTTCAAATTAAGAATCAGTTTATAATTCAGATTTTATAAATGGAGACATTTTTACTTATTTTTGCAATGTGAATAATTTCAAAGTTTTATTTGCAGAACATTGTTAGTCAAATTTTATCATCAATGTATACAGTATAAAATTTTGTACTGCAACATTTTAAATAACTTTCTTTTGCAATTGTATTTTTTTTTTTTTTTAATAATTCAATCATGATAATGCACATTAAATACAAATCAAGTAGTGGCATCATTCAGAAGATGCAAATCTATGTAACAGAATAAGTGCAATTATATTTTTACAACATTTACAACTAATCATTCCACAAAAACTATTAATTTTTGAAATGGTTATTAGATGTGCAATTCTAAATCAAATAGATGATTTATATATATATAGTTCTGCTAGTTTTATACACAGTGTGTGAGTAATATAGAACAAGTGTGTGACATACATTATAATAAGATATAAGAGTGATTTAGATCTGTGGCATTTTTTTAATCTCAATATTTCTCACAAATTAATTCTTACAAGAAAATCGTATGCAACTTCAAATAATTTAAACTATAATTAGCAATAATTATTTCAATTTATAAACAATATTTAATAATAATCTAATAATAATTGAAATCTGAATTACAATTTATGAATCGTTTGATGGCTAAAAATATTATAAAAATGTTACACGTCTAAACACCAGAACCATTCCATAAATTAGAATAAGAAATTTTATTGATAGAAATAAGAATTGTACGAACCGATAGATTATTTTCTGTTATTGTACTTAGGCTACAGAAGTGTATGCAAAATTCTAGTTAACGTATTAAAGAAATAATAAATATTGATAATGAACACTTATACCAGTGTTTTTCATTCTACATCCTTATTGTCAGTCATTTTTAATTAGCGTTTTTCATACTTTCAATCAACATTTTTAATTCTAATTCCTGTCGCCAAGAGTGCTGTGATATGATTCCTGTGTCTGTTGCGTCCGGAGCATATGTACTGAATATAAGATCACTGAATATGTTGTTCAGCTCGATGTTACAATACGCTTGCGTAAAAGCAAGTATGCGCAGAACGAATAGAAACTCGAGATATGGTATGAACGATCTCTCGTTGAACGAATAATACTTTTTTAAGTATACCGCAGTCACCAGAGTCCATAACTGCGAAAAGACCAGTTTTCGTTCTTCGCGCTTCTCCAGTGCGCATCTTCGCTCTGATTGGCGATACTCCCAAACGAAGTGGAAAGCGATTAGCAGAGAGCTCGCTGCGTTCCCCCACCATCTTCCAACCTGCGCGTCGCAGTTATAGACTCTGGTGAACTGCGGTATAGTTGGCATTGTAATTGTTGTATGTTTTATACATGACATGTGAGTTTACTATGTTCCTTCGAAATTACTATTTTTCTATATTATGCAAAAAGGAAATTAAATTATCATTTCATAAAAATGTCAAATTCACTTGTACGTAAAGGGCTTGAGTTATTGGGATACGAGAAAACAGTGAAACAAGGTTTGTTTTAATTTACCTACACAGATTACAAATTTCTGTCCATAAATTACATGAATTTCTTTTTACTATTAGAAAAAAAGAAAAGGAAGCATACAAATTATAAAGGTACATTAGATTTGATTCCTGCAAAACACAGAATAGTATCGAAAAACGACAAAACAGATCTTGGTACAATTCTTGGACGATCGAGTAAAGTGACTGTTTATGAAACTAAAAAAAAATTAACAGCACAGGAAGATCCCACAGATAAAAATGTAAAAAAACTTTTAGTGCTCAGTAACAACCGTATGGATCCAAATACAGTAAATAAGGTAATAAATGCTATTAATAAAGTGTTAAATATTTTGGTATGAAATAATTTTCATAGCAAACAGTACATTACATTAATTGAAAATTTGTTTGTAGTTACTAGATCGAGCTGTAAAGAAAAGATATATTCCAAAACCACATAAGCCTAAAGGACCAGAAACTACAGCATTTACCGAAGAAGATTTCAAGAAGTTTGAAAAAGAATACATAGAATAGTAAATTTTAATGCAATATTTGAGTATTTTAAAATTAAGCGGAGTGGTGGTCATTATTTATACAAATGTTCAATAGCGATCACAAGAAAGGTAAAGCAATATTAATTGTGACTTCCATTTTATTTCTCTATTACACTATATGGATAATTGCTTTACCCTTTATCGATGATAGTAGAATACAATCAATTTTTGCTTCCTACAATATTGCATTAATAGTACCTGCAATTTTGGGTTTGTGCTTCATCGGTGGATTAATATTATTTACCATTTATCATGTTAAACCATACTTTTCATATAAAAACTTAAATAAACATCATGAATCATAAATCTTGTATGAAGCACTAATAAAAGAGTTTCATTGTATGTTACGGACAATCTTGATTATCTTTACATATACAAGTAATGAGTTTGAAATTGATATGACTTATGTAATACACTAGTACAAGTTAACCTATCTATAGTCACAAGTAACAGACTTTCAGTAAAACAATAAAACACTTAAAATGTCATCAAAAAAGTGGTTAGTAATTGGTATTACCGGGGCCACGTGCAGTGGAAAAACAACGTTAGCTAATCGGCTACAAAAAGAATTGAAAAATTCAATAATAGTACATCAAGATAACTATTTCTGGCCGATAGATGATCCACAACATGTAAAGATACCGAAGCTTAATCATTTAAATTGGGAATTAATGTCTAGTATGGACATGGATAAAATGCGATCAGACATTTTAAAATTAATTGAATTTTCACCGAATGACGTTAACAAAATGGAAAAAAATTGTAAAAGAGTTTTAATTATAGATGGCTTTTTACTTTTTAAATGTAAGGTTATTACAAATTTATGCGACATTAAATATTTTTTCACGGTATCTAAAGAAATCTCTAGGGAAAGAAGGGAAAAAAGAGAGTATGAGCCACGAGATGTTCCAGGATACTTTGAAGAATACGTATGGCCAGAATATTTGAAATATAAAGATGAAATAATGAAAGATAAAAATTTATGTAAAACGATAACATTCCTCGATGGATCGAAAGATACCGAAGAAATATTTCAAATGATTTTCCCGCGAATAAAACAAATGTTATCTTGATGTTTTTAAAAAATTTGTTATACGTTCCAAAATGCTGAATAAAAGATTTAATTAAAATTCTAATATATTTTTTATAATGTGAGTCTCAGATGTTTTTTGGCTAAGTTTAAAATAAAACAATTACATTAATTTTGTATATTAAACTTTTTATATAAATGGTCACTTGGGGTTTTATTATAAAATTTATAGAGTACTTACCTGATACAATTGTGTATTGAGCATTTCTTTTTATAAATCATAAGTAAATTTGTATTCCTGTTCTTTGTTTTCTTTTAGTGATAAATATATGTACATGTCATTATTGTATTATCAGTAATGTACCTGATTTTATGAACCTTGAAAATGCCCATGTGTAAAACGAATGTAATTTGCTTATTGTTTACATTATAAATGTAATAATTTTGTAGTTGTTTATCACAATATTCTAACTACACATATACAATTTTGTTCATAATGCATGTAAAGCCTGCTTCAGATGCTAAGTAATTATTAAGGAAATAATTTTAAATTTCATTCTATACGCATAGTATATTTTGTACAAAAATTAATTGTATAAGGCTTAGAAAATAAAGCATATTCGAGTTGGTAACTCCTTCACAGACACAGTTTATAGCTAGCAACTTATCGGTCAGCCTTCATTTTTAGAGATTCAGAGAAAGTGTACGATTTATTATAAAAGGGACACTGTTAATTTTTTAACATCTTTTCAGTTTTTTTTTTTTTTCAATCCTATTTATCGTTCCATATAATGATAGTAATAATATTTATTTTATACAAAATAGATAATGTTCAGCCAAATTTTTGGATTTCCATCTTCATCCAAAACAGGCTTCTGAGTGACTGAATCTTCATTTTTAACAAGGTTTTTTTTTCATTCGTTTTCTGTTTTTTAATAAAGATAACGCACAACGACGTGTGTATGTTACATGGAATATGTGTTATGTTTAGGTTGACCTTGCACATTTGTTACATTTGTTGGAGCCGGTCCAGCTGTCTGATCATCTTGATCATTTTGTCCACAAGCTTTTCGAATATATTGGGGTGTAAGAACAACTTCTTCTTCCATTTCGAGTACCCGTTTGTCTAAGTCCATGCATGCTGCCATTTCTTTTTCTAGTTTTGCCAACATTTGAGGTGAATTATATTTTTCGGGATCATCGTGAAATATCACCATTCCATCCTTTTGATTAATTGTTGCGAAAATTTCTCCATCTTCAATCTGGAATTATATGCATACAATACCTGTACTTAAAATCTATATGTATATACAGTGGGTTATAAAATAATTCGCTCACTGATTAAAATAAAATACCTCATTTAAAATTGGATCAAATGACGCGAGGTTTCTCGAGAAACTATACAAATTAATTTACTTAGACATGTGCTTTTGTGGTTTAAAAAAATTAAAATTTGGCGAAATCGGAAAAGAAACCTCAAGTCATTTGGTCAAATTTTAAATGAGGTATTCTGTTTTAAACGGTGAGTGAATAATTTTGACCCACTATACGTGGTACTTGAATAGGGGTATTTACCATGTTTAATATATATTTTTCTGCATCAGCAGGTCCTGATAACTGAACTCTACTTGCCACATCACTTAAACTAAGAGTCAAAAAAGTCTTTGTCAGCCTCTGTATATTTTTTTTATATAAATAGCTGAGCACTTGTTTTACAAGTCCCATGTTGTGATCTCTTGTAAAAAGTTGTTGATATTTAGTGATAATATTCTGTACCTCTTCACAACTATTCATCTGATAAGCTGTAGCCAATCCCTGATATTGTTGACTCAATGGTTTCATGTACCTATTAACCACCTGGCTTGTGTACCTAGGTAAGTTTAGGACTTTTCCATGCAATATTAAAGAGACCAGAATATATTTCTTGTAGGCCTCTAACATAATGTAACTGACTGCCATGGCAGGTGTTGTTACGCATACTTCAAAGAAGTACAATGCTCTATCATAATTTTTTAGTGCTGTATATATCATACCGCCATAATAATAATAAAGTAAGAAGTATTTTGGATCAAATTGTCCTTCTTCTTGACTGATATCAGTGACATCGATATCAAGAAATTCAAGTGCTGGTTTGAAACATTTAGACAGAAGACACAATTGACAAAGATCAGCGTGTATCGAAGTTAGCTGGCTATCAAAAAGTTGTATTTTACGTATTGCACGGCGCAATAATTCAATACCACGCAAAGGTATTTTTAAATCAACCAGCGTTTGACTAAAAAAATGACATAATTCTGCATCTATAACATAATGATTATACACATTAAATTCTTAGCGACTACAATTTTATTTAAAAAAAAAAAGCAACTTACATATATCTGGAGCAAATCTAACTTGTTCTCCATTACAACCAATAATAAATTCCTGAACTTGATTAAATAATGGTTTATAAGCGTCAACGTTATTTGCATTAGGATTAGGCAGCGAAAATTTTACACATAATACTGCCAAAATACCTAATGAATGTTCTTGTAAATCTAAGGTTTCCAAAACATTATCTAGATGCGGCGCATTCTTAATTAAGACATCTGTACTTTTAGTTATTATGTCAGTTAGCTCTCGAAAGTTACCTATAAATCACAATACAATGAAATATTGTTATCTAAACATAATTGTTAAATAAATGCTAATGGATTCGTTGAAGTACCACAATCCCTTATAGAAAAAAACAAAAAATATGTTGACACACATATCTAGGATTTGGTCATAGATATGCCTAATATAGAATTGGAATTTTATTAAAACAATCTGAATGAAATGAAATACAGAAATCATTCAGTATTGTGCTAACGAAAACATTATGAAGGTGGATTTTAGTTCGTCGAAGAAAAGATCATTTTCGAATCATGCAAAACATTTTAATCTTTTGCAATTTTTCTTAGAGGTTATGCCAGAAGACTTGGGAAGGTCCGAACATCCGTCGTACCTTGTTTCGAAAGCGTCCGCACGTTATTTACAAACTGCTCCAATGCTGACGCCATTACTGCAAATGCTTTTTTCTCATCACCACCTTTGATCGGTGGTGAATCGTATTTACAGAAATTATTTTCGTGAACAAACGATTACCAAAGATGACGTTTTGAAACAGGTAACCGGAATGGTCTGAAGCATGTTACGAGAATAGCCGGTTGCATCGAACTCCCTCTTGCATGTTACGATTAACTTACAATTCAAATCAACTCAGAATATAATTAAAAACTACTATTTTTCTTTTAGAATTTAATAAAATCCAATTTTATATCACCTTATTAATGGCAATTATTACAATATATCAATGCTATGAACAATAGTTACAGAATTCTATGCAAATTCTCATCAGTTCGATTGACGTTTGGTTGCTAGGGTATTAAAGATTTCTAACAATTCGAAAATCGAACAATGTCCAGTGTTTCTCTATATTATCGTTCGCTGTACTCTTTATTTTTAAATAAAGGAATATATTGGAATTGATTGTAAGTATTTATTGAAAGTTTAATCATGTCGAATACAACATACGATGAACTTTGGAAAAACGCACAAGCTATGTTAGATGAACTTCTTGACATGGATTCAAGTTTGCAAAACGCTAAACCACAAAAAGATCGTAAAAAGGCTCATAACGTGACTTCGGAATTATACGTAAGATATATTTTTGTCTGTAATAAATTAGAATTGTGTTATGATCAGATAATACAACCGCAAAAACGAGTATTAATAAAAAAATTATTAGACTCGTGCCTTGGAAGAGTATTGGAATTAAAACATGAATTGGTGGAAATAGATCTTTCGGAATATAGCTATTTCGATGACATTCTAATGAAACTGAACGTTACACCGCAAGAAATTGAACTTCAAGTACCAAGATATTTTAAGCGGGAAAACATGAAAGAGATCGATGAAAGGCGAAAATTTATAGAAAACACTCTTAGAAATATAGGTGCTCTGAATGAAGTAATACCATTAAAACAAATGACTGAATCTGAAGCTATAAGACTTATACAGGTATCAATTTTTCAAAATTTAGAAAAAACAGAGGTTTCTATTAATATTTATGCCCAGATAGCACACGATGTCTTAAAGACGTCTATTTTACGACTATTTTAGGTCTGATTTTTTTACAACCTTACCTGGACGTCTTTACGATATCTTAAAAACGTACGAGATGAACGTCGTACCTGAAAATCTGGAACAGATATCTTTAAGATGTTTTAACTCTGTGCTATCTGGGTAATAATTAAACCAACATATTTTAGGCTCATGAACGTGCTCGACAAAGCCGAATAAGATTTCAATTTATGAAAGAGATTCGTCGGATGAAAGAAAAGTCTATAATTAAAACAGAAGCAGAGATACAAGATGAATTAAGTAAAATAGCAGCTGCAACAAAAATTCAAAAAGTTTGGAGAGGATATGTTACTAGGCAAAAAATTCGAAAAAGACGTCTCGAGGAGATGTTATTAATTGGTGACTCTTATTTCTAAACAAATTTTACATAAAATGTAATTATAAATAATTGTTACTTTTAAAGGGATGCTTCAACCAAGTCAAGTAATTACTGAAAATGCTAGACAAGCTGAAAGAACTAGACAAGAAAGATATGATAAACAAATTAAATATCAAGAATTATATGAAAATTTGATGATTGAAACCAAAGAAAGAATACGTAAAGAAAAAAATGCTATAATAGAAGAGAATATAAGGAGTGAGGTTCGGAACTGGATTAACAGTTATTTTCAACAAACAGGAAAAATTCCTGATTTGCCATCTGTCGAGAGTGGTGGATCTAGAATTATATTGAGTAGGCAGGTAAAATTAGTATTTACACTTATACTCCGGTGTCCCGGATTTTAATGGACAAACTTGGGAAGCATATCCTACAAGTGAAAATAAAAAAAAATGTTATTTGAAGTTTGCTCAGAAACGTTTTATTACAAGGTTAAAAAACAAATAAAGTTAGAATTGATGACTGCGAATTTTACTTTACTAAATATTGAAAGGTCAAATGTGTTTATCGGATTATTTCAAAATGTCGTCCTTGGGCGCAAATACAAGCTTGACATCGATTTATTACAAGGAAATATACATAAGGAAAAAAGTATCAAAGCGATATCAGATGTCCTTCTATAGGGTGATTCTCTCGCTACGCAAGACAAAACCGCACAATGGAACCCCTACTGTTCCGTTTCTTGTCTTCGTCTCAGACATGTTAGTCTTTATGATGTTAGTCTTTATGATGTTAGTCTTTATGATATTCCTTAGGCAAGTGTCTGATAGACGCTTTTAAAATTCACCATAAATAAAAATCAGGGAATTAAATCAGGGGATCTTGGAGGCCATAGAACTGGTCCTACTCGACCAATCCACCTGTCACCATAATTTTCATTTCGTATCATGTGAAGGACAACCGTATATCCACCTGTTTTGTCGAAGCATTAAAATTGGCACATCTTCCATCAAAATTGGTAAATCGTTCGATAAGAATCTTTGAAAAAGCAGTTAATTCAATTTCTCAGGCAGAACGAAAGGGCAAAGAATACGCTGGTCATTAAGCATACCCATCCAAACATTACTCCGAAAATCGTGTTGAAAATTTCTTTGTCCCGTGGAATATGGAATATTGTGGGCCCATACGTGATTATTATGAAAATTGAATATGCCCCGTCTTGTAAAAGTTGCTTCGTCTGTCCATAATATCCTTAATGGGAAAAATTCATCCATTTCTACTGCATTTACATACCAGTAACAAAATTCAACTCGTTTCCGGTAATCAGATGGAAGTAATTCTTGTACAGGTGTACAATGATATGCGAACCTTTCGATGGCTCGCAATGTTCTCCAAATCGTATTTCGTGGTATCTGTAATTGAGATGAAGTACGTCGAATACTCTGCGTATTATCAAACAAACTTAAGATTCTTTCCGCGCGTCGTCGCTGTTCTAAGGCTGACCGAACATCATGATATTCATTTCTACTTCTAAATGAACCCAAATTGCGTAATTGCCGATGAGTATTAATAAGGTAATTATGTAAATGATTGACGACCTCACCGATTTCGATGACCTTGAAATATATTGTCAAGGTCACTATTCTGAACAATTTTTCCCTATACATGTTACCGCCGCTCGGGCTTAGTTTCCGAGATATACGTAAAAATAAATTACACTATGTAATATTTAGTAATACACTGCTTTATTGATAATTATGTATTTGGAAATACCTACATCTGCCATAATATCAAAAAATGCAGTTGATAACATTATTGTTTAAACCACCAAATATTTTGGTTGGTATATCAGATATGGTTGGGCTATATTTCTTGGGGCGGGAATCCTCCGCTTTAAAGTACGAAGATAATTATTTAAAAATAATTACCTCCACGCATACAATTTCCACGCGAAACGATTATATTAAATTATATGTATTATATTAAAAATGGGAATCGGTATTAGTTAGCGTAGTTGCTTTAATATGTTACTGTTCAAGTCGTGGGGATGTATTATTTTTTGCTTCGCAGGGCTCATGTTTGTTGTAGGAAAAAAAATGTCTGAAAATGTGGCTTTGAACCGGCGAAATAAAATTATTTTTGGGAATATCTGGAAAACGAAGGCCGAGCGGCAGTAACATGTATAGGGAAAAGTTGTTCAGAATAGTGACCTTGACAATATATTTCAAGGTCATCAAAATCGACGAGGTCGTCAATCATCTGCATAATTACCAATGACCCCAGTCGCCGATGACCTTGACCTTAACATATGTTGTCAAGGTCATGAGCCTGAGTAACCGTGACCTTGAGAAACGTGGCGGTCGCGATCCGTACAAAAGTTACGAAACATTAAAGAATTGACCACTTCTGTCGGGAAGCAAGTAGAATAGAAAGTTATTATATTTTAAAACGCTGAAAATATTTAGGAAAAATGTAAAGTTGCTGCTTTATAATTATATTATTACCAATTATTACATATAAACAGATTACGGCGGCCGGAATATCATTCTAGCCTAACCTAACCTAATTCACTGATTAACAAGTTCACTAATTTAATTTTGTATTAGATTAGATTAAGTTAGGCTAAATTAATATTCCGACCGCCACGCCGTAAGGCGGTCGGCCACGCATGCCAAAATTCAAAAAATGACTGCCGCTTGTCGTCTACTACTTTTATAAATAACAACACTATGACCGGCAAGCAATATATGCATGTTAGAATTGACCAAAAGGCACCCTCGCCTTTCACACCAGCCGTTGATGGACATCTGGATTGCCCTTTTTCACAATGGTTTCTTCGACCAGTGTCGGTACTATGACCAAGCGGCGGTTATATGTATAGGAAAAGGTTGCTTAAAACGCGAAAAAAAGAAAAAAATTTTTATGCTTTGTAACTTTTGAACGGATCGCGACCGCCGCTTTTTTCAAGGCCAACGTTATTCAGGGTCATGACCTTGACAACATATGTCAAGGTCAAGGTCATCGGCGAATGGGGTCTTTTTGTGCATAATTACCCCGCCGTTATCAAATCCAACTTTATTTGCTTATAACTTTGTAATTAAACGTTTCTGAGCAAACTTCAAATAACATTTTTTTCTTATTTTCACATGTAGGATATGCTCCCCAAGTTTGCCCATTAAAACCTGGGACATCCTGTATTATACATACTAGTTTAGAATGGGATAATTACTTAAATTCTTATTTAGGGAACTGAAAGTACTATCAGTAAATCTACAGCAGCGTCATCAAAAGAGTCCAGGAAATCTAAGAAGTCAAAATCAAAGAAGGATAGCGAAGGTGAACAATCAGAAGAAGAGACAGAACAGGGTTTCAAATCAATGCCTTCTAATTTTTTATCGGAACTAGTGCATGCTAGTCAAGAATATCAAGAAGTATGGAAAAATAAAGACGAATCTATGAATGCTGCACAATTTCCATATTTGGATATGATAGAAAGTGATAAAGCTAAGGAAGTAGAAAATGAAGTTAGAATCACTGTGGATCAAGAACTTAGGGGTAAGCTTTCCAATCGAATACATATCATAAACTGTTAATATTTGATTCGCATTTAAAGGTGACATTGAAGCCCTGCAAAATGCATTAGATAGAGATAAAGGTTTTAAAGGTAAACGTATAAAAAAAGGACAAAAACGAATTCGCCATAGTGGAAAAAAGAATAAAAAAAGAAAAGAGAAAGATCTAACACCTGATAGAACAACAGAGTCTTTATTTGAAGAATTACTAACTCAGGGTATTATTAAGCTTCATAGAGAGATTTCACTCGGTGATTTTAAAGGTGAAAAATCTTTCATAAATCACAACTTAAGAGAAAAAGGAAAAGATCCTTTACCAACGCTTGGTTAAGTATTTTATATTAATTTAAAAAAATTCATCGAATCAGTCTAGTATTTTATCTTTCACCTTCAACCTTTGAATTAATGGAAAGAAATAATTCGTATTAATAGGAGATATAAGACAGTTAATAACTGAATACTGTATTCTTCCCCTGGGAAACAATACTCTAAGAGAACTGACACCTCTTGTAAGATCAGTGTTAATAGCTGGACCTCGTTACAGTGGGAAAAAAATGTTGGTGAATGCAATTTGTACAGAACTTGGAGCTACTTTGTTTGATATTACGCCCGCTAATATTGCTGGAAAATATCCTGGAAAATCGGGCTTAATCATGCTTGTCCACTTAATATCAAAGGTATATATTAACACATTGTTGACCGGTCACGAGTTAACTCATGTCTGCACTTGCATTGACTACTTTAATTTTCGAAACCCAGGATAATACGGAATATTGTGAAATTTTTACAATATCCCATATTATTGTATAAGTATTGTATAATTATACGTCTTTTTTTTGTATAATTATGTTTTCTTATATGAAGGTGTCACGCTTATTACAACCGTCAGTGATATTTATGGATGGAGCAGAAAAACTATTTACAAAAAAAGTCGCAAAAACAGATAAAACAGATCCGAAACGTTTAAAAAAGGATCTCCCTAAATTAGTCAAAAACATTACAAATGAAGATAGAGTAATATTAATTGGTACTTCAAGTTCACCATGGGATGGAGATCAAAAACTTTTATATCAGACTTATGATAAAGTTATATATATTCCTAGACCAGATTATGGAACTATGTCTCTTGTGTGGAAGGACTTATTATATAAAGTATGGTTTTATTGATGTATAAATAGTACTATATATTAAATTTCAAATGTTTCATATGACTTTTTTTGAATTTATAGTATTCTGGAATTAATAGACAATTTGATACATCTGTTATTGCTAAAGTTTGCGATGGATTTACCATTGGAGCTGTATTAACGTCGATCAACGAGGTAGTATCGGTATAACAATTATATAAATTCTCTGATAGGTCTTCTATTAACATATTTCATAATTAAAGTTATTGAAATACAGGTAATGACGACAAAACGAATAGTACAATTAAAAACGCATCCTTTGACGTACGGTGAATTAATAAACGCAGTAAGCACGAAAAATCCGATCTATTGTGAAGAAGAAGATGCTTTTTTAGGTTTATTTCTATTTTTATATTAAATATAATAATTCTATCCTAAAATAATTAATATCGAACTTTCATTCTAGCATGGCTCGCAAAAACACCGATATATCGTAAGAAACAACGAATGCATGAACAGGAGCTTCAAAAATTGAAAGAGGCAAATGAAAAGCAAAAGAAAAAAGGGAAAAAATCCACACGAATAAATTTGCTTATTCCTACTGAAAAATAAAACATAACTGACGATTTCAATGATTTATGAGTATACATATATGAGCCATTATTTTTGATAATGGTATAAGTCCATTTTTGAAAGAAAATGAGTTAATGGTAGTTTTATATACTGATTCCTTCCCACAGATCAATGTACATTTGATAATATACTCATAAATTAATAAGAAAAAGTTGGACTGTAAAATATTATCGTAGGAATGTTTTTGTTGAAAGTGGAATAAGTCCATTCGTAATAATAATAGAAGCAACTTTGCCTTTGAATATGGATGGAGAAATTATACATTGACTGAAAATATGCTGGATCAGATTTAAAAGGGATGAACCGCTCAAAATCTTTTACATACAGTGGACTAGTATGAAAAAAAATGCTCCATTTAAAGTAATTTTTTTATTTGGGAAACAAGGAAAACCTAAACATCTCAGCAAAATTACTATGTGTCCACTATATAAAACTTCAAGCCCTATAAACAGGGAGAAATATAGCGATATGATGAGTTAACTGCCTTCCCATGAATACTTCACTATGCTAAGTGTAAAGGAGAAATAAGTTTAAAATACAAAAAAGTTTTTTTTTATTTTTAGTTATCTTAACAAAGTAATTTACTTTTTACACTTGTTTATTTATATTTTCTTTTTAAATATAACTTAAATTCATTTTTGATAAACTTGATTATGTATGCGTGTACTTGCATGTCTTCCCTTCAATTATTATTTTTTAAATTGAAAAATTCATTTCAGTAAAGCCAAAGTCTATAAAAACATAGACTTAAACCTAACTCTTGTTTATATTTTTTATAATATGTTATTATTGAAAGTGGTGTAAGTCCAATTGGACCTCAAAGAATCTTTTATTTTGTTTAACAATTTTAATAATTATTATTGCATAATAAAATTCAACAATTTTATAGTTTTAAAAACATCATCCGAATTGATTAACGGTTGCCAATATTTTTAAATCTATTGCAACGAAAATCCTTAAATATCTCGATATATGAAAAAATGGACTTATACCACTTTCAAAAATAACAGCTCATATTATAACAAATCGGCATGAAATTATAATTCATTTTATAATTCGCAAATAGTTTTTAATATCAGTCGGATTTAACATAAATTTTGTATCTTAAAATATTTAAAATTAATCATATATAAGCCACTAGTAAATTTTCTTTAGCACGTATTATATATTTTTTTGTTAAATTTTGTTGTAGCTTTTTCGCAAACTTTTTATTATCGAGCACTATAGTTTTTACATATAAATATATATACATATGCTATCACGTATAAAAATGCTCATAAAACTGCATCCAAAATTATTTTACGTAAGTAAATTACATAACGTGATCACTGTTCAAGATGCCGTTCAAAAAGCGGCAACGCGTGTAAGATTCGAATTTCGTAATCATTTCATAGCCGCGTGTTAATCATATTTTATAATTCGTCAAATTTAAACGAATATTTTATCATTACGGGAAACATGAGATAGGAATAAATATATAAGATCCAAGAATAAATATATAGAATCGACACAATTGTAATTTGGCCCGTTTTTATTATTCACGAACTTCCTTTTATAACAGAGATAAGTAGGATGCTTCTGTTGGCATTCCATCATGGCACAAAAGTCTTGTTAAGTCTAAAGTTACGGGGATTATATGTTTCTTTCTTCAGTTCACGTGTATAGCACGCGGTTAACAGGCTTGTAGTAAAGCAGTGGCAAAGACCTCTGCAAAGTGTTATCAAAAAGGGGATAGAGGGAAGAGGAATAAGAGGGCACAATATTTCTCCCTTATCAAAATGTGCTTAAATTCGTTACATTTTTAATTGGGTAAAAACAAAAACATGTGACCATTTGATATACCGCGCGGAATCTAATCATTTTTTCAAATCTTTGAACATGGAATTACAAATTTGATGGATAATGCTGCAGAAAGAACAAAAGAACAGAAAGAAACAAACAAAATAAATCCAATATATCCAATAAATCAAATGTTAATCTATGTTATCATAGATATTGATGAAACGCAATACTTTTTTATAATATAATTAATGTAATGAAAAAATTACAAAGAAAGGGACGTACTCTTAACATTACGGAAGAAAAATAACTTTTGAATGTTAATAAGACGATCACCACTTATAAAGTTTCGAATATTTCAAATGTAACAGGTTGAATATAGCTGAAAATCATTGTCATTCGAGTGAAATTTGAATGTATTTCAGAGTGAAAGCTTAATAGTTACGAATGTTTTGAAAATCCGTAGGTATTACTGCGCCAGTGTACGTATCGATCCCTCGCGTCGCTTTGTTATAGCGGCATGTCATAGCGGCAAACGATTCCATATTGGTTATCGGTACCGATGATGGAAAAAAAAATATTACATAAAAAAAAATTTAAAAAGTTAGCACGTGACAACTGCATGTACACGAATCTCTTTACAATGTCAAGTTCCACATGATGGATCTGTCACTTAGAAGAATATCTGCAATTCAGAAGAAAATCAGAATATTCGCAACAGAACCGACGCCGGTCAATTCTAGTGCGCGTGCGTACTAAAAGCGTACACTCCTATTGGTCGGCGCCACATGGTCTGATGTCAGACCATAGGGTCTGTCCAATTCAATAATAACGAGATGTTCACGAGCTAGATGCTAGCCAGTTCTCTGTGACGTGCCCGCGACGCTTCTACCGGTTATTGACGATAAGAAACAGCACGTCGAATATTAAATTCATCGAACAGCAAGATCATTTTCTATTTAATATCGTACACATTCCATTGTTTGTTCAATACAGAAATATCTAGCCGGTTGGCAAGGTCCGCTTTAATTCATTAAACGTCAATTTTTTGATAGTGTATAACTGTCGGTTACAACAGGATTTTGGGACTGACAAGGAAAACAAGAGTTCCCAAAATTTGTCAGGATTATATCCACGTATGAGGTGAGTTATGGCATAAATATTTTATTACAATAATAGAACTAATCCGTAAATGAAACCATCTAATACATTTTCTAAGGTTTCCTGTTAACTTTGAGTGATACATATCTAAAAAAAATCTAACGTCTTATGTGTAATAATGTCAATGTTTATTTTCTTCGTCACCTATGCGGTTTCTGTAGATTGTACGCTATAAAGTATGTAATATTTATTCGTTCTATAGTTTCTCGGTAGCAATAAACGGCTTCCTTGGCATTACCATTTAGAGTCTCTAAAATCAATTGTATTATTAGCTACCATACTTTGTCATAAAATACGCGTAGAAATCTCTAGGAAGGTAATAACGAAGCCTCACAGTGTCGAATGACCGTGACTTCACGTGTTCTTCACTACTGTAAACAAAGTGTTTACATCCATTGGATTGCTTTGTGAGAAATCATTTCTCAACAATTTGAAAATTTAGAAAATCGAAGCTTTCATACACATTCTGCGTGACAAATTATAATCGTAATAGATTGATGACGTGAATGTTGTTTTTTTTTCAAGGAAACAAATCTTAATTTATTCTTTCCACTGTACGAGCGGATGATCTATAATATATACAGTAGGATAACTGTATATTTTTCTTTATTGTTACGAAACACCTGAACACTGTGTCACGTGCAAGTGGACACTATTCAAAAATATGCATACGATGGCATATCTTTCTTTTGATATATGTAAAGCTAAGGCATATGCAATTTCAGAACGTTTACAGGCTGACTTGTGAAAATTGTTACTACTGCGTTGCATACTCAGCATCTTTACGCACAAGCTGCAGTAGTTTTATTTATATATTTTCCGACATACGAGTGATTGTAATAATGTTCCTTCGTCAACTGTAGAATTTTCTTTCGTACGATTTTTTTCTAGTATCCTTATGCAAGTTATATAACATTATTTATTAATATGTAAAATGTTCAATGTACGCATTTAAATATGAGATATTCATTTTTTGTTAATGATTTTTTGTTAATTACAATAGAAGACAGAGACATTAAAATTTAAAAGTATAATTTATTATATGTTTTTAATTTACTTTATTTCAGATCTGGTTCACTTTTATCATTTTTTTAAGTAAATTTTCTGCTTCCTATTTAAATTTTGCTGCTAAAAGATAAATGTCGTTTAAAGTACCTTCTAGCAGCAAATGCCAGGAATCAGCATCAATTTTAATAATAAATTAGCAAAACTTGTCTGTATGTATTGGAACGTTTGTTTTGGAGACATCTACGTCGCACGACACGTGATCGACTCATGAACCTAACCAACGCCAAGTGTAGAATATTTTTTCTTTTTTTTGCTTTAATTTTGATATGATGAAATTATTCGAGTCACGTGTGGAGCATGAAATATATATATATGATTTTCTTTGGTGATAAAATAGATATCAACAACGAAGTCAGAAATCTTGTTTGAGAAAGGGGGGCAAAATATTGTACATATATTTAAGCATAGTTTTTATTAATTCTTTTTTTATATTATCTGAAAGTACTGATGGGATTAATTGCCCTTATCGTTTAAAAACGCGTGGATTACAGATAATCTTTCAAGAATTCAGTTCAGCTTTTCTTTTTTTCAGAATTTCATTTGTGAATATAATTGTGTTTATCCATCGATTGTGCAATCGAATTAAGCATCAGGGAAAATTAAAAGATACTCTTAAGCGGGTAGCAAGTAATAAATTACGTAGCACATTGTATACGTAAAGAGCAACGAATGTAAATTAATTTCCCAATAACCTACGATACCACTTGGTCGTCAAATCTTCCTTATAATTGTTTCGGCTTATATTAATGTAATTAACGTTAAAATATTCAATGTTTAAGTAACAAGGAAAATTATAGATTTAATTAGAATAAAATTAAAATAATTACATACATTGTGTCACAAAATTATTCGCTCAACGGTTGAAACAGAATATCTCATTTAAACTTGGACCAAATGACTTAAGGTTTCTTGAAAAGCTATAAAAATTAATTTACTAAGATATGTACTTTTGTTGTTTTAAAAAATTACAATTTGTTTAAACCGTGAGAAAAAATAGTGATGGGTAATTTCTCAACTTTCTTATGTATTTTCTAATGAAAATTTAAGATATGTGTTTCGTAGATTCAAATAAGTTATGTGTATGCTGAAAATTTCATCAAGATCGGCCAATGCACTTAGAAGTTACAATTAATTAAATTTTCCGAGATTCGCGACTTTTCTAAGAACATAACTAGTCACGTTCTTAGATGAAAAGTCACCATTTTCAGAAATTTTAAGTACTTGTAACTCTCAGTGCATTGTCCGACCTAGATGAAATTTTCAGCATTCACATAACATACTTTTTACAAATGTTATATTTTAAATTTTAATTACAGGCTCAAATGAAAAAGTTAAAAAATTGCATTTTACTATTTCTTTTCCGATTTCGCCAAATTGTAATTTTTTAAATTAGGAAATTAATTTATATAGCTTCTCGAGAAACCTCAAGTCATTTTAAATGAGGTATTCTGTTTTAACCTCTTAACTTAAAAGCCCGAAAATACTCGGGCAAAATACACTTGTTATAATTGTTAAGTGAAGAGGTTAAACGGTGAACGAATAATTTTTGTGACACGTGTTTCTTTATATATTCCAAAGAATCTGGAATATATAAATTATCTGTTAAAAACTTTTCATAATATATTAGACTATCGATATGTAATGTAAGCAGATTTATTTTTATTATTAACATTTTTAAAAGGCTGTCGTGTCAGAAAAACTGCATTGCTATTAAAAATGCACATATAAAAACTTCAAAGATGCGCTTTAATGTTTAGTGATGATAAAATTACGCTTTAACACGTATTAATCATTCTGGCTTGAAGATGTATAAAACCGTCAATAACCATGAAATATAGTTGTGATTAAGGAAAGAAGTTTCCTTGATAAAAAACTAGATAAATAAAATATATTTGATATACGAAGACATTTGACATTATCACACGTGACAGACAAAAACCGTCGACACTTGTCGCTAATATCTGTGGGAAAAAAAGAATGTTTAAAAGATAACCTCGAAATAGGAGTATGAAATATTCTTGATACGCGGCCGAAGGCCACGCGATGAAATTTGTAATTTTGACATATATCAGAAGATTAAGAAGTTGCGCATAAAGTTATAAAATCTTACATTGCTAATGTACTTGATTAGACATTAACATATCGCAGAATTTACATATATGTACATATGTGTATATTACGAATATCACCTTTACAATCTATGTATTTTAATCATTGTCTGATACCTCGAAACTTCTCAATTTACATAAACAGTACGTAATCTATTCCGTATTATATACATATCAGTCTATTAAATTATTCTTTTCAGAATAACAGATAAACATAAAATATTTTAATTATTTGGAAATGCAAATGTTATGATAATTTATTGATAATTTTGTAAGATAATTTAATAAGAATATTCTAATGTTCATTAGAAATGTACTATTCAAAGGTAAACAAATAAACATTCACAATTCCGTTACATATACAAATACTTTCTAAGTAACAATTTGTCGAAAGGTTATCTGAAGGTTAACACACGATACACGACCGACTTTATCATTCTGTTAACTATTACGTTATGATAACAAAAACACGTTGTGCTATTTAAGAAAGAAATATCGGTAACCTTGAAATTTCGAAATATGTAACCTAAAAGGAAGAAGTTTCTCTTTCGAAAATCATACTTCGTAATAATTTTACCGGGTAGATATGATACAACAAGTTTACTATATAGTCACGTATCGTGAAAATTTTCCTTGAGGTATGTACTTATTTGAAAAAGAAATTTCCGAGTTCTTATGCGAAGCATAACCTTTCGACGCAACATTGAAGCGTCAATTGAAGTTGAATGATAATGAAGCGACATCGCGAATGACGTTAATTTTTTTTAATTTACCTTTAATTCATGAGTGATTCTATTCCTTGGATGTCACGCGATAGTTAAGATCATGCGTTTGACCATGAATTTTCTTGTATTGACAAGAGTCTGGTTTCCATGCAAATTTCATCGCGAGATATAAAAATAAAAAAACCAAGTGGATCGTACGATACCGATTGCAATTACTCATACATACATAAGTTGAAAATCATAAACGTTACCAGAAACTTGTGTTAATGATGTGATGTAAAAATTTCAAATATATGATATTACGATTAAACTTGTTTCATAATCCGGCGGGGGGGGGGGGGGGGGGGGGGGGGGTAGGGGGGTCAGGTCAACGGCATATCTTGCGTTCATTAATGTCTTCTGATGAAACGAATGGATAATCGCGTGATCGTAAAGAATAAATTTTCATACTCAGGATATATATATAATTATTCAAATTTTTCGCGTATTTAAATTTCCCGATGTACGTTTCATTGACGTATATCGAATAAACCAATCGCATTACTCATTACACCTGCCTCTTAAGTTTCCGGAAGTCGGCGTGAAGGTTCGTACGATTGAAAACAGATGATCTTTACACGTATTTTAATAAAAATACAAAGCAGAAGAAATAGAAATAACTTAATAAATGAAAAATACTAATAACAGTTGTAGGGATAGGGGTGTCGAGTGCATCTTGAGACGCATAATAAAGTCACTGCTAAATGGATTTATCTCGTAGTGAATCCAATTGAAATCACTCAATTAATCGCATCTCGAGAAGAGATAGTCACCGTGGTAATTTAATACAATTTGCTGACACGTACATAGTGTTCATATGTCGTCCTATATTTACAAAATTGTAACTATAATTAACAAAGAAAATGTTATCTTTATCTTCTTTCCTTAATAAATTAACACAGTCGTTAATAATGATATTGTATCATTTTCAGCTTACAGTCCACTAGGCTCTCGCGTCTGATAAATTCTGTAAAGGTAAAGAACTCTTAAGAAAGGTCGTACTAAAAGTCGTATTATAATATATCACAATGCCAGCCCAATTTGAAAGTGCAAATAGCCCCATAACAAGAGAACCTACCATGATGAACGGCGACAGTCCATACAGCACTGGCGAAGATGTAGTCATTACCGGTTTTTCGGGTAAGAAATTTCTTTTAAATTTAAAATTACATTCTACATATTATTATACATATATATTCTACATTCTACATATATATATATATATTTTTTTTTTTCAGGTCGTTTCCCAGAGTCAGTAGACGTAGATGAATTTAGGAAAAATTTATTCGAAGGCATCGACATGGTCACAGATGACGAACGACGATGGCCTTCTGGCATGTACGGCCTTCCCACGAGGACTGGGAAACTTAAAGATCTGAAATCGTTCGACGCAACCTTTTTCGGTGTACACGCGAAACAGGCTAACGTAATGGACCCACAGCTACGTATGCTTTTGGAAGCAACGTACGAAGCGATAGTCGATGCTGGTATCAATCCAAACGACATTAGAGGATCTAAAACTGGCGTGTTCATCGGTGTTTCCTCCTCGGAATCAGACGAATATTGGACCGGCGATCCGGAACTAGTTAACGGTTGGTAGACTAAACACAACCCAAAATATGCTTATCAATACCTAAAAAAATACTAATATAAAATACGTGTATTTTCAGGATACGGATTAACCGGTTGCTGCAGAGCTATGTTTTCAAACAGAATATCTTACACGTTTGATTTCACCGGTCCAAGTTACGCGTTAGACACAGCTTGCTCTTCGTCTTTGTACGCGATGCATCAAGCAATTGCTGCGATACGTGCCGGAGAATGTGATTCAGCTATCGTCGGTGGTTGCAATCTTCTTCTGAAGCCTACTGCTTCCCTTCAGTTCCATAGGTTAAGCATGCTGTCCCCCGATGGTACTTGCAGAGCCTTCGACGCCGATGGCAAAGGATACGTTAGATCCGAAGCTGTCTCGGTTGTTTTCTTGCAAAAGTCAAAGAACGCCCGAAGAGTTTACGCTACCGTGGTACATTCGAAAACGAACACCGATGGCAACAAAGTTCAGGGTATCACATTCCCCAGCGGTGATATGCAAAACAAATTAATGCGCGAGGTTTACGCAGAGGCTGGCGTTAACCCTGCCGACGTCGTGTATGTCGAGGCACACGGAACAGGCACGAAAGTTGGAGACCCTCAGGAAATTAATTCGATCGCGAAATTATTCTGCAAAGGTCGAAAAACTCCGTTGTTGCTCGGTTCGATAAAGTCGAACATGGGCCACGCAGAACCGGCCAGTGGAGTCAGTTCTATGGCGAAATTGTTTATCGCCATGGAGACCGGTGTGATTCCGGGGAATTTGCACTTTAAAACTCCAAACCAAGATATACCCTCGTTGAGCGATGGTAGTATACAGGTTATAGATAAGAATACACCATGGAAAGGTGGACTCGTAGCAATTAATTCGTTCGGTTTCGGTGGAGCAAACGCTCACATTCTTCTTCGTAGCAATCCTAAACCAAAGTTATCACCAGTTTTAGATAGTAAATTACCGAAGCTCGTCACTGTGTCGGGACGCACTGAAGAAGCTGTAGAAGTACTTCTAGAGAAAGCCAAAGAATACGAATATGATGATGAATTCGTTGCTCTCCTTCATGATATTTACGCGAATTCTGTAACTGGTCACCTTTACAGAGGATACTCCGTTATGGGAAATGTTAACACCCAGGAAGTTAACTCGTGCGTTGGTGAAAAACGTCCTATTTGGTTCGCATTCTCTGGTATGGGATCCCAGTGGCCGGGTATGGGCAGAGAGTTGCTTTCTATTGAAACATTCCAGCGAAGCTTACACAGGTGTGCCGATGCATTGAGACCGGAAGGAATCGATTTGATGCATCTGATTCAACACGGAACAACCGAAACCTTTGCGAACGTTGTACATTCTTTCGTGTCAATAGCAGCTATCCAAGTTGCGCTCGTTGATCTATTAGCGCATTTGGGTATCCAACCTGACGGTATCATTGGACACTCCGTAGGAGAATTGGGATGCGCCTATGCCGATGGCACCTTTACACCGGAGCAAACTGTTCTGGCCGCTTATTGGAGAGGAAGAATGATCTTGGATTCAAAACTCGAACCTGGAGGTATGGCTGCTGTGGGATTAAGCTGGGAGGAAACCAAAGCACGATGCCCACCCAACATAATGGCAGCTTGTAACAATTCCGCCGACTCTGTATCTATTTCTGGACCAGTCGAGGACGTCCTCAAATTCGCGGCTGAATTGAAACAACAGAACATCTTTGCGAAAGTTGTAGACAGTTCTGGAGTTGCCTTCCATAGCAAATACGTGGCACCAGCTGGTCCAAAACTACGCACCGTTCTGGAGAAGGTTATTCCAAACCCGAAACAAAGAACTGCAAGATGGATCTCCACCTCTATACCCGAAGAAGCTTGGGGTACCCCGTTGGCGCAACTCAGCTCTCCAGCTTACCACGTGAACAACTTACTGTCGCCGGTTCTCTTCCACCAAGGGCTCGCTCATGTTCCAGAAAATGCGATAGTAATTGAAATTGCTCCGCATTGCCTGTTGCAAGCAGTTCTACGTAGATCTCTGCCCCCAACTGTGACCAACATTGGTTTGCACAAACGGGATCATGCAAATAACATAGGATTCTTCCTGGAAAATATTGGAAAATTGTACATGGCCGGAGCGCAACCTAAAGTGTCCAAGTTGTATCCACCTGTTAGTTACCCAGTTGGACGTGGTACACCCATGATCAACTCCCTCGTTAAATGGGATCATTCCACTGAATGGAGTATTGCTGATTTCACTACAAAAGGTGAATCCGCCGGAGAAATGGTTATAAAGATCGATTTGTCCAAGGAATCAGACGCGTATTTAGCCGGTCATGTCATCGATGGAAGAACTCTTTTCCCAGCTACCGGTTATATGGTACTGGTATGGAAGACTTTTGCTAAGTTACAGAAGGTCGACTACGAAAAGTTGCCAGTAGTATTTGAAAACGTGCAATTCCAACGAGCCACCATTATGCCAAAGGAGGGAGAGGTGAAGTTTTTGATCAATATATTCATGGGAACAGGTGAATTTGAGATCTGTGAAAACGGATCTGTGGTAGTAAAAGGAAAGATATCCGTCCCAGAAAACGACGAGAAAATGTTGCTAAACATTCCTGCGCCTGTTGTTCAAAATCAACCCGACTTGCTGGAATTGACTCCGAATGACATTTACAAAGAACTTAGATTAAGAGGATACGATTACACCGGAGTTTTCCAGGGGATTAAGTCTGCCCAAAATCGTGGCGTTATTGGTAAACTCCAGTGGGACAACTGGATTGCATACATGGACACCATGCTTCAGTTCTCCATATTAGAAAACGACTCGAGAGGACTGTACGTACCAGTACGTATGCAGTACCTTGCTATTAACCCAACGGTTCATTTAGAATATGTTAAGAGCTTCAAAGAAGACGAAGGTGTTCCAGTTTATTCTTATTCAAACATCGGTGTCGTTAAATCAGGAGGCATTGAAATCAGGAAAATGAAAGCATCCTTGATTTCAAAGAAACAACAATCTCAATCACCCAAATACGACAGGAACACATTTGTGCCTTATGAAAATCTTCAACCATTCGCGCAGGATCCCGAAAGAGCTAAGCTCCATGCTCTTACCATTTTACTCCAACTTGTTCAAGAAAATATACCTGGGCTAAGAATTAAAGCTGTTGAAGTAGCTGGAAATCGTCCTGTAGACGTTCTTCTCGCGTCCACTGTAATGGACATATTTTTTTATGAACCACTGTGTGTTGTAAGTGTTACAATCATTTGTTTGAAACGATCGGCAAAATGATATTTTATTAATTTTGCATTTTTTTTTACAGGTTGATATGCAATTGATCACATCCTCGCGCGACCAATATGCCAGCTTAGAGTCGTTAGATGTGAAGATCGTATCACGCGACGAGAATAATGGACCAGTTGGTCAAGATCTGAATCTCGTAGTAGCGGCTAACGTGTTATCTAATAAGGCACTGAATGTGTTGAAAAATTTGTCAAACAGTTTGAAGCCTGGTGGATTTCTATTACTTGAAGAAACGAATCAAAATGATGCTAGTTTAGTAAAAGATCCAAGTTTGATTTATGTCGCTAGCCAGTCTTTGCTTGGAAAGACGTACTTGTTACTTAAAAAGAAAGAAGAGAGAGAAGAAGTGATTGTTATACAAATGACTGAGAAGAACTTTGCATGGCTTGATAATGCTAAGGCAGCTCTGAAAAAAGCTGCAGTCAGTAAACAGGATGTTATCTTCGTTGGTCAGGGTGAAGAATTACTTGGTAAGTATCGCGTGTATTAAATATTTTTTATCAAATATTGTATTTATAATAAATATTTTTCTTTTTTTTTTAGGTATGACTGGATTCATGAACTGCATGCGTCGTGAGGAGGGTGGTTGGAATACACGTTACGTGTTCATTATGGACAAAAATGCACCTAAATTTAGTCTAACTGACAAATTTTATGCTTCACAATTGAACAAGCAATTGGTAGCCAATGTTTTGAAAGGAGGACATTGGGGAAGCTATCGTCATCTGCGATTGGATCAACAAAGCGGAGTATCGTCTCTTCAAGTTGAACATGCATACATTAACGCATTGTACAGAGGTGACTTAAGCAGCTTACGATGGATCGAAAGTCCACTGAGCTACTACCAACCAGAAAGTTTCCCGAACACAGAATTTTGCCATGTCTACTATGCACCGTTAAACTTCAGGTAAATTTGATTTCTGAGAATTGATAAATTACTATATGATCAGTGGCGGCTCGTAGCTAAAATTAGTGGGGATGCTGCTCCAGAAAATTTGTAGCCTTTGTTTTAAAAAACCGGCACTGCGGGAGTGCTCTCAGTGGTCTCTTTACTGCGCAGCCTCGCGCGCAGCTTCCTATGTGCGCATGCGCACAACAATTAAACACCACGCCGCTGGAACTATGAAGCGCACAGTTCCATACAAAGATTTTTCTATCTTTTTCATAAACTGGGGGATGGCTACTGACATTAAGCTTAAGGATTATATATTGTCCAAGTATAAAGAAAGAATTAAAGAAGTGGAAATAGGAGGTGCTGCAGTTCCACAGTGCCTATACGCAAGCCGCCACTGTATATGATATTAGTAAACATGGTTCTAATTATATTATGCAACATTTAATGTTAACAGAGATGTTATGCTGGCAACTGGAAAATTACCACCCGATGCTCTTCCTGGAAATTTAGCTAATCAAGATTGTATTTTGGGCCTTGAATTTTCTGGTCGCAATTCGAAAGGTAAAAGGATCATGGCTATGGTACCGGCACGCGGTTTGGCAACTACTGTCGTAGCTGATCCTGGATTTATGTGGGAGGTCCCTGACAAATGGACCTTGGAACAAGCAGCTACAATCCCAGTCGCTTACGCGACAAGTTATTATTCTCTTTGCGTCCGAGGTGGTCTAAAACCCGGCGACTCTGTTTTGATTCACGCTGGTACCGGAGGTGTAGGGCAAGCAAGTATCGCGATAGCTTTGCACGCAGGTTGCAAGGTATTTACAACTGTTGGAACGCAAGAGAAACGAGATTTCTTGAAGAAAATATTCCCTCAATTGACCGACCGAAACATCGGCAATTCTCGAGACACCAGCTTCGAACAATTGGTACTTAACGAAACCAACGGCCGTGGTGTTGACATAGTGCTTAACTCATTGGCCGAAGAAAAGTTACAAGCTAGCGTAAGGTGTCTCGCTATTGGCGGTCGTTTCCTTGAAATTGGAAAATTCGATCTGTCCAATGATGCATCTTTAGGAATGTCGGTATTCTTGAAGAACGTCTCTTTCCATGGAATACTTCTGGACGCTATCTGTGAAACTGACGGTCCAGAAAGAAAAGAAGTAGCAAGACTGGTTTCAGAAGGTATCAAGAACGGCGCTGTGCGTCCTCTTCCATCGACCGTTTTCTCAGAACAACAGATTGAACAGTCCTTCAGATTCATGGCTACCGGTAAACACATTGGTAAAGTTCTGTTGAAACTTCGCGACGAAGAGAAACAGAAGGTCGTACAGCCGTCGCCAAAGGTGGTCGCAGCCATTCCAAGAATTTACATGAACCCAGATAAGTCCTACATACTGGTAGGCGGTCTTGGTGGATTTGGTTTAGAACTTGCAGACTGGATGATCATTCGCGGCGCCAAGTACATAGTTCTGACCTCAAGATCCGGAATACGCACAGGATTCCAGTCGTTGTGCGTCCGTCGCTGGCGCGAAATGGGTGTACACGTTACGATTTCCACCGCAGACGTAACAACACTTGCCGGGGCAAAACAACTGATCCTGGAAAGTAATAAAATTGCTCCGGTCGGTGGTATATTTAATCTGGCGGCTGTTTTACGCGACGCGCTTTTTGAAAATCTTGAAGAACGTGATTTCGTTATATCGTCATTACCAAAGATAGTTGGAACTAAAAATTTGGACGCAGTGTCCCGGGAATATTGCTCTGCATTGGATTACTTCGTTGTTTTCTCGTCCGTTTCAAGCGGAAGAGGTAATTTAGGTCAAACGAACTACGGTCTTTCCAACTCTGCTATGGAAAGAATAATGGAGCAAAGACAAGCAAACGGTTTACCTGGTCTGGCTATTGAATGGGGAGCTATTGGAGACGTCGGTTTAATTTTAGGTATATTGCACATGTTCTATTGCACTTGAAATTAATTTTATCCATGAGTAAATATCATCTCATTCTATTATTATTTTACAGAAACAATGGGTAATAACGATACTGAAGTAGGCGGTACTTTGCCACAACGTATACAAAGCTGTCTCGAAACAATGGATGTGTTCCTTCAACAACCGCATCCAATTCTAAGTTCCTTTGTTTTAGCAGATAAACGCAAGAACGCAAACAGCTCGAACAAAGTTAGCATTGTTCAAGCGGTTGCTAATATTTTAGGCATTAAGAAAGTAGAATCCGTTAATCCCGCTATTAGTCTGGCTGATCTTGGAATGGATTCTCTTATGGGAACAGAAATCAAGCAGACTCTTGAAAGGGGCTATGATGTAACATTGTCGGCACAAGACATTCGTGGTTTGACATTCGAAAAATTAATGAAACTGAACACTGATGTGGGTGAAGAAATAACAAGTACTTCTAATACAGTCTCGCAAGAGATCGGTATAGATTTCTTATTCCAAGCCGATGGTGCAAGTATTATACCCATGGAATCTGTCGTGCAACTGACGTCGAAGAATTCAAAGGGTATACCTATATTCTTCATTCACGCCATTGAAGGAATAGCAGCCCCCTTCAAAGAATTGGCCGGTAAATTGAATCGACCTGTTTGGGCCTTGCAATGTGTCGAAAATACTCCATTAAGTAGTATAGAAGATCTAGCTGCGTTCTATATTAAGAAAATACAAACCATTCAAAAGAAGGGACCATATCATATAGCTGGTTACTCGTTTGGAAGTTGCATTGCGTTTGAAATGAGTATTCAACTACAGAAAGCTGGGCAGGAAGCAGTTGTGACATTTATCGACGGTTCTCCAGACTATGTAAAGTTACATTCTGTAGAAATTGGAAAAAGAGCTGTCGAAAACGACGACGAGGATGTGATTAACGATAGTTTCCGAAAGGCTTTATCATTCTTTATCATACAGTTCAATAATAAGATTGGCATGCGTGAGGTATACATATATTTCAATTTTCATATATTGTATATGTTACATTAAAATTTAATAATAACACGTATTTTTCACTTTCTCTAGGCATATGGCATATTGAAAGCTGAACCCACTGATGAAAAAGTTTTTAATAAAATGGTGCAATTAATAAATAGTACGCAAATAAAGGCTGAAGAACTAAAGATTGCTAGTGTCTTATTCCATAAAAAATTGTATGCAGCTTATATGTACAAACCAAGCACTACGTACAATGGAGACGTTTTACTAATTAAAGCCGAAGACAACTTTTTCCCTTCGGAAAGCGACTACGGTATATCAGAGGTAACTATTATTTATTATATTAAACGTTAATTTTAATCTATTTGTAATATGTTCTTCCACTTTCTTTTTATAGCTTTGTAAAAAGACTGTGACTGTGAAAACATTGCCAGGAAATCACAGAAGCATTTTGGTAGGAGATAGTGCATCCAAAATCGCATCCCTGTTACAAACGTAAACTTATTTTCAATTATAAATAATGTAAAGAATAAGAATATATTCTGTAACATTTATATCATTACTTAAATGTATATAAGTGTTACACAGAAACGTTCCACAAAGTTTTAATGTACAATGATATTAATAGTAATCATCAAAACTTAATATTTAATATTTAATATGATTTCTACATAATTTTCTGTAAAGTTCCTTTTGTACAAACGTTTCTTCCTTCAGGTTTCTACACGCATTGTTTATATCATCTGCATTATTAAATTATGTAGCCCTTTTCTCTACTTTTTAATCATAAATATCTTAAAGTTGGTGAAATGTGAGAAGTGTATCAAAACAAAAGAAAAAAAAAATAGTTTTAGTGTTTTTTGTATTTTGTAGTCTATAATAGTTTCAAGTACACTACAAATGGGTATTACTATAAATATTTAGCAAATCTTAAATATAAATATTCAAGTTAAGTTAAATTTAAACTCTATTTAGAAATATCTACTATAGGTCTCTGTAATGGTTTATAGTGGACAAATTAACCATTACTTGGACATATAGTGCACATGTGCATTTTGTTCAGTGTCATTTTGTATCTAGATTTCTGAGAAACCATGTCATTTTTACACAGAAGAAATATGTACAAAAATATTTAACAAAAAATATCACGAAGCAAGAAATATCTCTTACAATTTTGTCACTCTGACTTTTCTATACTTTTTAGTGATGTATCCAAATAAAATAAAAAGATGTAACATTCCAGTGATAAATATTAATATATATTCTATATATATTTATACAATTTCACAATTGATTGCACACAACATACTTAATGCTTTATTGAAAGCAACCATTTGTACTATTTTTTCATTAGTAATAAGAAATCAATTTGTTAAATAATAAATATGTATATGTTCATAGATATTTTGATTGTCATTAAATGCATATAGTATACACTTGTTATGTGTTACATGTTACATACGTTCTTGTATTATATTGATAAATAAATAAAGAACAACAAATAAGTTAACAATTAATCCAGTATATTCTGTTATATTTCTTTTTATTTAATCTTGATTTAAACATAATACAATTTTAAACAATTAACAGTATATAAAAGTATACAGTACATCCTAGTTTAAAAGTAAAATATTTTATTTACAAATTGTTAAAAATTAAATGGAATGTTCATGCACTTTATTTATTTATTAAAGAAAAATTTATTTTTCTTGCATTGCTCGATACTTTGGATCAGAAATTGCAGCGTTTGGATTGCAAGTAAAAGATACAGTTAACGCATAACGAATTCCAGATTGCACTTTTTCAACCGCGTGTAAATTTTCACTACCCGAGGTGAACATGGATACTCTACCTATAAGGTAATATTTAAATTAAATTATTTTTAGATTTTACCATCATTATCGTTATCGGTTCTAACTCTTATTTACCTTTCCGGGGTTCTACGGTTGTGTTAACGCTGTCTTTATCGATAAATATGAATCGACCTCCTTCAAAATCTCTTCCGTAATCGTTTAGGTAAAGCAAACTTGTGTAATCAAATGATTGATATGTTTCCTAAATAAGAAATTATTTTTAAAAACAAACTGCTGTTAATAACTTGATTAGTAATAATTAATATGTATACCTTGTCAATGTGAGGATGCCAATATTCATCGTGTATTGTTTGCGCAGATACATTAGTCATTCGTGAAAAGAATGTTGGCTTTGTTAAAAATATTTTATTAGCGGGAACACCAAAATTGTGTGCCACTGCGTGTTGTATTTTAGTTCTTACTACTCTACAAATATAAGATATAATATATTTATAAAATAAAAGTGATTATGTTTGTCTTAAAGAAAGATGGTTAATTTTCATACTTATAAATTGCAAAATCAGCACTGTTGAATATTGTTTTTGCCTCTGGCAATGTATAGATATTAATAAAATCACGACCTTTACTCAATGCACCAGAGTGAAGGTCTAAAATACTTGCACCTCCGTCAGAACCCCCTAAACTTAAACCGTTCATTGCTATCTTTAACAAAACATCAGTTTCTGTTGACGAGACTAATTTATCTGAAACTATCCTTCCACATTTCTCTGGTACACACTCGGGATATTCGCTTGTCTCAGCTTTATAATCATTCGAACATTCAACGTGTTGTGTACGGCTTAATAAAATTTCTTTCTGTTTTGCTAAGGATATTTCTTTACCCTGCTTACTATTATACCAAACAATAAATAACACTGTTAGGATTAGAGCAGAACGTGACCATATCCTTTGATAAGGAAATGTTACAGATGGGCCATACTTTCTGCAAAATGATACAAAATGAATCAAAGATTAAGAATCAATTTCTGTAATGTTATATGAAATAAATAATGAATTCATTAATTAATATTTACATATATGACAATAAGACTAACCTATAAAATAACAAATATATATGTAAACTGAATTTCTAACAAAAAACATATAAAATAAAGTATAAAATTTCATTCTTAATTAGCAATATTCAATAATATATAAGTTAAGTGTCATCAAAACATAATATTTCAATGTTACATACAATTTGACGTTTTCATTTGAATCTTTTTTCGCATTTTCCTCGGATTTCTCTTCTTTATGGTTCGTTTTCTCCCTTGTTACCTGTTTTTTCTTTCCTTTTTTAGTTTCTTGCGACATTATATAATTTAAATAATACTATTATTAAACATACACTAACGTTTTTAACGTATACTTGTAGTCAGAATCAAGCTTTCCTGGGAAAAATCCATCCCCCTGGGGATGTCCGCCATGCTCGGCAATGCTCGGTACTGTACGCCACTGTTGAATTACTTCGAAGCGTTATCGATCAAGTATCGATTATTCTACTTCTGGTAAGTAATGACTTCCGAAATTTTAATCATGTATCTTTATTATGGAATAAAGTAATTTATGTATTATTATCAACAAAAAAGGTACGGTCAATGAACGAACTAACACAAGGATCGTAATACTTTCCAATGGTTCAAGTTTTAGTTAGCATTTGTAACCATGGATACACGGCGAAGCATGGCCGCTCGATTAACAGTTTGCGAATAAACGTTGCGCAGAAAGGTGATCAAATACGTGGAATGCTGTTGAATCAAGTGATTTTTCTCGTGAGTAAAATAAAAATCATTTTACATTAACCACTTTTATAGAACACGAAATACATCAAGTGCTACCTGGTTAATTCTTAGCACTTCCGGTGTATCCTGCAAATTTTTGAAATCCTTCGGCTAATTTGCTTCCTATAACTCTGTTTCATTGTCTAAATTTTGAAAATGAATAGAGTGCCTAGTTGAAATTACTTTTACGTAACATTATAAAAGATGTGACAGATCTTTGTATATAATACAAATATGTACTTGTACATAAAGAGGAATTAAAAAAAAAAAAAGAAGATTGAAGTTCCATTGGCTGGTTCCGGAAATGCAACCATTTTATGCAAGTATAACAAATGTTATTTTTTATATAATTTCTTAAATTTAAATAATATCTTGCTGATTAAGTTTTCAGTTTCATTCTAATGCTAAGTGCAATAATTATAGAATTGTATAAAGGATTACGAAACGCGCTGTCCTTAGATTCCAGTATTTTAAATTGACTAAAAAATTCAGATTGTAATGAGTCAATAGGTAGAATGTCTCTTTGAATATACATATATATATTTTCTTGACTCTGGCGAGTTAAGAAAATCCATAAGTTCGCATGACTGACTGAAGATTGTTCGCATGCGAACCGAAGAAAATGCTAATCTTGACCAGGTGCTCGATGTAGCCCGGATTACGGTTCCCCTTGCTTCTAGGACAAAGTCATTTGTTAACCCTGCCAGAATGTAACTGGGTTATCGTAACCTGGTCGACATTGTGAACGTATGATTTGAGAAAAAGTCACGATAGTTGTAGAATAATCGCGGCAAACAATAGCTTTGCGTCGTCTACCTCCTCGTTACTTTGTACGTGTTTGTTTTATCGATGCGTTACATAAGTACAAATGTGTACAGAGTATTGTTACACGAAGCGACAGATCTGTTATTTGCAATGATATAAATTATCCTGTGACGTTTATATTGAGGATGGCTAACTAAGTTTCACAGCTAAAGATACATACACTTTATAATTATTTGTAGTATTTGCAAGTTATATAGACATTTTAGCAGAAATTTATTTCTAAAGTATTCGTCTAAAGAATCGTCGCTACTTACAGTGGGTCACAAAATTATTCGTTCACCGTTTAAAACAGAATACCTGATTTAAAATTGAACCAAATGGCTTAAGGTTTCTTGAGAAGATATAAAAATTAATTTACTGAGATATGTACTTTTGTTGTTTTAAAAAATTACAATTTGTTGAAACTGTGAGAAAAAATAGTGAATGATAATTTCTCAACTTCTTTAGGTAAGCCTATAATGAAAATTTAAAATATGTCTTTGGTAGATTCAAATAAGTTATGTGTATACTGAAAATTTCATCGAGATCGGCCAATGCATTTAGAAGTTACAAGTAGTTAAAATTTCCGAGTATCGCGATTTTTTATTTAAGAATGACGATTTTCAGAAATTTTAATTACTTGTAACTTCTCAGTGCATTGACCGATCTCGATAAAATTTTCAGCATACACATAATATACTTAAATTTACAAATGTCATATTTAAAATTTTCATTACAGGCTTAAATAAAAAAGTTAAAAAATTGCCTTTTACTATTTTTTCCCCGATTTCGGCAAATTGTAATTTTTTAAAACGACAAAAGCACGTATCTTAATAAATTAATTTGTATAGCTTCTCGAGAAACCTTACGTCATTAGCTCCAATTTTAAATGAGGTATTCTGTTTTAAACGGTGAGCGAATAATTTTCTGACCCACTGTATTTATTCGTATTAGGCGCAAGGTACACGTGTCTTTAGCAAAATCCGTGTATACATCGATTTGGAAGTAACGATAACTCGTGTTTGAAAGTAACTGAAATTCAGTAATCGACTTATATATCCGAATAACCGTATATAGTACCCGTATAACGTTTCATATTTCATGAACGGTATGTCAACGTTTCCTAGCGATAGCTTTTCCCCTTTCAAACAAAATCAAACTCGCGTGAAAGCGCGTAAAATATTCAGACACATCACTTGATCATACATATATACATTCTTTTGCTTTTATAACGATCATTAATTTCTTAGCAGGGTACTTTATAAATAACTTTTCAGTAGATGACGGTATCACTAATTTTGAATTGTTAAATAAGCAGCGTTAAATCAATTCATTGATCTATCGACCTGTCCGTGAGAAAAGGTCGATACAGTGCATAATTTCGTATAAATCAAGAAACAAATGAAAATTAACATTAGCATAATCTAGTCGAATGAAATTTACAACGGATTGAAAAAGTATTGACGCACTTCGATTTCTTATAATCCTTTATCTCAAAGGATTATATACTATTCATAAGAATAATAAAGCTAGGTGTGCTGGTAACGTCTGTGCCTTTACACACAGATAAAATATGTTTAGTATAAAACATAAAACGAATAAATTGTTTTCGTTTTTTCATTTCTTTTATTTTTTTTATTTTCAGCTCGTATACCACTCATTACGACCAGCGAAACTTAACTATCGACGAAAATCAATAATGGACGAGCTTTAGATCGAGTATAGGAAAGGTCGTCGTGTATTTCGTTGACGACACGCGAACAGTCTAATATTATACGGTGAAAACAATCAAACTCGAAAATATATGGCGTTTCAGTAGGTACAATTTCTCCAGCATGATTATTAGGTCATTCCAAGACGAAAAGGTCATGCAGACTGTGGGTCTTGATTTATTTCAGATGGGCCATGTAATTGCAAGACTTTTCTTTTAATTGTCAGATTTAATTCTGATTTATATACAGGGTGTCCCGTAACTGGTGGTACAAGCGCGTAGGGGGTTGATTCTACGTGAAAAATTGAATCGAAAATGAAGAATAACATTTTTTCATATGACGCTTTATTTTCGAAAAAAATAAGTTTGAAAATTTGTCGAGTACGCGTGCACTTGGACCAGCTTTAGCCTCAGTAAGATAGTAAAATCCGTCGAATTGAAGCTAAATCAAGTACACGCGTACTCGACAAATTTTCAAACTTTTTTTTTCAAGAATAAAGCGTCATATGAAAAAATTTTATTCTACATTTTCGATTCAATTTTTCACGTAGAATCACCCCCTACTCGCTTGTACCACCAGTTACGGAACACCCTGTATACAGGGTGTTCGACAACAGGTGGACAAAATTTTAAGGGGTGATTCTAGGAATCAAAATAAGACGAAAATCAAGAATAACCAAATAGTGTTTACGGCTGTGTTTTCCAATAATTAACGTTTAAAAATTCGAATAAAAGGCGCCTGAAACCTGCAATCCGCCCAGCACCGGCGACTGAACGTCAGGTTAACAGGGGAATAGTAGAAACTTACCTCGTACTATTCTGTTTCTCGGTACTGCGGCATTCGGCTTCGATTCTTGGTTATGACTGTACCGACCCCTGCTGACCTGACATTCAGTCGTCGGTGCTGGGCGGGTTGCAGGTTTCAGGCGCTTTTTACTCGAATTTTTAAACATTAATTATTGGAAAACAAAGCCGTAAATACTATTTCGTTATTCTTGATTTTCGTCTTATTTTGATCCCTAGAATCACCCCTTAAAATTTTGCTCACCTGTTGTCGAACACCCTGTATTTATGAGAGGTGGGCCATTTATCCGATCACTTTCTTTAGATTTCAATCTTTTTTTCTAATAAATCAATAATTCACAATGCGTTGGCGACAAAAAATCCGTTCGTCCAGAATATTCATTAGGCTTGTCTTCGCTGTTAATTAATAATGGAATATAGGATTACATTAAAAAAGCTCAGTGAATTCTTTAAACTAGATATTTTACTTTGAAGGTTTGGAAGAACCGTCTTTACTACACTGCGAATGGACAAGGAATGAATCCTTCTGAAAATGCATGCAGAAAAACTGGCGCCCACTTTCAGAAATTAAAAATAATGGCCCCGGGCCTTCAATGTGTTTATCGACTCTGGTGACAGAGCTAGGCCTTTTGTCTAATGGGCAGTGCCTCTCAACGTAGAGATTCATTTTTGCACAAATCAAATAATATTCTATAAAATTAATTATCAAATTAATTATTAAGTTATTAATAATCTATGAAATGTCATCGCGGTTAAATTTGCGTTGATAATGTTAAGTAAGCTGAGTTATGTCATGCTTAACAAGCAATAAATCAAAATCCTTGATCTTATATTAAGAAATAATTTGTTAACTGAACATGTGTTTCAGAAATTGTTATGATGCGACTGAGGTACTTAACAAATCAGCTGACAAGCTGAAGGGAAAAGCATAGAGAAGCCAAAACACTGATGAAGATGAATCGATACATCACTTTGAATCAACTGGGAGATGGAACTTTCGGTTCCGTCGTTCTTGGAGAACGCATCGATACCGGTGAAAAGGTCGCTATAAAAAGGATGAAGAGAAAATACTATTCCTGGGAGGAAGCAATGAATTTGCGTGAAGTTAAAGTAAGATTAACACGTACACCCTGCCGCAAAAATGTTCGTCCACCGTTTAAAACAGAATACCTCGTTTAAAATTGGACCAAATGACTTCAGGTTTCTCGAGAAGTTATATAAATTAATTTACCAAGATATGTGCCTTTGTCGCTTTAAAAAATTTAAAAGGCAATTTTTTAACTTTTTTATTTGAGCCTGTAATGAAAATTTAAAATATGGCATTTGTAAATTTAAGTATATTATGTGGATACTGAAAATTTCATCGAGATCGGTCGATGCACTTAGAAGTTATAAGTAATTAAAATTTCCGAAAATCGCGACTTTTCATCTAAGAACGTGACTAGTTCCGTCTTTTAATTACTTAATTAATTTTAATTATTTATAACTTCTAAGTGCATCGACCGATTTCGATGAAATTTTCAGCATAAACATAACTTCTTTGAATCTACCAAAGACATATTTTAAATTTTCATTACAGGCTCACATAAAAAAGTTGATTTACTATTTCTTTCCTGATTTCGACAAATTTTAATTTTTTAAAACGACAAAGACTATATCTTAGTAAATTAATTAGCATAGCTTCTCGAGAAACCTGAAGTCATTTGATCCAATTTTAAACGAGGTATTCTGTTTTAATCAGTGGACGAATATTTTTGCGGCAGGGTGTAGCTGTTATGAATGTCATAATACTATAATAATTGTGCTGTTTTATATTTTAGTCCTTGAAGAAACTCAGTCACGCAAACGTGGTGAAACTAAAGGAGGTAATCCGTGAGAATGATGTACTGTACTTTGTCTTTGAGTACATGAAGGAAAACCTTTATCAACTGATGAAGGATAGGTACGAGCCATCGAAATGATTAAATATATAGAATCATCAGATCTTTTTTTCTTATATAACAGGGACAAACTTTTCCCCGAACCGGTGATTAGAAATATAGTGTACCAGGTACTGCAAGGTCTGGCGTTCATGCATAAACATGGTTTCTTTCATCGCGACATGAAACCTGAAAATTTATTATGCATGGGTCCGGAGTTGGTGAAGATCGCCGATTTTGGATTAGCCAGAGAAATAAGGTCAAGACCTCCATACACGGATTACGTGTCCACGAGATGGTAACGATTGTAAAAACGAAAGAAATTCGGTCGCTGTATGAATGGTAGTTTCATGTTAGGAAATTTATTTCAGGTACAGAGCACCGGAAGTACTGCTCCATTCTACGACCTACAACAGCCCGATCGACATTTGGGCAGTGGGCTGCATCATGGCCGAATTGTACACATTTCGACCATTGTTCCCTGGGAAAAGCGAGATCGATGAAATCTTTAAAATATGCTCTGTAATCGGTACCCCAGAGAGGGACGATTGGCCGGAAGGGTATCAATTAGCAGCCGCCATGAATTTCAAGTTTCCAAATTTCACTCGCACCTCGTTGAACGTCCTAATACCAAATGCCAGTCAAGAGGCAGTGATACTTATGGAAGACATGCTGCAATGGAATCCTATTAAAAGACCCACAGCGCAACAGTCTTTAAGGTAGGTGTAACTAGGACAAACAGCAGTGGATAAGAAGGTTGTATTAAAATGTTCTTTCACAGGTATCCTTATTTTCAAGTGAACGTTCCGCGTGCGATTAACAGCAAAAAGATTGGAGTCACCTCTCAACGAGATCTTGTTTTAAACAAAGTAAATCTTCCTCCTCCCATGCCCAAGCAGTACTACTCCCAACAAGATATTCTTAACACGTTAGAATCCAGGTAAAATACATCATCGTAAGATTACACAGGGTGCTCAACAACAGGTGGGAGATTTTTTAAGGAGTCTTTAAGGATTCTAGGGATCTAAATAAGACAAAATAGCGTTTGCGACTTTGTTTTCCAGTAATTAACGTTTAAAAATTCGAGTAAAAAGCAAACCTGCAACCAGCCCAGCACCGACGACTGAACGTCAGGTCAGCAGGGGTTGGTACAGTCATAACCAAGAATCATTGAATAGTAGAAACTTACCTCGTGCTATTCTGTTTCTCAGTATGTACTCCAAATTTTTGACGGTATATAAAAAATCTTCCCAAGAATTTAGAAACAGATTAAAATCTATTCTAATCTTGTAAAAAATTTTGTACAGTATATTTTTTCGGCTTTCTCTTTTTGGTTGTGACTGTACCTGCCCCTGCTGACCTGGCGTTCAATCATCTGTGCTGGGCGGGTTGGAGGTTTCAGGCGGTTTTAACTCAAATTTTTAAACGTTAATTACTGGAAAACGAAGCCACAAACGTTATTTCGTCATTCTTGATTTTCGTCTTATTTTAATCCCTAAAATCACCCCTTAAAAAATCTCTCACCTGTTGTCGAACACCCTGTATATCTTGATATGAATTTTCAGTATAATATATTTCAACATCTTTAGAGCGCAAGAGAAAATGGTACAACCGACGCAAGAGCAACCGACGCTGCCCATACTGAATCATAACAATTACCTTCGCGATAATAATCCCTCAAAAATGGACGAGGACGATTTTGCCGAGCTGTTAGGGTTGGTTGCACGAATTTACTAATCAAAACCGTGTTAAATGGATACACTCTGCCCGCGACATTATAATCTAATCCTTGATTATCCACGTCAGAAGCAAGATCGTTCCCGAGAACGCAATCCTTGCCCCAGAACGAGTGTATAAAGAGAACCGTGCCAATTGGAACGAGAATTATTTGCCAGACAATCCGAATCAGAGCAACGGGAACTGGGTGTTACCGCCTTGGAACGAACCGGCTGCGATCAGTTGGAATCAGTCGCAGTCGAGCTTGAAAAATGGTCGAAAAGTATCGGGGAAACAGCATTACTTCAGCGTGGCTCGGTACGTCGCAGGGCAGAGCACAAGTTTGTCGTCCAGGTATCGAATGTTTCGAAATCTTCTAAAGAGAATCCTGACTCCCTGTTCGATGGTAATAACGGGATGCACACTGGTGTGCTATTTGATCTGGAAAAATCAACTTCACAAGCATTCATTCCTGATGGAAAAATTCGTTTTTGGCAAATTCTTAACTGATCTCAAATTATCATCCAATCTCACTGTAAAAGAAAAATTAATTGATCATTAGAACGACTGTACGAACGTAAATCAGATCCTTGACGTTTTTATTGTAAATTTAAGGTGTTCAATAAAATTATTCAAATTTTTTTGGACCTGATTGTTAATCGCTTTCTTTATTGGATTATGTTAATGATTTTTTTTCTTCTCTTTTGCTTTGAAAGAAACGGTGATGCTGAACCAAACCGACCTAGATTAATGCGGAATTTGGTTGGCCAACCAATGGAGAAGTATGAAGAATTCACGGACTCCTTCTGGGTGCCAAGAAACTCGGTAGAAAATCAAACGAAGCAATATTACCTACCCCGAAATCGTTACATTACAGATCAGACGTTGAGGCTGCCCTATCCTAGCGTTTATGGTACACAAACGATCAGTGAGTATTTATGGTCAACTTGTATTTTTCCTACAAAATTATACAGGATGTCTCAGAAAGAGTGTTAGTCCTTTAAGGGGGTGGTAGCTGGGGTGATTCAGAACAATATTTTCCTTTGCGAAAATGTTGTTTGAAGCTTCGTTTTGCCTCTTTCTGGGACACTCTGTGTAATTTTGTCTTTGAAGTACCGGAATAATAAGTACGATCAGATGATTAAAATCTCTGATCAAGAATTAATTAATTTGATAGAAACAACAAATAAGGGAACCCATCAACCGAATGTCTATGGAAGTGTACTGAACACAAAGGGAAGTGGAGGTCTTCATGGAAGAACTGATTGGGCTGCTAAGTATCTGAAATAACTACATCAAAAGCATTACACATATACCCAAGTTAGCGTATACAATTTATTCAACTGTGATAAAATGACGTTTGTCGTTTCATTGCATTGCGAGGAAGACGTAAGTGAATGATACAATGATACGAATAATACAAAAGAACCAACTTACAAAAAATTCATACTTTTAAAAATGTAATCACTTCATTAATTATTTTTTTCAATTGCACGCAAGTGATCACATTTTTAAAATAATCTCGTTAAGCTCTAGTGGTCAATGTTCATGTAATGATAATTAGGAAAAAAACAATTTATATATTTTATCTTTCTTATAGTGTTATTGAATTAATTGTTGAGTAATGCTGTTTTGATAATACTTACATTATAAAATTCAGTATATTAATCTTTTTTTTTTTTAATAATTTACTAAACAGAACTGTTGTAAAAGACAGTAATGACTAATGATAATGGTTAAAAATGTAATGTTTGATTCCTAAAGAGTATAATACTTGGATAAGATATATTAAAGAATATAATATATATATATATACATATTTATTATTTGTACATGTTGATTAATTGCAATATGGAGTAATTTCTGGCATACATAAAAAATCAATGTAAAAATTAATCACATACAACTTTCTTTGTATAATTAATAGTAATCCTTTTTTCTTTTAAATACAGTTCAAGATATGCTCAAAAAATTACTCCGTGTCGCACTTGACAGAGTGTGTGAGGACAAAATATTATAATGAAAAACAATAATATATAAAACGAAATGACTCTCCATATTTTCTACACATAATCTTTGAGAAGCATTCTGATACTGTACATTCGTAATCATATACCTCACTCATTTCGTAAACTATCGTGATTTTAACTTTCATTTAATACATTTGCCTTTGCAATTGGTTGTATCCTTGGAAATTTTTTTAACATAGTATTAGCATATATATCTATATTTTGGAACTAATGTGTTTACAATATAAGTTAAAAATAATAAAAAATATATTACTATCACGTAATGAACAATGACTAAAATATGTTTCTCTATCACACAGTTGTAAAGTTAGATTTGTTTTGTAAAAATATTTCGTAAAGGAACATTTCATGAAAAAAGTTCTTTTATTTTTTTTTTGAAAATTATCTTCACGCACAAGAATTTGTACACACATATATCCCTGTTCCTAAATATTTATCTTCTTAAATTTGCTCAAAAATTTAAAAATCTTTTAACGATGATATGTAAAAAGTAAGATATCTAATAGTTCATCCACCTTCATATCTTAAGGATCAACCCTAATCCATATGCTGTTTATTTAAAAGGGTTTCTGATATTTGTGCATCTTAGAAATATTGTATAAAACAAATCACCGTACAAGATAAAAGTGTGATATTTAATCAATGATCCGATCGAAGTGTTTATGATATTAATCTTACGTTATTTTCCCAACTTATAAACGCTTGTTTAGTGAAGAAATCTATGCAGTTATCGCGTATGCATTTCATCTAAATGATCTCTAAGTATACTTTAAATATACGAATTACATCTGTAAGCTGCTTGGATGGGTGGTACATTGGTGAATATTACACATATACATTTATCCATTAAAATATAATTTTATATTTGAAGTAATCCATCGGAATATGTTCGTAAAAATGCTTCCGAGTATGTATTCGCATACGTGCGATCCGTCAGTTAAGTCCATTTAATTCACGAGCTTGGATGAGCTTCATTTATGTGATTTAACTTGTTAACAGAAAAAATTTAAGGAATCTACCCTTTTTTTAGTTACGTATATAACTTCTATCACAATACGTGAATATGGGTTTCAAGTTTCGCATTTATCTATCGTGTAAATTTAATTACTATAAAGATTGAAAATTTGATTATAGTTTTCCATACAATTGTGCATATGTTCTGAGATATAACATAGATTAAAATTACGCTCTTGAAAGAAACACATGCTCCATTTTTTTAAAATATGGAAGTATACCATGAGTATACGTATTTTAAGTTCATAATATCAACTATCCACGCAGACTCATATAACAATTTCTTACAGAATATATCTGCGCAATAACTTTATCGCATAAATTTACTATGTTTCAACCATCAATCTAACAACTGGAAGGACTCTGATTCCATATTCATTGGATACAATCGTTTTTTTTTTATATTAGTCATTCCAGACAGTCCCAAAAAAACTTAACACAATAGGTTCCTATTAAAAAATTAATCAAGTCCTAACAAATTATAGGAGATCAAATTCAATGTCAACAGTCTCTAATCCCTTTCTCATATTAGGCAGAATTATTAGAAAACTTTGCCATACTGAAATTATTTATCGTCACATTATTTAAAGATTACTTTTTTATCTTCGTGCAACATATTGTATAGTTATTTGAAATTTTTTTTCATATTTAACAAGGAAGTTTGATAAGCGTGGAATATGAAATTATTCACAATAGCATGAAAGGCACAATATCTTTTAAGAGAATAAAATATAATGTAGATTTAAAAACATATCTAGAACAAATTTTGTTGAACTAAAATTTCAATTAAAATCGTATAATAGTGCTCTATTTTTACTTATTTATTGACTCCTGTTCATTTCTGGTCAAAAATACCTTCTGCGCATCGATCACCGTTTTGCTTAAAGTTTAAGTAAAATCACTATCATTTATGGAATCATATATTAATGGAGAATTTTAGTCTTTGTGTGTGTGCTCAGTCTGGCGATATTTTACGATAATTTGCAAAATAAAAATAAGTAATGGATAACTAATAAACAAAACTGTTGTATAATTTTATTCAAGTAACACCAGATTCAACACAGCACATAAACTTGTGTATCCTAGTGTTGCAAGATTGCACTATTAACTGAGGCTGTAACATTACCAAAAATTTTCGAGGATACAGTTGTAGATGCATCTGTCATACTAGTAGTTAATGTACTGATAGTACTGTTAGAGAATATAGTGGAATTTAAAATAGTTGATAAAACACTGACGGTAGTATTTATCTTTGGTGTGACAGTTTCTAACATGGGTAAGGTGGAAGACACAGTATTTACTAAAATACTTGAGGTGGTACCATTATCCGGCATAACAGATAATTTTAATACCTTGTAACATACATCTTTTGCATGAACTGATGATAGTCCAAAACAAGTGTCCATCATATATGCTAATAATGAGCCAACTGTTAAACCTGTAGTATACGACAAAGTCATAATATTACCTGAAAAAGAAACATCGCAATGTTATATCAAATAAGGTGTTAAATTACAGCTAATAACAATATAAATACCAGCTAATTCGCGATGACTCTCTGGAACTTTAGTTGGTGCCTGCATCATTGGTACTGAACCAACGATACCATTTGTAACGCCAAGTAAACAAGCAAATAGTAATGGATAACCTTCACCAGAGAGAATTGCAGCACCTCTTGGCAATGCGCAAAGTAAAAATAAAGGAATTAATATGGCTCTAGCACTTGCGAAATATAATAACTGTGTACGTTTCCATTCGTAAGGAATCAATGCAAGCATCTGAAACATTAAATAATGCAATATGTGGTTTGAAAACTAAAGCTTTTTTATCCTATTCGTGTTTACCTTTCCCAGTACATCAGAAGCATTAAATGCTGTCATCAGGATTACTGGCATCCATGATTTAAGTTTACAAGAGATTATTTCTGACATGATTCCAGGATACAAGCAGAGCGTCACAAAATATGCTATTCCAATACTGGCCATGTACGGGAATATTATTTTTGCCACTTCAAGTCTTGCAAGTAAACCCCCTTAGTAAAAGATTTTCATATTACTGGCGAATTTGTAGAAGTTACTAAAGAAAAAAGATGTTATACTTTTAATTTCAGTCCATGGTTTGTTAGTTTGAGTTCCATATGATCCTCTCATAACAACTACATCTTCAACTTTATATGTAGGACCAGTGCTACCAGGAGGATTTCCTGATGGCGCACCAGGTTCATACACAGGGTTACTAAATGAAAATGCTGAATATTGATTTGTCCCTAAAAATGACAAATTATTAACTTATTATTATAAACAAATATTTTTATTTAATCTACCAAAACAATCATACAGGGTGTTCGACAACAGGTGGGAGATTTTTTAAGGGGTGATTTTAGGAATCAAAATAAAACGAAAATCAAGAATGATGAAATAGCGTTTGCGGCTTTGTTTTCCAGGAATTAACGTTTAAAAATTCGAGTAAAAAGCGCCTGAAATCTGCAACCTGCCCAGCACCGACGACTGAACGTCAGGTCAGCAGGGGTAGGTACAGTCATAACCAAGAAGAGAAAGCCGAATGCTGCAGTACAGTATTGCTTCGAAATAAGCAACTGTTCAGTCCCGAGCCACTTGCTTATTTCGAGGCAATTCTGTACCGAGAAACAGAATAGCACGAGGTAAGTTTTTACTATTCAATGATTCTTGGTTATAATTATACCGACCCCTGTTGACCTGACGTTCAGTCATCGGTGCTGGGCGGGGTGCAGGTTTCAGGCACGTTTTATTCGAATTTTTAAACGTTAATTATTGGAAAACAAAGCCGTAAACGCTATTTCGTCATTCTTGATTTTCGTCTTATTTTGATCCCTAGAATCACCATTCACCAAATCTTTACCATTTAAATCAGTGCTTCCATTTGCAGCATCAGCCCCTAATGGACTAGTTTGAATTTTTAAAACTCCATATTGACCTTTCGAAGGATCACCAACTTGATCCAATGGATCCATCTATTCAGAAATACAATTGCATGTTAATTGGAGTAATTCATTGGATTCTATTAATAATTAAAACATACCAAACCAACATCTTCAGTTGGTTCCAGTGTAATTCGATTTCTTTCTTGGCATAATGTTATATAAAATTGCACGAAATCAGTCTTTCGGACTATTTGATGCAACACAAAGCACATAAGAATAGTAATATTTGATAGAACAAAATATACGCATGTATTGCTGCGCTCATCGTCGAGCAGGGACTTTGTTAAAAGCCGATTGACAGAAACCCAAAGACTAGCAAGACCTATAAAAAAAAAATAATTAAACTGTTTCGTGGACAATTTAATTGATCGATATAAATTTATTTATACGTACTTTCTCCAGTCATTACCGCCTGCGTATACTGGCTAGGAAGCATAGACGTGTACCCGTAAAAGCTTGATTGTTGAACTGTATACAAATTGAAATTTTGACAATAAAATACTCATTTGCAGGGAATTAATGATACCAGCAATTTTTACCTGTGCAACCAAGTGATGTTACCGCAACAGCAACTAAGTTAATAGTATAAGAAGTGCTAACTCCAAAAGGTTCCCACCAAACTTCGCAAATTATAACGAAAGTTAAAGTTACAAAGGAAACCAGATATCCTACAAATTAAATTAAATTAAGTGCAAGGTAAAAGGAATGTATATCTATCATTTTCATTTTTAAATCTTACCAAATGTTATTCGTGTGTTCAACGACAATGTTTCGACTAAAATATTATTTGCAAATACCGCGAAAAAAGCCATAATAATGTAGACACCTGACATATCGAATATTACAGTAGTTCCAGGATATCTTGCTTGAAAATAATCCACTGCTATGATAAAACTGTAAAGAACAAATTCTATATTTTAGCGCATAGAAAGATATTTTAACAAACAGGGTATAAATATATAATCGTAATTCAATATTTATTTTTAGCGTCCAGATTCAATTGTCTATAGCTCTACTTCTATACGCAAGATTGAAATATAAATTGCAAGTGCAAAGAGTGTATGATATTTAATTGCCGACACACAGAAGAAAGTCTTATTACGGCATGACCTGTTGTAAGGCAAGAGGAATCCTATACCGCCAAGTGTAAGAGCAAAGTAGATGAAGTTGGATTTGTCAATCGGTGGTGACAAATGAGTGAATCCATTAGAGAATTTGAATTCATTCATGCCTCTTGCTTTCCCTAATTGTACATAGCCCCGGCTTAAATTCTCATCCATGTTCGCCGTGATTGATGCGGAAGGACGAAACAGAACTATAACTGTTAATCGTTTTATGATCTCATTTTTTTTTTCGATGACTTTTGACTGTCAGGTTTTTCACAATAGTTGATCGAATAATACTGCTTCTCGCCGCACTTCTTGCCGATCTGTTAATTGCACCTGATCACTACCTTATTTATTTCTTTACGCAAAGCACAGACGTGTTTGTCCCGAGTTCAAGCGCATGCTTTGAAAATTTGCGGCATTGATTTCTGCGTGCGCATTTACGTCTCTTGTTACTGTTTTACCGGGAAATTTAACTAATAAGATTAAATTGTAAATACTTTGTAAAATGTATGGAACGCATTGATGTAAAAAAGTAAGTATTTCTAAGCTGAAAATGTTGCAGGAATACAGGGGCTGTTGCGTAACATCGTAACGTTGAATAGATTGAAGTTGTTATCCTAATCATTTACATATAATCAATGAAATATAGTAAAAAACTTGTAGCAACGTTTAGTCATCAGAAGAAGAATATATACATATATGTATAAAATATTGAATGAAATTTGTTATGCATATATGTATTATACATATGAGGATTTACTATATCGTTGAATATACTATACCGAGATAAGAAGCGCTTGCGCACTGCGTCATCTTATCACTTATGAATCAGCTGATGAGAAAGAAGTATTGTTGCCGAAGTTAAAGTAAAAATTACAAAATATGTCGCTAAACACAGCACACACTAATGGCGGTGTTCTTATACACGCTGGAGAATGGTAAGTTTGTAAAATAAATTTGTTATTGTTAGAAATATTTGTTCCACATGGTTTCGGCTGACGTTTTTGCAACGTAGTTACTGTCATGACCTTCCGAAAGCAATTTATCTTGTTATTATCAATAATTTACGTTCCCTAAATGATTGTAGTAATTAGTAGAATCATATTTGTTTCATGTTTGATACGATAAACACACTGTAAACGAATAAAATGTTTATTTATTTAGCATACTACTATTTTGCGACAATGTCACGATGGAATTTCATGGGCAAGACCAGCCAGAATTTATTGGTACCAAACGGGGACGGTTATACTTGACCACACACAGGATGATTTTTAATGCTAAAGATCAAAAGGAAAAGATGCAGTCTTTTAGTTTCCCATTTGTAACATTAAGTGAAGTTGAAGTGGACCAGCCTATGTTTGGTGCTAATTACATTAAAGGCAAATGCCGTGCTCAACCAAATGGCAATTGGGTCGGAGAATGTAAATTCAAATTGCATTTCAAGAGCGGCGGTGCGATAGAATTTGGGCAAGCTATGTTAAGAGCAGCATCAATGGGTAAATTTATAACACTTATGATTCATTAAATTTCTATACAATCTTGTATTGCGTTAATTTTATGATATATTCTTTATTTGTAGCTCAACGCAACGGTCCTGGATCAGATGCACCACCACCCTATCAACCACCAACATCAAATTGGTATGCTGCACCGCCACCTGCCTACCAAGCCGCACCAACTGGATATTATGGTTGGGTACCTCCAACTAACGTATTTCCAGAAGTGCCACCAGGTTAAATTCCATTTTTCTTCAATGCATTTTAAATGTTACTTCAATATTTTGTACTAATTAGCTGTACCACTTGTTTATTAATAAGTGTTATATGTTTTAGATACGAAGAATTTTTAATTCATATTGTAAATTACATATTAATTGTTACTCTATTCTATATTACTGTGTACTATTGTTTTATGTTTCATTATATAGCAAACACTGTATTTATGACGGATATGCCTCCTCCATATCCTGGTATAAATGCACCTTACCAAGGGTATGCAAGCAGCGCACCACCGCAAGGAGCATGGGGGAGTTCTACTCAACAATCTGGCTGGACACCACCGCAACAAAATGGAGCACCAGGGTGGGCTAATCCAAATTATAATGCCCAGCCAATGTCTCAAGCAGGTGCGTATCCAAATTATGGTCAACCACCACAATACAATAATTACTCATCAAATCCTCCGCCATATGCTGCCTATCCTCAAGGTGGTAATTACGCACAATCAGGTTATTATCCTCAACAAAATCCTTATAATCCTTATCCGCGCAATTACTAATGACATAAAAGATGTAATATAAATATTTTTTTTTTATACACGCATGTTAACATAACTTCTGTTTCATATACTGTGAATAACATTAAAAGTTTCAACAATGCTTTTTAGTTTATAACAAACAAAACACAATATACATTTACATGATAACATTTTTAAAGAAACATACAAATGCATATACTCCTTAATATTCTCTATAACACAATTTGAGATTACATGCTAATACAGTATACACATCGTAATAAAACTATTCAATTACTTTTAACTACTTTTTTTTATCAAATGTATTATAAATAATGAACAAATAATTACTTATTGTTGTCATGTATGATAATAAAGTATTATGTTTTTGTTGCCTTATTCTAGATTTATATAAATATTATAATACAACAAACAAATTATGTTATTAAAATTTAGTCAAATACAACTTGCTGTTTTTATTTGAACCCACCAATTTGACATATTGTTTTGTTATGGAATCATATTTTTTTTTATTAAGCAACTTTATTAAGCAGTGGTACCATATTTTCTATTTTGCCTGACAAACCTGAAGGTTTTGAGTATTATGCAATATTGTTGCATAACAGGTTTGGTTGACCTGGAGTAAGGTTGACTTTCACTATGCTCAGTTATTATCTCATACTTGTCAGAGGTAGTTCAAAAATACGTGGAGTGGTATTATGAGTTCTCAGTAACTTATAACTTATTTTCTGATTTGTGTAAATTGTAAATAAAGTGGTTAGAATAATTAATTTTGTTTCTTACAATTAACAGCATTAAAATTATTGATTATTATTAACAAATGATTCAGGTTGAGCATTTGATAATAAAATACTATCCCTTTAAAAATACAGATCAATATTGTTTGAAAAATCTTACAATTTTATTATATTTTTAAAGCGAGTAATTAAGAATTTCTACTTGATTTATCTTGGAATTTCACTTTCATAATTGTTCAATGCCATTCTTTATTGCCTCTCTACAGCAAATGAAGATTTAAAAAATTAACTTGTAAATACATAAAGAATAAAGTACCAAAGTAATTATTTAATTTTTAATAAAAATTAAAAAAAAAACAATGCCAGACCGATTTAAATTTACCGCATCAAATATATATAAATGTACGTAATTTATATCAACAGTTGTAGCAGATCAATTTTATCAATTATATTTTATTAATGTTCTATTTTTCTGTTATTTTTACAGATGCAAAGGCAGCAGAAGCTGCTCAAAGTGCATATTATGATCCAAGCAGACCACAGTGTGCCTATGTTCCACCTCCTGCATACTATGTAAGTAATTTGGAACTATTATTTCAAAATTGAGATCTTATAATTTAATATGATGTTTTAGGAAAGTCCACCAAGTTTCCAGCAAGCAACAGAGAAAAAGGACCAGTAAAATTGCATTTTTGGAGTCTGAAAATAGTGGTGTAAATTCAACACTACTATTATCTAATTAGTATTATATGTATAATACGCTGTACTGCATAGATACAGGTATATGCATTCCATTTTAGATTTTGCTATGATGTTGTTTTGGTGTATGCAACTAAATGAAACCATATTTCTATATTTCCTATGCTATTCACACTTTTAATTACCATAATCTATTATATTGTTATGCTTCAAAATATACAAGTATTTATACTTACTATGTAGACTGTATAAATGATATATAAAAGAAACTATTGTTGTGTTTTGTGCAATGAAATAAATATATAAAATAAAAGTTATTGCATATTAATACGGGAATTGTATAATACGTTTTATTAAAAGTTATGGGAGATACACAGTATTTGTATATGTATATAGATATATGTAATTAAAAATAAATAACAATTAACTGCGTGCAATAAAATTTACATTAAACTCAAACAAAATTCTAATATATATATATAAATATTTTTTTTTTGACAGGAAGTAAAAATGCAATTTTTTGAAGAGATATATAGCACGAGTATTTAAATGTTTGTATATGTATAAAATTTCAAATATATATATATATATATATAAAAATATCTTAATCATACAATTACCAACATTATTAAAGCACAAATTAGATCATTTATGGTAATAATATCAAATATTCATTCTTATGCAGACTAGTTTTTAATTATGGCAAAACTGATACATATGACAACTCATATGTATCCATAAATTATATAGAATGTCTTACAACAATTTAAATAAACGGACAATCGGATATATTCCAGAACTTGTATCAATCTGTCATAATTTCTTATGCACATAATTTAACATTTAAATACTGCTCTTTAACAGCACATTTTAAAGTTCAAGTTTTTTGTATGTGTATAAAAGTTTCATAAATATTCAACTAGATGTATAAATAATTTAATAAGGCAAAACATTTTGGATTTTACAATTTCATAGTATAAAAAAATACCATCTATATAGCATCTAGAGTTGTATACTACAAATGTTATTGAAGATACAAAGGGTATTGCCAATCTAGTGGCACAATCGGAATGAGTGTGGATTTACAATCTACATGAAAAAGCAAATAAAAAATTTATTAAAATTTATATATTTTAAAAATCCCGCCAAAAACAAGTGGCGCTATCTACAGTTTAGTGCACTAAATGAGCTTTTCGGTTTCGCCCCCAGAGGACGCTTTCATATACAGTGGCGGGTTTTTTTAAGATATAGAAATTTTTAACACTGATTTATTTAGCAATGAAGCCTCATATGTGGAAATATCACTCTATATTTTCGACTTACTTTTTCATATAGATTCATCCTCTGTCCGCCTGAGGCACCAGACTAGAGACACCTTATATAGAAGTTTACCCGTATTCAGAGGTGACTGTGAAACTGAAGCTTCCATCTTTAACGTAAGTGCCATGATACCAAATTCTTGTATCTAAAAGAACAATGTCTCCAGCATAAACAGTAAAATTAAAACGTGTGCAAACATTATCACATTCTGGTGTCGGAGCAACAGTCCAACTTTTATTGCCTATAATTTGTCCTTGCCACATGAGACGTGAGATGTAATCCAGCTATGAAAAAGAGAATAATTTTAATTAACAAAACTGTAATTTTAAAAATTAATTAACGATACAATTTATTATTCCTAGTATACGTACATGCATGATAGCACCTTCTTCGTATCCCAAAAAAACATAATTGGAATAAGGTACTTCTACATCTTCTGGCAAAAAATGAGGTAGACTATAATATTTTTTCATCGCATCCAAAACCTGAAGGTTGCAGTTTTTCCAACCAACATACCAGGGATCTTTTCCATTAAGTTGCAAGGCTCTTTCTTCGCTCATTGCAAAAACATCATGTAAATTAGTGAGATTACTTTTGAAATGTAAAAACTGACATTCATCTACTGAATCATAAGCACCATCAATATTTTCATATAAATCTTTGAAAAATTTCCAGCTAAATACCTTCGAAGCTGGCCAATGACTTGCAGCATTTTTTATCACCATAGGCCTAGAAGAATAAGCGTATCGCTTAAATTCTTCTCTAGTTAAATTTGGCAAGATCAAAGCTGAAGTAATACCACGACAATAATCACAATTTGATATTGGTCTTGTAAACTCCCATATGAAATAATTGTTAGGTATTAAGCATCTTGTTTCGCGAATACTTTTCATTACATCAGTGTACAGGTATTTAAAAAATACGCTACAAAATATTGGTGTAAAAATGGCAAGCAGTACTTTCTTGGAACATACATAATGAAAATAAAAACTTCTCTTATGTTTTGCATCATTTTTTATGCCAATTGATTTCAGATCTGCTAGTGATGCACCTTGTTCCAGATAACTCTTATTTAAAGATAAGAAAGCTTCTTGTATATTTTCTAACAGGTTATCACCTTCTTCCATTACTAGTAGTATGAATAAATATTTAAGTAATCATTGATACTTAATTATTTGAAAATCTGTATGGATGTATTTATATCATCGATTTTCATAGTATATCAATTATAGGTGTTTAATTTGATGACAGTATTATTTCAGTCATCAATGATAAGAAAGTAATATTCATTACTTTGTGTTCCCTTTTTTTTCATTAAATTCAATAATTGTGCGTTATTCTTCAAACATACATTTCATACAACAGGGGAACACATGTTGTTACTTTGAACGGCATCAATGACACCATACACATAGGTATATGTATTTCTTCGAAATGTGTAGCTATACAATTCTCCTACTTTCATATATTACACATACACGAACACCGTGTTAAACCTTGAACCACTTATCTTTCACCGAAATGCGAAGCGTTACATCGATTATGCAACAAATAGAATCGTTTTCTGAATGATAGGAGTTCCTATGTTCTTTGATTCTTACATTTTCTTACGTAAAGTAAACGAAAGTCTGAAGGCCAGCTTACTTAGCTTCGAGTAATTTAAAACTTTAATAAGAAGTTTCCTGTTCATGTGTTGAACAGATGGGAGTGGATGCAGATGTTTTATACTTATGCGGGCAAGATACTTGATATCCAAGTACGAAATTTCAGAATAACGAATCATTTTGTATGGATATATAATTGAAAAAGAAAAAATAGGAACAAGACAATAAAGAAGACTTAAAATTATTTATTTTATCAAATCACACAACATGATGTACAAGTCTCGCTTAAACGGACATTGAAATAGTTTTTAAACGTGCAAATACTTATGAATTTAATGTAAATGTTACGATAGATGTTTGATTTGTCGTTTTTTTCATGATTTCCTTCTCAGTTGTACATATTACAGAGTATAAAATTTCATTTACAGCAGTTATAATACTAAAATTATATGGTATTAGCTTGCTTACGCCTGTTAAGACACAGTCTACTTCATTTTTTTTTTTTATTGAAATTTTGAGACGGACTTTTTTTTGACAATCTGTCTTGTATATAGGCCAATGTTAAAATGCATAGTAAATGTATTTATTTTAACAAGTTCGTTGTTTTCGTAAACAAATAATACGATTATGTTGAATTGCATCAACTCGTTTCGTGTCTGCGAACTATATTTCTGTATAGTAACAGTTTATTGCAACTCGGATAACGCGTAGAAACCGTATCCTTGTATTCTTGTTTTATACAGTGATAGGCAAAAGTAAGTAGACACTGTTCAAAATAGAATATCTCGGTTAAAATTGGACTAAATAACTTGAGGTTTTTTGAAAAGCTATAAAAATTAACTCATTAAAATATGTATACACATAACTTATGTGACTCTATGAAAGACATATTTTAAATTTTCATTATGGGCTCACATAAAAAAGTTGAAAAATTACCGTTCATTATTTTTTTTCACGATTTTAACAAATTGTAATTTTTTAAAACGATGAAAATACATACTTTAGTGAATTAATTTTTATAGCTTGTCAAAAAACCTCAAGTTATTTAGTGCAATTTTAACCGAGGTATTCTATTTTGAACATTATCTACTTACTTTTGACTCTCACTGTATATAGGAAAATTAATTCTCGATTATTTTTCTTTTGCTAAGCATAACATTTACAAAAGGTATTTTGATGTTAAACATAAAATAAAATTTAAAATAATTTAATCGAATTTAAAAGTTGAAAAATAAAAAGTTGAATTATTTCTCGACGAACTTCAAAAGATTGTAAATGCAACATCATAACTTCTTTCTTCGTTTCCTCCTATAAATGTAATTTTACTTTAACGATTTAAATAAACGGAAAAAGTAAAGTTTGATGTGTTCGTTTAAACGATAATTTTGTTTCTAAGGTAATAAAATGTTTTTAATGTAAATGTATTTTATAAGAGTAAAAAACTTATTATATTTACAAATCTTATGTATAATCCAGAGAAATTGAAATTACAAATACAGCATTATTTTAATGTACAAAAGTTTTAAATAGTTGAGAAACCATAATGTTACGATAAACACATAATAATTAGAAAGCACGTTTTTTTCTAAATTTCAATTTGTCAATCTTATAAAACAACTGCCATTATTTTTCAATAAAATTAAAAATCATTTACCTAAACAATTTTCTTAACAAGAATACTTTTATTAGAACATATCAGTTATAATTCAACGCAAAATAAGTTATTACTTACTGTTAAAAATGTGTGACTAGTACAGTCGTGTTTGTATCAATGCTTACACCTGATTACACTTTGCTTTTGAAGAAACAGAAATTTCCATCAACGGTTGATCAGAAGTAGCACCATTTGCCAAGAATAGCGTCTTTTATAGCAGATATGTATTGCGCAGGAACCCAGTATATCCAATATCTTGAAGCTTCTGTTGGGCCTAGTTGTATAGCCTACAATTTTTAAGAGTATTTAAGTTTTAATGCTTATTCAAGTTCTAGTTATTACTCAAATACAAACCATAATGTGATATTCTGGATGATCATGAATTGGTTCGCTGTGTACACCTTTTATAGAATTCATAGGTATTTTGTCTGTTCTTTCTTTTGTACCGATCCATAGTTGATCTTGTTCCAATTTAAATGTTAATCTAACTTTACCACCAGATTTATTTAACATACCAGCCAATGGAAATTCTGGTAAAGGTTCCTAATTTTAATTGAATTAAATTAACAATGAAAATAATGATAAATAACTTGTATAAGTGATATATTTTAAAAATATCCTACCTTACTATTTAATATACCAGGCATGACATCTTCAGGGATACCCTTATCTAATACTTTCCTATGCATTTTCTGTTGAGATAAAGGTTCCTTATTTGTAGTGGAAGCAGCTTCATCCGAAAGATCTTGTTTCGTTGGAATTGACACAGCTAATACGTCGTCTAACTTTGATCCTACTACCATGACTTTGGCACCTTAAATGTATTGTACAAAACTTATAACAAATGTTTTACAACATAATTTAAAAGTCAATAATTTATTAAATTATCAACATTACCTTTTGTAACACCCAAACTTCTAAGTGTTTGTTCATCTTTGGCTAATCCTTTGATCATCACTTTCTGCATAGCTTGTGGCACAGATATGATGTTTTGAAGGTGCGCTTTTAATTCTGCCACAGTACCGTCAAGCGCAAAATTTACATTTATTCTCTGTTTGTTATAAATCACTTTAAAGTCTATATTCTCTTGTGATGAATTTTCTGAGGTAATTGAATTATCATTATCTTGTGTTTGCGAGTTTTGAACTTCAAGTTTTAATGCTGAATCCTTTGTTCCTATTGTTGAGTCCTCATTGGAATTCGTGTTTGATACTAATTCAGAACAAGATGTTGAGTTGAAAGAGTTGTCATTGCTTTCCTTTTTTGTAGTATCTAAAAAATATGAAGAGTCTATATGTTTCAGATATCACTTAAATAAGGTTATGTCAAAATACATATTTCCTAGACAATATGTAAAATGCATTTCACTACAAAAACTGATAAAATCTCATTACTGCACAATATTCGAAAGAATCTGAAAGAAGTTATGTATAAAATTTAAGCTGGAACAGCGATTGTTTTTATAAAATTAACTCAACGTATACAACAACCATTCATAATATTGTACAACATGATTTTTTAACAGGCAAATATTAATAGCAATCAAAATAATGAAAAATAAATGTAATGAGTGATAATGCAAAATATTTATTGGTTGGTAACTGTTAGTAAAAAGTATGAAAAATTGCCAAGCTAGTACGTACCGACGTACTCCATGATGAACTATATTTCGTTATCCAATCAAAACTATTGTAGGATGCGTTGCAGTTCCTGCTAATTCGTATTTGCAGTGATCCTTGGAATGACTTTCAAATTTTCAAACACACTCTAGAAATATAAATGAAAGTACATTTTTTATCTAAAAATCAAGGATCCAAAAGAATCAACGAATAAAGAATGCTGTCACGTTGATTTAATGTTCTTAATTCAACGCCAATTTAAACGACAAAGTACAAATTAAGGCGTGTTATACAATGAACTATCCGTTCTCCACATAGGCACAGTAGTTTTCCAAGAAGTGTAAATACGAGGAAGTATTTATATATATATGTAAAGTTTTATTCTTAGATTATTTATTGACAATATAATGGACCATTTTATACGCGTTATTTTAAATCACGATATTCAATAAGTTAATTGCTGTACTTATTACAATTTTGATGAACTGCGCAATGCTCAAGAATTAAATTTTTCTAAGGTCTGCTTATAAACTTCAAATTTCTGAACTCGTCTATTCAATATAAATCCGTAATTATCAATTATCGGTATATACACGAGTTCGAATTCGTAAATTTGAATAGCGTAAGGTGGCGCTGTAATCACAGATTGCCATCTTGTGCACCACATGACCTCGTTGCCGTGTCCCGTGACCAGCTCACGTGAATTTTGACAAATTCAAACGTTTTTGGTAGAAAAAAATGGATATTTTGGAGCAGCCCCTCGAACAACAGGATGTCAGGTAGTGTTTATGTTAAATATCGACTGGCTGATAATGCGAACACCTATCCCTCCTGTTTCGCTCGAGGTCTCCTCAAGGTCATCACGTAGTGCACAGTGCGCACTTACAAGACTTAGGACAACGGTCGTGGAAGTAATAGGCATAGACGTAACTCTATAGATAAGTTACATATCCATTCTTCAACATACCTACGCTTGTTTTACAGCACTGTTAACGCGAAGGATGACGGCGGCACGGGAATTGTTATTGAAGAAGCAGAAATCGTTGATTGCGAAGGTAAATACATTGCTCACAGTCTGAATTAACATTTGTCAAAACGTAGTACACTTTATACATTTACAATATTTTTGTAGGGGAAACTGTTGGAGAAGATGGGATGCGCTATCAAGAGACTCTAGCATATAGAGTGGTTCAAGTAAATGGCACTACTGCTGGCAATGAAATAGAACTACCAGTTACCCAACCAGGGAATAATACTGTACAGGTCCTAACATCCCCATTAAATGGCCAGTTTTATGTTATTGGAAATGCTAATGATGTTTTCACCACTGCACAAACTTCTAGATCGTTGGTTCCTAGAACTACTACTCTACAAATAGAGACACCAAGAAATTGTACCACCGTATTGAAAAAGGTACAAATTTATTATTTTCTTTAATAACTTGCGTTCAACCGTAGAAAAATTTCATTTTTAAACTTTTGTCCTATGTATTTTAGAGGGACGATAGAAGAAGAGCAACTCACAATGAAGTTGAACGCAGACGAAGAGATAAAATAAATAATTGGATTGCAAAGTTAGGAAAAATTATCCCTGAATGCAATACTAGTGCAAATGGTAATGGTAGCGGCAGTGGTGAAGGCAAAGCAAATTATGAAACTCAGGTATAGGATTAAAATTTGTAGTTAAATTTTATTAATATGAACATGTAAGCTAAGTAACATTCATTTTCTGTACAGAGTAAAGGAGGAATTTTAGCAAAGGCTTGTGAATACATAGGAGAATTACGAGCTGCTAATCAGGGATTGGGGCAATGCTTGCGCGACAATGAAAAATTACGGCAAGAAATAACTGCATTAAAGCAATTAGTTGCGCAATTGAAACGTGAGAATCTTCAACTAAGGTCACAGATATCATCCTCCTCCGCAGGAACCAATGTCGATGTCGTTCACTTGAGCCCTTAAAAAAATCTTTAATTTATAACACAGTGCTTCTTTTGTAAATATTAGGATATGTAAACTGACTTCACTGTCAGAAGAAGTATTTACTCTGATATTCGTCATATTTGAATTACATTTTCGAAAGTAAATCGCGTGGTCGTACTGGTATAGTCATAACTACTGCACGTATGTATATTTTTATATTCTGTTAATATTCTAATCGTGTTAAACAGAGCGTGATTTATTTTACATCAAAATTATACTTCGCTTTGGACGAAATCGGAATTCTTTCCACGTAATTTAATGAATTATTATATTTATATAATTTATAACTAGTTATGACTATTCCTCGCAGGACCTATTAAAAAATATTTTCTTTCAATGTGTGCATATGCATTGGATCGAATTACCTCGTGTACGTGAACGAGCCAAGGCTGTGAATATTGAACATTGATTTGAAATTTCTTGAACATACAATTTTAGGCAGCATAGCCGAAGTTGATTTAAAAGAAAAATTTTTGTTGCAATACGAAAAAAAAATTGCGATGCATAATACGGTGACTGAATCTTTACAGAGATCGTTAAATATTTTTTATTTTTAATACTGTTTTCACAAGTGTAGAGTAGGTACTTCATAAAATGATCTAGGGACTGAGAATGTAAAATAGATTAATCGTACACGTGTAGATGTGTATGTATATTTATATATGTATATATACACATATGTGTACATATGCATATACGTACGCGTATAGCAATAAACATATTTTTTTCAAACCAAGATTTTGAATGCTATGAAAATGCGTCAAAATAATTTTAAAAAAAATTACACTAATTTGTAATATATCGTTGATGTAAATATCGCGAGGTTATTGTTATATAATAATATTATTATTAAAATGAAATTTAATGAAATTTTCGTTACGTTTATTTAAACACTGACAATAATCCTGAATAAAATTTGCATTCTTTTTATGTATAGCATTTATTTATTTTTACATATGATACAACGGAAATGTCGAAGTTACTAGAACACTGTTTGCAATTTGCAATGCCTTTATCTTTATATTCTCTTTTTATGATAAAAGGACCCTGCACCTCAACAGTTTTAACAGCTTGTTATCTTTTTTTTTTTTAACTTTCAGACTATTTCTCAACGTTTTAACCGTTAAAATAACATTTTCATGTAACGCTGCATTTATCACTTAACGCGTGTACATAATACACTATTATAATACAAGATTTAATACTTTTTAATTGAAAGTTTCATTTTTTGTAAAAAGCTACCATATCATCCATTGTTACAAGCGTATTGTTATACTTTTGTTTCTCAGAAAAAAAAAATATGTACGGATGAATGGAAAGCTTCTTACCATGTTTTTTCGCTTATTTGACACATACGTACAAATGTTTCCACAATTATGTTCCATTTGTACTAAATAAAATAACAGGAAGCTTAATTCTCCAGGCAACTTATCTTCTCTTGGACATTTTGAACTAATTACATACAACTTTCTTTCAAGATTTTGAAAACTTATTACAGTACTTAATACACATTTTGTATAAGCTGGAAATGCATTTAAGGACGTCCCACACTTTATTATTTCAACCATCACGTATTATTTTATATTAAGTATTCAGTTAATACACATAAGAATTATAGTAAATTTTATATTTGTAACATTTTATGTACAAGTTTCTTGTAAGTATTGAAACTAATATAACAGTTTAATGCATGATACGTGATTACGAATACTCGTTATACTTCTCTGCAGTAGATCCAGGACATCCTTAAATGACCAGCATATAAGGTTCCTGAACATACAGAAATTATGTTCGTGTTATTGTTTCTGACAATTAATCTTCTAGATTTCTAAATGCTTGTTGAATATCCTCGTGCAATTGGTCGAAATCAGCTCTGATTTTGGCTTCGCCGTCTTTCACTGGATCCTGAAACAATAAAATATATATTAATTCCGTTTCTATTAAAATATACATATGGTTAAAAAATAATATTTACCTTGAATTTCATGGAACTCAATTGATAGAGAATATTACCCATACTATCTCTAATAACGTTCCATGTTATTTTATTATCTGATTGCGCCGTAGATTCGACTGCGTGCCTTGCCATGTCGTAAAATGCGATCATGTTTCTCAACATTCCCACAGTTTTATAGAATGGACAGAAACGATCATATGGCGAATAGCTATAAAACACGGTAAGTAATTAATACTATTATCCTTAGATATGTTTAGTACTAAGAAAAATAATTGATACCTGTTTTGTTGTAGGAAGTCATCTTTGAGAAGTTTTGCAACCTCCAGAGTAATTTTATCCGTTTCAGCGAGAGAAGCTTTACCAACTAACTGTACAATTTCTGACAGATCTTCCTCTTCTTGTAAGATTTCCTTAACTTTGGTTCTCAAAGGTACGAATTCTTGGAAATTTTTATCGTAGAAGTCATCTAAAGCTCGCAGGTATTTACTGTATGAAATAAGCCAATTGATAGATGGGAAATGTTTGCGCTGAGCGAGTTTCTTATCAAGACCCCAAAACACCTACAAAAATCAAATATACAAATATTTTCAAATATACCTTATTAAACAGGTATTCAATTATAAATTCTTTTCTTCTTTCAGTACCTGCACGATACCAAGAGTTGCACTGGTAACGGGATCAGAGAAGTCACCACCAGGCGGTGATACGGCACCCACTATACTAACAGAACCTTCGCGATCAGGATTACCTAAACATTTTACTCTGGAAATAAGAAGTTTCATATTAATATACATTAAATCAAAACGTGTAATCATTTATTCCTGAAACTAATTATATAAAAATGAAAACTACCTTCCTGCACGCTCGTAGAAACTGGCAAGTCGAGCTCCAAGATAAGCAGGATAACCAGAATCGGCAGGCATTTCAGCCAATCGACCAGAAATCTCACGAAGAGCTTCTGCCCAACGTGATGTTGAATCTGCCATCATGGATACATTGTAACCCATATCTCTGAAGTATTCTGACAACGTGATACCTATAAAACAAATCATTTTATTTGTGACTTTCTTACATAACAAATCAAGAATGAAATGTTTAAATCATTCACTGCACACGTACCGGTGTAAATTGATGCCTCACGAGCAGCCACAGGCATGTTTGAGGTATTAGCAACCAAAGCTGTACGTTTCATAATGGACTCGGTAACACCGTCAATTTCTACAGTTAGTTCAGGGAAATCACGAAGTACCTCAGACATTTCGTTACCACGTTCTCCGCAACCAACGTAAATGATGACATCGGAGTTTGAGTACTTTGATAAAGCTTGCGAAATAACAGTTTTACCACAACCGAAAGCTCCTGGAATAGCAGTTGTTCCACCTTGGACGCATCTATAATTTTATAAACATCCTAAGCATTTGTTTTATTTATTAATAAATACGTTTAAGTAACAAATTAAACTCCTACGGGAAAAGAGAATCCAAAACTCGTTGGCCAGTGAGTAGGGGATGATTAGCTGGCAATTTTTCAGTCACCGGACGCGGTTGACGTACCGGCCATACCTGAAGCATGCTATACTTGTGTCTATCGCCATCAAATTCTGTCTCCAAAACAATATCCTGCAAAATACAGCAGCAAAGTGTTACATTCACCATATTATTATAGTTTAATCGCTTGCCTATCATCGCATAAACTTACGTTAACTGTATAGTTTCCAGGAGGTGCAATGAAAGTAACAGTTCCTTTACTTTTGGGAGGTAAAATCATTTTATGTTTCACTAACGTATTTTCATAAACTATGCCAAACAGATCTCCTCCGGTAATGTGGCTACCATTCTTTATATTGGATGGATTAAACTCCCAACTAGCGGTTCTTGATAAAGCTGGTATATTAATACCTTTTGGGATATAAATTGAGCCTGTAAGCTCATTGATATCTTTCAACGGTCTCTGAATACCATCAAAAATACTTCCAAGGATACCAGGCCCAAGTTCTACAGACAATGGTTTTCCTGTACGTAGGACAGGATCTCCTACAGTTACGCCACTGGTTTCTTCGTAGACCTATGTAATAAAAAAAGTAAGTATATAAATGATATAATATTAAAACATATCTGTAATTATAGAACATATACAGTACCTGAATGGTAGCCATGTCACCTTCTAAACGAATAATTTCTCCTACCAGTTCGTAATATCCTACTCTCACTAGTTCGTACATAGCTGATCCTGCCATCTTCTCAGCAGTGACAACTACAAGGTAAAATTATATCACAATAACGAATGAGCTTAGTTATAAAGTAAATTATCAAAATTATTTACTAACCAGGACCAGATACAGCATATACATAGCCAAATTTGGTTTCCCTCTCCTCGTTACTAATCTTTGATAACCCACGGCTTGTCATCGTGAATTTTTATTCAAGTAAAACCAACAAATAACTGAAAGCATAAAGTAGCAAATAGAATTTGGAACATTTAATTAATAAAAAAAATACAAAGTATTTATGATAAAAGCTTCTGATAAACTTAATCTTTCGATATGGAATAAATATTGCGATCCATAAAAGTTTAATTTTACCAGAAATCAAATAAAAAAGAATAGAGTGTTAATCTGTAACGTGTAATCGTGAAGATTAGCTTAAACTCACTTCACTCTGACATGTAATCAACAATAATTCATCTCATGCTAATAAAAATGTGACTAAAGGAACATAGAAATTGACGATCGTGAGCGCTTTATTTGAATAAAGTGTTTTTACAAATATCTCGTGTGAATTTCTCGTTTGAAATTAGCAAAAAAATTGATGTCAACTATCACATCCATTCATTGTAAAATTCACGTGAGCAGTTCATTTAAAAAGTAGGCGTAGCCCTCTTCGAGCCCGCGAGACGTCTGCTGTCTTCACAGAATATCGATTTTAAACGAGATATTTGTCATCGATCGTGGATATAGAACAATTTAATTCGGTTTCGGTGAATTTTTCTATATTAAATATAATAGATAAATTTTATCGTTGATCGAAAAACGATGGCGCATTCAAACTGGTACGATCGATACTATACGCGCCAGTCTTTCTGCAAAAATCTCAGATATCTTTTATACAATATGAAATTGTTATAATTGTATCGGATATATAGTAAATCAGAAAACACCCAGCTCACCTACAGTCAATTAAATAAATGACAGTAAAAAAACTTACGAGACGTGAAACGTATCGAAGTAAGTCACCCTACAACAGCAAGTCAAGCTACACAAGTCGAGCCTGGCTGCTATCACAAGACAGGTCAGCTGACTGAAATGCATGCTCGTTTTCAATTATCAGAATTGAAGCACGATTTACACATGAACGACATTCTTACTGTTTTAACATTTCGTTAAAATATTGTAACTTTGTATCAGATGTTTTAAGAGAGATTTGATCAGCCTAATCATCTTGAACTGCAATGGTAATTTAAAGTATGGTTTAACAGATTAAATTTGTTTAACTGTAGAACTAGGGCCGGCCCTGGGCCTAGGCAGACGAGGCGGCCGCCTAGGGCCCCTCAAGGTCCAGGGCCCCCATAAGACGATTTTGCGTCTAAGAATGCAAAAAGAGTAATGTTTACTTGAATATTAATCAATGCAAATACAAATCTAAATTAATTATACAAGCTTTAATGTTAATTTTATAAATTTTATTTGAGGTACTTTTTGTGAAGGGGTCCTTTTTCGGAGCTCGCCTTGGACATCCTAAATCTCAGGACCGACCCTGTTTATAACATAAAGTTAATTTGAAATTAAACAGTTTTGAAAACTGAAATAAAATACTTATATATTCATGTTTTAATACCAATATACTCAAATATTTGTCGTGCGCGCGCATAATTACAAATTTCGTATATACTAAATCCTGAGCGCGATACTGGCGAAAGCTAGTTAAAAATAGAAATAGTCAAGGTAATTTAAACTTGATTATTATCATTATTACAGACTGTACATACACACTTGAATGGGAATTATAAATATATAATGAAAGTAAATATTTGACGAACACAAATTAATTGGCCCAAAATGGCGTTTTGTAGGGGGGGATGAAAAAAATTTTGACGAAAAACAAAATTGAAACAACTTAGAAAGTACTATCTATATAGTACGAGATCTATGGATCTTCCGAAACATTTACTTACACGAATACAGTTACATAATCTACCTAAAACTATCTATATATGTGTTTGTTAGCTACGTCTGTATATATTCTCTAGCTCTGAGTAAGAATACCATTTGAGCGTCAGAATTGCGTACACAGCCAAGGAATTGACTTCCTTTGTCGCGTTGCTATTTTATCGTTCTTCATTCCTGTTGAAACCTAGTAATCATCTGTAGAATTTGATCAGCGTACAATTTCGAAGTTTTGTTTCAGTGATTGTTGCTAGCTCTAACTAGTTGTTTTGTTTTTATTTGGTGATTATCCATTTTTTAATAAGATGGAAATGGAAAAATTACAGGAGTTTATGGAATTGCTTGGTCGATTAAAGGTAAGTTGTTAATGATAGGAAGACTTTTTTTTCAAGGCAACATCATGACAAATATAAATTCATAGTTTTGAACGCGTGATCTTGCTCGTGTATATGTATATCTACGCCTATGTCAAATGTTCTGTTTTGGCATTCTCAGTCTAGTGCAATCAACATAATTTTGTGCAGTTAATAATGTTTGTTGCTATATAATATTTATTATATAACGATATCTGAAAATCTCTTAATGTTTGTGGAAAAAGTAGATATTGTATTTATCTTTTGTTATTTGAGAATTTTGGTAACTTAAATTAATTAATGTACATATAATTCATACATAAGTATTTGGGAATAAAATTTAAAAAAATGATTAACTTATCTAAATGATTAAATGATCCCTTCTTTTATCATATGTCAATTGTTATTTTATCTTTTATCTTAATTGAACATAGTGCATTTTTATTTTTAATCAAAATTATCTTTTATAATGCCTTAACAAAGCTGGTCTTTATGCTCTATTAGTATTTATGATAAAAGTAGTTTTAGAACATTTAATAACTGTGTTTGTGATTTTAGCATATGAAAAGAACAGGATGGGTAATTAGAAATATTCCTGAACCAGAAACAATAGCTGGCCATATGTATAGGATGGCAATGCTTTCATTCCTAGTGGATAATAAAGAAAATTTGGATAAAGTCAAGTATGAAATGGTATTACTGATATTGTTTGTCAAAAATTGATGATCATCAAAACCTTATATTTCTAAATTATTCTTTGCCAACTATAGGATCATGCAGATGGCTTTAATACATGACTTAGCAGAATGTATTGTGGGAGACATAACACCTCACTGCGGTGTACCACTTGAAGAAAAACATAGGAGAGAGGATGAAGCTATGGAGGATATCTGTAAATTGTTGGGGGATAAAGGTCCTATGATATTAGAAATGTTTAGAGTAAGCATTATTAACTTATATCTTACATCCTATTTTACATCTATAAAAGTGTAGTGCACTTTATTTCATTATTGTTTTCTCTCAAATTTGATTTACAGGAATACGAAAAACAGGAATCACCAGAAGCGAGATATGTTAAGGATTTGGATAGATTAGATTTAATCATGCAGGCTTATGAGTATGAAAAGAGAGACAATGTTCCTGGAGAGTTGGAGGAATTTTTTGTTGCAACTAATGGAAAGATTAGACATCCTTTTATTAATAAAATAGCTTGTGAAATTACTGCAAGAAGAGAAGCTCTATGTCACAATTCAACTAGTTCGAAATGAAAAAAAAATTAAAGTTGTCAAAACAAAAATGAAAAAGTACAATACTAATTTAGCCAATTTTTTCATCTATCATTTGTCAAAACTTAATGAACAGTAACATACAAGTTATAATACTAAATTTTCATTGCACAGTCGTAAATAATCCGAAGAAAAATATTATAAATTTTATAATTATTCGGTTAGCTTGGTTTTATAATGATGTGACATTTTTACGGAAAATAAAGATTACCTTTGTGGCCTTTGAATGGCTTTTAAAATAATATATTTCAATAGTGCAATATTAATCTTTATTTTCTGCAGAAATCAAATTAATTAAGAAGTTATGGTAACCTTTAATTGATAACATTCATAACAAAATTATCAAATACCACTTGTTACATTGGAATAATCCTAGTTTTAAAGTATAATATTATATATTTAAAAAAAAACAAAGTTCTTTTAATTTGTTACAATATATTTGATTTTACAGGTTTTTTTTGTTGAGTGAAATTTAATAAGTGAGAATAAGTTTAAGATCATGTTTAAGTATTTTAAGTTTGTGGTAATATGAACAAGTTTATAAGTAACCAAATATATTTGTTATTTGACAGATAGTTACCATACGAAACGTTTATCAGTTAATTTATTATTATTACTATTATTTATTTATGAAAGTAAATAAAGTTTTCTAAAGTAAAATGATGTTCTGGTCTTTATGTCCCTGTAATTGATGTATCAGTTATACATTATTTAATATTAACTTTAAAAGTATATTTGTGCTTTATGTGATTATTATAGCTTTTTATCAGTTGCAAGGCGCAAATTGTCGGCATATATTCATTGCACGTGTACGTACACTGTATATACACAAATTTAAAGGTATACACAGATTTAAAGGTGTACTCAATTACTCAATCGACGCACCTTTTCTATATATAAGGCTAATATAGGATGCAATTGGACAGTTGCACAACCATCAACGGTAGAAACCAAATGTTTTATCAATATCCGAATTGGTTCCCAATTTTGTTCGCGTGCTAAAAAAAGTTACGGACACAAAGTATACGTAAGAATATTTTAATCGAATGATTTCATTTCAAATCGGAATAACAAGTGAAAGAAATATTTAATATAGTAAAAGACATATGAAAGAAGTTTATCCTTCTAAAGTATTAAATTCGTCAAATAAATTCTTATACATCTAAAGGTCGTCTACAGATATTGATCGATCGTCAGTCAGTAACCAGTACGCGTTACGAGCGTTTTACCTAAAACTAACCTTGTAGAATAAGTAGCTTTAACATGCAAATATAACGATAAAGAATCGTGCATTGATTGGGTACAAATATAAGTGTCCGTCTGTGAATATAATACAGACGAAGGAATTGTCGACAACTACAGAAACAATTTTTCGACATCAGGATACAAGCCGGCCGGTTATACGGTTTTAACCGTGTTTCTTATAAACGATGGCAGCAAGAGGTACCGAATCAGTAACCAATTCTTTTTGCGGGAAAAAGCGGCGTTCTATGGAGAAGTTTTTGACGGAATTCGACTTGCTGAAAGAAGAAACCGGTTTAAATTATACGAATTTTCATTCGATTTGCGCGGCACTATTCCAGCCGCATGAACTCGAAAAGGAAGAACGGAGACTTGAAGACATCTTCAATTTATTCGATGGCGATAACGATGGTATTTTGAAAGGACAGGAATGGAAAATGTATGTATTTATATGCATGTGTTCACGTCATGAGTAAAACGAACAACAGGTTGTTTAATCGAGCATAGCATTACAGAGTTACCGGATGTCTACAATTGCCTTGAAATAAGCAAGTGGTCCTGCCTCGAAATAAGCAACTCGCTATCCCCTCTTTTTTGTTCGAAGTCGCCCGTAAAGTGAGAGGTCCGAAAAATGAGTGAGAGGTCCGTGAAAGCGAGAAGCCGAGGTTCTGGGAAATAAATTGTCACGTTCGACTGAGCAGTGACATTGGTTAGTAGAAGAAGGATGGAATATATATAATGCTTTCTCTGTCTGGTATTTTTGCCTCAAAATAAGCGAAATAGTGCAAGAATGAGCGAGCATGCTATATTCTATCCTTGTTCAAAAAATAACATCACTGCTCGGTCGATCACTTTATGGTTTACCGCTACCTCGGATTTCTCCCTCGTTTCTCGTGTTCTCTATCGTTCCGTTTCGAGAACAAAGTCAAGCGGAATAGCATACCTGCTTCGTAATAAGCAACTGTTCGGTCCCGAGCGAGTTGCTTATTTCGAGACAATAATTGTGATTTGAACGTAGTTTTGATAAAAGGTCTATACAACAATAAATTGTACGAGTATAAGTAAAATGAATTACGATAAATATAGAAAATAAATGTATGATTACGAAAGTTTTATTACAACAAAGTCTGTTCATGTATACGTTACATAATTTCTTATTTTTAATAAAGCAAAACTTTGTACAGCAATGATTATTGTAAGATAATTTTAAGATAAAAATCATTTGGACTTTATTTTGTGCACTCGAAGTATGTAATTTTAATTTTGTAACTCTAATCTTAAATCATTATCTTACAGTATTATTAATTTTGTTTGATCAATAGATTCATCCATTGGTTGCGAGTAATTTTTGAACCAATAACTGCACTCCTCGTCGTAGATGTGCAAAATGATTTTATCGACGGATCTTTAGCTCTCCGTCGATGTGGATGTAATCAGGACGGAGTTGATGTGATTGAACCGATAAATCGTTTAATAAGAAAAGGGCATTTTGATAATATTATTTATTCTTTGGACTGGCACCCAGAAAATCATATTAGCTTTCATGAAAATTTACATTTACGTGAATTGCATCTAGATTCAAAGGTTTTTATTTATTAAAAAAAAAGGTTATGTAATTACACTGACGTTCGATACGTAACAATTAAATATATTAATATTTATTTATGCAGGTGACCAAGGAAAATGCGAAGCCGTTGAGTACCGTAATTTTCGCGGAACCTTATATGGAACAAATACTTTGGCCCAAACACTGCGTCATGAATACATGGGGGGCCCAGTTGCACAAAGACCTGGTGATTGTGCCACATTCAGAGCAGGTAGTTCATACGTTTATTCATGATAATCTCAATCATACTCAGTGGCGGCTCGTAGCTAAAATTAGTGGGGGTACTGTTCTAGAAAATTTTTAGCCTTTGTTTTAAAAACTCTCTCCCGCGCAGCCTCGCGCGCAGCTTCCTATGTGCGCATGCGCACAATGGTCAAACACCACGCCGCTGGAACTATGAAGCGCACAGTTCCATACAAAGATTTTTGTATCTGACATTAAGCTTAAGGATTATATATTGTACAAGCACAAAGAAAGAATTAAAGAAAAAAGGACTCGTTATATTAAATGTTATCGATAATATCAAGAGGAAATAGAGGGTGCCTACACGCGAGCCGCCACTGATCATACTTTATTAATTATGCATCGTTTTTCAGGTACGCAAAGGTCAACATCCGGAGTTGGAAGCTTACTCGGTATTTTTCGATAACAATTCGAAAAACTCCGTGGAATTGCAAACAATTCTGCGTAAATCAGGCGTCACACATGTATTTGTATGCGGTTTAGCTTACGATGTTTGCGTAAAAGCGACCTGTTTAGATGGACTTCGATTAGGATACGCGTTAGCGGTGATTGATGATTGTTGCCGCGGCGTCGATACGAATAACATCGAGACTACAAAAGAGCTAATTATTGAGAATGGAGGTCTGATCACCGACAGTAACACCGTGCTGTCGTTGGTGAACGAGGGAAAACGGAGTCTTATCATGAGCCATCAATCTGCAAAGGCAATGACCTCGATTCTGTCCTCCGGAACATCCGCGAATGATTCTGAAACAATAGATTATATATAATAGAATATAACATTCTATGTATAGGAGAGTAGAAACAGATTATTATTCCATAGTTTATTTAAAAAAGAACTTTCCGTTTCTTACAGATCGCTTCAATGTCTTCGCGAGACTCTTATCGCTTAGTAACGATTTTATGAGAATCTTATCTCGTATAGTACCTGCAACTAGTATATCTTAAATCAGGGATAATGGTACCTTGATGTTTCAAAAACATGTATAGTTTTATGGTCATTGAATATCCATATCAAGTACAGTGGTACCTCAGTATACGTTTGCTTTGGAATACGTCCTGTTTGGACGTGACAAATTTTGCTCGGTATACGACATAAATTTTTTCTGTGAATTTTGCGTCATTTTTAAATAATTATCTCAGAGGAAAAATTAAATTAATAATCAATTATATTCGGAGTTGATGTATCATTAACTGACTGATCATACAAGTAAGGATATCATATAACAAGCCATAACCGCAAAACAGGAGGCAATAAAATTTATTCTATTTGGTTTGTTAATTTATAATCTACCATTAGGTTACATTTATATTTTACAAATTAATTATGTTAAATAAACTAGTGAATATTTTTTATAAACTTGTAGGAAATCGTTTAAATGCTGTTCATGACATAAACAGTGTTTAAATTATTTTACAACCCCATTAATGTAGGTATAATATCAATAGGATTCTTTTTTACATGAGAACGGATTAATCATTTTTACATTACTTCTTATGGGAAAGGTTGGTTTGGTATACGTCCTATTCGGTATAAGTTCAAACATCTGGAACAGATTAAAGTTGTATACCGAGGTACCACTGTATATGCATTATATTTTAATACAATATATTTTAACCTACATCACGACAGTATTCAGGAAAATGAAAGTGATATTGGTACTTAACATAGAAATAGTTTTATTTATGCATAATATTAAGTTATCTTAAAATTATCTGCAAGAAGTTTCAGTAGCCTGTAAGAAATCTTCTTGCAAAAAAAGAATAAATATGTTTATATTTATATGATAAATATAAATATGATTATACAGTAACAGTAATTCAGTCGGTGTTTGTGCTCAAACGTTTTCCGTTCATTAACATTCGTACACTTTTTTCGATTTTGTTCACTGACTCGTCATCCACCGTTAATTTGCAAGCGTATCTGTGTCTCGCCCCACAATCGTCGCTTTGGTACGAGTATAATCTGGACGTTGAATTGTAGGACAATTTTAAGCACCTGGGATTGAAAGGTTAATTATCATATACCATAAAATTATTAAAGCTACAAGTATCGTTATATCTTACCTGCCATCGCCAGGAACAGTCTGTTTGGTGTTTTGATGAACTGGCTTAGCGCTACTTGCCCAGATCCACAGAAGACCCGGATTCAATCCTCCCGTCCAGAAGGTTTTACCTTTCAGCTTGGAATTAGTTTGTAAGCTGGCGAATACATCACGTTTCTCATCGTCCGTGTCGAATTCGATCAAGTGACCACCCATGCCTCGACACAAGCTCGCCGAGGACTTCCAGTCGAAATCACGGCTGCTGAAGTGATAGCAATTCTGACCAATTTTCGTATAATTCTGGGGGCAAGATTCTAAAAAATATAGTAAAAAGAATAATTAAGTTAAACAATTAATTAAGATTAATTAACTAATTAAATAAGAAGTAAAACTCACCTTTTTTCTCAATGTTTCCAGAAATCACATAGTACAGAAGCTCCTCCGCCCTCCTCAGACGATTCTCCAGGAAATCTACTCTGTAGACGAGCTTCTCTATCGCGCCTAGTGTTCACAAACCATTGATTAGAAGAATCTCTTGAATTGTGCAATCATTATTCAAGTATCTTACCGAGCAAGTAAAGATCAGTTTCAGAAACTTCTCGTTTGTTAGGTGTTGAAACTTTAGTGGATACAGTCAAAGTTTTGTCACCAAATTTCATCACCTTTGATGTTCTGGAAATCTTTGAATCAGAGACGATCCAATTTTCTAAAATCTCACCCCATGGTCCTATGGATGTTTCCGTTATCGAAGCGTTCGGTGAAACAGACACAGGATGCAAATTGCCTAACAACATTTTAACGACCTCGTTAGAGGAGATATCTCTTCTCCAGTACAAATTATTCAGTCTTTTACGTACCTGGAATTCCCATGCAGACGCTCAGCTGGAAAATCAGCAGCAGGGAATGCAAATGAAGAGATCCTTTACGCTTCATGGTAGACCTGAAAGTAGAAAACGGTGGTTACAGAAAAGCCGAGTGCGGTTTTTACTTCGTAATTCCACTTTCGTGAAGAAAGTCCCGAACAACGATTCTTCAGTTTATGCTAATCATTTCTTCATTCTTTTATGTACGTTTAATATTTTTTATTTATTCACAAAATTTTTCTCACATTTAATTCTATCTGTTTTTTATAATATTTTAGTTGTATTTCATATGATTTTTCTTTTTCTTTTTTTAGAGAAGATGAGCAAAGTGAAGGTTCCTCCACTTACGTAATATTCGTAGAACAGAAACGTCCCCTTGGCTGTTATCATTCCACTTTGATTTCTTCTTTCATGCAATCCACCTGCTTGGTCCGCTTCCGTTTGTGAGCCAAGCAAGACTATCGACCGAAGACCCGATCGTGTAGCCTTCTAGCTGGACACTTTCTCTCTCCTCCTCGGGAAAATGAGTCACTTTCTTCGACGGATTCGACTATGCCCTCCTCGCCTGTTTTTGCGACCACTTGTTATTTGTTTTATTAATATTTAACTATCACAGTGAAAATAGACACTTTTGGTACGCTGTAATTACAATGAATTCAGAAAACCATCATTTTCAAAGTAGTATAACGAATGCTTTAGCATACCAAATAGAATATTAATTAATTCGAATTTTCTAAATAACAATACTTAATTGATTCAAGACTTGAACCTCAAAAAATTGTATTTTAAAAGAAAGTCATGGGGTTCTAGATGAATTCTCAATAATTTTGTCGAGTTTCTCGAATTCCTTGCTTGCTTTTGCAGCCACGAGCGATGCAGCATTTCTTAAAGATCTGTCCTACTAACACAATTCTCTCCATGAAACGTAGTCTTATCATCATTCCAAGCCATGACTAACGGGCAACAATTTTCGTCAATTGCTTGGCTCGCCTAGAGAATCATTTGATTCGCAACATTGAAATGTAAATGAAAGGGAACAAAGCATTATCCTTTGCATCTCTTTAATGAAACAACTATTGTGACGACGAATTTGCATAAAATTTAATGCAAATCGCCGGCAACTAGTATAATCAGCTATATACTTTGTATGTACATCCGTGTTTAACATAAATTTGGTCAGTATCTGGCAATGATGTAACAACCGCCTATCGAAGTGACCTTTCACAGGCAGTAACATTGAACAATCATGATTATCAGTCTTTCAGTTTTACACATGATTAAAAGTAGACGGTGAGATTGAGTCGTTCGTTTCCGATTTGGCTGTTCCTGCACTTTGTTTCTGCTGCTACTTCAACGCTGTCCACTGTCTGAACAAAAATTTAATTAACATCCATTATTCTCCTTAAGTTTATAGATGAAAGGATTAAGAAAGGGTCACGGTACCCTATCGTCGTCGTCCCAGGATAACTTTTTCACCCTTTGCGAAACGGAACAAGCAGGCCAGGCAGGTACCAAAGAATCCGGAAGATCGACGGAGTAACTGGAAGATTCTCTCGAAGCAGTGTTCGCGTTTGTTTTTGCGCTCAGATCGTTCATATTTTGTACAAGACCGCCAATATTTGGAATGTTAGAGGTTGCCGATAAGCCCGGAGGGGTAGGAGCTGGAGCAACTTTGTGTCTCGTGTAGAGAGGCATCTGTCTGGCTGAGGTTAAACCTGATTGATATTAATAGATAAGTAAAATAATGAAATAATCTTATAAAGAATCATCATTTGTTAAGTTACTTTTAATGGTGGCATTGTAGTTCCTCGCCCCAAACACTGGGTTTTCCACGTCGTTGCTATCATTCAACCCCTGAACGTCACCGTGGTTGCTATCGTCAACGATTTCCTGGTCAACGCGATTCTCATCCTCTGGATCGTCACCTCCGTCAGCGTCTTCGTCGTGTTCGTCGATGCTATGAACGCTCTCGTTACGATTTCCTCTTCGCGGTATTTCTAGAGCGTCCTGAAGCATGTTCGCTCCGAGAACTTGAGGAGTCGGGCTGAGAGCCGAAGGAACAGGTGATTTTTCACGGTAACCAGTCCCTACCGAACTCACTGACCCACTGGTCTTTGGCCTTTTACTAAAACACACATGGTAAGAACTGTGCGAAATACAAAGAGGCATAGAATATGTGAACTATGGAGTTACTTACTGTTTGTATATGTACAGGATCAAGATAAGTATAATAACCCCAAGAAGACCCAAGACTGCACCAAAAACAGCTACCAGAAGAACACTGCTGCCTAACCAAGCAGGGGCAGCTCTGGCAGCGATTGGCAAGGAGCCACTATTTGGTATATGTACAATCACTGGGATCATACTAGATCTTTAAAGAAAATTTAAGCGTTATGCGACTGGTAACAGGTTCTATTAACTAAATTTGAGTGATACGCACCTGGGAGGACGACCCGAATCAGAGGCTACAGCCACCAATCGAGCCAAGGAACCATTGATAGTCGCTGCTGTTCTAAGGATCAGTTCTCCATTGTCTCGTATTTCGAAAGACCTGTTGCAATTTTATATTTAAAGCTTTCATCATTACAGTAAAACCTGGATAAATGCAACCGAGATTGGGACCCAGTGGTTGCATTTATCCAAGCGAGGTGTCGATTCTGGGCATTTAATGTTGCATTTATCGTCCGTACACATGTTTTGTATTCAGCCGACATGTCGATCACATCTTTTGTATTCAGCCGACATGTCGATTCTGCCTCCGTACACATCATTTATATTAAGTCGTGGTGTCAATTCTATGTTGTTTATTCTATTACTATTGTTTATACAGGGAGATTCTCTCGGCGCACAACACAATAGCCGCCCCGCACAATGGAACCCTGCTGTGTTTGCGGGCAAAAAGCCCAGGAGGTCAAGTCGCCGGACCCAAGACTCCTCTGTGTGTTTTGGGTCCGGCGACTTGACCTGGGCTTTTTGCCCGCAAACACAGCAGGGTTCCATTGTGCGGGGCGGCTATTGTGTTGCGTGCCGAGAGAATCTCCCTGTATATCGTGTTTGGTGTCATTTTAATCAGAAAAATCTCACAAATGCGTTAGTAAACGTTTCATTAAGAAAAAGTTAAAAATAAAAAAGTTTTATCGTTCAATTAGTATTAGTATTAGTATCATATTACACGGTTTCCTCGTCGAGCAGCTTGGTTCGCCTAGGGGGATCCCCCAAGTGGAGGGGATAGCGATGTTGCACTTATCCAAGCATTCTTTCGTTGCATTTATCCAGGTTTTACTGTATTAACACTAGAACTACCAAAGGGGCTTTCCAGTTTCTTATTTTAAATTAAACAATTTTGTCAAGGAATTTTTGCTGGAATGTATGTTGGCTATTGTCGAGATAAAGAATGGATGTACATATTAAATTATGTTCCATTCCGTATTTATTTAATTTTCTGTATTATTTTCAACTTAGAAATAAGGATGCATCAAACGTCGGTAGTTCTAGTGTTAAGAGAATTATTATATAATTTAAGTACCTGGCATCAGGTCCTCTGAGCGACAGACTGACTTTATCGTCCCTGTCTCCATCGGCTGCTTCCAGTTTTCCTAAATATCGCATCGTTTTTAATAAGTGGTCTAGAAAGAGGTTCGTCAAAGAAAATCGTGAAGGAGAAAGTAAGCATACCGACAATGGATCCCTCTCTCAAGGTTGCAGCGTGAAATTCATACCTGGGATGACGAAACCGGGGTTCCCATTCATTTACATCCTCCACGGAGACGTTCACCCGTGAAGTATCGTTCTGAAATTATTTTACTTAAATATTGGCGTTCGTGTTTTAAAATTCTTGTCTTCGTTTTAGTAAACCTACATGATGGCCATCGGTGACACGAACCAGGAAACTGTGCTGGATCCTTCTCTCATAATCTAAGGTGCCTTTCAAGATCAGTTCACCGGAATTGGTGATTGAGAACCTTTCAAGGTCTTCTATAGCCCCTACTAGCCAAAACCTTAAATTCTACAAACAGAAGAAATTTTCCAGATGCCTGTCAGCGAGAGCAATTTTTAAGAGTCGTCGAAGGTAATTACCTTGATGCCATTTACGATTTTGTATAATTCACGTAGCATAGATTTAATTATTTGAAAAAAGACATGGAGATGTTTGGAAAAGGCAGGCAACCCCATGTTGCGTTTCTTTAAAGAATAGGAACACTGTCCCTTAAGGATCAGAAGTGGGGAAGGCGAATGCACCTTATGGTAAATGGACGCTGTCCGCTCAGCACTTTAAATTACCTAATAAATCTATAAATTATATATCACACTTACAGAATCCACTTTGTTCACTGCTGTTGTTAATAAAACACTTCCTGGTGGAGTATTCTCTGGAATGTTTGTTTGATGATCCCGTTTTATAAACTTCACAGGTAATCTTCCACCTAATTTGCAATGTTTTAATTACTCAAGATCATTCAGAATTATTTGATCAATTAACCCTTAACATACCAAGGGGGGTCTTCGAAGGACTCCAGAGAGTGATTTTTGGTGATTCTACCGTAACTATATCAACAAATTTATTCTTGATCTTTATATGTATCCCGGATCCGTTTAAGATAAATATTACATAATTAGACCTATAATACGTTCGTTCAAAAATAAAAAAAAAAATAAAAACACACTTGTTCCGGCAGAGCCCCGGTTGGTATACTACGTTACATATTTGGAGTGATTTATTTCTTGTTGAATGCATTGGCATTTATGTCATAATAATATGGAGGTGAGCGCGGGTTCGCCCATTTATGACCAGGCGGTTCCCTTGACATCGAAATAAAAGGGAGCTGCTATCTTTAGGCCCACAAAAGCGCGTTCACTACGGTCAACAATGCTTATTTAATTTAAATATATTTTTAAACATCCAAAGAACCTAATTTAAGTAACTTTCCACACTAAAATATTGAGAAATTTAAAAATACCATAGGGTCCTCAGAAGACCTCATTTGGTATGTTAAGGGTTAATTACCCACCAGCAGTAGGTTCTACATTCCAATCGCTTTCCCGAGAAACAATTATCGTAGAAAGAGCGTATTTGTCTGGATTGTCTATTTGTGTAGCCTGAAAATCAAATATTATTGTTAAACAAACACTATCAGGAATCATATCGTTAGGATAATATTTCTTACCTTAACAACAATTGTTGCCGGAGATAATAATTCATGTTCATACAATGGTCGCGTTATGGCGACCTCGGCTGTTTCAGGATTCAGTGTAAGAAACGGCAAGATCCCACCCTGAATCGTGTACTTAACTGGAGCACTGATACCCACATCTTGATCCGCAGCTTTTATGGGAGTTGGATCAACCTTTAGTATTCTCCTCTAAAAAGAAGCAACTAAAAATCCAAGATTTCTCAACATCTTGCCATTATGAAACTATCAATTATACCGTTTTTATATTCCTAGGTATGATAATTTTATATTGGTCAGTTTCAAAAGCTGGATTCTGGTCATCCGCGTCGATGACGTTCACGTAGAGAGTGGTCGTTGAAGATTTTGGAGGATTGCCTTGATCCTGTGCGCGAATGTCCACGGAAAAATTGGAGAGAGTTTCATAATCCAGTGGTTTCCTCAGCACTAGAGTACCTTCCAAAGCGTTCACGAACACAAAAAAGTCCTGTATAAACATAAAAATAATTTGCAAACTTCATCCATTTTTTTTTTATACAGATAAATTGAGAGAGCTTACGGAATGTGGCCCCGGTAAAACGGCATACTGTACAGTAGAAAAAGGACCTGGCTGATCAGCATCTACGGCTCGTACCCCTTGGAGAACTCTTGTACCAACTACCGTGACCTACATTAGCAATAATCTTCGTCGGTAACCAGATACATTTAGAAAAATACACTCCCTCGCAAAATTAGAGGAACACCCACTTTTTACGTTGAAATTATGCGGACTTCAAATGGACGTAACTTCGGTCCGAAAAGTTGTATTGAAGTGAGTAATGCAGCAGGTAAAAGAGCAAACGGTCCTCTTTCGAAAACTGTTTGAGGAATTTTCAAATTTATTAAAATTTTGAAGTTATGTACCTTCGAAGAAATATTAACAGTAATTGCTATTTTTTTTATCGAATTTCTCTGTCTCTGTCGGCTCAGCAAAATTTTAATAAATTTGAAAATTCCTCAAACAGTTTTCGAAAGAAGACCATTTGCTCTTTTAGCTGCAATATTGCTCACTTCAATACAACTTTTCGGACCGAAGTTACGTCCATTTGAAGTTCGCATAATTTCTACGTAAAAAGTGGGTGTTTCTCTAATTTTGCGAGGGAGTGTAGTACGGTCTACAACGAAGTTAATTAAACGCTTAATTCTCACCTCAGAAATATTAAGCACATAGGGAGCGTTCACGAATTGAGGTGCATTGTCATTCGCGTCTGTCACGCGAATATTAACTGGTATCACAAAGCCCTTCAAAGTGAATTTAAGCAGTCGTTAAATGAATGAAAATAATTAGAAGCTTCTTATGGAAATGGGTATTTTAAACTCACAGGATCTAATGTGTGCTTCCTTTCGCAGATTACATTCACGTAGACGCTGGCGGGTCCATCGATGCCCTCTTTGTCGAGAGGTCTGACCAGAGTCAAGTTTTTGGAAAAAGCTGAAAATGCTACAGGGCTGTCGTGTTCCTGGAGCCTGAGCTCGATGTCACCTTGTGGTCCAGGATCACCCAACACACCCAGGACACCCACGGTGTCACCGACCGGCAAATCTTCGCTGACAAAGAGATGCGCGGCGGTGGCACCGTTTTCCAGAAAGCATCGCGCGTCACGAATTACTATATTCAAATATAATGCAATTTCAATGGAAGAATTAATTTGATCATATCAAAGACTGAAGATGAAAGGATAAAGGGTGGACGGCGTGTTAAAAGCGGAAGTGGTGGTCGACTTCAAAGTCTGTGGGGACGTTGTTCTGTTTCTTCAGCTTCTTTGAATAACGACCGATCGTGTTCCGTTGATACCGAAACAGATATTGCGTTCTCAGGAATCATGCGGTTTTTGGTTTTCCGGCGTTTTTCACAAAGCGGTTGACCGCTCTTCCTGTCTGCATACTCCTTAAGTTTTCGAATATTTTTATATTGTGCTGATAATTATTTCTTTTATAGCTACGTTCATTAATTTGGGTTTAATCGAGTGAAAACTAAGAGAAACAATAAGCTAATTAAGGCAAGAAAATAACTATAGCAAAAAGATCTGAATTTTAATGGGTAAGTTGTTTCTTCCCTACTTGATTTCAACCCAAGCTGTCATTCTCTTTGTACTTATGTATTTACAGGAAAACGTAGGGAAAAGGTGCGTTCAATAGGCAATAAAAATGGCTTATACGCTGTGCGGTCATAAATTAAGGGGTTAGGATACTTTCTCTGTACGAAAAACGAGACGATTTTTAAGTGGCGATAAACGAAAAAGTAAACCATCGATTATCTTGAAACTTTGTACTATAATTAGGTGTAATATTGGGTGAAAAATGCTGTGGACAATGTTTAAAAAATGTTTATTTTTAAGGTGGCAAATTGCCAAGTTTCCAAGCTTGTTTTTTCTTCGATGGCCATCTGGTGTGCAAGAATGCAACAAAATGACTGTTACCAGCAACAAAAACCGAAATATTTTATTAACTATAATAAAATTGCTAGGGATTAACAATGAGACATTTCAATTTTTGTAAAAATGAACAATATGGCAGATGTTTGAAGTTTGAAGATCAAATTTCGACGAAAAATGAGTTGTTATTGCTTATATTTTGCAGAATTGTTAGAAAATTAAAAGAAAAACGAATCGTCAATCCCTAGTAAATGTAATAGCAAAAGTAACTGTAAAGTTTCAAAGCAATTGATTCATTAGAACTAGAGCAATCCTGCACACCGTTTTAAAAAACATAGTTGTGAAAAACATAGAGAAAAACGCGTTCAAAGTAAGCTCCAGCGCGTAGAACGCAGGTACACGCCACCGCTTTGGGCTCTGAATGTCCAGCAAAAAAAATTGTTTCGAAACTGGGCCTTTTGCATAATGTTCTTAGGCTTCAAACTATTATTTAAGGCAAAAAAAAAAATCGATTTTTTCGAAATTACAAAGTATCTTAACCCTTTAAGAGTCTTGAATCGTGACATGCGTTCGTAACAGAATCAAAGCAGACGGTGTTAAGCGATCGTTGACTCTAATCTGTTGTGCATCGAAGCTTCTGTTATCCGTTATTTTGCACAATTTAACTGTACCATGTGTGATCTTTCAGGTACGCCAGAGACAATATTTGTAATATTTATTCATATATAAAAATTAGGTTTAAAGTCATCGAAATTGATATATTAACGAGACATTTCGTTCTTTATTATAATCATCGCTTCTATCATCGATACAGTAGAAACCTACATTTTGTTGACCGGCGGAGCGCAAGTGGTCATCTACATTCGCGATGGGGCATGCAGATAAAGAATTCAGTTCCCACACATGGAGACATTTGTGTCTAAGTATTAAATGTGCACACGTAGACGTCATTTAACAGGAACGCGTGGACGAGGGTTAGACGTGCGCGCTCCCTTGGAGCGCAGTTCCGTCTGCTGCCAGCTCACGGTGTATCGACGATGCAACGTTCCGGCTTTGCCTTTCGTAACCTTTTTTCCCCCCCGTAGTTTGAAGACTTTTCCAGAAGAAAATTACACTATAAATTCCCTTCGATGCAGAGAACTTATGCATTTGCGTGATTCGAGTAATACCTATCTTGCAAAATTGTTAATAACTGGTCAGAGGTAGTAGGTAACTTTTCTTTTTTTCATTCACTTTGTACATTAATCGTAATAACTTTTATTATATAAATTAAGAATAAATTTGTTTGTAATAAATACTTGCTACGCTTCAATAGGTTAGATGATAAAGCGGAACAAGTTATTTGTCTCAACAATTCATCAGCAGTTTCCTTCGCTCAATTGAACAGCCGGCAAAACAAGGATTAGCAAGGCTGGTTCACACGATCAAGGAGAGCGAAAAAAGTAAATGCCCGTTTATCTTAACAACAGACGCACTTCCTGCGTGTCGAGATAACGACTAATTGTTATGCAAATCAGAAACACCGATTCCTATAGTGAAACGAATCGTCCTTTTTACGAGCACCAAAATGATATCACAGATTCATGTAACAGCTACTAATGCATCCAATTGTGCGTGTGGTTACGTGACTAGGTAAGGACTTGTTATTCTATAAGTGCATCGTGATCTTGCAAAGACTTAACCCTTTCGCTGCCACGGTGGTCCCATGGGACCGGCGCTTGTCTTTTCATTTGGGCCAGGTTTTGAATTTATTTTTAAAATCATTCATTTTGAGACAAATGCTCTTGGATAAAAATGAATGAATTATGCAAATATGTATATAACCTTATAAATTAAAAATAAAATAAAAACTTCACTTACTAGGTCTTAAAATAATATTTCCCAAACACAGTATTTCAAGTATTAGCATAACACTGTGGTCTAACTCCTTTAAGGAATACTCACAGACTGTCTGAATTATTCAAAATTACTGTTCAAACATATTTTCTATCTCCCTCAATCGTTTCTGAAATTTGTTGAAAAGATAACAAGCGTCAGGGGTCACGGGTGACCACCACTAAGAAAAATGTGCTATTGGCAAGATTGTACCGTTATTTTAATATATTTCGCAGTTCTTTGCCATTATAAAATTTGTAATATAAAATTTGTATTGTGGCTCACTGGTGCAAGTTGAAAAATTCCCGTAGCAGCGAAAGGGTTAATTAACCCTGTATCTGTTTTCTCTAATCAAACCACGAATCTAAGCAACGAATTAAGCAGTTTGAATTGTTATAAAACGAAGCTTCGAAAGTATCATTTTATCTACTCTCACGAGCACTTATTACGGCCCAATTATCATGCGCGCAAAATGGCCCCAAGTTTCTACGAATGTCCAGCGACAAGGAAGAGAGGTCATTAGAGCGAACCATTGCGATTTTCGCAATGCGGCGACTTTCTAAGATACCTGATCGTTATCCGAAGTGTCGCGAGAAGCATCGGAGGGAAACGGAACAGAGTGGACGAGGTATCCAGAAATTTTACCCGATGTCTTCGCGACCACAATTCCTCCGCGCGACCGTTCGCACGCGATCAACCGTGTGATGAAGCGGAAGAAGGGGCGATTAAGGTCGCGGGCAAAGTGGGAATAAGGGGCACCGGTACGAATTATAGAGCAGAAGGGACGAAAGGTGGACATAGGGGAGGTGGAGCGAGCAGCAGGTGCGTGAGAAAGCTTTTGTATACCCACATTGTCCAGTGTACAAATGCACCGTGCAACAGAGGATAGGCAGGATCTTCAGAATGTTCTGTCTCATGGCGATCCAAGGACATCCTTCACCGGTTCGGGCACCGGCCGATGCATCTGTAAATTGACGGAGAACTTGTGACTGCGTTTCAACTTTTAACACATTCGCGACGGGGTGTACCACCGATGGTACATTCTTGTCTGTCCCATGGGACGGGATGATCCACCGGTGGTACATACACAATTGTTTCATCGGGCGGGCTATACCACCGGCGTTACATGAACTATTATCACGTCATAGCATTTAAATAACTGATCATTGTAATTAACAAATTTTGATAAACCCCGCCCCATGGCGAGGACATTAGATTCAGGCCCCGTCGGGAACGTGTTAAACACACTTAATACAGATTCGCGTATATTGTAAGTTTTGTAATAATCAAGCAAGGAAATGAGCTTTCTAAATTCTTCAACCACCGTGCGATAAGTCCAAGTTTCTAAACTCTTTCATAATTCCAAAACAATTTCGAGTTGTTTCTTACAATTGTTATACCGTAGTTTTAAAAGTTGCTTTGGAGTTACAGTTAATCGTAGGGTTGTTTCTCGCGAATGAGAACGATAGGCTTTCGACGAGTAGACGGGAGCAAACATTTGTTCGATCGATGTTCGATCATGTTTTTCGACGAAAAAGGAGCGCGTATGTATGTAACGAGTAAACATAACGCGTGGTTAGAAAGCATGCGAAGAAACTGCTTGATTACGTGAAACTTAGGTACCTGGAACGACATCAGGATGATAGGTGGGGGTGGCGAGAGCGATAGTTTGCCGATCTTACGAGTTTGAAACCGAAGAAGGGCAATAAGGATTGAAGTGCAGAAGTAAAAGTAGGCTGAAGATAGGCAAAAAATGTATACCAGCCTGAGAATCGTGATTTCCTTCTTTTAATGCAATATTGTTTCAAACATTTGCTCGACAGGGAGATGGTTTAAGCTTTGGATTGATATAAGAGGTTGTCGTAATCGTCGCCAATTACGTTTGAAATGGAATGGTAAAAGAGTTTGCCGCGAGAGTAAGCGGAAATAATCCGCGAAACCGGGGGAAAATGGATTCCAAGCAGGGCCAAATGATTTATACGGGATGCACGAGCCGGATACGACGGCTATGTGGGCCACGATACTCCTCGAATTCACAGACCGTAAACTGAAACGCACTGCCATGGGCAACCGGCGTAAAAGTCCTCCCTCCTGGCTACGATTCGCGACGCCATCAATTCAATGGTGGTTACAAGAAGCGGCTCGATGAATCATTTCGTCCCTCGATTTCAACCTGTGCTATCACGAAAGTAAAGAAAGTACGAATATGGAAGCAGCCTTTTTACTACTGATGAGAAAGAACATGACATAGAGGATATTTGCATATTTGCATTGTTGAAAGAAGATTATTGCTTGGAGATGAAAAAGTTTCATTTAATTCTTGAAGAGTTCAATGAACTTTAAATAATATTCTACAAACTTCTGCTCCGCTCATTTCTCCCCCGATGTTGCAAGCCATACTTACCACAAGAACTGTACCAGATGATCAGAATCACCAGCAGAACTATTTCACCCTTCAGCACTCAAGTTTCCACTTGGTTCCCTCTTCTCGAATCAACAAATTCCTCGTCAATCCATCATCACCGTTCACCAGCTATCTATGAACCAGCTTACACTTCAAGTATAATAATTCCTATCACTGTTGGCAATCAACTTTTCAAAATATTTCATCACAAAACTGGATACCATCGAGTTCCTCAAATTACAAATCTGATTCAACCTTAGGGTTCACTGAAACTTTCGTTTAAAATTGTAATAAAATTGACTGGTTATTGTTCGTGCCTTGTGGATGTACTGTCACGAAGGAATCGATGAAGAGACCTGTACAACACACCTGTCGAACGGTAGAACTCGCTACTATGAAACTCGAGCGAGTAAAGAGCTCGGTAGACCGGCACTCGGGAAGTCGAGTTCTCCATTGTTAGGAAGGGGGAACAAACAACCAACCGAGAGCCTACCTGGCCCTACTTCGAACAGGTGTTTACTTTCGTTGGCAGGAAATTCGACGGGTACGTGTGTGTCCTCACATGCAACTGCACTCCTGCCTTACCCTTTTTCTTCCGATATCGTCTAAGACGAAATCCTCTGTCCGAGAATGACTGAAACAGTCTATTGTTCCTTTGATTTTTATGCTCTAACTCTCTAATTGGTGATTGTCTGTGTGGATGAGGATGATGATGGTTCGTCTGTGAAAATGTAAGTTTTGATGCTTCATAGAGCTGCAAATGAGTCTTGGAAGATTATAATCTATTAGTAAAAGTATTTGGAAGATACAAAAAAAGGTGCATCTTTTTATTATAATGTAAAATTGTTGCACTCTCTTTGCAGCTATAACGTTCATTGAATAGGATTTCTTGTTTTAATTTCAGGCAGCGTCGGAAACTCGTTAAGGTTCGATTAATTACCAACACGTTCGAAGACTCGTTTCACGCGATCGCGTGTTCAAGAATGTTTGATGAATACGTAAAACGCTCGCATCGCTTCTTATCGAATTTTTCCGCACGCTCTTCAGGAAGAAAATAACTTTCATATAAGCTTCTGTTACAATGTTTAATTTTTACGGAAACATTTACAAACACATCGAGCATGCTACAATGTTTGAACAAGTGAAATACAAAGTTACGTCAATATTTGTATGATTTTGCAGAGACACATATAGAGGATTAAAGTGCAATCACATCAAGGGAGCTCCGTTCCATTGTATACAAGCGTCTTGCCACCTGCAATGCAATTACAGAAAGGAAAATTATTAATTATTCTTGAGGATTAGACGACACGAGTGATTCCTTACTTAGAACGAATAAGCTTTTCCAATGGAGTCGCTGCGATATCCGTGCATTCTTTGCTAGGTCCCTCGAATTCTAAATCATTTTCTGAATTCGACCTGGTGTCCACAGTTAGGGTGGCGTGGCTACCACCACAGGTGAAATACTGAACCTCAAAACTTACGAATATTCACATTTTTAATGATATTCAAACAGAGAAATATTTGCAATTACAGGTAGTTTAAAGAACAGTGGCGGCTCGCGTGTAGGCACTGTGGAACTACAGCACCCCCTATTTCCACTTGATATTATCGATAACATTTAATATAATGATTTTCTTTAATTCTTTCTTTATACTTGTATAATATATAATCCTTAAGCTTAATATCAGTAGCCATCTCCTAATTTATGAAAAAGATACAAAAATCTTTGTATGGAACTATGCACTTCACAGTTCCAGTGGCGCGGCGTGGTGTTTGACTATGTGCGCATGCGCACATAGGAAGCTGCGCGCGAGGCTGCGCGGTAGAGAGAGCACTGTGCCTCCCGCGTGCCGGTTTCTTAAAACAAAGGCTAACAATTTTCTGGAGCAGCACCCCCATTAATTTTACCTACGAGCCGCCACTGTTAAAAGGTAACAAAAATCATACCGACGTTCAGCATGATAATTTCTCAGCAGCTCGCGGTTTGTATTAAAGAGAACACCATGGTGTCCATGACACAAGGTGACCCAAATAGGTAAACTAGGAGTCTTAAGACGAGAACCAGGTTGTTTGTTGATTTGCCCATCACCCTCATGAACGAGAAACCCTACTTCGCTTCTCACAAGGACTCCCCATTGCGGTATAGCCTTGAAACATGCAAGAACAACCGTAGGTTAAGGTTGAAAAGGAATAAAGAAGAAAATTGCTCACGTAAGTATCTTCATCCCCCACGTGCAGCACCCCATTGTGCAAGTGAGGCGAAGCACGACCGGTTAACGACAGAATTACAATAGCGGTGGGACCTTCTTCGGAACAACCACTTAGTATGGATGCTTTAGGGTCCTCGAGATCGGCTCTAACTCTGTTCAAACGAAGATTTATTATTTAGAAATGAAAATCTATCGACTGCGCAAGTCGAAGATGCTTACTTTGGAAGTCCTCTTGAAAGCAGAGCACTGTACAATAGCAACACAGCACCAGGACCACCTTCGTCTTGAAACTAAAATAATGAATTCAGTCAGATGCATTTAATGCAAAAAGATATACATATTAATCCTTTGTACTCTGTTGTCGCCAATAATCCGACATTCGAAATATGAATTTTAAATCCACTGTCGCTGCTACGGCGACACGCCTGTTTTGTTTACTTGATCGCTTTTGTATAAACTGATGCGTGTGTTTATCTTAACGTGTTTATAAACACGTATATGTTAGCGTCGGCACGTGTGCAAGGATGACACGTGGCAAGGTCAATGCATTTGGAGATTTGACCAGCTTTTCAAGGGTATCGAAGGTGTCGATGTCGGAACCCTATGTCTGTCCCCGGACTCGAGTCTGGCGGTAAGTGATACTTAAGGCGCGACGAATTCTAAGTAAGAGTCGCGGATGTTTTGTTTATGACTCGGTGATAGAGGGTTCGATCACCGATCTTCAAAGTTACGTCAATCACCCGATGTCATGGTGCTGCATGGCCCGTGTAAGGAGATAAGGGTGTTCTAGAAGGATCTGGCTACAGAGTGGGGAAGATCTTGCATCTTCTGGTAAGAGGACCATGAGAGTCGGCATGGCACTTACCCCAGAACCTTGATCGATTCAGTATCGCGAAATTTAGAATTTCTAACATACACTTGTAACTAATATAGTGTTGGAGTTGTTGGTGTACTATATGAGTCACTAGGCCGGAGTGCAAAGGGTTAACTTACCAAATATAGGTATCTCTTGATAAATATTTCGAGATCCTCCAGAGAGTCAAGCTCGAATAAATGCAGCTAGAACACATTAATTATCGTGTACATGATTGAAAGTCGATTCAGATAGTAAAAAGTACTATTGCTTTACGTACAGTCTCTGTTAATCCATCCTGAAAGTACCGTACAGTGTGCTGTACATAGGGTATCTCCTGAGGTAAAGCAATTATGGCTCTGGCCGTGCTCGCGTTTCCAGTAACACCTTGATTTTGCGAACCAGTATTCTGCGCGACGAATCCTCCGGCGCATCGCCAAATAATTTCTGCTATTGCCGAAGTCAGGACATCGATTTGCCTGTCGTACGAAGGCTTCAGCAGACTATATTGAACAAAAATGTTGTGTTTGTTCTTGATAGATGAGACGAATTGAGTTGCATTGTACCTTTCTGGGCTGGCACGAGCGTCTTGCTTGTTACATTTGAACAGAAACTGCTTGAGCATGATGGCTTGGACCGCAGTGACAAGGCCTCTGGTCGTGTTCCTGGGTGCTCGTAAACCAAAAGCCAAGTTTTGACCGTAGGGTCGTAAGGTCAATCCGGTCCTTGCCCATTCTGGTCTCGGTGGACTGGCGCAACTCCCAAAAACCAGAGTTCTTAAAGCCTGTCCACGAAACGTTCAACCTAATAAAAGCGTTCTTTTAGAGGATTTCAAGTACCAAAGGAAATTACCCTGCAAGTTTCTTCGTCTATTGGACTGCCTCCGATTACCACCGTCTTGGTCAGAGTTCTGGTGTTCCTGGGGTATATAATTTTCTCTGAAACAGAGGTACAAGAACCATTATCCATCTTGTCTCCATTGCACGCTCTCTTCGAGTTCTCCACCTGGATAAAGTTCATCAGGCTCTCCCATGAGTGCCGCACACCTGGCCGCTCTAGCAGACAGTAGCATCTCTCACCAAAAAGATACAGAAATCTTCGTACACGATGGAATCACAGGAACGAGAACTGATCCTCGGATACTTGTACGAATTCCGAAAGGAAATGCTTCCGCAGAGAGTGGAACGAAGCATCGACACAGGACACAAAGGGGTTCTGACGATTGTCACCCGTTGATGCACCCTGGCACACCAGCGCACCAAGCTATCGAATATCAATTGGAATTCGTGCTGGATTCCAAGTCCATTTATATGCGCTTATCCAGCCTGATATCTCAAGAAGTCCGTGAAACTTTAAGCAGCACGAAACGCGTCAATTCGGATGTCCAAAGGCACTCGGGCCTAGCTGAACGACAGACATGCCCTAATAACGTCTGTCTATCTGTTTGTCATTTCATGCCACATGTCCCGACCCACGCAATCTGATCGAACTGTGTACGTGTTATGGATGATTGATGCTCCAGAGATAGGTGCAAGTACCTGGAGCTTCTTCTGATAGAAGAAGAGGGTGTTTCACCCTTAGGGTATTGTCGATGAAAGCGATATAGAATTTCCGTAAATCAAGACCTCTTTGATGTAACTGTACATACCGATGTATGCTTGTTAACATCGAGTACTTGGTGAAGGTTAAACACGTGTCAGGGTCAATATAGTTAGGAACTTCGTCCTATTTTTCAAGGGGTTATCGGTATCCGGGACCATATGTCTGTCGTCGGTCTTAGGACCGGCGGTAACCGAACCTTTAGCTGATACTTCAGGCGCGACGAGTTCTGAGAGTGGCCGATGTTTTGTTTACGAATCAACGATAAAGTACTTACTGTCTCCCCCTTAATACCTGGCACTGACCCAATCTGCGGTCCCAAGACAAACAGATGCGGTCACTATTTATGTTTCCAAACCTTTTCCATTTTCCTTTCCCAATCATAACCTCTAACTGGCAGCTGGTCCTTCTCATATGGGTCCATCCAATATCTATGTATCCGTCCCTGTCACGAATATTTATGATTTCGCAACCTTCCCAAATCCTGCATCACCAAATCCATTCCACAGGATACCCCTACTCTTATTTTTCCCTAAAAATCCCACTATAAAATGGGACTCTCCGCAGGTCCCGAGGTCAGTAGTTCACCGTTTTTCTACTGGTCGTAACGTCGGTATAACAGTTGTATCAAACTTTGTCTCAACAAATAAACTATTTACTAAACCACCAAACCGTCTCCGTTGATTCGACGACATCTTCACAGGTACACGTGTGTGGCCGATGACCCGAAGTCATGGTGCTACATGGCACGTGTAATGAGATAAGGGTGTTCTAGAAGGGGAAGATCTTGCATCTTCTGGTAAGAGGACCATGAGATTCGGTATGGCATTTGTCCCAGAACCGTGATCGGATACACCTCGTTGAAAATCTAACCAATATATCTAACATGCTTAAGTATACGGTAAATGTAACAAGATTTTAAAGATAGAATAGGGATTAGATCATGATGCAATTGTTTGCAATCAGTCGGTGCAGCAAACGTAAAATTTGTTTCCGCAATTTTCTAACTGGAGCGGTATGGAAGATTGAAAATGCCGTTTTAGCGAGATAATTTCATACACCGTAAAGCAATCGTACACCCTCGAACGTGGTGTTCGTCTTTTCATTTACCATTTTATTGTGTTTGCACACGCGTTTACCATTTACCGGTGTATTATATATCCGTTTCGCGAGAACTGCTTCGCGTGACACGCGAACCTTGCGAAGATACATACGTGTAAATCGGTTCTCCTTTACATGGATTTCTTTTTCGTCTTCGAAGATAATAGTTTTGGTGCCTGTCTGCGATCTCCGTTGTTCGAAACGAGTAACTTTCCGAAATAAGAAACTGTTACTGTAACGTATTGAATCTTTTGCACCCTGGCTTGAACAACTTCGGTTCGTTCCAGTTTCTGGAATGAAAATATCATGGGAAAAGAGTCGAATCTATATTCTTTATCAGTTGTTGCGCTGAATTCGTGTTAACGGTGTGTAACACATGGTTACTCGTTTCGCACACAGAAATAAGATAACGGGCCAGGGTTCTTCATCTGTATACGTCTCGAAAATGCTTGAAAGTCGGTCGAATCGCGTGTTCGCGTGTAATCGAGTCTATCGAATTACAAATTCGCGTCGGAACAGACATCTGCATTCGACGATTATACGTGCCGATATAACGCGGCTTAATTTACCCTTCAAAAAAATCGGCTCGTTTCTTCATGATTCAATGATCCAATTCACTGACTCGATAATTTCTTGCGAAATTTAATTTAAGACAAGATGTACAGTTATCAGCAATGATATTTAATAATTTTGTATATTTCCAAGAGACGATCGTACCTTTTTGTCGAAGATAGACCGGCTTTTCTGCTCGCATTTCCGTGCAGTGTCTCTTGCCCCGTACAGATGCTGACGAGGTGGTTGTCGAACACGAGTTGTTACTCTCCTTCGTCTCTTCAAGTTCCTCCATGCCGGCAAGTGTGTCCTCAATCATCAAGCACACTATGTAGTCTCAAATTATTCAAGCTTCTTCAACGCGACGATCTTGAAGAACGTTCATCATAAACCTCTACCTTTTAACATGAACAAGTTCTATAGAGGTTCCTCATAGGTTAGGGATAGGTTAGGGTTTTGATTAATTAAATCCTTGGAAATAAAGGACTTCATGGTAAGAGCTGATTTTAATCCTTGCACGTATATCACAGATATTAGTTCATTCTATGAAAAGAGTAGATAGTTGATTTCACGTAGAATGTTTGATTAAATATTAGATGTTTATTTAGTGCAGGAGGATTGAACTTCCGGAGACAATGAATTGACCAAAGAAGATATTTCTGCAGAGTCAATGGAAATTGTCTTTGAGTTTGATCTGTAAGACGTCGATCGATTAATGTTCTCCAAGTGTATTAACAAGTAGAAGAGGCAGTTAAGTGCTCGTTGGTGCATCGAGCTGCCTAGACTGACAGGAGTTAATAATTCCGGTAGCTTTTGGCCGAGTCTAGTCGGTTCATCGCGCCGCGCACGAGCTACCATCCCACCAGCTTCTGGATAGGTATATGCATAACGACGGGCCATGAACTCCAGGATACGAAAGTACTACAAAACTTAACACCACTGAAAATCATCCTTGCTTGGAAGAAGTATTACGCGTTAGATTTAGAGGCGCCTGAATTAGGGCTGACGCGTTGATTACTGTAGTGGTCGTCGGTAATCGACGCTATTAATATAATTAGTCAAATAAATAATAATCGAGAGAAGTTGAATTGATATGTCATAAGTTTAATTTTGCAATACTTTTATGTCATGAAATCAAGTCAGACTTTCTATGTTTCGAAACTGGTTATTTGATATATATAGCAATCTAATACTTATTGTCGAAATTAACACCGTAATTATTTTTCATTTTCACAATACACAGGATTAGTTTGATCTTTCTAGAACAAAGGTTAACGACCCTATTGCATAATTTCCGTGTACGAATAACCGTATAGTTCATCTAGAACATGTATCTTATCTCTCTCGTCTATAATTACTAATTTCCTGAATACTGTGGATCCACAATCAAGATTACGTCGTATCGTTAAGTTCAAGTTCGCGTTAGTTCGAAATAGATTTTCCAATATTCGGCCTTCGAATGTATGATATAGAATTTCGAATAAGAGCATATTGTGCTTGTATAAGTGTGCTTCTATGCACACTTTAAATACTTACATGCGACCTTCTTCTCTAACTGCATAAAACAGTACCTTCATTAAAATTATCAAGACAATGATAGATTTTAAGAATACGTGATTGTACGAAAGCGCCAAATTTTCTGTTATTTTAGGCCGTGAAATTGTTCGATAATAGTTTACTATTGACCTTATAAGATGCACTGTATTTGCATGCGTGCATTCTCGGAAACGCTTGCGTGTGTAGAAACGTGTAGTATATAACGCCTGGTATATTGCCAAAGTGCAATATGAAATTGAACTGAGTGAGTGGCATAGTACCAGGAGCGAAGTTACAGTAGATTACGTGCAACTACGAGTATTTGATTACTTAATGATCGATTAGATTTACACGTTACTGCGAAGATGTTAGAAAGTGGTTGATTTAAAGAATCGATTAGAATGTATACTGTTTTCACTACTTGCCGAATAATTTGTAGATATTGTAAAAAATATAAATATTCTAATATGTTTTATAAGTGAGTTGAGACCATAGTCAGTTCCATAAAATGACCATTCTTCAAGTTAATTTGAAAATAAGTAATAATCATTTGTTACATCACTGATAGTGTGCAAACGTCAATTACATTATTTATTATGAAGCTTTTGGTAGCGTCACATGTTAATTATAAATTAATTGCGAAATTAAACCGCAACTGAAAAGATAGAAACAGAAAAATTATATTAAAATAATTCTTTGACAAATTTGTAGTTTAAAAAGACCGCCATAAGTCAAAGCTTTTAAAATTCGAGTCCAGCGCCATCTATACAAAAATAGCGGAAACTACTCGACGATTAGTTTCCGCGATTTCCCGATAGATGGCGCTGGATTCGAATTTTAAAAGACTCTCTTATGGCGGTCTTTTTAAACTACAAACTGACATCTGACGATCAATTTTCATTCTCTTTGATTCTATTTTTTTTTTAAATCAGTCAAACGCTGCACAAAACTGAACAATTATTATTGTAATTGTTTCAGAAACTTGTATTTACTTCATGCACTTTAGTAAATAAATCATTTGAAAAAAGCAACTGTGTTATTATTTAATTTACCCAATTTCATTTCTGAGTTATTTATTTAATGCTCGTAATTTCTTTTCTCAGCTATTTATTTAATTGACTTAATTTCGTTTCTCAGTTATCTTATCTTATATATATAAAGCGCAAAGGCTTCGGGGTCCCTGACACCCCAGATGCCATAATGTATTCGTGCTTCGGGGTCCCTGACACCTCAGATGCCATAATGTATTCGTGCTTCGGGGTCCCTGACACCCCAGATGCCATAATGTATTCGTGCTTCGGGGTCCTTGACACCCCAGAGGCCACAATGTATTCGTGCTTTGGGGTCCCTGACACCCCAAGACGGTATCATGCATGTCTAGTATTCTACTATCTGTAGTCACTGATCTTTATGCACACGATAAAAAAAATAGTGCACTAAATCTAATAGAATTTTCATTTTATTAGTGTAATGCACAGCTTCTCATTATGCACAATAGCAGTGTATAAATATAATAAGGACTTATACGTAATTAAATGACAAAACGTTAAATTTGTCAAAAGATTTTAATGACGTATAACCTACATGAAGCACTGACTAAAATAGTTTTGAGTAAAGAATCTTCATTCATTAATTTTTAATTCCACAGTGATTTAAACAATGGGTAAACACGAAGTAGGAACACCAAAGTACATTGCAAACAAAATTAAGGCAAAAGGTTTGCAGAAATTAAGATGGTATTGTCAGATGTGTCAGAAACAGTGCAGAGATGAAAATGGATTCAAGTGTCACACAATGTCAGAATCTCACCATCGCCAATTATTGTTATTTGCTGACAATGCATCACGTTATATGGATCAGTTTTCAAGGGAATTTTCTCATGGTTATTTAAATTTATTAAAGAGACAATTTGGTACCAGACGTGTACCTGCTAATCGTGTTTATCAAGAATATATCTCAGATAGAGGACATGTACACATGAATGCTACAATTTGGGTCACTTTAACTGGATTTGTTAAATGGCTTGGACGTACTGGACAATGTGTTGTTGATGAAACAGAGAAAGGCAATTTACATTTATGATTTTTATAAGTAATGATATAGTTTGTATTGTTATTTACTAAAATTTTGTTTTTATTTTTAGGCTGGTATGTAACTTACATAGACAGGGATCCAGAAACACTAGCAGCTCAAGAGAAAAAAGCAAAGAAACAGAAGATGGATAAAGATGATGAAGAAAGGATGATGGAGTTCATAGAAAAACAAGTGGAAAAGGGTCAACAAGAAACCAATGTACAAAATGAGGCTTATAAGGAGCCGTTGACACGTCCTGAAAATGATACCCCTTTGGTTCTTGAACTGAAAATAAATAAGAAACCAAAGTTACTTCTTAGTTCTGTGAAACAGGAAAAAGTTACAGATATGGGTTCTACCAGTAGCGAAGCAATTTCTGTTTCTAATATAAAATGTGAACAGTTAAGTGAAAATGAGGAAGAAAGTTCACTTAAAAAGACTGATAAACATAAATCTAAACATGATCCAGATGATAGCAATGAAGAAGGTTGGTTAAGAGAGAACTTAATGGTGAAAGTAATCACAAAGACTCTTGGAGAAAGATATTATAAAGCAAAAGGAATAATTGAGTCTATTGAAAATTCCAATTTCGTGGGGAAAGTAAAATTAAAGTCACCTGAAGAAGTCGAAAATCATGTTATAAAGATAGATCAGGAATATTTAGAGACCGTAATACCTGCTATTGGCAAGGATATTATAATTCTTTGGGGAAAATACAAGGGTATGAAAGGTGTAGTGCATAAAGTCCATATAGAAAACTATTGCATTGATGTAAAGTTGACGGAGAACGATACTGTTGTTAAAAAGTTACCTTATGAGCAAGTTTGTAAATATGTGACATGATTACCTATCTCAAAGACTGGAAACAATGTGTTTCACTTGTAACATTTTTGATAAAATGCATTATTTGTATTTCTGTCTTTTGTCCATATTTTGCAGACTTTTGCTACTTTTGTGATTGTAATATTGGTCAAATATTCCATTTGTATTATGCACATATACACAATAAAATGGAGATATTCTATTTTAGTCTGTATTAACTGGCAAACAAAATAATTTATATACCTGTAAATAATTACTTATGTATTTTAGAGAGCACCTGCGTACAAAATATGCATCGAACGTTTAACATTTAACGTTTTATGTACAGTATTTTTCAAATAAAAGTAATTTAAGAAGTTATTTGTATTTTCTTTCCTATACAAGATATATGTATATGTATATATATGTATACAGCAAGCTCCATGTGGTTTTGACTTGTAACATAACCTTTTGCTGAAACATAACCTTCATATTTTATTCTGCAACTCCATAACATTACAGCAAGAATAAACAAATTTTTATTCCATAAAAATAAGATATTTTTATTTGTAGCAGAACAATAATATTGTTTAGCAATTATAGTACTATTATAATTGTTAAACTAATTAAAAATTTAAGAACTGTCTTTGCATACAGCATGTGTTTGATTGTTAAATGATTTGTTGATACCATGCCTACTTTATTTAATGGTGATAAATCCGATTCTGATGAAGAATTGAAGATCAACACGGATTATGCTAAAAATTACAACAATTGGAGACAGAAAGAAGAATTTAATAAATGTAAGTACCTTTACAACAAAAGCACATTTATTAGTAACTTTATGCAATGAGCATTTATAAATAACAGTATTTATATTTCAGTAAAAACAAAATATGGAAACGTTAGTGGAAGTGGAACATCAGATGAGGATTCTGATACTGAGAGCTCATCTGAAGAGGAAGAGGAAGAAAATGTAAATCATAATTTTGTATGCCTAGAAAAGTTTTATGTACATTACTATTTAATGTTTATTTTTTATAGGAATTGACCCAGCAATTTGATAAAGATTTCTATAAAACATTAGCTTATTTAAAGCAGAAGGATCCAAAAATTTATAATCAAGATGTAACATTTTTTGATGATACTAATAAAGCACAAGAATTATACAGTGAAAAGAAGAAGTACAAAACAAAGAAGGAGAAAGCTGTTTTCTTAAGAGACTATGAACGAAATATTATTGTAGAAAGAGAAGGAAAATTTAGCGATAGCGAGGATGAAAGTACATTGAAAATGAATGAGGAACATAGTAGCAAAATCACATATGCGCAAGAACAAAGGCAGTTGAAAGAAAGTTTTAAGAATGCCTTGCACGATGTTGAAGAAGAAGAAGACACAGATTTATTGAAGCCAAAAACTAAATCTGAAAGTGAAAAACAAAAAGTAAGAAACTTCTGTTTGTATTTTTTACTGCAAAATAGATAATATCATTTTTATTGTTTAGGAAGAGCTAGATTACAAGGAATGGTTAAAAGGGCAAGAAACTGCCATAGATGAAAATGAACAGAAGGTGCTTAAACCGTTGCGCGATTTTTGGTCCAATCCTAATTTGGATTCAAATGAAAAATTTCTAAGAGATTATATACTAAATAATAAGTATTTAGATAACGAGTATACTGGTCCAAATGTGGACGATGAACATATAGTTCACGATAGCGATGAAAATTTATCAGAAGACGAAAAGAATATTGTAGAACAAGAGGAATTCGAACATAAATATAATTTTAGATTTGAAGAACCTGATCAGGAATTCATTAAAAGGTATCCGCGTACTTTGGAAAATTCTTTACGAAGAAAAGACACTCGTCGAGCGCAGAAGAGAGCGGAAGTAAAGAAGAGAAAGGAAGAAGAAAAGTTAAGAAAAAAGGAAGAACTGAAACAGTTAAAAGCATTGAAGAGAAAAGAAATCGAAGAGAAAATAGAGAAATTAAAAGAGATCACAGGCAAATAATATTAAATTTATTATATTTGTATTTAGTTTACTTAAATTAAACTTAAATTATTAATAAAATTACAGGGAACGATGATATACAGTTTAACGATATAGATTTAGAGGGTGATTTTGACCCAACTGAGCATGATCGAAAAATGACACAGCTTTTCAACGATGATTATTATGCAGCTACCGAGGAAAATATTAAACCTGAATTTCCGGATATCGACGAAGAACTGGAGATCGAAAATACGTGGGACGATTACGATCCTAATACGGATTATTATAACGAAGAAGAATACGAAGGGCCACATTGCGAAGATGCAGATTTTAATGTACTTAATTTATCACTATTTTCAATGACTTCAGTTGAACTACAATTCAATCAATATAATTTCAGATGGATGCCGATTATGATCCATCTAAAAGTGTCAAGGAAGAAGAAGAAGGTACAAAGAAAAGGAAACGTAGACGGAAATCTAAATTTGCTGAACTTATAGCTAAAGAAAAGCCAAAATTTGATCCGAAAGTATACCAGTCGTACGAAGAATACTTTGACAAATATTATTCCTTAGATTATGAAGATATGATTGGTGATATACCGTGTAGATTTAAGTATAGGAAAGTTGTGCCAAATGATTATGGTTTAAGTGTCGAAGAGGTAAGTTTCATATTATTTTTCAAAATATTAATAACCTTTAATTATGTATTTTTCCTTACTAGATATTAGTAGCCGACGATAAAGAATTAAATAAATGGTGTTCACTAAAGAAAGCTTTACAACATAAGCCAGATCATGCGGAGTTAAACGATGTTCGAATGTACAAAGAAAAGGCTAGGAATGAGGCACTGAAGAAAAAAGTACTTCGAAGTTTATACACGTAAGAAAATAAAAGAAAGACACTTGTCTTTTTTTACAGCAGGCTATATTTTGTATTTAATATTTTTTAGTAATCCGGAGGATGAAGAAGAGACAGATAAAAAAGAAATTATAGACAACCAGAATATCGCCGAATCTACAGAAACGAAGAAGCGTCGAAGAAAGAAGAAGAAGAAGAAAGAAGAAGTTCAAAATAATTCATCAATTACTGAAACTGTATCTGTAAATGACAAAGAATCCAGTGAAAGTAAAAAGAAAGTTAAGGTTAATGCAAATCAGAAGACAAGCAAGGAATCAAAAGAAAGTTCAAAAACAGAGAAGCGAAAGCAACCGGAAGAACAGTCTGAACAGCCATCAAAGAAGAAGCGTAAAATCAATAATTCCAAAAAATCTACTCCTATTGTTGAGGATAAACCACAAAAAGAACAAGGTCAAGAACCAGATGAATCGAATGTCAAACATCCAAAGAAAGAAAAAATGAAAAAGAAGATGATAAAGAAGAAGACGTTAGGCAAAATAAAGAAAAAAGGCGCTAAAAATAATAATATCAATGGTGATATTACTTCATTGAATCCAGAGAGGTTGAAGATGTACGGGATAAATCCAAAGAAATTGAAGAATAAATTAAAATATGGAAAACAGCAGCAATAGTTACGACATATTGTAAATACAATATAAATCTGTATATATTATTTGATATTAAAATAGTTTGTCCTTCTGTTGATACTCTTTTTTTACATTGTCCTGGTGGATATCGTAACACGCCCTATTTAATAGCTGGGAATATGTTCGGCAAGGATGCGACGGGTTCGAACACTGCTACCCTCAAGTAGGAGTGTCTCTGTTGTTAGGGCAAATCCGTTTCGACATGATAAACGACGTTTGAGGATTATTAGAATCGCAACAGTCTGTCTGCGTTTACTTTTCTAAAATCTCTATTGGTAATCCATCCCATATGCTTCGGTTAAGGAAACCGTTTCGCTCGAGTTCCCTGCTATCTGTATTACACTTAACAATCTCCCAATTATACAATTTGTATAGTTAAATAATTCAAAAAAGAGAATTTAATTATTATTGAGAAAGATTGTTAGTAATCAGGAATCTAAATGTCTATTACACTATCAATAGCTTGAAATATAATTTTATGGATACAGTTAAACAACGGTTTTTGCAGATATATGAAATGTTCAATTGCAATGTTACTGCGGATTCAATTCTCACCGACTGGAATAATTTAATCGACAATAAAGCCGAAGTGTCTCTTACGAATTTTAGTTAACGAGATGGGAGAGGATTAGGGATGGCACGGTACTTGCACCCATCCAAACTGGTCTTACTTTCCCTTGGGTGCAATATATCAATTCTCCTCGCCCCTCCAGTGAATGTTCCACGGTAGCAGGTGGCTCCTGACGGCCACCATCGTTCGCACCCTTAATACCCAATTAATGTTATACGCCTTGTAAACGCGTGTCGACACTATGGCAATTGTTATAAAATTCAAACAAATCGTATAAAAAAAAGGAAGCTCTAAACATTTTACATAAAATGATTTCAGGGATTTTCTTGATAAAATGTGGGGGTGTTGTGCAATGTAAAAATTAAAAATTTGAAGAACTTGGATCCTTTTTGCATTGTAAGAATTTTTCTGAGTGTTTGAATATTTGAAAGGCACGTATCAGTGGTATTAACGGAAATTAAGAATCTGTTAGGGACAGGTCAAAGTGGAATTACGAACTATCGAGTTTCAAGATTACCGAATTTCACGGACTAACGCCTCCATCTGGAATCGTATGGGGTGTAGTGTAATTGAGGCATCATCCCTGTCCACCTTCTAATTGGCGGAAAATTGTTGGGGCGTATATCGGAGAGACTTTAAGTACTCCAGAAATAAGATTCCAATTACGAATTTTAATTGTACTTTATCGTACAATTCATATTAAAATCATTGCAACCAATAGGTGCGTCGTTTTCAGTTGTAAGATTTCTCTCAAGCAATCGACGGTATGTTTTTGTCGTCGTATCTTCCATTTGAATGAGGATCACAAGATACGTGATGACTACTCCGATTATCTGAAAGGCAAACAAAATTAATGACAATACAAATTAGTAATTTTAATTAAAAAAATATTGATGTACGCTTAAGATGAACGAGTGATCCACTGTGAAAAATCCACAGGCTGTGAACATCAGAGGGTTCTGGACCATTTGTAGAGTGAAATCTCGAATCTGTATAAGCAATTTTTTGTTCAAAATTAGTATTTTTTTTAATATTTAATGAATTTTCAAAGGGTTCACCTCTGCTCGAAATTCTTTGCTCGTAGATGTCTGGTAAAGCTTGCAGAAAAGATCCCCAGTGCTTGCGCTCTATAAAAAAAAATATGTTAGCAATTTATTAGCCATCCGTATCTAAGATTGAAAATCTTGAGAATGGGGCTATAGCATTTAGACTTTCTGTCAAACGGTAAGAGTTATCGAAGAAATTCTTGCGTCATTGTGTTTAGTGGGTCAAAATCTCAACGAATGGCCGAAAAAATTATTTTTTTCTTGCCACGGTTGGATTGCAGTTTCCCGGGTAATTGATCTCGACTATTTTATCGGATAAATCAAGGTCGGAGAAGACGATAGGAAGTGTCCCGAGGTCGATATCACGTGGCGTTACAAAGTTATGGCCATTTTAAAAAATCAATTTTTCAAAAATTTTTCGATAATTTCAAATCCAAAAAATAACCTAACCTAACCTAACCTAACCTAACCCAACCCAACTTATCAGCACTACCAACTTATCATTGGGACACTTCCTATCGTCTTCTCCGACCTTGATTTATTCGATAAAATAGTCGAGATCAATTACCCGGGAAACTGTAATCTAACCAGGTTGTTAATTAAAATTACCAAATCACTTTACCTCGGTGCTGGTTTTACCGCAAGCGTGGCCCACAGCAAATATTTCTAACCCGCAGAAACAGGCCGCGAATGTTGGAAGTACAATGAGTCGTAGGGTTTGTTCCATGTCTGGACTCAGCCATAAGGTTTTGTAATTTGTGTGAAGGGAGGTAACGAGGTAGGTGAAAGCAGAGAATATCAGCAGCAAAATTTGTACTCCATACGTGCTGTTCACGACACCGGCGATCTTGATCAACTCCAGATGAGCTTGTCTTGATAAAAAAAAAAAAAACAATTGCATTTACAATTAAACAATTAATTAATCAAGCAATATTAGAAAATTTAATTTTATTGAATTCTCACTTTACTAGTCTCATTGTGAGGGCGTCTCCTTTGTCTCTCTTAATGTCTTCGTTCTCGAGGGAGCTGAATTTTTTATTATTGAAATCGTAGAACATCGTCAGGATTCTCTTTTCCTGTGGTAAATCCGGTTTCGCAGCTTCTAGGCTTCGAAGTAGATTGTTCAATTGTTGAAATTTCAATTCGAGGCATCTGGTAATTGAAAGACGTTGGATACATTTAAGTTTCAAGCTTTAAATTATAAATTTTATTTCTACCTGATCCAGAAACAAAAGGAGATAACGCAGACGCTGTATAACAGCAATGGAAAATGTAGGACGAAGATAATGATTGCCTTCTTGTACAGTTGCAGCATCGGCGGTAAATACAGCAGATACTGAGTGACTGCACTAGTCAAAATGAATAGTGCGCTGATCGCAAAAGCGTATAATTGATACTGATAGGCTACACGATATTCTCTTGGCAAACCCATCTCCTCCGCAGATTGATCGTACTTGTTAAACAGTGCAATTACATTCTTCACATTCTTCGAAAAAAGAATAAAGGAGTGGATGTTACTCTTGAAAAATGCTCTCGATACTCACAAGGGAATGGTAGAGTTGCTCGTCCAGACTGTTTATTCGAAAGAGCACGAAACGAGGAGTTTATGGTGCAATTTTTTCAAAAGTTATGGAACTTTGAAATTTTCATATTTTTAAGTGTAAATGATTTGAAAACATGAGAAATCGAAATATGAAGTGAAAATTAAGTGTAAAAGTGACAAAGGCATGAATTTGAGATGATCAGATGATGTTTACTAACAATTAAGATGAGTTTCAGGGAAAATTGCATGTGTGATCACTTGCACTTAAAAATATAAAAATTTCAAAGTCCCATAACTTTTGAAGCCGTTACCACTGTCACCAAAAAATTGCACCATAAACTCCTCGTTTCGTGCTCTTTCGAATAAACATAACCTGGACGAGCAACTCTACTGTACACGTTCCCTGTCAAATTTTATTTTAAAAACTTTACCTTTGCGTTCAGTCGTCCTAGAGCGATTAAACTGCCCATTATTATTGCGTTAGCCATGTGGGTATACTTAATAGATATTCGATTCAGCATGAACACGTTTAAGAAGTACAAATTATCATATAATTCGATACCGTACTGGAACGTGTAGTAGAATATTACCATATAGCATCCGGAATAGAGAAATTCGAAAAATTTAATTACACGATTATTCGAATCGCTAAACACGCCTAATCCAGTTATTAATTGCATCAGAAGCAGAGGTGAAATCGCTCGATCGATCGTTTTTGGCTCGTACATACTTGTATTCGAAGGGAACACTTTAAAGATCAACTCTTCACTGTTCGCTCTTTACGGTTACGACGATTATCTTGTCACGTTCGTTGAAATTAATAGACGGTTGAGTAATGAATATAGTTTACCTGGATCGATATCATCACGGTAATGAAATTGCTGTTACTATCATATAGATCGGCTGTTAAATTGAATTTTTAATGATCAATCGTTTTTACGGTGTACACTGTCGAGAAGTACATGTGATTACCAATCAAATTGATGAATTAAGACATTAATTATAATGAAAAAAAAAATACAATGGTCTCTTCGCGTTAATTACGGACTTATACTACTTACCGCCATAGTGGAGGAAACTACGCTTGATGCGACAGAATACAAATTATTAAAAACATCAGCATTTAATTATTTAGTTTGTTATATTAAATTACAATTGCTTTAAAATAATTAAATTCTATTTTCAATGAATGGTACTGTTTTGAGTCACCGAATCATCGACGGTATCGGTGTCTAAGCTGAACTGTATTACGATGACCAAATATGTTGCCACCAAGGTCACGCACTATAACATAGATTGATAATTAATATTCTTTTGACAGAATTATTCAAAAAGAAAAGAACACCAACCTCTCGTAGGAAGCTGAAATTCAATCGAAAAAAATTGCTTTCCGGTTGCCCCAGTTGACTGTGCGATAATTGCAAAATGAACTGGAGGATCTATGGAAAAGTTAGGTGTATATTCAAGTGTAATTGAATCTTCAATAATCAGGGCCGGCCCTGGGCCTAGGCAGACTGAGCAGCTGCCTAAGGCCCCGCAAGGTCCAGGGCCCGCAGAAGACGATTTTGCGTCTAAGAACAGGTCCGACCCTGAGATTTCGGGGGTCCGAGACGAGGTCTGAAAAAGGGCCCCCTCAAATAAAATTTATAAAATTAACATCAAAGCTTGTATAACTAATTTAAATTTGCATTTAAATCGATTAATATTCTTCTTGCATTCTTAGACGCAAAATCGTCTTATGGGGGCCCTGGACCTTGGGGGACCCTAGGCGGCCGCCTAGTCTGCCTAGGCCCAGGGCCGGCCCTGCTAAGAATGCAAGAAGAGTAAAGTTTACTTGAATATTAATCGATTAGTTATACAAGCTTTAATGTTAATTTTATAAATTTTATTTGAGGGGGCCCCCTCCGACCCCTGAAATCTCAGGGCTGGCCCTGCTAAGAATGCAAGAAGAGTAAAGTTTACTTGAATATTAATCGATTAGTTATACAAGCTTTAATGTTAATTTTATAAATTTTATTTGAGGGGTCCCCATCCGAGCCCCGAAATCTCAGGACCGGCCCTGCTAAGAATGCAAGAAGAGTAAAGTTTACTTGAATATTAATCGATTAGTTATACAAGCTTTAATGTTAATTTTGTAAATTTTATTTGAGGGGGCCCCCTCCGACCCCCGAAATCTCAGGGCCGGCCCTGTCAATAATGATAGAATTTTTCTCACCTCTTCGTTCAATTCTACATCTGTTTCGTATAAGGAAAACTCGTGGACGACTTTTACCATTTTGCTTGCCTAAAGTTTAAATTAAATGAATCTATTTTTTTATCATTATAATGTTGCACTATACGCACCTGTTTCATCGTGTGCTCGCAGTCATAGCTCACTACGCAAAGTTTAATGAAATTAACAACTCTATCCACGGTTACTACCGTGATTAAATTGAACTTCAGTTTGAACGAGTTTACCGAATTGTGAATATCTATGTACATATAGTATAAACTCGCAGCGAGGTGCATTAGCAATAGAACCGCATAGAGCAACAATTGCATATCGTACACTTTGCTCAATAGTTTAGCTGTGCAACACAGCTCTAGATGCAGCAATCTTGAAATTATAGCAAATGGATCCTTTATTTCCGACAAATTGTTATTAATACATTCATTAATTTACCTGATCTGTTGAAACATCATTTTGGTGGACCGTGGTTTGTATTTGAAATCGGAAACTCGATTCTCGGGAAAAATTTTCGAGCGAGAGGAAAAATATTCAAATTGATGATTTTGAGTTGATTTACTGATCGAATCAATGTCTTGTTCTATTCGATGGTCTTTCATGAATATCGAACTTAGAAGTTTGCTGGTCTGTTTGAATCTCACCCCTAACCAACTATAATTCATAAAAATATTTATTTATCAAAGAATTTTGTTTCATTCGGATTTGACGTACAATACACCTGTCTTGAAGTCGAAAAGGACGACAGATCCAACGGTATTTGCGTAAAGATAGATAACGATGGCAAATGGAACGATTATTCCTGTTTTATATTCCAGTATGACTTTCAAATACATTCCGCATAATATGAACGAGCTGAAGAGCCAAACAGTTCCGTTTATCAAAACCCGAGTAAACATACTCTGATAGTTAAAAGGCGATGATAATTTATCGAATTTTTCGTCTACCTTGGAAACTTGTTTTTTAAACACCAACACATCCTAAAAGTAAACTTTTTTTTTTGACGTTTTACATCTACAAACTTTAACACTAGAACTACCGACGATTGGTGCACACTAATTTTTAAGTTGAAAATAATACAGAAAATTAAATAAATACGGGATGAAACAATTTAATATATATATCCATTCTTTATCTCGACAATAGTGCCACAGCGGGGGTCTACGCTAGGAACGGTAGACCCAAAGAATAAGAAATCGCAACAATAGGGCCTCTTTTACCACTTGCTACTGAAACCGAGACGTATCCACTGAAAATCAGCAAATTTGTAAACGTTTGTATACAGTAAAAGCTGGATATATGCAACATCGCTATCCTCTCCACTTGGGGGGGTCCCCCTAAGGCTTAGAGTCTAAGCGAACCGAGACGCTCGACGAGGAAGCCGTGTACAGTAAAACCTGGATAAATGCAACAAAAGAATGCTTGGATAAGTGCAACATCACTATCCCCTCCACTTGGGGGGGATCCCCCTAGGCAAACCGAGCCGCTCGACGAGGAAACCGTGTAATACGATCCGAACCGTTATATCGGTGTGACTAATACTAATTCAACGATAAAACTTTTTTATTTTTAACTTTTTCTTAATGAAACTTTTACTAACGCATTTGTGAGATTTTTTTTGATTAAAATGATACCAAACACGATATAGTTTGAATTATATTCATTTATGTATTTATTTATTCTGAATAGGCTGCTGAACTACTGATTGCAAATTAGGTGCTTTATGATGTTAGGAACAGCCTGTGATTTCCATGAAACCGGACAGTTTCATCCTATTGAAAATTAAAGTAATTTACAAGCTAACAGTAATAACAGAATGATAATAGAATAAATAAACAATAATAATAGTATAAACAACATAGAATTGACACCTCGGCTGCCTAAATGATGTGTACGAACGTAGAATAGGTATCGCGGCTGAATACAAACGATGTGTACAGACGCAGAATCGACACCTCGACTGGATATATGCAACATTAAATGCCCAGAATCGACACCTCGGCTGGATATATGAAACATTAAATGCCCAGAATCGACACCTCGGCTGGATATACGCAACGTCTGGGTCCCAATGTTTGTTGCATATATCCAGCTTTTACTGTATCTTGAAAACTAATTAAAATCGGGTGTGTATTAGCTTAATGAATTCGTCTTGAAAAGCACTATCACATGATCTGAAAAAAAAATATATAGTTCCATTTATAAAACGAAACTTGACCATCATATCTTTTAAACTAATAATGCAAATAAATTTTCGTTTACGCCAAAACATAGGCCCCATTGTACCGTGCAATTTTCATATAAACAATTTTTCGTGTCATCAATAGTTACAAAATAAAACGCCTGTCACACTTTAGCGCGGACACCCTGTAGGTACATTCCAGCAAAAATACCTCGATAAAAATAAATTAAAATAAGACATTTGAAACAAGTCAATTTAACCCCTTTGGTAGTTCCAGTGTTAATGTTAACAAATTATTTTCTCACCTTCGAGGAACACCAACCCAGTACCACTATCCACGTAATCATGATGACATAAACTACGATCAAAAACAGGTGCATGGTGCCTTTTGTATTGTACGAAGGCTCGTTTGATTGCACGGATTGTTCATCGCGCAGTTGAACGAATTCGATGAATATTATAATCACGATGGTCAGAGAGAGAACGGAAATGCAGTAAACCCAGTTGATGAAAAGTTTCACTTTGCTTTTCGCCTGTTGGCAAATTCTCAACGCCCAAAGGTAATTAAGGGCAGACAAAACAGCGGTTGCTTCGTTAAAATTTTTCGGAGTCATCATTTTTGCACTACACTTCTTTGCTTGCTTCGTTCGATTAGAATAAAAACTTACAAGAACGTTGTATATTTTTGCAACTGTCAATATCGTTGGTGGAATCCATTTAGATAATGAATAAAAAGAAGAGGTAGTTTTATTGCTCGCACCTTGCACAATTATGGTTCACTTAAGAAGATTACTTGAATAATGAAAAAATGAATATTGATGGTTGTTGATTCGATAAGAGGAGAGGTACAATGATTACTGATTACAGGAAATGTTGATTAAATAAGAAATTGAGAAGAAATAGGGGCGGTTTTGTCTCAGGTGTTGCGAGAAAATCAATACTGGTATCGAACTCTAAAGTTCACTACCTTTGAATGTACTTTCAAGTAAGAAAAATTAAATAAAATTTTTCATTTAACAGTATTTCTGATTATCAAATCCTACGACAGTTGCAAAAATCACAATTTGGAGAACTAAGGAGAACTAAGCTGAGGAGAACTAAGCTAAGCTAATTCAAAGGCTAGCTATTCTAGCTGATAAGTTGGGTTGGGTTAGGTTAGGTTATTTTTTGGATTCGAAATTATCGGAAAATTTTTGAAAAATTGTGATTTTTTAAAATGGCCATAACTTTGTAACGCCACGTGATATCGACCTCGGGACACTTCCTATCGTTCTCTCCGACCTTGATTTATCCAATAAAATAGTCTAGATCAATTATCCGGGAAACTGCAATCCAACCAAAACTTGAATTTTTTTATTAATTAGGTAGGTTGTTACGGTTTTTGCTGGAAAGGGTATATTTCACATAATAGCATTGGAAACATAAAATATGTAAGATTTCCATCTGTTCATAATAATTTGATCACCCACTGTAATAGAGGATAGGAGAAAAAGAATAATGAAAACGAGAAAGGAATTCGATGAGCCGTGAAGTTGATTCCTTCGTTCACTGGAAGGTCTGTCCACTTTGATGATCGCTGGTAAACAGAAAAATAAAGTGCGTTCGATTGCAAGAAGGATGGTTATGCGACCATTTCGCAGGGTGAAACAGAGGATTTAGGATACGCGTGTAGTTGGGGTGCGACCATCCCCCGGGGACACTCTTCTAATCCACGAAACAAGATTGATTTAACAGTTCCAAAGCGATTTCGAATAGTTGCATTTCAAATTTATTCGAATAAGTATCCGTAAACCATTAAGACATGATAAAAAATTGTATAACATTCTATTAACACTTTGATGTCCTTATTTTCAGATCGAGAAATGTCGCTTTGAGCCATCGTGAAAACGAAAAAATCACATCAATTTGAACGTATTCCATCTGGTTGAAAGTTGGTCCGATCCAAGTGTCACGACACTCGAGGAAGCTCTGCAAAAATATAATTCTTCCGAAAAGAGGGTTGATTTCCTTCAAGCTTCGAGGACATGATTCAAATAGGCGATGTAACAGATGGCCAGTCGTAGAATCTCAATTTTCGACAGCTTCTTATCCGGTGGCAAAGTTGGCAGAAGTTTTCTAAGTTCCGCAAATGCTAGATTGAACGCTTCCACTCTCACCCTTTCTCTAAATTAATTTTATTAATTAGTAGAGTAACACAGACGCTTTGAACATGATTCTTTTTTTTACCTCGTTGCGTGTGCTGTTCGATATTTCTGCGTCGCTCTTCTGCGTCGACGTCTTTCTTCGCGCGAAAGGGTGCCAGCACCTGGTGCACCCACCCCGTTCACTACCACTCCGTGTCCACCGTTCGCCATTTTCTCTTCGATTGAAGAAACACCAGTTTTCAAGAAAAGAATTTTCCTTCTACAATTTCCTTGAATTTCAGTCACTTTTCTATGTTCATTGCGAATGGGTGCTCGATTCGTGTGAAAGGGGATTTTCATGTGGAACGTTCATTTTTGGGGTTGATTGCTGGAATGATATTTTGTTAATCAATTTTTCGAAGCATCACTTGTAGTTATTATATTAATTGAATTGGTGATAAGTGTTGCACTGGGTCAATTATTATGATTTTATGAGCACCGGAGGGTGTTGAATTAGCACCCTTAGAGAGTAACCCCCTGGAAAACACCCTTTAGGCAGAAATCGTCCAAATCCCTCGGGAATCGCGTTCAAATTCGGAATAAAGGAATTCGTGGCGGAAAATAATAAGGTGATCAAATATTTGTGGGTACAGAAAGGGTTGATTCTTGTGCTTGTTTTTCTTCTCAAAGCAGATCACTGTGGGTTAAAATTGGGTGGTTAATAAAATAGAATGGGAATAAATAAATCAGCAGAGGACCAAGGTTGTGTTAAAGGAAACATAGTTTCGGCACCCATGGGGCTCTTAAATTCCGACCGATTCGATGGTATCTGTCGAAAGGTGGGATTGTATTATTCAGAAAAAACCTTGTCCCTGTGTTTCTTCTCAATTATTCACGCGAAACAACCCGCCGCTCTCGTTCGATCTGATTCTTATGGTAAACCAGCGATTCGTATGGACATCTTCTCGCGGTTGCCTTAATATTTGAAGGAAACCACCAGATTTCGATACCATTTTACTTCTACGACGCGCATTTCCCTCGATTCACAACGTTCCTCGAATAAATTCCAATTCGATCGACAGGAGTTTGTATTTTTTAAGCTAAGGGTAGTTTCTAACGAAGCATTCATTATTCAAATCTGAATAAATAATCCCTTTTTCACACTGGTTTGCACTTCAAATCTCCGTAACACAAAAGAGTAAGAAATCCTTTGAAAAATAAAACTCACAAATTGTCACCGTTTGCAGCCCCATCCCATTCTCTGCATTTTCATTTTATATTCACTATATTTACCTTGTTAAATATCAATTTAAACGGTGACTTTCACTCAAGGACGATCACTCGACGAGATCAGCAACGTCTCTGATAAGATCTGCAACTCTCGTGTAGGGAGGTTGCACCCTTGCGAAGAGGAGCGAGGATTATCTTGTCATCCCTTGAGCCACGCCTCCGGAAACATCCCCTCGTTGTTCACCCTTCGACAGATGCTAGCTGCATCTCTCTCAGCAGCATCCCTCGTGTTCTCCAATGAAATCGCTAGAAACGAGGGATGAGACCGCCCCAAACTGGCCGCCATTCTGTTGCTGGCGAAAACGATGGAACGTTTTGTTCGTTAGTACGAATGGGTGGACCATTTTATCGATCATGCGATTTTCCTGGGTTCGAGCCTCCGATTAGAGGTGTTCTTCTTTGGGCAGTACCTTTGTGTCATTGTATTCCTCTGTTCTTTTAAGGCTAATTTTCTTATGGATAAGTTTTTGGAGCTTCCTGTGATTTTTTGGAAGAAGAATATCGAAGGTTTTATTAATTACAATTGCAGTACAAAAAAGTGTCAAGTTCAAAGGGGTAGTTTCCTAATTTTCTTATGGATAAGTTTTTGGAACTTCCTGTGATTTTTTGGAAGAAGAATATCGAAGGTTTCGTTAATTACAATTGGAGTACAAGAAAGTAGCAAGTTCAAAGGGGTAGTTTCCTAATTTTCTTGTGGATAAGTTTTTGGAACTTCCTGTTAATTTTTGGTAGAAGAATATCGATGGTTTTATTAATTACAATTGCACTACAAGAAAGTGTCAAGTTCAAAGGGGTTGTTTCCTAATTTTCTTATGGATAAGTTTTTGAAACTTCCTGTGATTTTTTGGAAGAGGAATATCGAAGGTTTTATTAATTACAATTGCAGTACAAGAAAGTGTCAAGTTCAAAGGGTTGTTTTTATTTTTTTTGTGGATAAGTTTTTGGAACTTTCTGTGATTTTTTGGAAGAGGAATATCGAAGATTTTATTAATTACAATTGGAGTACAAGAAAGTAGCAAGTTCAAAGGGGTTGTTTCCTAATTTTCTTACGGATAAGTTTTTGGAACTTCCTGTGATTTTTTGGAAGAGGAATATCGAAGGTTTCGTTAATTACAACTGCAGTACAAGAAAGTGTTAAATTCAAAGGGGTTGTTTTTATTTTTTTTTGTGGATAAGTTTTTGGAACTTTCTGTGATTTTTTGGAAGAGGAATATCGAAGATTTTATTAATTACAATTGCACTACAAGAAAGTGTCAAGTTCAAAGGGGTAGTTTCCTAAGTTTCTTATGGATAAGTTTTTGGAACTTCCTGTTAATATTTGGTAGAAGAATATTGATGGTTTTATTAATTACAATTGCAGTACAAGAAAGTGTCAAGTTCAAAGGGGTTGTTTTTATTTTTTTTGTGGATAAGTTTTTGAAACTTTCTGTGATTTTTTGGAAGAGGAATATCGAAGGTTTTATTAATTACAATTGGAATACAAGAAAGTAGCAAGTTCAAAGGGGTTTTTTTTATTTTTTCAATCTCGAACATTATAATTAGAGAAATTGTTTGGACAAATTGTAAGGTGTGGATGTTAAAGGGTGAAAGAAAAAGCGTCCGGAGTAATCAATGTTTTGTATATTGATGTACATGTTACACGAAGGCGACACGTGTCTCGCGTTTATCTTTGTAACAAGAGACGAGATGAGGCGAACCGCATTCTAATCGACTGCTTCTCGATTAATGTCTTTGTTGGTCGTCGGTGTCATGAGATAGTTCACGCTTCGTTATTTTAACCCCTCCATTTTCAATGCCTTTTCTAACCCCTTCGAGAGGCACGCGACTTTTGACAGGCAGAGTTTTGAAAGGAAGGGGGCAAGGGATTGAGATTAATTTTGATTAAATTTCCAATGAAAACGGTTGAACTTATTTAACGAATTTCCAAAATAACTAGTATTTTAAGAAAAACTGAAATTAATCTAATTTTTGTAGTTTTATATGATGTACTATTAGATCCTTTGTGAAACAGAGGGTGGTAACGTAAGGGTGCAGCACAAACAGGGTTGCACCATCAGTGAAATAATCAATATTCCAGTATCGGTTGATATATAAGAGACTTGCGGCACAAGCATGTGTAAAAGTTATAAAAAAAATTAATTTGGATAGATATAATAATATATAATTTAGTTAATAAATCATTCTGAAATTAAAAACTGTAATTAAATAAATTGTAATAATAATAAATAAATAAAATGATGTACCATATCTACGCGTAAAAGTTATAAAAACAAATAAATTTCAATAAATATAATACATAATTTAGTTAATAAATCATTCTAAAATTAAAAATTGTAATTAAATAAATTGTAATAATAATAAATAAATAAAATTGTGTACCATATCTGTGCGTAAAAGTTATTAAAATAAATACATTTCGATAAATATAATAATACACAATTTAGTTAATAAATCATTCTGAAATTCAAAATTGTAATTAAATAAATTGTAATAAGAATAAATAAATAAAATTGTGTACCATATCTGTGCGTAAAAGTTATAAAAATAATAAATTTCAATTAAAAAGATAATAATTTAGTTAATAAATAAATGTAAAATTAAAAATTATACTGCAATAAATTGTAATAATAATAATTAAATAAAATTACGCAAGGTATTCATACGTAGAGGTAACAAAAGGTTGACCTTTACCAAAAGGTGGGACGGAAATCCGGATGTGTCATATGTCATTGGAAAGCCCTTGACGAAAGGAACACAATGGTGTGGGTGGGAGGTCTTATATATGTGACCTTGACCCGCTAGAGGTCAAAAACTAAGATGATTTCAAATATATATATGGAATTTACTCAAAAGCTCGACGTTAAATCCAGATGGGTCATATGTCATTGGAAAGCCCTTGACGAGAGGAATACAACGGTGTGGGTGGGAAGTCTTAAATATGAGACCTTGACCCGCTAGAGGTCAAAAACTCTTCCAATATTCTTTTCTTATTGATTTCATATGTAAATCCTATCTTACGTTTTCGTATCATCTATTCGTATTGGTTTTGAGGTTCTGATGGTTCTGAGATTCCAATGGTAATAACGTTTTGATTTGTTATTTTCTCAATTGCTACTGAAATTATGATGTTAATTATATTATCTGTTTCAGAATTTTATTGTTAAAATTTTAATTAAATTTTGATTAGAATAATTACGTTTCCTATTTCAGAATTTTATTGTTGAAATTGTTACTTAAGTTTTGATCTTAATAATTGTTTTCTGTCACAGGATTTTATTCTTGAATTGTTATTTTCTCAATTGTTACCGAATTTCATTGTTTAAATTGGTATTTAATGTTGTCTGCTTCGAGGAATTTTATGATTTCAGGATGGGTCACTATCGTAGCCACCTCCACGTGGTGTGACCTGATAATCGGTATCATTTTCTAAAGATAATCTTTAGAAAGGAGCATCATTCTCTAAAGATAATCTTTAGAAAATGCTACCGAGCTAAGAGCTACTATTCGCGTTTTAGTTGAAATATCTTTTATTTTACAACATTTTCCTTTAGATATCTGTTTACGAAATAAATTAAAAAATATACTTTTGCATATTTCGTTTTCTCCCTCGTCCCAAAACGCCTTTGGATCCACCCTTAAATAGTTGTCAAGTGTAATGTCACAATACTAGTCAGTGAATTTCTATAGAATCATCCACGTCGGACACAAAAGATACTCTATCAATATACAGAGATTAATCGAGAAACGATACGCTTTTCTTTTTATCCTGTTTCCATTTCTAACACATTCGGCCAATAATCGTTGTTCGATCTTCTTTCGGACTGCAAGGTGAACAAATTCCTCATGGTCGTGCCAGAAACTGTCGGTTGCTCGTAATCGTTCGATTGTCTGCAATGCCGATTCGACATTCTTTTCCTTGGTTCCCGGCAATTGGAAACGAAGATGTTCACGTTCTTCGACCATCTGGCTTGCCATGCACGTTTTATTTCTGTCCTCACCTCAATGTTTAGCAGACAGTACAATAAAGCCACGAACGAACCCTGAAAAATAGTGTGAAAAATCCAATGTTCTTTTATGCACAGAATCGATAATAGATTTTTTTTTCAAAAAATAATTTAGACATAATTAATACAAAGTTTCATTACTGTTCAAGGAATAAATTCTTCCTGAATTTACTAATTTAAGTAATTGAAGTAACACCAGATGAAATATCATAAATTAAATACTTGGAAAGAGGCGAAGAATTGATCACAGAACAGCCAGACTAATTCCACACGATGATCCTTATGATAAGAAAGACCCAGGAAAAGAGTATAATGAGCCCCGAACAGAGGCACCAAGACCAACGTAGATTTCGCCCACCTGCTGTATATAAACCCATAGAATATTTTATTTTATTAAAACCCGATTCATAGAATATTTTATTTTATTAAAACCCAATCCATAGAATATTTTATTTTATTGAAACCCAACCCATCGAATATTTTATTTTATTGAAACCCAACCCATAGAATATTTTATTTTATTGAAACCCAACGAAACCCATCGAATATTTTATTTTATTAAATGTTAATTGATCGGTATTAATTAATTTACCTGTACTGCATCTTCTTACGTTGCAAGTGCACCGAAGTTTTGAATTTGATGAAAAGCACGCGTACTATGTTGATGAACAGCAGGAAATTGAACTAAAAATTTGTTATTAGCTCGTTTAATTTTTCATACATTTGAAAATAATGAAATCAATCAAAAAAAGAAACACTTACTAAGGTCGATATCATGATGGGTATTCTTATAAGCAGGAACACAGAAGGATTATCGTGGGTGGTCCAGCAAAGTGTATCCTCGATCGTGGCTCGAATAATTATCCAAGGAACAACCACGAAAACAGGCAATCCTTAATTAAAAAAAAGAAATTAATAAAACTTTTTAATCAGATGCGTCATCTATACGAATATAATCGTACCCCATCCCATTAGAATGTATAGATTAATCGCTGCGCTGTCGGCGCAAAACGCCAACACAACCAAGTTGTGTAAATATAACCCTTCCATAAGAATCCAGGAATAATTAGCCACGATGAAGAATTGCCAAGCGCTGGTGATCGTCTTGCAGATCAACGTCTGGAACTGATCGATTCAATGTTATCCTGGAAGCGAATGTTTTTCACGGTCTTTCGTTTATTTTCGAAGACGATCATGGCATATTGATATGTCTGATGAAAGTATGGAGAAGTGTGATTAATCGAGTCGATTATGACTAAATTTCCAGCAACTCGAAGTATCTTGCTTTCGAAAATAATCAATTTTCGAGGCTTTAATAAAGTAAACGGTAGGAAGATCATTCTTTCAATCGAGAAATTGACTAAACAAAGAATTTACAAAGAATGGCAAATAATTAAGCGGGTTTCGTTTCATTTTTTACGGGCTGTTTAACATGCCTACGTTTCGTTGCTTGATAAAAGCATTCTTCTCGTCCACATAGACCACGTCCACAGCTAAACCTACGCCATCGACGAAAATCCAGTCCCTGATCAATGCCATAAACGCTCTCATGATGAAAGATGCAAATAGATGCATGTGTAATCTGTTCCTTGGGTTTCGAAGCTTTCTGCGATGAAAGAATAATCGTTTCAAATTAGAAATTATTATTATTATTATTATTATTATCATTATTATTATTATTATCATTATCATTATTATTATTATTATTATTATTATTATTATTATTATTATTATTATTATTATTATAATAAACGGGTGCACACCCTTTACATTAAATATGAAATAGAAAATAATAATATAAGAGTGTTTGTAATTACCTGAGCAGAGAAAATATTATCATTGCAATAATCAACATGGTAAAGGATGTGGCGTATCCTATCTGGGACACAATCCTGACGATGGGCAACCATTTCTGTCGATAAAAATAGCATTTAAGGAAATTCAATCTTCCATATGATTTTTTTCAATGAATTTCTTACGTCCAGTAGAAAAGACTCAAAGTTTCCGTAATCTCGCGAACGCGTCATTCCAATTCCCAAATCGGCGATGGTCTCCATGAGGTAACGAGCTGTGAACTCGTCGGACAATTCGCACAAACTGTAATTGCTCCATGGAATCTCTTCTGTGTTCTTGTACCATCGACCATTGGCGAGGCAAAGCTTGCTGGCCATCGCGAACGCACGATTGTTCGAGTCGAAATCGGATTCGGGAGGGCAGGGTAAAATTGCAGTAGTCGATGCCTTGGTGTACGGCCAGCAAAGCAGTCCATCGAATGACGGGGGGCAATGGTGAAATCGTGGGCTACCATTCTCCAATGTTACGTTTAGATCTAACACAGAGTTTTAATTAAGCGTAGGATTATTAATCTGAAATTTTAGTTTGATCGAACTTACATTCGTTCATCAATTCGCCGCACTTCCGTTTCTGTTCGACGAAGAACCCCTCCGTTTCCGACGTTACATCCGTTTCCGTCGTAGTCATCCCAGTAGCACGCGGTTTTCTCACGAACAATCGCGAAAGTAGCTTTAAAAATAAAGATAAAGTCTGTCTAAGGCACTTGGAAATCTATATGTAACGATAAATCGTTTTGAAACACCACAGGATTGCTCGTCTAATAAAAGAAAACGAGACGTTACATTCTCAGAAGGGCGTGTTTTTTAAGAACCGAAAAAGACTGATGCTACCGTTTCGAAATCTGAACGCAGAATGAGCAGCAAGTGGAATACAAGCGTGTTTGCAATGCTGCCTCGCCCTCCGTCTTCTTTTTGCCATCGTCACTCGGGGAAGGGACAGGCTGAAAGTGGAACAAGTCGACGAACAGTCAGACAAGAAGGCAAGCTTGCGTATCCACGTGCTCGTCGGTGAAAATTCCTTGAAAATACACAGGATCGACTGTGAATCATGATACCAATAGGGACAGAGAAAGATTCTATAAATTAATTACTTCGATACATTAAACGCATTCGATTGATTTTCGATCTCATTTTTTTCTAAAATGACGCTTGGAACTATAAAGAATCATTCCATTATTTCTACTTATATGGGCGATGGAAAAAGGGACTATTATTAGTTTGCATAAATAGGAGATGCAGAAATAGAGCCGGAGGGTGGTTATTTTCAGCATATGGATAGGAAAAATATTTTCTGTAAAGATAAGCAGATACAAGATTCTTTCTAAACACAGTGGAATACATTTTGCTTTATGTAAAGATAAATAAATAACGGTTCGATTTAACATCAATCGTTTTGATCGGGCATTTGTTTTTTCATCGAATTTTCTCGATGCAGAAAATTCATGGATGTCTTCTCTTTTTTTCTATAAATGTTGTAGTTAACACCTATATTTACTTTGAAATGAGCTGAACATTGGCAATTATCTTATGCAGTTTAGACGATAAATATAATAAAGCAAATCGACTGTCTAGCATCGGTATCATCCATCAAAAGGTTGATCGTCTAAACGTACTCTCGAGGTTTTTAGCCAATATTGATAGAAGTATAAAGGAGTGATCGATCATGAAATTGCATTGACGTAGAAGTATCGCGCAGACAACGAGACAACCTCATTTCAGATATTGATAAAACAGTAATATTTCAGAAATGCTTTCAACGTTACAACTTGATCAACGAAATCGATGAGTCTTTGATTAATGAAATTTACTGAAATCAAAATTCTTATTAACTCTCGAACGACCAAGCCGCTCACTGAAGGGACAGCTTTAAATTTAGAAAATGAAAATGAAGAATAGCCTGATGTTAAATTTAAATTGTCGCTGTCTGAGGGGCTTTTTGTCATCTTGACAAAGATTCATGGTAAAAATAAAAACTAAAGCTATTACAAATCATTTCGGATGGATTGTTTAAGAAATACAAAAGCAGCAATTTTGTATTCAAAATCTGTTTTATGTTAAACTTACACCAACCACATTTTACAACAGATTGCGTTAATCGTGAGGATCAACACGGGAAATCATCCGCCCACGATTTGACAAAAAACGATCCCAATTCTAATTCCAAAATTTTAATTTTCTAATCATTTTCTTGTGATCTTCTTCTTGTGTCGAAGCACGATTCAGCAATGGTCTATTGTATAATTAAAAATTAGAAAATTTTGAAAAATTTCAGAGATTTCGAGGGTATTGAAAATTTTCAAAATGCGGATGATTTTGCGTTTGGTATCCAACAGGTCCAGCTTAAAAATCACTTCTTTTTACAGCCATCGATGTCGGTAAGTGTCGATAAGTACAGACGTTTCATCGTTTTTTATTTTTTATTTTTCACAGCTATCTCCGTTTCTATTTAATTATTTATTCAACTACGTTTACGTATTCCGGGGCACGTTGCTCCCTACGTCGAACCGTGATCGTGTATTTACAAATTTCCTCGATTCGTTCATATTAATAGGCCATCGTGTTCATCAAAAGCGAGAGAAACAACGCTCGCTCGGAGTCCACAAAAAGAACGGTACAAAGCGTATCGAAAAATGAAACAATCGGCTCGTTCCATATATTGAAAATTTCTTTCACTAACTCTGCGATCGGATTCCCAAATTCTCGGTACAAATGGAAGTTAAATTGTCGTACAAAGTGTCTTCTTATAGTACAGAGTGGGTCAGGATTTTTGATAGAAATACCATAAACCGGTTGAAAATGTGGAATAAAATTCTCTTGGACGTGACAGATTTCCAAATGAAACACTTTCGTACAGTGGAAAAATATTGTCTCTCCTGGCCCATTCTGTACGTTTTTCCAAAGAATCAAAAATTCTGAATATTTAACTTCTTCCTTTTTTTTCATTTCGTTAAATTCATTTTTATTAATTCTATAGTTAGGACCTAAATGTGGCAGTTTAAAGAGGGAAGCCTAGGCGAATTGCGCTATTCTCGTGTTTCGATAGCCACGCTTCGTTGTCCAATGACAACATCGTATTCTCGTTTCGTTTACAACATGTGTGAAATATCACCCCCTGATTTTACCATTTTAATGGTCGCTTTTTACGTTCTGTTCAATGGAAAATCGTCATGGGGTTTACTGATGATCAATAACTCGAATTTTGTATCATCTTGTTGAACTGATTGCGTCTTTAATTAAGTACTGTTGCCTCTATTGCTTCTATAATTCCAAATTCTATATCAGAATTCTATGTCGAACAAGGAATAATAACGATCCATTCAAAACGGTAATTCCAGAAGGAAGTTCCTGCATACGGAACACATTCAATTTTCATCGTCCTTTCGCAGAACGACAGTCTTGGTGTTCGTCACCGAAACTCATCTAGGAACGCGCACGGTGTTCACACGTGAAATCGTACAACAACGATGAGTAGATTACATTGGAAAGGCACTTCGAACGAAAAGTATGGCATCGAGCTACAACAAGGCGTCGAGCGACAATCTTGCGCTCGTGAATCTTTAAATTGACCTGTTTTTAGTTTATATTCGTGTCTTGTCGTGCTTCACTTTGTATACTGGTCGCTTACTCTGAAACATATAGTCGAGTATACCGTGTCCTTTTCTTCTTCGACACATCTGCATCAGGAGAGAAATTAGTAGAAATTAGTTTTCATGATTGTGTCCGAATAGAAGAGAGAGAATCCCATAATGCAAATGCGTTGAAGAAGAAAAATCCGAGAACGTATCGTTGTGCCTTTGGTATCCGGCAGAAAGAAACGTAGAAACGCTCGAAAAGTTCCTTCCCCTTTCTTCTTTTATTTCAATTCGTTTAAGTAAATCTCCTATGAACTAGATCCTCTTCTTGACCCAGACCCCCCGAGTTAGAATTCCTTACTTAAACGCGTCCTTCTCTCCGTCGACGCGTTCCTTCTTGGTCACACTTCTACCTATTCCACGTCTTCGTGGATCGTGCCGGCAACGTTCTATGGACTCGCAGAAACGTTATCGTGCAACAAGCGATCCAGAGATCATGAACAGAACATCCGACGAGTCTTCGTTCTCGACGACGTTAAGGTGTCTCGTAGAGTCGGTAGATGCTATCAAAGGATCAAAAAACGGCAGGTAGAATGGTTTCGTGCAACGTTTCCCTTTCTCGCAACTGTCCCACCCACGCGTACAATTCCAGTCAAAGGATTGAGCGATCGTTTTCAGCCTAGCGAACGGTCAGAGACATTTGCCAGGGTTCTGGGAGCACCATTGGGGCCACATAGCTTCCGTCTTCAATCCTCGACTCGTTAGCACCTCCATGTGGGCAGCTAATCTGGTGTACACGCTTTCGTCCGTGGAATAACCATTGGTTGGCAAGTCACTCCTGAATGAAAGGAAAAGTTAATCTTCAGGGATCTCAAAATTGAATAAGAGTGGAAAGTTAAAAAATGAATTGAACCTCACCATAATCTCTCGGCGAGAGCTGACGCTCTAGGCCATAGTCGAGGACCTAAGGACGCGTCGCCGGTCTGTTCGCTCCATATAGCAGCCTCCCCGCCAAGCACGAGATGCAAGTGTTGCTGAGGATAATCTCGCCATGGACGATGATTATAGACCGTCTGCCAGGTACGATACTCGCCACAGGCAGCTTCACCGGTTTCCCTCCATCTACCAAAGCCACAGTCCAGGTACCAAGCGTCCACGTGCGACAGGATCACCCTAAAGCCATCCTCCAGGAGATCCGGAGTCTCTGGCCAGGTGCTTCCTCCCCACGATTGAATCACATGGATCTTTGGATCGAAGTACATGATGATGTAAGGTCTCTTGGTCAACGGTGAACTCCATAAGATCACAGCCTTTGGCGTTTGATCGTGGTTGGCCTTGACGAGCCTCTGCATGATCTTCGTCTCGAATTCCGCCCACATGGCATGATGATCGGTCATGTTCTGCGCTTGCATCGCAGCCGTGATGTTTCCATATTGGGCCCAACAGTCTAGGTTCACCTCGTCACCGCCCAGGTGCACGATGTCACGGATCTCGGTTAAGTCTAACAGCTCCCTGTATAACCCCTCCAATATTCTGTAAGAGTGCTCGTTGATGGGATTCAACTGGCCGCAATTCGGCTCGCCGCAATACGACGACCATGGCTGCTGATCAACGCAGAGTGCCAGCTCCCCGTAACCGTACTCCGTCCCTGGGATAAATTAATTCGATCAGGTACGGCGCGTGAGCAGGCTCGAATCGCGAATTTATATAGGTATTCGCGTTGCAGCTCTTTCGATTTTTAACCCTCTGCCAATATCAGAGATTACGCCTACGTTTATCTTTTGAGTATTGGTTAAATAAAATGTCGGAATACAAGAATTATCGAAGGTGGGACTAACCTTCTGGGACTGTGAAGTTTATCAGCAAGATTAGTTATCTTCAATCTATAAGATAGGGTCTTTAGTGTTTTCAATATTTATAAAATTCGAAAACATGTATCGATCCGATGTTTCAGATTAGATATTGAGTTTATAAGATATAAATTGAATCATATAGGAGAGTATGACCTAAATCAGTGTTTCCCAACGTGAGGCCTACGCCTCACAGGGGGGCAATTTCATTGTTAAGGGTGGCAGTTCGAAAATGGACTAGTCCGGAATTTAAGTTAACCGTATGGCGATCTCAGTAAATGTAAGTAATAAATAATAATTAAGATAATATAGAAAAATCTTTCATTAAAATTATTTCGTACTTGAATTTCAGTTCCCCATTATGTTTTTAAAATTAATTTACTGTGTTTCCTCAACAATTTCCTAGTGATTTCTTCCTAAAACCTATCATTTAAGTTTATTCAGTGAACAATTCAATTTTTGAATATTAAAAATTATTGAAATATTGAATATTACATAGGGGGCATAAGAATTTTAGAAAGGTAGGGCATGGCACAAAAAAGGTTGGGAAACACTGACCTAAACGCTTCTGCTAATCCTTGCCAAAATAAAGTAACTCTTGCCCCCGTCCAAGAGATCTACAGTGGGTGATCAAATTATTAGAGCCACTCGCATAAATTGATGATTTTACATAAATATAATTGATTCTTGAAATGAAAACCAAGTTAAACAGAGTTTTTGTTATTTTTTTATGATGTATTGATACTTGTAAAATTATGATATACAGTTGAAAAAAGTGGAAGTTCTTCGGACCTCAACCCCATCAAAAATTTATGGAAATATTTATTATTAGTAATAAATGTCAATTGATTTAACGTTTGATAAAAGTATGAGCTAAAAATAAAACAAACAAAATGAATTGCTTAAAATATAATACTAACATACATGTGTAAATATAATCTTTTAAACGTATTTGTTTATTTTTATAAATATTTTTTTGTATATTAATAATGGAGAATTATTCATTAAAAGTTACACAATGTAAAAACCTTAAAATCGTGGCTCTATTTCTACACAAACCACGAGAAACCCAATTTTCATACCGTGGCTCTAATAATTTGATCACCCACTGTACATTTAACCCGGAACAGCACGCATTTATCCGACTTCTAAGAAGCTTTCGAACTCACCCCATTGCCAGCCAGCGCCAGCGTGGGCGGGCGAATCGATCTCGACGAGCACCCTGATGCCACGGATCCTCGCGTAATCCGCGAGATCCTTGACGTCGTCGGGCGTGTAAATCTGATCACCGCTATAGGCACCCCATCTGGCCATTTCGGGGAATTGTGCCGAATCGAATGGGAAGCTCTGCGAGTCGGTCAGGTGCCAATGGAACGTGTTCAATTTCGACGCAGCCATACCATCGATCACGCGTTTCAGTCGTTCGATCGAGAAAAATTGTCTACCGGTATCGACTAGCAATCCTCGATAACCGAACATCGGTTTGTCCTCCACCGTAGCGTGGGATAAAACACGAAGAGCACCTTCTCTTCCGGCTGTTTCGTCCCACCATATCATCTGTCCCAGAGTTTCCAAACCGTGTCTGACACCGAAGTAACTTTTACCGTTTATTCGAGCTTCCAAAGTTCTTCCTTTGGGAATTAACTCTAAGGTGTAAGACTCGTCGGTGTCCAAATTTGGTCCAACTGCGCGACCATTCCCGGCTGACAAATAGATCAGAAAGGTGTCCACACCAGGTCTGCTCTTCGAGTTTGCCACCTTCACTAGGCTCCTTATGTTACCTGCAATTATTTCACTCGTTAAACGTACGAACAAAAGAAATATGAATCATGAATCCTCACCGATGAAGATATCCTTCGCGTGCTCCAACAAATTCTTCGTCTCTTGGTCGCTGGTGTTCACCGTGACGAACTCGATCTGCCGCAGGTGTATGATAACGCTATCGTCCCCCAGAACGACGTTTCCGGTTGGTCTGGGCCAAAGCAGACGGGTGTTACCACCGCAAAGAGCGATACAGCTCGCTAATGAGGTTCGCGAAGATCTGACCGCTCTCCTCTCGCAGCGACCAGCCACGCAGGCCCAGGACCATGGACTCTGGAATGTACTACGATCCAACGCAGGATCACCATAAAAGAAACGAATCAATGTCTCGAGCTATCGCGTTCCGAACGATCGTACAAAGTTTTCTTGGAATTCTTTTTATTTTGACGACACGGTTTCGATTCAAGCACGAGGATGAAGAATGACTTGCGAGATAAGTGAGGACAGGTAAAGCAATTGTAAAATTGTTTGCAGGAAATACGAGGCAACAATTGATGCTTGTGCAGACGAAAGGTAAAATGTGCTGATCATGTGATGAAATATGGTTATCGAGGAAAGCGTAGGTAAATAGTCTGAAAGAAGGATATCTGGAGGATGTTGAATTTTCTAGAGGCAAGGTATTGTGCAGAAGTTTTCTCACGTAGGGACCCATTAAAAGTTCAGCTAAATGGCTATATCGGACGAACCTGGAAGGTGAAAAAATAGAACGAAAAGGAAGAGACTGCCAAGTGTGCCGAGAGTTCGGGAACTAAGCCAACTTGTTCTAAGAGAGAAACGAATACCTGTTTCCTCGAATCGAATTCGACTAAATAGAATTCTTAACGCGATTATTTAGAATAGATTTTGAAATAAAAAGAACCTTCATCTTTTGGAACGAAGAAGAAATCATCGGAGACACTAAAAACGAAACAAGGGGATGGTAAAAATAAAATGCTTTCGGCATGCAGAGTAACCGAGGGAAACAAGCAAATGTACACCGCCGAATGTCCTGTGGGACGATATCGGAAAGCCAGAATGAGAAAAATAGAGATGCTTGTTCAAAGGAAGAAGTCTCATCGAGGATGATAAATAGAGATACAGTAAAAGCTGGATATATGCAACGAAAGATTGGCTGGATATATGCAACATCGCTATCCCCTCCACTTGGGGGGATCCCCCTAAGCGAACCGAGACGCTCGACGAGGAAGCCGTGTAATACGATCCAAATCATTATATCGGTGTGACTAATACTAATTCAACGATAAAACTTTTTTATTTTTAACTTTTTCTTAATGAAACTTTCACTAACGCATTTGTGAGATTTTTCTGATTAAAATGATACCAAACATAAGGCAGGCCGTACACCAAAGATGCATCAAACACGCAACATGCAACATGCAACACGTCGCATGTTGTGTACGAACGTATAGCGGAGTTCACCAGAGTCCATAACTGCGACGCGCAGGTTAAAAGATGGTGGGGGAACGCAGCGAGCTCTCCGCTAATCGCTTTCTACTTCGTTTGGGAGTACCGCCAATCAGGGCGAAGATGCGCACTGGAGAAGCGCGAAGAACGAAAACTGGTCTTTTCGCAGTTATGGATTCTGGTGAACTCCGCTGTAGAATAGGTATCGCGGCTGAATACAAACGATGTGTACGGACGCAGAATCGACACCTCGACTGGATATATGCAACATTAAATGCCCAGAATCGACACCTCGGCTGGATATATGAAACATTAAACGTGCAGAATCGACACCTCGGCTGGATATATGCAACGTTTAAATGCACAGAATCGACACCTCGGCTGGATATATGCAACGTCTGGGTTCCAATGTTTGTTGCATATATCCAGCTTTTACTGTAGAAGGGTGGTCGCAGCGCAGAACTTTTTCGAGAGGGGAGGGACAAAGAAAGCTTTAGCAAAGTATAGGTGTCCCTCCTCGACGAGGAGGATGTTACCTAGGCTCTTCCAGATACTCGTAGAGCCGTTCCTCCGGCCTCTTCGTGCTTTCATTACCGACCAGGAAAGTAACCAAGCCTCGCTGCAACTCCTTCAGTCTTTGATGCGCACGGAGTCGGCGGGAGTGTGCAGTGTGTAATTAACAAAACGAGACGTGTGCGGCAAACAAAAGTTAACACAAGTTAAATAAAATATGCCGTGTTGATAATATTCGTGTACAGGAGAGGGGGGGAGGCGTAAATAAAAAGACAGATAGAGATAGATAGATAAAGAGAATGGGGTGTGATTATGAATGACGGTGGTCTTTATAATTTTCTAATTAAATTTCTAAATGGACTCTTGGACGACATACAGGGTGTCTCGAATTAATAGAATTATTAGTATTAAACGCATCTGGGATACGGATAGTTGATTTATCAATTGAAGCAATCAAACCTTCTATCATCGGTAAAACACCCTGTATACAGGAAGTTCGCAGCTAAAAGGGTTGATGCAGGCGATAATTGGATCGAATATCGACTCGTATCGCGATGTGCGCGTTACATCAACGTGTACTTACCGTCGCGACGAGAACGGCTGAAGAGAAACGAGCGGCGGAGCGTGTGCGTACATGGCGATAAGTAGAACCCCGGTCATCAGGACCAGGAAGAGGAGAATCTTCCTCATCCATCCGCTGGGCACGCTACCCACCATTCTCGCAAGTCTATAACAGAAAAATAATTTTAGAAGAAGGGGTGAATTATTAAGCACAAAACAATCCAGCAAGCTATAATCATGAAGCCGTACACTTGGGGGGGGGGGGGGGGGGGGGGGGGTAAGGAGTTACGCCTAGTTGGGATTGGGAAAAGATGTAATTTTCAAGATTTTTTTTTGTCGTCCTAATAAATATTTACTATGAAGTGAAATAAGATTTTTTTAAATGTAAAATGTTAAATAATGAGGGAAATACAGCTCTTCTCGAGGTCACTTGCGGTGGCCACGATATCTTCCAAACCGCTTATTTGAAATCAAAATCAAAGAAAATTGAGTTAGTGAGTACTCGTAATTTATAAGCTGAGCTGAACTCGCTTCGATTGTTCAAGCCGAGTCGAGTGCTTGAATTTGCCGAATTACTCGAAATCGACCAACTGTTTGAAACAAAAGCGAGCTATTTGAAAAAATCGAACAACTCGAATATTCGCGCCGTCGCGTCGTAAAACTTCGATTTACTTGAAAATGAATTTTCAGCCCGAATATTTCAGCTTTTGTTTCAACCAGTTCGTCGATTTCGAATAATTCGGCAAATTCAAGAGTTCGACTCGGCTCGACCGACCGATCGAATGAATCGAGTACTCGCATATCTCTATTGTTAAGAACCTGAACGAAGGATTTTGCGAAATTTTGATTTTCACCAAAATAACAACAATTTTACTGAAAAATTCGGTTTTCGAAGTAGTCAAATTTTGTTTTCTTTGCGATAAAAAAGAAATCTTTGAACGGAATTAAAAATCCTTCGTTCAGGCCCTTAACAATACAATATATTAACTCGATCTTCTTTGGTTTTGGGAGCGTTAGGGCGTTCTACGAGCGTTTCCTCATTATTTAACATTTCACTTTAAAAAAAATCTTAAAACCTCTTTCACTTCATAGTAAATATTTATTAAGACGGCAAAAAACCATCTTGAAAATTACCCGATCCAACTAGGCGTAACCCCTTAAATCCGCTTAGATTCGAAGCGGAATAAGTTCGACAGAGTTTTTCCATCCGTAACTTGCCCTCGGCATAAGCAAACACGATAATCTGACTTACAATGTGTTCGGTATTCCCGTGACACGATAGCGAAGATCGACGGATGAGAAGTTGTTCTTTGAACTTTACCTTTCGACATAGCTCGACAGGAATGCATCGAAGTCGTGGAAATAGGTTCCTCGATGAAACAAGGAACGGCGTATGAAAGCTTCAGGCATTGACCACGTACGAGAAGGAACTTATTCCGTAGTTTCAGCGCGACTGCTTTCGCGTATCGAAAGTCTGAAGTTTTCGTGTTAACCAACAACTGTGGCCGCGAATCGATTCGAAGCAACCTGTACGGTAGATCTACCCGAAGGACGAGCGAAAAGTGTCCGGGTAATTTCATGCGGACACGTTGTCGAATCACAGTGCAACGGGGTGAAACGTAAAGGTGAATAGTAAATAGGGGAGGTGCCTAGAGCTTCCTTCTATTCGTGATTAAAATGACTACTGTGGGGGTCAGCGATGACTAATGGCACAAATTAAGTCGTTAATTAACAGAAATAAAAATTATATTATTTTTAATATAATACATTAGCGTTTTTTGAAATTGAGGCACGATGATTTTTAATTTAATCTAAGATATTAATTAATGCCCTAAAAGGGGTTGGAATTCGTTTCTGAAACGAATTTTCGGGGATGAATCATTCGAACCCTTCCTTCTCCCCTGGAAGCTCACACCTTGGTCCTATTCGTTCCTCTTCGTCCCAGTTGCTAGCGTTCCGGCTGGTTCTACGGTGCGAGGCGTCGCGACGCTTAGCGTCGTGCGCCGCCCGGTTACGTCGCGTCGCCTGGACTCACGGCGTGGCGTCGTAGCCAGGCAACGCGCATAATATGACCACCGTAATAGTTTCAAACGAAACGGTTACGGGAACGGATCGACACTTTTACCCTTGCATAAGATCGCGAAAGCACCCCACCCTCTCGTGGTTAATCGACACCGATTAAACGTGGATCGTGAAAAGAGAATTGATCATTTCAGACGTTTGTGCAAACTTTACTCCTCAAAGTTCGAAAAAAAAAAATAAAAAAAATCAAGAGGAAGGTCCATTAGTCTAAGACTGATTTGTAATTAAAGATATTCTCAGAGGGATGAAAACATTCCGAGTTATTTGATAAGGTTTGCAAATTAATATATGAAAAGTTGATCTAGTGTTTCAATAAAATGATAGAGTGATATTGGTGCTAATTAGAAAACCTTGTGATTTTATTGAAACACTGTTATTTAAAATCAATTATCGTCTAATTTGAATCAAGTAAATATAAGTGTCTATGGGCTGATATTTCTTTTTCAAGGTACCAGATGTCTGATTATCGATGGACAGAACTATATTTAGGTTTGTCAATGTGAACCAAGCTTTAAAAAGTAAACAAGAAAATTATGCGGAAGTCTCTACGACAGATTCAATGGGAGGTCGACGTTAATAATTATATATTCCAAGATACTTTGATTGCAGCTGATAAATAAATCCAGGAAACGCTTGTACGTAATTTCAGTGAATAACTGTTGCAATCATTTTTTGCTTATTCAGATAATTTTAAAGAAAATGACTCGATCGTACCATCTTTCTTTCCATCGTAATTTTAATTTATTCGAAGTATAAATGAGCTTAATTAACGCGTTGATTGACGTAGTGGAAAAGGACACGTGTAATCGGATACGTTAATTCTAATTAATCCATTTTTATTAACTCTGTAATAGTGGCTGGGTCAATAGTGATCCATCCAAATACATCAATACTTCGATTAAAATGAAATACTCAAGTTTTTCTAAGATGAAAATTGAAATTATCATTGTCGATCACTGGTAACCCTTGGCAATCAACGTGTTAACATCGATGTCTGACTGCAAATGTGTTTCTATACATTGTCAATTTAAAATTTAAAATTTAAAAGAAGAGTGACGTCTATTCTCATTTCATTCTTTGTTAGGCTAAAAGTTTCGTCAATCGAGTAGGCTGGGGCATAAATCGATCGTATACTCGTGAAGGACGAAACAAATGGCGCAAGAACTATAGAGTAGTTTTACTCGTTCGAATATTTACCTTACAGCCAGGTATTTTTATCCATTCAGCATATTTTTACCTATTACTCGAGCAAACTCAAAATAATTAAAAAAGTATCAGGCTACTTTCGTAGAGTAAAATATTAATTACCACCCCTTTTATCCAGGGATGAATAATATTTTACGCTTCCAGGGGGGAAAAAAATAGTGTGATGTGTTAAAAGCATCGGTCAAGCGAGTAAAAAATTCATGTATCGAAATCACGATGGACACGATACCGTTGCTATTTTAATACCATGTCAAGGAGTTAATTATTCATGCTCGTATTCAAGAATTGAACCTCGTTTCCCATTGGGAGAACACGCAGTACAGGAAACTGGGACGTACGTGTGTATTTTCATTTGCACGTGAAATTCTTTACATTCGATCGAACCATTCATTCATTCCCCTCGCTAATTGAACATTTATTCCGACTACACGCACGTTTGTGAATCAAACTTTTTCTCCCGACATGTCAAGGTATTTCTCAGTCATTTTTTCCACCGTTAGAATTTGTCCATACAAATTTTCCCTGTTCACCTTCGTTGAACTGTGATTTTTCCTTGGAGGAAAAATCGAACGCACTTGTTCGAACAAAACTTCAACTAAAGTCGACTTCGATCGACAGCTTCGTTAATGTTTTACCCAGCTGATCGACGTATTTCCATTATCTATATCAATCCCCTGCGGTTCACTTCAATACGAGGAAAACTACCGACGATCCAACGAATGGTATTTTCTTTATTATTAATCCTACAGGAAAATGACATATTTAACAAGCTTCTAAAAATATTTCTGTCATTTGGGAAAAAAAAGAAAGAAAGAAAGATGGACCGGAAGAGTTGACTCGAAAAACAGGTTACAGAATGGGGAAAAAAAGCAAGGAAATTTTAATTGCGCAGGTAAATCGTTGAAAGGTATGCGACGAAAACGAGCATCTCGATCGAAGAAGCCCAGGAGGATTGAAGGACGAATAATTCGATGCAAATTCGTTGGTGAAGGATCGAGGACAACGTAGTAGCCACATTGAACATAGGAGAGCTACGTTTAAAAATGTCTCACGAATCGAGTCCACGGACCAAAAGGTAAGGGAGAGGGTTTTAACCTTATAAGCCTTAAGGTCGCATTCGCGTAAAGGGTGTGATCAATAAGTTGCTATGCTCCTTGAAAAGGTCCCTGTGTTTCTTTACCGAACAATCCCTAGAGGTCTAGGAATTTTTTTTTCGCTGTCTATGATATTATAAAGGAGAGGAATAGAGAATTAAATGATGGATATTTTAATGGACATTGTAGGACGACTTTTCGAAGGACGATGACGATAATAGCCGCAGCTGAAGCAACCTCTAACAAACGTAACGCTACGAATGTTCACGAGGACGTTGCTATCCTGCCAGGATACAATGTCACCACGACAGCAAGTGGAGCATCCAGTAAGACGAGTCACTTTGAAACCGATTTACATGGGAATGTTAACATTCTCCTCGGTGGGTGAGTAAAACATTTCTACATCCGATATTTGATATCGTTTAAAATAAAATCAAAATTAAATTAATAAAATTGAAATGAAAATTAATATCAACTTTTAAACTCGTCTCGTATTAGATCCCAGAGAACAGGGCCGGCCCTGAGATTTCGAGGGTCCGAGGCGAGCTCCGAAAAAGGACCCCTTCGCATATACATATAACATAAAAATAGTAGCTCAAATAAAATTTATAAAATTAACATTAAAGCTTGTATAACTAATTTAGATTTGCATTTACATCGATTAATATTCAAGTAAACATTACTCTTCTTGCAATCTTAGACAGGGGCAGCTCTGGGCCTAGGCACACTAGGCGACTGTCTAGGGCCCCCCCAAGGTCCAGGGCCTCCATAAGACGATTTTACGTCTAAGAACAGGTTCGGCCCTCAGTTTTCGGGGATCCGAGGCGAGCTCCGAAAAAGGGCCCTTTTACAAAAAGTACCTCAAATAAAAATTATAAAATTAACTTTAAAGCTTGTAGGTATAACTAATTTACATTTGCATTTACATCGATTAATATTCAAGTAAACACTCTTGCATTCTTAGATGCAAAATTATCTTATGGGAGCCCTGGACCTTGGGGGGCCCTAGGCGAGCACCTAGTCCGCCTAGGCCCAGGGCCGGCACTGCCAGGGAGTTATTAATAATCGCCACGTTTTCTATATTATATTTCTTATTCAAGATAGTTTAGACTCGAGATTTTCTCAGAACTTTCTTCGCGTTCAAGCGAAGCAAAGAAAAGATAACATCCGGTAAGGATGGTTTAGTCTCCTTTCTAAGTTATAGACCATATTTACAGAGTAAACCACTAGATCAGTGTCTCTCAAACTAGATTAGCATAAGAGTTTCTCTTTGGCATAATAAAATTCTTCGATTTCTTCAATCTTTTCTATACCCGATTCTCGGATTCAGGAATTGTGAGTTTAATAATTTCGCATGAAATCATTCAAACTCGACGAGTCTTAAAGATAGTCACGAGCCGAAGAACCGTTCCGAACAGGAAGCTTGCCTGTCACCGCAATAATAGCAGGAACAACCGTATTACGGCAACCGTGATCCTTTAATACACGCCTAAGTCACAAATAACGACTATCATTATGGCTTTTTGCTACGGCGTTAAACTTGAAACGCCTCGACGAACCATAAATCCGTTGCCTCGTTATTTTATTCCCGTGAAATTCCGCCTCTTAACACTGGTCAAACAACAATTCGATGTGCTTATTTTCTTGGATCAGAGAAATTTCATTGGGTCAAATAAATACAGTCCCTGGCCAATGGCCATCGAATTAGGACCACTAGAAATTTTCAGCATTTTTCACGTTTTCCGGAAAATTAAAAGGCCTGTTCAAATTGTAATGATATAATTTATTAGCTACTAACATAACACTATTAACACATATTAATATTTTCACCCTTTGCTTTGATGACAGCTTTGTCATATGCTTTTATAATCTCGTTATTTTCCCAAATATCTGTAATTTTTCTTTTCAACTCAGATAATGTGGTAAACAAGTCTTTTGAGTAGGCACCAGACAAACACTTTTATTTTCATCACAATAGTAACAAATCTATTGCTATGTATACCTGGTTATCAATGTAGGTATTTAGTAATAATTTGAATGACCTAAGACAAAATTTTCCATATATGACATACTATTATAGCCATAAAAGTGAAATTTTCGTACACTGTCCTAATTCGATGGCCAGGTACTATACTAATATTATAATAATTCTTTATTAATATAAAATATACATTTCACGTTTCATTCACATCTGCTGAGTTTTTTTGCAGAGCGATGCTCAGTGGGGTGATTATGGTCGTTTTCCTAATGTGTTACTGCTGTCACAAGAGTATACGGAAGAGTCGACCGCAAGAGTATCCGCAGTACTGGCGAACGGAACCGGATGTGCACAGTCTGGAAGTGTTCACCACGGAGGCGCACACAGCGGTGAGTAGATCGAAAAATGAAAATAAATATAACTCGTAATATTAACACTATAATACTAATTTTATTATTCCATCACGAAATAACCGCAAACGATTTCACCGCAATTTATAACGAACTGATTTTAAGTTCTTCCCATCGATTACAGTTAGCCCAGCTACCCGTGTCTTTATGGATAATTTATCCGTCTACCATTTTCGAATGCTAAGTGGATTCGCCTAGTAAACTTACCGCTCGAATTCCGTTCCATCAGATCGCGGACCACGGAAAGTTCGGCTCGTCTGAGGCTATTTTAACCGAACCTTACATAACGTGTATTCAGCTTAAGTGAATCGTTTGCGGGCAAGAATTGGAATAAACTCGATGCATATTACTATACCAACAACCGCTTTGGTTACACTCTAGTAACTGGTAATTTTCTATGATAAAGAACGGTATCGTTTCATTGTTCCTTTTTTTTTTAACTCCTATTGCGGTATATCGAGACTACTTTGTTGTGGTTTTGTTGAATAGAAAGCTGTTATATACAGTTATCTTTCAGAAGAATAAGTTATAGTTGAGTAGTAAAGGAATGCCAAAGGACTCTTTTATCGCATTTTACCCCATCAAATCCACGAAACAGTGCATCAAATTTTCTCTTTTGTACAGTGCTGCGAGAGACAATCAACCGCGGAAGGGAACCACGATGAGAGTACCTATGGTGCCCTTTCGTGTCCTGTGGCACCCAGGTCTGGTCCAGGTCCGCCACCCACCTACGACAGTCTGATCTTCGATCCAAAGAGTCTGCCAGTGAGTATCGAGAAGAAGATGGACGGCCCTGAAACACCGGGTACCATCATTCCTTCTATGGTGTCCAGTCTGCTCGGACTGGCGAGTAGCCCGGTGGAATGCAACGAAAGCAGCGAGCAAGAAACCGCTGCTACCGACGAGGGTTTGCCTTCTTACGAGGCAGCCTTAAAGCTCGACTCTAATGGTTACGTGTAATTCAGCTGGGCTAGTTTTTAATCGATCGACGTGGAAGGATTTTACGATTCCACGAATCGATTACACGGATCGTTCCCTCGTGGGATGGTCGCGGTGCCCATTACTCGAGCATGGAAGCGGAAACTGGTGCTAACGTTACTTCCGACTTTTCTCGGTTTCTTGGCTTCTTCGTGTAACGGTGAACGATTTCTGTGCCGGTGTTTTCAGACAAACGTGAAGTTTCGAGAAGGATGCTCAAAGATCGAGGGAGAATAATGGTGATTCACCAAGAGGCGGAGATAAAGTTCTGAAAATTTCAATTTCAATGTTTCTTTTGAAATTACTCTGAAAACTTTCTCGGTAGTTTTAAGACGAGCGGGTTATTTAACGCGTTGATTACCAAGGGGATCGTAGATGTCGGAGCATTAATTGGGTCGGATAATTAACCCAATCTACTGAAACAACAAGCTAGACTGGTAATACATTGCTTAAGCAAGTGCAATATCTTTGTCTATGGCAATCAACGTGTTAATAATTAGCTTCTAACGCGCTGAACACTTCTTTCCAATCTTTTGCTTCAATCTTTAAATGTTTATAAGAGATCGTGGTAGATTGATAAGTTGCAAAATCGAAATTAAACCGTAGTTGGTAATCTATAAATGTATTCTAAGTAGGATTATACCATAAGTGTCTTCAAATTATACGAAAGTTTCGGAAGAAAGTCTTCAAACGAGTTCATTTTATTTGTTCATTGTAGAACGGGTACCCGATATTACGGGCCCGGGCGGGCGTCCGATACATGCGTGCAGTCGGGCAGCCCGACTGTTTCGGGTTCGGTCGGGTACAGTCGGGCTGATTCGGACGAGCTCCCGCGGGTGTACTTGTTAATACTTGCAATAAGCATGTGCAAAATCTGTTTTATGTGGAATTTTGGAATAAGATAATTTTTATGTGGGGAAATAATACTTGTAACGAATTTATTTGAAATGAATTTCATTCCATGTCACTCGTATATTCATTTTATACAAAATAGATTTTGAACATGCTTATTGCAAGCAATAATAAGTACATGAGAGTAGGGTCGCGGGTCGCGGTCCGCGGGAGCTCGTCCGAATCAACCCGACTGTGCCCGACTGAACCCGAATTAGTTGGGCTACCCAACTGCACGCATGTATCGGACGCCCGTCCGAGCCCGCCCGATGCTTTTCGAACCAACCCGACTAGTCGGAACCCGACACATTAGTCGGACCGCACATCCCTAGTTCACTGCAAATGTGTCATCAGGATAATTAGAATTTTTGGGAGATCGAACAGAAGCGCATATAGGAATCGATGATCTTAACCTTCGACTGGCGAAGGCCACTTTAGCGATCCTCCACTATATCGTTGATTAGCTTAAAGACCACTTTAGGCAGCTCTGAATTACAGACTTCGTTTACAGTCGTTCGCGAAGCTGATGAAGTGTCGCAAATTCGTCTACGTGTTACTTAACCATGCAGGCCTTGAGAAAACGAAACTTTGTAGAAGCAAACAAAAGCCTTATCGCCATTCGTTGACGGCATAATTCAAGATATATCCGTGTATCAGTAATTATCTATTGATTATTGATTAGCAATGGTAAGTATCTTGATTGCAACGTCTGATATCTTGATTGAAACGAATCAAGTGTTGTTGGATGTCACGGAAGAACGTTTACACGTTTAGGGAACAGACCGAGGTCTAAAATCTGAGATTCCGGGTTTTAACCCTTATTTAAGTCGTAATGGTTAAAGGGGGAGGGATGTCGAATGACGTCTCCATGAATCCTGCGACGATGAGTAAGCCTGTCTTAAGGGGTTAGGCCACTAGAATTTTGAAAAAATCGAATTTTTTTTTGATTAAAAGGTGCCTTAATGTCTTAAAAATGATTATGAAAGATTATGGGTGGGAAAAATCTCTAAATACTCGAATTTCGAATTCTGGCGCAGCCCCCCGGTCTGCCGCGATCATGACCGAAAACTTTAAACGCATTTTTCTCGAAACTGGGCGAACAGATCATCACCAATCGATTTGAAAATTGAACAGTATATTCAAAACTAAATTCTCTACCGAATTACGTAGGATTTTTTCATTATTATTGCATAGTTCTTTTGTTATAAATAATTTTCTAGGGTTTTTTTTTTGAAATTTTACATTTTCTCTTAAGAAATACGCCATTTTTGCAAAAATCAATATATCAAACAAATCCTAGGTAGTTCGCTAGCTGTTCTCATATATAATCGAAAATATTTTGGTTTTTTGTCCCAAGTTAAAAATTGCAGGAGCTGCTGGTCCGGCCGTTTAACCCTACAAAAAGGAGGCTTCATCGAAGAAATGCTGCAGAGTCCATATTTTCATTTCAATCACTACACAAAAATTAATTTTTAAAGTTCATTAGTTGTAAAATGAAGGCATGCTTATCGAATTTGGATTTATTCCATCATTTAAAGAAAAAAAATTCCTAGAATATGCCTATATTTTCTTGCTCTAAAGTGGCTTAATCCCTTAAGATTTGGGAATCTAAAATCAACTGACTTTTGCACAGCCTTACTGTCGCCAAGACTCATATTAGGGTTTTTCATTTAGAAAACAGTGTGATTCACGGAAACGCGTGTCACCCGACAGTGTTCTAACAAATGTCTGAGAAGATACTCGTCTGTGAGATTGCACAGGCAAACTAAATGATAAATTCCTGTTTGTAATAACGAAAGTAAGAGGGGAAAATATGAACGAAACACGAGGAATCTCCTCTAACACCCAATCTTTCTCCTTAATCAGGAGCGATTACAATTTCAGCTTATTCTTTGACCAATAATTTATTTAACGAATATTTGTTATGAACAAATACTCAAGATTAAGCCGCGTTATCGTCGAAGGAGTAAGCAAAATTAGCGCGAGAATAATAAAAACGTCGCGTTTGCTGTAATCTCTGACAAGCTCTTAAATTATTTATCCATGGCAAATAAAGCTTATCTATTGTAACAAGCTAAGAAAGATATCTCCGTCCTCTCTCATTTCCAATATTATCAGGAATTATTCGAATTTCACGTTTCCCAACTTTTACACACCGAATAACGTCGCGATGAAAAGTTAACCGAAATAGAGGATGAAATATTCGAACCTCTATGAAACATTTTGCTCGGTGAAACGGTTCGTTTGTGATCCACTTTCGTGGCAGTTGCGAGGAAATCATTGAACCGTTCACCGAGGGTCGTTCGAGAAACTTTTCGACCCTCCTTTTCCAGCCAAGGAGATGGAAAAATTATTGCACGGTAGATGGAAACTTTTCCTCTCTCGATCGAAAAGTTTCACGAGCTCTGAATAAGGTGGCGCGTGAAGTTCGTAAATATTTTCATTCCATCTAGAAAAATAAGAAAAATTATTAACTCGAAATTTATTAAGAAATTTTCCATGAAACAGATACAAGAAGTGAAGATGGAGTAAACGTCGGTAAGAGCCTGTATCACGAACTGACCGTCGGTGGTTCGCGTTAATTTAGCTCTCGACGCATTCTAAACAGCAACGTAATATGTTTCGATTAATTGGCCTTGCCTTAACGGTGCCACAGTCTCGTTTGTTATCCCCGTTGACCGGCACGTCGACAGGATAATCGCGTGTGTTTTACAACGTCAACGGATTTAGGGCTTACCGGTAGACGAGGAAGACCGTTCTAGCTTTTCAAAGACTTCCGTCCCGTTTACCCCTTGTTTCCTCTTCGGCAACCCTTCGTTAATAGGATATTTTCAGTAAAGACGACTTCATGTGGGTGCAACTCGCGCTTCGCACTTGTCTGCGCTCGTTGCAGAATGCAAAGATGATGCTTTGAAACAGCTAAAAGGTACTCTTCGCGAGCCTTTACCTTTTGAAATTTTAACGAGCAGACTTGTTGTTTCCACACCTTAATCACTGAATTGTCTTCCATACACGAAAAGAATTTATTTACAGAAAGGAAACGAAGTCATAGGATGTAAAGCGTTGTTCTATTTATAGGATAAATAATTAATCATTTTCAGCAGCATCATGCAAGATAATGGAACGCTATCCAACATCTCTCCTCGTGCCCTCGAAAGCGAATGGTGAAAGCGACTCGTAAGAAATGCGGTTGCGATTATTTTAATGTCGATTCAGGTTGGAACAATGTCTCATCGTGTGTGAAATTACAGCAATAAAAGAGAAGAGAACGATTCGTGGAGGCGTGTGTTGAACTCGGAGAATAAGCGACCGTGAACTTAAGTAACAACTTCTCGGGAATAATTCATAATATCCTCCTGATTTTCTTCACTTCGTTTCGAAGAAAATTATAGCCTGATCTCATTCTCAATTATCGATCAAAGCGAAGAAGTAACACTTCTCTTAGCAATGTGTTAATAGAGAGCGTCAAGCGTTCTAAATTTTATTTCAATTTTTATACTTTTGTAAATATCGAGAAAAATTCGGGGAAATTCAAAAACAAAAATTCTTAAATTGCAAAAAAAAAAAAAATATCCCCTACTTCTTCGAAGCCCAAGGGCAGACTGACGCGTCCGCGCGATGCGACTGGCTTTATCAGATGCATCTTGCCCGTTCACCTAGGACCGAAGTAACAAGCCCTGTGATTGGCGGAATACAACTGATTAGACAAGCGGAGCTATCTGATTGGTCTTAAGTGTTTAATCGGTAGTACTGTTGTTCAAATAACGTATCGTGATATGACTAGTACGAGTTTATACCATCAAAATGGTGTACTACCAACCTTATATTATTTTGGAACTTTAGAAATTGTCAGGAAGGAAATTTAATTTTCTTGTCAACGTTAAATGAAAGGGTAGTGTTACGGCCTCCTTGGTAATTAACCGATGGTTTTATTGGCGACGCAGACCTAAATTAACGAATTGTACAATTAATTAATACAGTAATTTCTCAGTTTTGCAAGAAACGAAAAAATAATAATCTATATGAACGTAGACACATCAATAGATTTTTCCTTACTTAAAAATATGAAATGTTAAATCAATTTCGAAGACGAACCTTGATGAACTCTGCGGAGAATGTTGCTCGCAGCACCGGATAAAAAACTTTATCACCGTTTGCGTAACCAGACGATTACAAACATCGGAATGTCCTACTATTATCATCCTGTTTCAAGCCTTTATCGCGCGCGCACGCTTTTCTACAAGTACTTACTTACATTCTCCCGATATCGTACTCTATTTCATTGCCCCCGAAACCTTGAAGGAACGTGTACGTAAGACTCGTTAATTGTGCAACTCATCATACCAGCTTCTTCGTAGAGAATCAGATCTAACCATATGTTTCGCGATCGCGTGGGTGAACGTGAAGAACCGTGAAAACGTGTTGCGTACTGTTTGTTACGTGAACAAAGAGGATGCTTGAATTATTTTTTAATTAAGTACCGAAGCTCTTTTCATCTCTACGAAGACTATATTCTATAATTAGAAGTTAACCGAGTAGAGAAGAGCGATGTTTGCACGGATGTCTCTGGCTATTGCGAAGACAAATCGTTTGCACGAACTAATTCACGGTGTACTTGATGGCGGTGTTAAATGGAATTGGAAGGTGACTGGCCAGAGAGATCACACTCGATTAAACCCCGACTGTGCTGTATTCTGATGCCTGTCCTACAAAAGCTGAGGACGTGTATTCTAAGGCGGTTGAAAAGAGGCTTCAATTCTTTCGAGTCATCGTAATGGAAAACCAGAGCTATTTAATACGAATCTGCCTTGTTAAACCTTAAAAAATATGGCTTTCAACGATAGAGGTAGGATTTTTCTTTGGAAATAAAACTTTGATTACAGGGCCGGCCCTGAGTTTCCGGGGCTCCGAGGCGAGCTCCGAAAAAGGGCCCCATCATATATAGAGCACACAAAAAGTAACTCAAATAAAATTTATAATATTAACATTAAAGTTTGTATAATTAATTTACATTTGCATTTACTAATATTCAAGTAAACATTACTCTTCTTGCATTCTTAGACTCAAATTATGGGGGCCCTGGACCTTGGGGTTCCCTAGGCGGCCGCCTAGTCTGCCTATGCCTAGGGCCGGCCCTGTAAATATTTCCTCAAATAAAATTTATAAAATTAACATTAAAGCTTGTATAACTAATTTAGATTTGCATTTACATCGATTAATATTCTTCTTGCATTCTTAGTCGCAAAATCGTCTTATGGGGACCCTGGACCTTGGGGGGCCCTAGTCTGCCTAGACCCAGGGCCGGCCCTGCTAAGAATTCAAGAAGAGTAATGTTTACTTGAATATTAATCGATGTAAATGCAAATCTAAATAAATACAAGCTTTAATGTTATTTTATAAATTTTATTTGAGGTACTTTTTTTTTATGTCACAGGGACCCTTTTTCGGAGCTCGCCCCGGACCCCCGAAATCTCAGGGCCGAACCTATTCTTAGACGCAAAATCGTCTTATGGGGCCCTAGGCGGCCGTCTAGTCCGCCTAGGCTAAGGGCCGGCCCTGTTTGATTAAATGTCAAAGTTAGTTCTACGATATATCAGCTAGTTCATCAATTTCCGAAAGGAGAGGCCGGAGGCCTAACTTAATTTTAATTCAATTCTAATCTGGAACTAACCCAGATTTCGCTTGCATACAAATTAAATTAACGACTATTCCTGGTAGCCGGCTTAGAGGCGCCGTTCATTAATCAGATAATGAAAAAGTGTTGTTGCAGCATCGGCGGCGACGCGTTTCCGCGACTGTCTCGTAAACGTGTTTCACAAACAACCAGATTTCTTTTAACACTTGTAAAATAACAAGCACCGATGAGATCATGAAGTCTAACGAGAAATCGGCGACGACGAGCGGGGAAATATTCGAATTTCTAACGCGGTTATAATATTAACTCGAGCAAATAAAGTTTGAGCGTTTTAACGTAATTAGGAGCGGATTTTCTTTGAAGCCATATTTCCATCTTAATTAACAAACTTAATACTCTGACAGCTGCGCACTTTATAATTTTTCATTTCCATGCAAAATACGATGAATAAACTAAAGACCGATGACGTAAAAAGTTACGTGCCACAGTCGCGAATACGTAATCACCGTCGGTTGAGGTGTTAACGTGTCTCTTTTTCATGATAATTCCATAAATGTAACAGAAGAAAATAAGCGAAGATTGAAAAAGGGACGTATCTCTAGCGCGCTCTAAACTCTCCCGGCAAGACTTCAAATAGATGAGCGGTAATCACATCGCATTTAAACATCGATTTGTGTCAGCCTTTAAACCTTTAAAGGTCCGCAGATTTGTTACGCTGTCAAGTTGGCCGGCTGCAACGCGACCCGATCAATTCTTCAAAAGCAATCGGCGCTAGTTAAAACGTGCAACGTTCTTGGTGTTTCGCAACAGAACGCACAACCTTCCATCCATTCACCTGTGCTCCGCAAAGATATGCAATGTAGGTGGTAAAGGCGAACGGGGTGAACGTAAATAGGTTACGCCTTTGTTCCAACACTCGTGCGTGCCTTACGACGGCGGTCGTGGGTATTCTTTCCGGTCGAGGGTAACAAACTCTTTGCCGAAAAGGAAAATGCTCGAACTACGGTCTGACAGAGCAAGAATCCGGCCGGAAGATGTGGCCGAAAATCGATGCAGCACCACGGACACGTTAAATACACCGTACGACGCGAAATAAACGGTGCCGGATCACAAAAGTACTCACCTAACCTTGCAGCAGGATCGCTCTCTCTTCTATTGCGTTATCCGCTTAACCCCTTCGCGAGGAAAGTCCCATGTACCGGTTTGAATTCGATTCGCGCTCACTAAATTTTCCCTTTCGCGTGTGACACCGAGATAGACATCGAAACGGAGAAATAAAAAATAAAAAAAGCGTTCACGGATAACGGTATGTCTCAGCCATGTCGAAAAAACACAAAAAAAATGTATACGAATTGCCGCCTTGCCGCGCGCGCGCGGTCCAACTCGGCTCTCACTGACACACTGCCTCGTCCCGGCAATGCATAACTCGTCCTGTATGCATCTGTCCGTCACGTCTGACGAGATCTCACAGAATCGAAAGCGTCCCGTACGCTTTTTACCTCTCCCGCGCCTCTACATAACCACTCGTACAACCCGATAATCGACACTCTACTAACTAACGACACCACACTCGACGACGTTCGGTCGACAACTGTCGACAACTAAACGTGTTGCTCTCGATTACGGAGCCATCTGCTCGCGACGCTTTTAAACAACGACGCGTCGCATCGGTGTGGTTTAAATGAACAACCTACCGGTGAATGGAATCGTAAATGCGCGATGCGTACGCATCGAACGAGTAATAAAGATATTTTTGGTTTCACTTGTAATTTTCATACCTCTTCCTATTATGAAATGAAACGTCAAATTACTGACATCATGTATTATGAGGATCAGCTTCAGTGTTGTTTTTATTTGAACAGATGTTACAACATCTGTTATGATTTAGTACTCGTATTAGTCGCTAAAATCATCCCTAGCAAAATTGAAGTAGAATACTACTTTATCAGTCTCCCACATCAAAACTACGATGTGGCAATTGATTAATAGATACGGCGTAGACCATTGATATTCCATGTATAAGACTATTGTTATAAAATAAATATCAGGTAGAAATACGTTCATTCAATCAGATTTTCCTGCAGTTTTGTTCTTGCAAAGATGTAGGAAATGTCTTGATTTTTAAATAGTTTTAAGGGAATAAGGTTAGAACAGCTGTAGCAACAGAGTATTTGACGTGTCAGTGCAGTTGCAAATGGCGGGCACCAATGGTGACATTTCCTTAGTAGGGAAGAAAATCGAAAAATTAACGGTATCTAAGGAAGAATCAACGAAGGATGAGAATGATAAAGAGAAGAAAAAGAAGTCGGAATCCCATTTTTGGGGATTCGAGACTCGAGAATTGTATAAAATCGCGATTAATTTTTATAAAGGTGAGTCGACGGTATTGACAGTTTACTAGAATGATCTTGCTATTCAATTCTCTGTATTGTGTAAGAAAAATGACGTGTTTGTATAGATACATCGGATTGTATTTCTGTAACTTGTTGAAAGTCTGAAGTATAGAACTTTATGAGAACTTCATTTGTGATTGTTGTGTTGATTTTGTATACCTCTGCTCTTGTCGGTTAAGATAAATAGATGAGAAAATTGTAATTAAGACAAATTTCTTTTATTATTCATTCGACATTGTGTCAAATATGATGTTATTATAGAAAAAGAGGGTAAAGCGGTTCACCTGTCTTATGAAGACAAATTAAAATTGGTGGCTTTTACTCAACAAGTAACACATGGCAAGTGCACAGCTGAAAATGCACCGCCTTTGGGTGTGTTGGATGTAATTGGAAAGGATAGGCGTTTAGCATGGCACAATTTAGGAGATATATCTAAGGAACAGGCAATGGAAGGATTTATAGTTTTATTGGATAAGTTATGTCCATTGTTTAGAACAGTTGTGGAAGCACAAAGAAGGGACAATGAAGAAAAATTACGGCTAAAGAAGGAAGAAGAGGCAAGAAAATTAGAAGAAGAAAGGAGATTGAAAGAATTAGACGAACAAAAAAAGAAAGAAGAAGAAGCTAGATTAAAAGAAGAGATTCAAAGGAGACAAATTCAAGATGCCTTAAACCAACAAACGTATTATCAATTTAAAGTATATGCAGAACAACAGTACCCTGGTAACCCAGAACAGCAAGGTGTATTAATAAGGCAGTTACAGGAGCAACATTATCATCAGTATATGCAACAATTGCGTCAGAATCAATTAGTAATTGAAGATCAAAGCCCAGATACGAATAAAGTAACAGCAGAAATTGAGGAAACAAAGGAGCACAAAGAAACGAGTGAAACAGCTCCCTTAAATGATGAAGATTCAGATGAGCTACCAGAGGATTTTCCACCTATAGTTCCTGCAGAAATGTGGACAAGAAAAGGTGTGGAGGAATTCAAAGAAACTATCAGGAGAGAAGCCGGTGATGCTGTTATTAAAGTTGGACATGGAGAAATTGTAACTGTAAGAGTGCCAACCCACGAAGATGGTTCCTGCTTGTTTTGGGAATTTGCAACTGATGGTTATGACATTGGTTTTGGAGTATATTTTGAATGGTCAAAACCAGAAACAAATCAAGTATCGGTACATATAAGTGAATCTGAGGATGAAGATGAGGAAGATGACGATTATGATTCTAAAGAAGATTTGGAAAGTGGAGTATCCACTGGTACCATTCAGTCTGACTACAAACCATTGCCACCACCTATAAGCGTGATTGTACCTGTAAGCATACAACTATATACCACAGGTTAACACAAAGCAAACATTGATTTTATTAATTAATATCTGACCATGTATTGTTTTCTTTCAGGTATATAGGAGAGATTCGCAAGAAGAAATCTATGCAGGGAGTCATAGATATCCAGGACAGGTAAATGAATGCATCTTTAACACCTACTTAATGTTTACTTACAAGATAATGATGCCTTTATATATGTTTCTTATTGCAGGGAGTGTATCTTCTTAAGTTTGATAATTCGTATTCATTGTGGCGAAGTAAAACGCTTTATTATCGAGTCTATTACACACAAAACGGCGTCGTGTAAAATTAGCTTTGTCGAAAGTCACTGCGATTTGCTGACCGTACAATCGTTGTAAACTAGCCCACCACGATGGTCTGCCGGATACTGCTAGTCCAACTAAACGAAGAGTCCTATATCTAATTTTCTGTTCATATAAAGTCGAGTGTTCGCAAGAAAAAAAAATATACTTATTATTATAGTTATGTAAAGACACTTTATTGTTTAATATGGCAAGCAAAGTGGGCACAAGTAAAAAGAAGAAGGTTCCTATTACTCCCCTTCCTGTGAATGTTTATAAACGAGCGAAACAAAAGTATATACAAGGTCGATAACAACAGTACATACGCATCGAAGAAGTTCTTTGTATCCGATATATTAGTGTCGTATTCGATTATATATTATGCCAGTAATGTATCGGTGACTCTATGCATAATATTGTTTTCCCTGGTCAGATTTTAGTCTGTCTTTGTTATTATCTCACTCATGTCTGTGTCTTATACTTTTATTGATACTGTCTCAAGTTTTAGAAAAATACATTGAAATTAAAATATTCCGTGTTTTATTTGTTAACCGTTTGTTATTTTGGATGTGTTAAACAAATAATTGAAATCGCACGTGTTTAAGGAAATATGTTCCTTTTTTCGTGTCAACGTTTATTGTACTATAACCACATTGTTCGTTTGTTTCTTTGTTTTTACAGGAATGATTTGTATATCGTCATTAATAAGAATAATAATAATAGTTATATGCATAGCAGTATATAGTTACAGGCTTTTTTACGCTAATATGCGTGTACGTACCGCATATAAACGCGTTTCCAATTATCGCATAATAATAGACAATTCGTCCTATAATAACAATTTTAATTAGAAGAGCACTTTTCTGAGACGGCATGGATTTTCTTTGTTCTTAACATTGCACGGCAATGAGGACTCTGGTTAAACGTCGAGGCTTTATATACAACAGATATTTAATTTATTTAAAATTTTGCATGAACACTAAAGCAATAACCAGCTACAATTCCCCTTGGCGTGCAATTTTTCTGCAATAGCCAAATATTCATGTTATTTTGTTTCCTTTTTTGAATTAAAATAAATTGCTCGATTAAAAATTCGTAATAAAATGAATTTTGAATCCATATTAATATTATGTATATCATTAAATACCGTTCGATTGTTTAAATTTAATTCACACATTTGGCATTGAAATCGTCGATTAATTCTTAAAGCCTAAATTTGTCTCTATGAAATTATGAATCGATGATTTGTTAAATGTTAAAGGCGCGAATGGTTCGTTGGGTGAGACACTTTCAAATTTGCCACGGAAATCGAAGTTAATCAATGCACATCCTGTTTAATAAATTCATACATATTTATAATCATTGCAATATGATTTCACGTCAGATTAATTAATAAATCAATTTTTAAGTATCAAATTTTAATAGAGTGCGATTAATTTTTAAAAAGATTCGAATATAGTTGTTGCATTATTAACCACAGTACATCCGCCATTTCGGGAAAGTGCCTCTTTACAATCCGGTGTTCGTTAAACGTGTCTATCAAAAAATTCTATTGTACGCGGAATAAAAAATTGCCATACATTATCGTAGATGTAAAACTTAAACAATAATCACGCGCGTTATCCTGAGATGCCTTAACAACTGTATAATTAACGTGAGTATCGAAATTTTCTTATCACATGCTTCGTCGTTTGTCATTTAACAAGTAGGGACGCTACACATGGCTACAAGGTAGTTTAAATCCAATGCAGACGAGCGACTTTTTATCATGCGATCACATGTCTGTCTTCGTTTTTTGCAAAGAACAAAGAAAGAAGGTTTACTAATCGCAGTGGTACCGCACGGCAAAGTCGCTTGTGTGCTACGTTTGTAGCGTTCGAATTTGGCGGGAAGCGTATAACTGAACTGCGCTGGCGTCTCCTCCGACGCCATTTTAGTTTCAATACGCGGTTCGAATTCACGGTGCGCGGACGCGAGTGGTGTGCGAGCGTGGGAAATTGAAGAAATGTGGTGATATTTATGGACAATTCTGCAATTTTCTGGACAATTTCTATCATCAGAGCGGATATCTACTGACTGGAACAATTTCCGGGGGAAATTTCATCGCTTTTCATCCGTTTCATCGCATCAAGTGTGGTGAGTGAATACGATTTCAATAGCTAGCCATTCTTCATAGACAGATTTACGATGCATGTAATAAATTTCAACCCATTCGAATGAACTTTTATGTATTTCAACAGTAAAGAAAGAATTCTTATTATAAATGTTCGTACTCTTAATACACGTACTCTTGTTTCGTACTCAATATATGTACTCTTGTACCTTGCCCTTGACAAGGGTAACATTTTTCTTTTCTTCGTTGATTAAAACACCAATATCGAATGGGTTGACACGTGATAAACCGTAACGTGAATTAACGTTACATTTTGTCGACATTAATTGTATTAAATTACACGTACACACATATGCACATATGTATTATGGACTTCGAAATCCAGATTAACTTACTATAGACATGTACTATCGTGGTATAATTAAGGTCTTTAACCCCTTTCCTGTAAGACATGAATTTTTATTACCAATTTGCAATGATTAATATCAAATAACTTTTTCTGCGCGTATTTCTACGGAGCAAGCGTACTGTAATCTCTCGATAGATGTCGTTCCGAACGGCGTCCATTTGAAAAAATTAAATGCCTACTCGTGGGTATACAAAGACAGATGGTTCTGAAACAGTATTCGCGTATAAGTTATAAATGTTTGTGCGAAAATTTTAACGCTTTACTATATTATTTGTATGTCAATTAGTTTTGCGTTGGATTTTATTTTCGTTCAACTTAATTATACCACGATCATTATTATTAGTAATAATTTTTATCAATGATTATCACGATCAGCAATTGGCATCGATACACATTATCCGAGTATATGAAAAATATTTTCCTAAAAGCATATAACGGTGCGTTTGTTCTTTCGCGACAATTATGTATAATAATAGTATAATGTAGGTAATGTACCGTCTAGTAATACAAACATCTCAATGGAAACATCGAGAGATCGGTAAAAACAACGATCGTATAATATACGACGACTTGTTTCTTTTCTTAGCTTTGCGCGAGCAAACGTGTAGACAAAAATATATAATATATGTATACTTTCGTATCTATGCACGGGAAAGCAGAGACTTTCGGTCGTATTTTTTTCGGCACGGATTTCCATTCGATTGAACCATTTAAAAACTACGGTTTTTTTCTTGCTTGCAATTGAGCGGACGATTTTGTTTTACAAATTTCACGTTCACTACGAATTGACATCGCGATACATTCGATGCTTTGCGTTTTCTGCAAGGTGGTTGCATTGGATTCATGTCCATGCATAGTCATTGAATGATTTGGTCTAATAAAACGTGGACAGCGAATTTATTAAACGCTGTAATCACGATAGTAATTCCAATTGGCAACATCGACAGCGTTTCACGCTTCGGCTTTTTCTTTTTTCAAATTCTAAATCCTCCGAATCAGCTTTTCTCACTGGTCGCATTCCATCTCGAGCCTTCGAACTCGTATTTGCAGGATCTTGAACCGTGAAAATTAGGACGGATATTTACATTTACATTCTATTGGCTTATATGTTCCTTCGTTATAACGACGTCTCCATGTTCAAGTTCGTCCATTTGTTATTATCCGTTCTGTAATCCTCGACCCTGCCCGTGAAGCTTCTGCGTATACTAACATCGTGTCGCGCAGGCTTAGCACGTCTCTCGGTCAACGAGCGAGTTAATTCCCCTTTGAATGTGTCTTCGGAGGATACTCTGTCGGTATCATCGTTGGTCGTCTTCTCGTTACGCGTCGATCCTTCGTACGGAGGGAAGGACGTGGCGTGTTGCGAAATTCGAACCTGCGACTCGTTCTTGCCAAAATCTATCGCGTCCATGGCATTCGTCGACGCCGAGAAAGCGTACGGATAAGGGTGTTGACGATCGGGGGGACAAGAGAAAGCGGAAGGTTGAGATGAGTCCGAGTAGCGTTGTCTGCGAGCGTCTTGGAACCGACGCCTAGATGACTTCCGGTCGCAAGTCAGCGACCGTCCTAGTTGGCCGAGGACGGTGTGACTCGGCGTCTCTTCCGTAGGGGTGCAATCGACTTCCTGTCGGGTTCGAACAACATCCTTTCCGCCGAACGGGTCACCCGGACAGACTTCTTGTATCGGACTCGCGAAAATCAGAGTTCTATAAAAAAGATTGATGATTTTCTTGGAAATTTTTAATCGTTACCCAGAACTCACCTATTGTTATCGCGTTTGCACATGGAGATATCCTCGGTTTTATCATTCGACACGTTTCCCGGTTGCTTCCTTTTCTTTCCAAGCACCGCGTCCAAACTTTCCCTCGATCTTGAAAATAGATTGAATCTTCCCTCTATGTCGGACGCGCATACAGGGATGCAACCCTCGTGATAGGATGATCGTACCCGACGACGTCTATCTACTTCTTCCTCCTCTTGATCGGACAGATTCTGAAGCTCTCTGGCGGTTATCAGTGTATAGCGTCTGTTATTTTGTTTTAGAATGGACTTTAGACAGAAATAAGTCTTGGAATCGGGCAGAGGACACGTCTCGTTCGACATAGGGTTCGCTATGACCCTGCTTCGAGCTGCTGTCCTCTTCGGTATCGCTCCTCTACTCGCGTCCACTGTTCTCGATTGAGAACTTGCTTCATCCAACGAGCAAAGAGAGAATCTCAATCTCTCTCCTCTTTTTTGTTCGCTACCTCGTACCCTCTCTTCGTTAAACTCTTCCTCTTGTTCACTCTCCAAGATATTCCTCAAACTTTGCCCATTTATTCGAAGAAACTTGGTATCAGTTTCCATCAGCTCTGATCGGAACCTGAGGTTCGGTTCGGACATGTCTCGAGGCATAACGCTGCTCATCAACTCTCTCCTGGGATTGTGAATCCCTGAAGAGCTGCTTCCAGGGGTATGTTCATTTCTGGAGACTTCTGGATTCTCCAATTGCGCTTCCACTAAGAGTTTCCCACAGCTTCCACATCTTCCAGTCTCTGTTTGGCTGACGTAGGTGCAGACTGGAGGATACACATCGATGGTTGTCTGTATCAATGGTTCTCTGGCACTGCTCGATTGCCCAACGTCTTCTTCCGGTCTTGTACCTTCGGTGGTGCTGGTTTCAGAATGGCAAGGACAGGAACATTCGCGAGGCTGTTCCTGGGGATGATTCGGGTTCTCGTTGTTCGTTTCATCGTTCATAGTGCAGCCTTGCTCTGCCCGTTGGTAGAGCAACGCCTCGGAGTAACTGGGTACCATTTCCGTAATGCTCGGGTCCTGGGGTCTTTGATCGGGCGCTGGATCCATGAGAAGGGCCTCGCTGTAACTTGGGGCCAACATGTAAGAGCCGGGCTGGTTAATGGTCTGCTGGCTCATGGACGCGTGTATCGGCTCGCTTCCGCTAGGTGTGTCGTAGTTAATCCCGAACAGTTTCGTGATCTGATAGTCCGCGTACTGGGTTTTATACTCTATGATCACTCTAAGAGGCCAGCTAAGCAACAGTGCGCTCAGACACCAGTACACGTAGCGATTGGTGAACCATGGATTACCAAGAACAGCTACCAAGGTCGTAGGGTTCAGGTTGTATCCGAGATCCAAACCCTCTCTCATTTCCATGTAATCGTCTCTCAACTCCTTGGAAGAACATTTGATATTAGTCATCGATGGATCTTAACCCCTTCGCCTATGATTTTTTCGATAGTTGCCTCAGTCAGAGCCAACTATTCAATTTTAAGATAAATAAAGACAAATGAAATATCACTTAATTGATATTTGATATTTGATATTTGATATTTGTTCGAGCAAATAACCATACTGGAAATACTGGTAAGAGTTTCTTTTAGCACCCCCCTCCAATTGACTCAAAAATTACCAGGCAAACTTCTCATGAGTTGTAAGTCAAAAAAACATTAATGTGGAGGCGTGGAAATTTTTTTTGGAATTCTACGACGGTGAACTAATGTGATTGATTAAATGAATTTAAAATCTCGTTGTTGTTGTCTAGAAGAGTAAAATGGTGGTGATGAAAAATTAAATTTTTCGTGACTTACCCACGTGACTCTAGTGCTAAAAGGAACTTCACCCGAAATACCAACGAAATTAGAACATTTGAACTGTAAATTGCATCAGGAGTGTGACATGATGTTGTAGGGCAAGGGGTTAATTAAATGATATCGATTGATTTATCGTATCGTACTTGTTCGGCAAAGAATCTCGATCTTGCTTCTTCAAACTCGGTCGCCGATCTCATGTTCGAAAAGGCGAATCCTTTGCTGAGATTGATCTTCGTGATTGGCACTTTTGGATCTAGAATCAACTCTTTGCTGATATCCTTCACGCCGCAGTAATCGTAGTAATAAAAGGACGTTGCTGCGTGAGTGTTTATTCTTTCATAGTACACCTGGAAGATGGAGATCGTTAGAAAGGAAGATAAATCGGGGATAGATGGGCCATTGAAAATATATTAGAATCGTTTAATTAAATTTTAGAAACTTCCTCTGATTTGAATTTACGAAGTTACCTTATAAATCCATAGAATATAACACACGCGAAATTTGGCGAAAGAGGAAGACACGTTCCGATAAAATTTTATTCAAATTGTCTAGTTCGAATTCAGGAAATTTCCATATAAACGCATAGAATAAAAAGTAAGCAAGAGTGCAAGAAATACACGTCTCCATAAAATTTTATTCAAATTGGTTACTTCGTGTTCTCCAACTTCCTCTCCGAGCGCATAGAAATTTTATTCAAACGGCGCCGTTGGTTTGTCGAGTCGGTGAAATTTCCTTCTAAATGCATAGAATAAGTGAGCGAGGATCTAGGAAAGGTAGATCGATGAAAAGCGAATGGCCCATCTTTCCTCGTACCACGTTTAATCAGTCTGTCGCGAAGCGTATCAACGATTTACCATCCCGCGACTTTCCCTTCGTCTGGATTACGAGATATGCGTTGCACGTTGCGCGATATGCGTTACCTGCGTCGTAGTGTAATTGTCTCCGTTTCTGTACCGGGTAATTTGTCGTTTCCGGCGTACGTAATGGTAAGAGACAGCCTTCCACCAGATCGTCGGCTGAGCTGACTTTAATTGCGACAGCTTCGACAAAACGCTGTCCTGGCTCTCCGCGTGCAATAAATCGATTCTGATCGGCGAATGATAACATTCCACGAGGTAAACCAGATATAACATTCCCATAAATGCCACCTGAAAGACCGAGCAATATATATGTTTTTTTTCTTTCTCTGATACGGAGAACTACACAAGTGTTACACTCACTTATTAATGAAACTTTGCTAGCTTGTAGAGCTCGTCGAGCTGAACACGCCTATACCTCGTTTTGTGGGCAGACGACTAATTGTTTAAAAGATATTAATAATTAAAGTTAGTTACTCCTTACATTGAGAAGTATGACATACTCACAGATACAAACGGTTAACTTTGTGGTAAAACGCTTGACTCGCAATCTAAAGGTCCACGGTTCAAATCCATGGTTCCTAAGTTTTTTTTTTAAATTATAATTTGTCTCTTTTTGAATAACTATTACAGCTGTGCTATAATCATTGCATTTATTAATAATTCATTACATACACTGCAATTGTTATAGAATTTAAGTTATTCAAAATAGAATATAGAATTTTAGTTATTTAAAAAGAGACAAATTATCATTAAAAAAGAAAAAAAAAAAAATGGGAACCAAGGATTTGAACCGAGGACCTTCAGATTGCGAGTCATGTGTTTAACCACGGTGCGGATCCATGACTCGCAATCTGAAGGTCCTCGGTTCAAATCCTTGGTTCCCAACATTTTTTTTTTTTTATGATAATTTTTATATAATAGTTATTCAAAAAGAGACAAATTATCATTAAAAAAAAAAAAAAATTGTTGGGAACCAAGGATTTGAACCGTGGATCTCTTGATTGCGAGTTGTATGTGTGAGTTTGTCATACTTCAGAATGTAAGGAGTAACTAACTGTAATTGTTAATATCTTTTAAACAATTAGCCGTGTGCTCCTAAAAGAGGGTATAGGTATGTTCAGCTCGACGAGCTTTACAAGCTGGCAAAGTTTCATTAATAAGTGAGTGTAACACTTGGGTAGTTCCCCTTGTGAAATATACTTAGACACTTTGGTGCAATTTATGGGTGTCACGGGTGAATCTTAAATTCGAGAGGAATTTTTTTTCTTTTTTTATTCCATACTTACGGGAATATAAATGTAACCATCGTCGCAAGGAGACACGTGTCTGGTACTTTTAATCGGATATCTCGAATAATTGATCACCACCTACGAATAATCCCCGTTCCCGATCAATTCGCGTATCATTTCTAGTTGCATAGGAATTTCGTAATGCAGAGGAAGTTACGTACCTTGGTGACATTCGCGCATCTACACCACGTCACTGCGGCAAGGCATCCGTATATTAACACCGATAATACCAAACATTTGCAATTCGGTTCTTTTTGCAAAGCCCCGCAAAGCGTTTGGGATACTGGTCGCTGCTAACAATTGAATACAAGATACAAGAGCTTCTTTGTTCAGGATTGTTTGATGAAGTTTTTTTTTTTTTTGAAAGTGAAAAGAGTATTATTTTTGAAACATACTTCCTCGTTTTCTCGATTCATCGTTGAAGAAAATTGAACTACTTCCGTTTCTCTTAGGTCAGAGCTTCTCCATTTCACGAATACTCCAGGCTATCCTTTGGTTCCTCGTTATTATCCTTTGTTCTGTACTCGTAAGAATTTAATTATTTGCTTTCACGGTGATCAAAAGACGAGAAGAGTACACAGGGATTCCGAGCGCGGTGTTTACCGTGGCTCGGTAATTAAACGAATTATTTTCCCGATAACAACGTTCCGCTAATTGTTTTGAAAATACTTTTCAAATTAATTATCTCTCATCGATCGCGTTTGTTCAGTCTGATCTTTTATTTAACACTTTGATCTGAATTAATAATAATTTCGATAAGGATAAGGAAAAGTGAATGAGAAAAGTATTGGCACACTCTTTGCTTCCTTACAATTTATTTAAATAAAGCAAACATTTCGTTACATTTGTTGTACATTTCTTAACAGAGTACAAATATTCTCCTTAATTATGTGTGCTAATACTTTATCAATTCACTGTAAAATCAGCTATCAAAGTGTTAATCAGAGTGTCGAGCATCATCGTGTTCCCGCCTTTTAATCACGCAGCTTCTACACATTCCCTTAAACCCGGTTAATTTTCCCACCACCCTAGGGAAAATCGATCGGACGATCGACGAACACAGACAGCAAAGATGATCTACGAACCTTGATCACTTGAATCATGAAAAAAAAAAAAAAATATCATTGAAATAACGATGTTTGCCCCGCTGTCAGTGGTGTTCAAAGTTGAAGCATCACACACGCGCGCGGCACCACTCGAAAGCCGCTTTGTCCGCGTACACGATGAATCGTTCATCCCAAGGCAAGAAATAAAATCGATCGTGTCGAGGGGGAGTAAAAAAAGAAGGGACGAGACGAACAAGCGTCTACTTATTATTAGCCGTACTTTGTCGTCCTTTCGCTTCGGAACGTGTCCTGAACGTTTGGTAGAGCACTTTTCCTTCTCATCGCACTCGCAACGTTCCTCTTCGATCTTCCTTTTAATCCTGTTCGATAGAAAATCTTTCCGACTCTTATACCAATGTATCCGCCGGTCACATGGAAAAGAGGATAGAGCGAAAGGGAAGCGAACGATGCACACCGTCGCGAAAGCGTCCTCCCCACGCGTCCTGAAGCACCCCTCTCGGCCGTACTTTCGGCTGGATCCACCCCGTAGCTAACCCACCGGCTAACTGACAGCCTCGATACACCGTAACCGCGGACGCATCTCTACTGACGCTCCGAACGCCGATTCGACGTCACCGTCGGCGTCGGCGTCGCGTCGGCGCCCTTATACCGTATCATCGCCGCGGCTGCGCCCGCTTCCGCGTTCCTGCGTCCTCGAGAAGGCTTTGCCGCCCTTTGTCCTCTTCCCCATTCAGCTTACATCGCGTGCCAGGACGACGCTCGGTACGGCACCGCTCGCACCCTCGTCGCGTCGAAAAATACGCCGGTCCGTTCTCGATAGACAGATTTTTCGTTAATTATTCCATTAGACACCTTGGAAATTTTGTTTTATTACCATCGATACTGAGAAAAACGCGGGTAATATCGTTAACGCGACACTTTTTAATTATTCTTTTATTCTATTCCCGCAACAAAGCTTCTTTCATACGCGAGTAATTATTATTCAAGCGGTCGTGCATACGCAAAGGAACAACTGTTTATTGAAATAATGAAAATAAGTCGCCGTGAATAAAGTCGGTTCATTATAACGAGTAGAATAGCGAGCGCAACTGTGTTCTCGACCGCCTTTCAGAAAAATTTAAAAAGCTTTCCAGATTAAATTTCATTACGCGAAGAGGCACGCTCGCGCTTTGTTATCCGCCGGGGAATCTATATGCGGCAACACGGCCGGAAATGAGTTCATAAAAGAGAGACGTTAACTCGGTGTCGTTGGGCGAACGATATCGGTGTTAATTTCACGCTACCGGGGGTGTGAACCCGTTTATAAATTGAGATCGCGATTTGCCGGCCGATTCGTGGAATAATCAGGAAAATTAACGGGGAAATTTCCACTTTTTTTCCCGCCGGAGCAAATCGAAATGTTCTTCCGTGAAATTAACACGGATTCGATATATTTCCACGGAAAGTTTAACGCGGTTTATCCAACGATTTCACGGAAGAGTTTTTCGATCTGCTCCGCCGGGAAAAAGGAGGAAATTTCCTCTTAATTTTTTTATGCCATCGATTTTTTTCTGATAGGCGAATTGGCAATAAATTTATCGACTTGTAAATAGGATAATGGTGTTTGATAAGGATCTCTAGAGATTCCCGTTTCCACGCGTTGAACGATACGTATCAGTTGCATGCCATCATTTGCACGGCTGAAAAATGGTAATACTCGTGGGAGTATCATTAGTATAAAAGGATGAAATATGATTGATGCATTATGCATTAAACGGATAGAAGATCGCTTTCGTGATAACCAATCATTACAAATCGTTAGATAAAAATGGCAACAAATTAAATGGTCAGTATATAAATCAACTTTCGGTCAGTATTTTTTTACCAAAATGGTCAATATAAAAATACTAAACGGTTAGGTTAGGTTAGGTTAGTACATAAATAGCGAATGATCAGTATGGAAGGATACTGACCAAAGGATTTAAATATTAAAATTGAATTTGACATTATTTTTATTCATCTTGTTCTGATTTAATCGACCGATACAAATCCATCAAAGTTCCAATTGAAATCGATTTAAAAGACGAAAGGAAACCAGTCAGAAACAGTGCAAACAATATACGAGCAGAGTGATCAAACATTGGAAGGTACATAGTATCAATAGAGAATTGGAGGAGCGTACGATCTTTGGACAATGTTTCCCATTGTTGGATCGCGTGACTTTTAGGACACCCTCTATCTGTATTGTGCCCACGGTTGGATAAAGGCAGGTTTCGGCGCCGTCTCGTCGGGTATCTATTGATTGCAATTTGAGATGATGGCAGACGGTCGAGCGCGCATGTAGCTCTAAGCGTTCGTGTCGAGTTATGCGTGTACCATCCGTGATGTCCTTTCTTAACGCTGACCACTACCACTCCCGTATCCTTCGGATTATCCTGCGAACAACAACACGTCCACACGTGTCGCTAAATATTTGACCAACAGCATTGGGTCAGGATAAAGCCAGGCAAGGATATCTGCCTCTTTCCTCTTCTCACACATGTTTCTTTAATTATTCAATTAAATTCTTAGTACCCACTCTAAAGTCAGCATGGTAGAGAATATATATTCTAAAATGCTCATCGAATTTAACTCGTGCCAACCGAGAGAGTCCAGTGCCAATTTTTAGTTTTATTTATCATGCAAAATTGTTTAGTATATTTTGTTTAAATATATGTATTTGATTATGCGCAATGGGAAGTTTGGATTGATTATAGAAATTGTTCAGTTGGGTCCAAAATTAACGTACTGTAAAACAAATATAGCAATTTCTTAATTTTTGTAAGAAACAAAGTAGATTTTGAACCGAGAAATAATAATCCATATTAACGTCGGTATATGAAAAGGTTTTTCCGTACTTAAATGTCCTGGGTATCCTTGAACGTCGTCGATGTAGGTCTTCAGGCGCCGTTTATCCGCCATAAGAAAAGCGTCCCGGGTTACGACGAAATTCCCCCAGGGAGAAAAACAGAATCAGACGTCAGACATTGGTCTAAGCGCCTGCTGTTCTGACACGGTTTTCCCAACCTTTCGACAACGACACACTTTCCCAGCGTGAATTTGGAAAAGTACCAGTTTATGGAAATTTACCATTTTATCCTGGTTCTCTTCAATCATTCCATTACCGTGTCGAGAATTGAACGTACACTGGTTGAACTAATTCTGAACACTTTGAATAAAAATATTCTTTATTTCATATTTCTGCAGAAAATGTATATTCTGCTATGCTAAATTGATACCATAATATTTTTATTGTAATCTATAATGTTTGTACTTAATATTTTCGCATGATTTGGTTTGCAAATATTATAAAATTTTAATTAAAAAAAATCTAAGCTGTGTTGTTATTTTTGTTTTTGCGAATGGCAACACGAAACGTCGCATGATGAGAAATAGCCAATCACAGGATGAAAGGATATCCAATGAAATATTAATTTTTTTCTACCTCCTTTGATTTGTTGAAATTGGCTGTAAATGGTCTTTTTACTGACTTTTTTTTATATAAGCGACGCTCTAAAATTAGAAAACAAATAATTTTAAATAATTTGAATAAATGCGTTTAAGTAAAAATTTAAAAGTGTCCAGAATTAATTCCACTAATGTAAAACCGTGGTAGCTGCTCGTAGTTTTCATATTTTTCCAATAAATTTTATTAAAATCGCGTTTAATTGAACGAGTAATTATAAAACATCGTTAACTGTCTGGTTTTATGAATTGATCTTTCCGTTTCATTAACTTTTTTTTATCGTCGACGTTTATTTTGAATAAAATGCAGCTGGAACAATTCGAAGTTGTTTTTCACTTGTCTCGAGAAAGCGTAGAGTAACTGCTCTCTCTAGCGTGAAGTGTTTTACACTCTTAAGGTTTTCAAGGGTACGTGTCAGATTTCAGCGTCGAAAAGTCTTCTCAGCTACCGTTGAAACAGTACCGTGCAACCCTTTTGAACAGAAAAGATTATTAACGAGACGTGTGCCTCGACACGTGATCAAAGCGGTGCCAAAAAGGCGACGTGAAAAAATTGAATTTTTATCTCTTTTCTCTTGATAGCAATTTTTTCATCATTTGAACAAGAGGAAAACGCGAATAGGAAAAATCTCTGAAATTTTCGAGATCCACGGTTTGTCGATCGGTGATACGGTTTATACAAATGTACACGGTGCATATTAACGCGACCCGACAAGATAGAATCGCATTTTTTTGGAACGCAGCCAAAACCGCATTTTCTCTATAGTTCGAATCCTTCGTCCACGCGTCTATAGCGATCGTTATCAAGGATTTCAAATATACATCGCAGGACCATCGATCAATCTCTACTTCCAACTTATTTTAAATTTGCAACTGACAAGCAGGGCCGGCCCTGAGATTTTTGGGATCCGAGACAAGCTCCGAAAAAGGGCCCCTTCACATATATGACATAAAAAAAAGTACCTCAAATGAAAATTATAAAATTAACATTAAAGCTTGTATAACTAATTTAGATTTGCATTTACGTCGATTAATATTCTTCTTGCATTCTTAGACGCAAAATCATCTTATGGGGGCCCTGGACCTTGGGGGGCCCTAGGCCCAGATCCGGCCCTGTAAATATTTCCTCAAATAAAATTTATAAAATTAACATTAAAGCTTGTACAACTAATTTAGATTTGCTTTTACGTCGATTAATATTCTTCTTGCATTCTTAGACGCAAAATCGTCTTATGGGGGCCCTGGACCTTGGGGGGCCCTAGGCCCAGATTCGGCCCTGTAAATATTTCCTGAAATAAAATTTATAAAATTAACATTAAAGCTTGTATACCTAATTTAGATTTCCATTTACATCGATTAATATTCTTCTTGCATTCTTAGACGCAAAACCATCTTATGGGGGGCCTAGGCATTTGCCTAGGCCCAGGACCGGCTCTGTAAATATTTCTTCAAATAAAATTTATAAAATTAACATTAAAGCTTGTATAACTAATTTAGATTTGCATTTACGTCGATTAATATTCTTCTTGCATTCTTAGACGCAAAATCATCTTATGGGGGCCCTGGACCTTGGGGGGCCCTAGGCCCAGATCCGGCCCTGTAAATATTTCCTCAAATAAAATTTATAAAATTAACATTAAAGCTTGTATAACTAATTTAGATTTGCATTTACGTCGATTAATATTCTTCTTGCATTCTTAGACGCAAAACCATCTTATGGGGGCCCTGGACCTTGGGGGGCCCTAGGCCCAGGTTCGGCCCTGTAAATATTTCCTCAAATAAAATTTATAAAATTAACATTAAAGCTTGTACAACTAATTTAGATTTGCTTTTACGTCGATTAATATTCTTCTTACATTCTTAGACGCAAAATCGTCTTATGGGGGCCCTAAGCGGCCCCCTATTCTGCCTAGGCCCATGGCCGGCCCTGTTGACAAGAACGTTTCATTTTATCGTAGAAAGTAACGAAGACTAGAAAGGGTGTTTCGAGAAATTTTTTTCCCCCTTCGCTTTCCGATGCTATAATGTCCAAACAAGCGTTTCAGAAGGGTAGAGAAAACCTTCCACCAGGATGACTTCACAGGATACATAGTTATTCGGCACGAGGGGGTTGAGAAGAAAAAAAGGGCTGGAAAAGTTTGTTACGTAAATGAGTTCTTGACCAAGCAGAGACGCGTTATCGAGATCGAGTAGGACGTCTTTCCCTAATGATGATACCCGGCCTAATTAAGTCTTGCTCCATTTTAATCAGCACATCGCATGTGACGTGCTGTGTTCAGACAATGTTGCCAGGAAAATAAAAGAGTGTCCTAAATACGACGCCTTTCAACGAGTAATTGGACACGCTTTTGCAATTGGATGCTCGTGTCCTGCAAATGTTATTTACATAAAAGTTCCTTTGAAAAATTCCTCTGCGAGAGATAAAGGATTTTCATATAAACACCTTATCTTTATACAATTATCGATCGAGTAGTTATTTTTTAATTAATGTCAAGGATTCTTCATATTTTCTATAAAGTGTTTATTTTCGATAGTTTGCCTCTTTAATTATGAAATGTGTTCAATAGCTGATCGATAGCACGAATTCAATCACGCAGATTGTTTCTGTAAACAACTATCAAGGTGTTGATGTACTCTTTCAACATAAAAAAAAAAGGGTGCCCTCTGATATTGTGCAATGAGAATCAATCGAACGGAAAGTGGCGATGATCCTTGTACCGTAACTAATCGTCGCCCTCCGGCTAGCCTTGTCCATGAAAAGGTGGTGCAAGTTGGAGCGCGAATAATGCGCATGCATGCATTTTGTATTTATAGCACGAGCGTATCGCGTGGCGAAAATTTAAGTAGCTGAAATCTAGCCTCTCCTCTGAACCCTTCTGCTATAACGTAGCCTGATGCCAAGGTTTAATCAACACCTCAGTCATAGCCCTCTTATCGCGTCGATCTTTTGCTCGTTTGACCTTTCGCCCAATCGTGTTATACCTTCGAATCAAAATCAATCGAATAGTTAACAATAATGAGATTACGATCGCACGATCTTCCAGAGTTTCATAGCTATCAATTTATTAATAAGTGACACCATTTTTTGCAAAATTAAAAAAAAGGAAATCGATGTTAGGATTGGGAGTAATAATAATCACCATTCGATTGAAATTTATTAATAAGTGATACCATTTTTTTGCAAAATTAAAAAAAAAGAAATCGATGTTAGAGTTGGGAGTAATAATAATCACCATTCGATTGAAATTTATTAATAAGTGATACCATTTTTTTGCAAAATTAAAAAACAAGAAATCGATGTTAGAGTTGGGAGTAATAATAATCACCATTCGATTGAAATTTATTAATAAGTGATACCATTTTTTGCAAAATTAAAAAAAAAGGAAATCGATGTTAGGGTTGGGAGTAATAATAATCAGAATTCGATTGAAATGTAATTTTATTTTCATTAAATATAATAATCGCGTGACGCGTTCGAAGTATTGCCTTTTACAACCCACCTGACAATCACCGATAACGAAATGAACGAAAGTAAAATAGAATAAAGACATCACATTGTCAGACAGATACGAGTACAAGATAGAACGAGTAGTTCAAAGTGCGAAAGTTGAACCGACTGCAAATTGACAGAGAGACTCGTTGCTTGTTTGTCACTAGTCGAACGAATCCGATTTTATTTACAAATCCGAATTGGATCAGACGCTATAAAATACATAGTTAGTTAAGTATATTGCTACTAATTTCACGGTATTCGACGCCAATGATATCCTACGAGGGTACTCGATGTCGTTAGGTCAATTAAAATTCTTATTCAACATCGGATCCCTCAACACGTTCATTGCCACGATAAAAATGGTCCTATTGTTTAATTTGATGATGGACCCCCCGTGGCAGTCAACGTGTTAAGCAAAATTCGTAGAAAAATCGTTCATCCTCTTGCATGAAATGGAAAATATTCGAGATCTAGCTGAAACGAAACTAAAAAACAACAATGAGTATTTTTACTAATATTTCAACAGGCTAATTGTCGAAAATTAACAAGGGATTATCGCCGCTTTTTTCGTATCAAATTGAGAAAAAAAAGGCTAATTAGCCGTGCTCGATGCATGTCTGCCAAAACTAGCACATTACGAGTACGGATGTACAATATCGATAAATATAATGTTACTTATGCACGTACGTATATATTAATATATAAATAGCACGATCCTTTACACTAGAGTACAGGGGTATGTATATACATATACGATGGATGGAGTCTTCGTAATTAGTTAGCGAAGCATCGAAGGATGTTTCTTCTTAGAGCCTAGGTTACATTGGCAGAGTATACTATTATACACTAGTAGAATTAATTCTGGACACTTTTTAATTTTTACTTAAATTCCGCATTTATTCAAATTATTTAATATATAATCATTTATATTTTATATTCTAATCATTGTTTTCTAATTTTAAAAGTAAAAAGACCATTTACAGCCATATTTTTAATATACAATAAAAATTACAATTTCAACACATCAAAAGAAGTAAAAAAAATTAATATTTTGTTAGATGTCCTTTCATCCTGTAATTGGCTATTTCGCATCATGCGACGTTTCCTGTTGCCACGTTTAGATTTTTTTAAATTAAAATTTTAAAACATTTACAAACCAAATAATGTGATTACAATAAAAATATTACGATATCAATCATGGTATCAGAATATACATTTTCTGCTTGAATATTTTTAATCAAACTGTCCAGAATTAATTTCACCAGTGTATAATAAGTAAAATTTGTCTACTATACTTGCGTAAACGATCAGGCAAGTGATTGACTGAATATTGTAAGGGTTAGTAGAGTGTAGGTACCGTGGTAGAGTAATTCTATCACTAGCCTTCTCTTATCACTATTTAGCGCTAGTATATCAGAGTGATTTTAATATACCAATGGTAGAATTACTTTACCACTTGCACTCTCATCGTTCTACTTATATTAGCGTTAGTATACTCTAGCAGTGTAACTTAGGATCTAAGCCTAAGCGATAGAGTATACTAACGCTAGTGCATTGGAACGATGGAGAAAGGGCTAGTGGTAGAGTTACTTTACACTCTATTACTAAAGAGACCTAGGCTTTTTTAGCCTAAATAGTATAGAGTATATTATCGATGTAACCTAGGCTTTTTAAGCCCGAATGATAAAGTATACTAGCGCTAGTACTTTACCAATGTAACTTAGACTTAACTTTGAATTAATATGTTTCGATCCTCGTCGCCGTGCTCGTCTCGACGGCTTCTATTGTCCTTTGCGTCGTTCCGATCGAAAAGGTGTCTCTTAATGCAAAAAGTAGGAAAATAGCGAGGAACATTCGGCGCTAATCGTGCTCGATCTTGCGTGTACGTTTCACGCCCGTGATCGAAGGTCTCTTTGGTGAAGAGGACGGAGAAACGATAAGTAATCAATTTGAAATCCAAGTCTCGATGAAGTACGAATGTACATGTAGGGATCGCTTATCACCAATACGATTCGATATATCTATTATCATGAAAATCCTTATCTACGCGAGACTCTTCTCTCTTTCTCTCTATGGAAACGAATTCTCTAACCGATTAAGTACGAAGAGCGAAGAAATTCAATAGCTGGGATTTGTTTGAAACAGCTTCGGAGGTTCTTCTTCGCTATCACAAAGAAATTAAAACTAGAAGTGTGCGAGTACTCGAATTTCGGGTCAAACCATGATCGGTCGGTTGAATTTTGCCGAATTACTCGAAATTGACGAACTATTTGAAACGAAAGCGAGCTACTCGAATATTCGAGCTGAAAAATCTTCAAGTAGATCGAAGTTTTACGACGGCTCGAATATTCGAGTAGCTCGCTTTTGTTTCAAACATTTGATCGATTTCAAGTAATTCGGCAAATTCAAGTACTCGACTCGGCTCGAACAATCGAAGCGAATTCAGCTCGGCTTGTGAATTACAAGTACTCGCACACCTCTGATAAAAACGTTCCTGCCGTTGTCACGTTGCTCCGAGAACGTTGAGAGCGACTAGATTCTTTCTCACTGGAATCCTTGAGATTCCATCCTGATCCTTTCGTACAGGGGAAATCGAACAATGCTTTCAAACGGAACACCTTCGACAAGTCGTTGAAGAAATCGTTGAATCCATATATTTCACTTATTCTACACGCATCTCCCATTTGTTCACTGTTGATAACCGTTCGCTTGAGTTTGGCCTTCTTGACTATCTATACTGTAACCGGTTATGCTATCCGGACTTTGAAGAGACGCAGCGTAGAGTGGATTCACCGGTGTTGAGTTTGTGTCGAATTGGGTCGAGTCATAAACACTGTGATTCTGTGAACAAAAGAATAGTTCCCCTTTGCATTTTTGTTTTTCCTTCTGTTCTTTCAACAACAATGACAAGTATATAGTATTATTCTTCGCTATCACAATAGGCACACATACAACGCTGAATTATCACGCTTTCATATGTGTATATGTGTGTGTGTACTTGTGTGTAGGAATACCCTTTCCTGTCTTTCCTTTGTAAATCGACAAAAAAGAATGGGAAGAAAGAAACATAGTAGATGGTAGCGTTGGTGAGAAAAGACGCACCTGATTTTGCAACAAAAACAAAAATGAACAAAACAATAATCAACGTGTTAGCACGATCCTTTGCCAAGTTAGTGTAAATAAATAAAACCAAGTGCATTGGCTACATTAACGAGTTTAATTAAAATCTAAACATGCTGTATATACAGATAATAAAGCATTTTGTGCGCTCCTCTATATATATATATATTTATATATATATTATACTATATAATACATGTAGTTATTAACAAGTACGTGTAAAGTTTCGCTATCCCACCAGAACTTACTGCTGAGTTTCAATGGTTAAAATGGTTTTTAAAAAAATGTTAAAATTACTGCTCTTATATACAGAACTACACGTAATGACTTAGATGTTACACCGATAGCTCTAACAAAAGTATTTACAGCGACTCGGTCTGCGTATAAGATTTTGTGTGGTCAGAGGGAGGACTAGGATCTACTTCGCTATCTTTTACAGGTTTTGGGGTTGTCAGTGATAATAAGTAATCGCTTAAACCAGCTGACTCCCTTTTCTTCGGCTCTCTTTTACGCCTTTTAAACGTATCCTCCCGTGTTAAAGTGATAGATTTAAATAGTAACTGTTGCGTAGCGTTAGAATTGTCCATGGAATCGGACGCGTCTTCTACTTGAACCTCAGACATACCGGTGTTAGCATATTGTTTCAAAGGGCTCAATTGTTTTCTATCACCCTCGATTCGCGAGACGGCTTTATCTTTTGTTAAAGGTTCTTGACCAAGCGTGGTAGTTTCAAGCGGTGGTATCTCGAAAAATTGTGCTGGTACGCTTCCCTCCGAGCCCTTTCTCTCGTGCTCTAAACTGCTCTTTCTTGTTAACGAAAACAGATTAGTACTACTGTCGTTTGCTCCGGATTTGTAAAGGAAATTACTAGCAGTGCTCGGGGAGAAAAGTAAATTCGATACGCTACTGGGTCCACCGTACTTAAACTGAGAGGTGGATCTACTTTTCCAAGCAGTGTTGGGAAACCTTAGATCTGGAGCGCTCGTTTTGGAATCAATAAAATTATCAGATTTCGTTAGGGGGTAATTCTTAAAATCAAAAGCTGTTTTCTCCGCGCTCAGACGTCTAGCAAAACTTTTGATGCCGGGTGGGGAGCGGTATAACGTGACCCGGGAATCGTAAGCGTGTCCACTAGCAACTTTAAAGTCTTTCGGAGACGCTAAGGAGTGTAGGGAGGTTTTATGTTTCGTAGGGGATGATTTTAATGCTTGCGAATCGTATAGGGGCATGTGAATAGATGGAGTATGGACCTGATAAATATAATCGCTGTCTGTTTTTAACGAAGAGAAACTCTGTTGATGCGGCAATGACACTGTATCTTCGTCCATTGCATCGTCTACTTGTGCCTTGTAGGAGAACATTATAGAAGGTTGTGAAACCCTGTAAAAACAATTGGTTAGCTGTAATTTCTATATAGAAATTGAAATACATTAAGCTCGTTCAGACAGACTTACCCAAAGAACTCAGACAGAAACGTATGATAAACTAAAGGTGTAAAAAGGGTCAAATAGACAATTGCAGTAAAATCCACGATACATAATCCTACAGGATTTTGTGTATAGTTTAAAAAGCCTGCGCCAATTGATTGTACTAGGTCTAGCATGGCTAACGTACCAGCATAAATGTAAAAACTTTTTCTTGCTGGAATAAAAGATACCTCGTAGTATGTGAATTGATATAAAGGAATAAAAATACAATAGTATCTGTATCAACATACTTGGAAGGGTTAAACGATCTCTTAACCGTGTCCATGGCAGTATCAATATAAAAAGGTATATCTGTAACAAGATTGTAAAAATTGTTAGGATAATTTGGAAGATGAACTAGAGTAATTACCTCAGTGAAATAGCAAACGTTTACCATTGTGAAAACAAGACTGCTGCAGAACCAAAACATCATGCCCCCGTGACCAAATACATACAAATTTCTACTAGGAATACGGAATGTATCGTCTGGTAAAACTAATTCCAAAGTTCCTTGAGTTATTGTAAAAGCCAGTGCTATCAATGATGTGGCAAGTAATACCCTACGAATACTTGAGCGACTATCCAAATGTCCTATAAATAAAAAGCAATGTATTTCGGGATGCGCGATAACTAATACAAATGAATGAAAGTAAACTCACCAAAAGCCAAACCAAATATAAGCACGCTCATCTCTGTTGATAAAAGAAAAAATCTGACCGTAACCCAGAGCACTTTATCCGCTTTACCGCCAACGGTGGCTGCTGCGTTCACAGTCATCGAAACGACGCATCGTATCACCGAAATAACTATGTTACAAATGACAAGTCCGTAAAAAGCAAAAAATATTGGACTACTCGTTGCTCGCAATTTAAGCCGTGCTCTGTTAAATCTGATCGCGATGAATAAAAGAAACAAGAGGTTTGGTATCAATATGACAATATCCCATATTCGTACTCTGAAAAAACATAAATATCAATGGATAGAAACAGCATGACAATATATACCGTACAACATACCTTGAATCTTTGATTTCTTTGTATAAGATAAACTTGCAAAAATGTTCTTCATCGGTTATCGGTGAGCTAACATTAGGAATCATTGTACTGCTCAAGTCATACGTGTGTAACCAACTTTCAGATACTTCTTCACGAACTGCACCATACATACTTTTTATTCTGTCGCACACCTTACACCACAATCATTTCTTGATTTTTCACTGGCAAACAAACAATGAACAGTATATGTCATTCCAACAGGAGAATAAAATAGTATAATTTTATTTACAGGTTACTTTTGCATGAAAAAAGATAAGAAAGAAATGAGTAAGATGATAGGAGATAAAAAACGTCGTTACCGTTCTGATCGACGTACACGAGTGAGATATCATTAAATACTCTACTCGCTAATTAAGGTGACATAATAAACATAACCTAAAATACTTGGCAGTATTCCCAAGTCACGACCTTCGTTACTGATAGAAAGCAACGACCGAACTACGTAACAATATAAACAAAAAAGCCACAAGTATAAACATTCCCGCGAAATAAAATATTGTCTGCTAGTTAATCGAGGGGTAAAATCGATAAAAGCGGTAAGTCTATTGTGTTGCTGTCAAAAATTGACGGTGCGTTGCGATGATAAATCAGCTCGAGTGATTCATGCTACTAATTGATTGAACGCTAATTCAATAAGACGGTGTACCCGTTACGATTTACATGACTTACCGTGCCACGAGATTACCGCTTTCATCTTCCTCTTCGAAAAAAAAAGTTAATATACTTTGAAGTCTGCTCGACGAGCGTGCGTACGCGTATACGTCCGCGCGTTTCGTATTTTTCCGCTGCTTACTCCTTACCGCACTGTTTATTGTCCGTTTCTCTTATCCATATAGTATTACGTTCGTGCTGAGCGATTGTCATTTTGCTATGAGACTCCAGTGTCCATTTCTGTTGATCAGCATTTAGCCGACAACCACGGCACTGTCGTTCTTTTGTCTTACGGTTCCAGTAACGCCACACCGTGTAACCGAGAATCGTATATTTGATCGCCCCTGAGAGAAACGCTAAACGAAGTGCGCGTGACTGCGTACGGAGTTTGACGTTTCTATCAAAATCACAGTTACTCGACGAGAACGTCGATGAACCGTGAAAAGGTGTTTCCAGGTAACGCCACGATTTAATGCCTATCATAAAGGCTGTGCTGCTCTTCTTTCGCGAGGTATACTTTCGATCGGGGATACACGTAACGTTCAGATTACGATTTCCTCGTTAGGCGAACGCTTTCACTGGAATCATTACGACAGTTTAATGTTCGGAACGTCTTGGATAGGTTAGGAGTTTCGTAAAAATACGCAGAATGGCCGCGAATCGCTCGTAAACCGGGAAATACGAAATTTCCCGCTCTGTTTCTCATCTCGTTCATTGCGTCGCGTTGCGTCGTTTCGTTGATGCTTTTTTTTAAGTATAGTACAGTTGGAAAGAAATAAGCAAGCAATTCCTCAGTATATTGTTTTTTTTTTAGAACGTTTTCTGATTTAAATAATTATACGATGATCCACGATTACTCGAGCGAATTACTAAAAAATATCCATCGGGACGTTTCTCCACCGGAAGTCGGTACCAGCTTCCTGGTCCGTGGGGATTACGAATATTGGCATTACGGTTGCGATGGTTTTAACGATAAGGTTTGTGATCGGATATACGATTGTATTCTTTGATTAAGTAATAAAAAGTATGGCACTTAGGGATGGGGGTGCGGGTACAGAACCCTACAGACTATTTGTTCCTGGATCATTATGAACCGGAAGTTGGATCAATCTGTTCCTAATATCAGACGTATACAGGAGATACTTGTTACGTTAGAAGATAAAGAAGAAAGTTTTATTGGATCCAGAGAATGGATTGGAAGTTTCGAAGTAAGTTAATATTTTTCGCTGAGTCAACTTGAAGTAATTAACTTCGATAATCACCAAAGTCAAATGAATTATTACTGCAAATTTAAAGAAGTTGCCACACATTTGCGATACGCTCGATAAACGCGATGTATTTTCACCAAAGGAGAAAGTAAACAAGTCGATTGGCAATACGTCGTAGGTGTGCCTGGTGTTGGATCACTTGTACGAGGTTCTCAGCAAAATAATTCACGTTCCCAGTGGTAGAGCGTTATCGGAACAGATACCGGTAATCAGGGAGCACTTGGAGAAATTCGGCAGCCCAATCATGATGGGAGGGGACAGAGATTGTTCCAGCAAAGGAATACTAGGCATCCATCAGGGTGTGAAGAATACTTACATGCTAATAGTCGATCCGCATTTCATCGGCAGAACAAAAAACGCGGAACAATTGGAAGTTAATCACTGGGTGAAATGGCAGGACACCAAGAATTTTGTAGATAGCTCTTTCTACAATCTATGTTTACCTCAGATTAAATGTATAACTAGCAACAAGCAGGAAGATTAATGAAATGTATAGAAAAGAAGAAAACAATTTGTATCATAAACACATTTTATTTAACTGGATATACATATGATATCCAAAACCACTGAAGACATCACGTTTAATATGTACACTATAGATAATGGGAAATGAAATAAAATACTTTGAAGTATTTATTCTAATTCAATCCGTGTTTAATATTAAGCAGACTCCCTGTAGCACCCAGTGTGATATGTGTTCATTGGTAGCAAGATTCGCTTCGAACACCAAACCAACTCCCATCGCGTTTCTTCGATTGGATGTCGTGTACACCGGTGTTTTGAAAGTATTCTACGATTCATAAACTCGGTTATCGAATGTCTATAAAACAGCCTGTGATTTGATTAATTAATGCGATACCTGAAGCCTGATTCTGTGAGCTTCGACGGGTACTACTATAAGTACAGGTAATTCTTCAACTAGGATCTTTGGGTGCGACCTTTTCAGACATTGTTCCTCAAGGTCCCATCTGGCACCTTCCAGATACAAACCACTCACGTAACAACCCTATAGAGAAAAATATAAATAATTAAAAAGAAATTATTCAAGTTCATTCTAAGGGAAAATTGATCACGTACCTCGTCAGGTCTGTCTTCTATCTTCTCCGGTATAGTATATCTTGATACAGCTGTGTACATGAGAGAGTGATCGAGGGACCAATTATTTCTGCGACAGGACATTTGGATAAGGGCTGCCAGGTACGTTTCCGGTATGTGTAGACCGGCTAACCAGAGAACTATTGGCTCGTTTGTGCCCGCCTGAGATATAAGGAAAAGATTCGTCAGTGATGGAAATAAAATATTGTTTCAATAATAATTTACCCAATTATTATATTGTTGTATTCTTTTCTCAAAATGCTCCATCCATCCAGCAAGAGTTTTCTTGGTATCTGGTGCTAGTTTGGCCCACTGTTTTGGTAGTACACCATTGTACACAGCTGTAGAAATACTTTCCAGGGTGGTATCCATACCGATTTCTCCAGCAACAGCCTATAATTTTGTGCAATTTCAATATACAATTTACTTGAATAATTAAAACTCGAAAAGCCACCTTTCTTAGTTGAGTTAGAGTTCTCTTCATTGTACGAATTAGCTTGTTGAATCTTTCCAATTCTTGGAAAAGTACGATAATGGTTGGAGTGACAGAAATCCCATAATTTTTCTTTATTTTAATGATATCGAATTCTGTAGGGACTTTGTTTAATATTTCGTTCGCCATATTGTCGATAAACTCGTCCTTGCTTATTCCAGTACCACTTACTTCTAAAATATTAAAATTTTTAATTGCATTTTTAACTTTTCATCATGTATCATAGATTTAACGTTGACCAAGCTAATTAAAATTAATTGTTGAAAGATTGTATTATAAATAATGTTTGAAAATGAATAAAAGTGTGCTTACCAGTTTGTGGTTGCAACTCTATGAGATTGCTCCACATTTCTTTCACCGCATAGGTGAAGTACCCAATTTCAGCGTTTGGATGGAGTCCAAAAACCTCTGGAGTGTTCACCAAGGGTAGTTCCTTGATGAAATTCAGGTAATCATCGTACTCTCCTTCCGGTGGTATCACGTAGTCCACGCGTTCGTCGCGGTAGAAGTGGAAAGGTTGAAATTTGTCGAACAGAAAGTCTCCGAAGTACTCGTCCATGTAAGTTTGGGAAACTCGACGATCGTAATTGTCTATCACTCTTCCGCCGTACATCACCTAACGATTTTAAAAAGAATAGAAAAATTCAAGAATCTCGATTCTTCCTAACGCACCTCCCCTATTAAATATTTCAAGCTGTTCCAAGGAATCCTGATCTCTTTCGTCGACAATGCCTTGGTTAGATAGGTATTCAAAATTGTGGTGCAAACATTGAAGTCTGACTCGTTGAAATCGTAATTTATATTCCAACCAATCTTGTCGTATCGTCTTCTCTCCTGAACAACGGCGTGATAGAAAGCCAATACATAAATCAAGTGCTTGTAGGCAGAATGCGGACAGCTTTCGATCAGCTGGGGTGTCATCTTCAGATAGGTGTTCTCAAGGTTCAGTTTCAATCCGCTTGGTGGTTCGGTGACCACTGAAAATTGATAAATATTTGTAGAAGAGGAGAGAAAAAAGCGTTTCCGTCTCGGGATCGTCTGTCAGACTCGTCCAGTGAGGCTAACAACAGACGATCCCTGCTCCAGACACCTATCATACTGCAATTCGGAAATCTATATTATTCTAATTGCATGCCGGGCGACCGCTAGCGAGAACGCTGTCATCTCGCCGCCACCTAGCGGTCCCCGGCCCGAACTAAAGGCGTCCGGAGAGACGAAACCCTCTCCCCCCTCCACTAAACGCCTACATATTTCAATAATTTTAATTGCATTCAACATTGTCTAATTGTCTTGTAAAACCTTTCAATGATTGTTGTAATATTCCAATTGGAAAATTTGGCGTTGGATCGGTGGTTAACCAGAGACGAAAATCAGGATGGGGTTTCCCAACGTTTTCCAATAACTTCTCCAGTTCCCTGGTGAAACTCAAAAGCAAGTGGCAATTTTGAAACATCAACCACTGTCCTCTGTTCACGGCTATTTCTAACAGCTCCACTGCGATCTGAAGGATCAGAAAAAATGAAAATGTAGGAGAGAAAAAGGCAGTGGGGCTGACAACAGACGATCTCTGCCCCAGACACCCCATCATACCGCAATTTGGAACGCACGCGGGGCGACCGCTTGCGAGAACACTGATCCACCCACCAATCATCTCGCCGCCACCTAGCGGTCCCCAGCCCGAACCAAAGGCGTCCGGCGAGACGAAACCCTTCCTTCCCACCACTAAACGCCTACATTAATTTATAATTAACGTGATATCTATTTAATAGAAACGACTAGTTCGGTAGGCCTGCCCCAGACACCTATCGTACCGCTCTTCGGAACTTATATACATCCGAACGGCATGCCGGGCGAGCGCTTGCGAGAGGCTCCGTTCAATCTCGCCGCCATCTAGCGCTCCCCGGCCCGAACTCAAGGCGTCCGGGGAGACGAAACTCTACAAAAGATTGCCAAGAAACGATGGTTAACTGATCTTACCTTCTCCTGGCCTTGTCCAAGAGACAGGTACTTGAATTTTCCTCCTCCGCAACCGTACCCATCCGCCAGTTTCATCAGTTCCGATGATGGATCCGAACCAGGACTCAGGATGAAAACAATGGGCATTGTTGGTGTGCTTTGTTCGAAGATCAGTTCGAAACTTATATGCGGAGGAGTAATAAATTCTTCTCCCATGATCTCGCTTATGTAATTGACGATGCCTCGATAAACACGATCGATACGGAAACATCGTATCAACATCAGTTTTTCAAAAGGTTTCAACTTCGATGAATAATCCAGAGGATAGTTCTCGGATTCTGGGGCATCGCTGTCGTACCACTAAAAAATGAAACACCCCTTTCTTCGTAAATTCAACAGAATCATCTTCGATCACCCACCTTCTGCCACTCTTCAAGTTGTTCCTCCAGCTCGTTAGGGAGTTGTCCAAAAACATCGGGAAAGTCATTGCTCAGTTTAAGTACATCCGCCCATCCAGTCGCTGGTAACCAGTCGGTGGGGTTGATTTTCGACGCTTTCTCCAACGCGATACTACCCTTCACGAAGAAATCCAACTCTCCTTGAGTAAGCTTCTCCTGATCCTGTTCCAATTTAATACAGATTTGGAAAGAAAAGAGCAATTTGTGCCTCTCAAAGATGCCTGTGCAACCATAGTCGTACACGTTCTTCGTCAGCATAGGAATGATGTTCTTCAGGCGTTGCTGAAGAGTTGGGTCAGGCAGCGCTTTTCTCAACGAATAAATGAATACTTCCACGTAACTGATTAAAGAGTACTGATACATGGAATTCACCATCGCCATGTCCGCCAAAACGAAGAACAATATTGCTCCTCGTTTAGCTACTGGTCGATAACCGTCTCGAAGCTTGTTCACGTCTGCGGCGGTCACCTCGCCCAGATACAATTTTGTCATCACCTCGTAGGCACTTGATTTCGTGTTTTCCAATGTTTCCACCAGCTCGATGTTATCCAGCATGTTGCCTTTGTTCGAGGCAATTTCGAGTAACAAGCTGTCCTCCAATTGTTGAAGTAGATTCTTGTTCTCGCTGGTTTCTATGATCAGATTTTCGCGTTGTTCCTCGATGTCTGGCCTCTCTGTTCGGACGACCACTGATAATAGCTGGTCTTCAAGACCCTAAAAGTGGCGACAGTCAATATGTTTGAATTTTAACACTTTGAACGCCGCGGTACCCATATATGGGTGATGCTTGAATTTCAATAAAAATCCATCAATTCTTTGATTTACTTAATTACTTGCAATTGTGGATAAAAATATAATGAAATATTTTAAAAATAATATACATAAGATTTGGGAAGATTTTCAATGGTTTTAGCGTGGCAGTCAAAGTGTTAAATGAAAAATAAAGAGTGGACTAACCCCTATGGTCACCATATAATTAATGATAGTAGCCTTAGCGTATAAAGCAGGATCGAATATGGGATTGGACATCTTCGTGGTCAGATATAGCCGGAACTTTGGATCGTAATCTACTTCCTTATCACCGAGGAGGACAAACATTCTACCTCCAGACACTATACAATTAAATTTCACGTTAATTATTGAGAGAGAAAGTGAAGCTTAATCGATTACCTTGGATGTTTTTTGATAGAACATTATCTAGAACAGGATCGACCTCGTCGACGTCTTGAAACAAGACTGGTAGACCGTATTTTATCGCCAGTTCCACTTGTTTTAAGAAATCAGCATCTATGAAGGATAAAATTTTCAAGTTCTTCTTTTGTTCCTTCTTTTTTATCCAATTCAATGCCTGTTGCTGCGGGTCGATGCACAGAGGGAATCTTGACGCTCTCGTGGTCAGGATCCCATTTTGTACGGACAATTCATCGGGAGGTAAACCTTCGGAAGTCCAGCTGGAATAAATGTAGGTCAATTAAGATCTCGTTAAGTGATCTAAATGGATAAGTTGATCAAAAGTACCCTTGAGCCTATTTTATTGAGCTATACATAATTTTATAGCTTATCAAAAAAAAAACTGGTGCACACCAAGTTTCAACCCTGTATCTCAACCGAGAGGGTAGTTACAGGATAAGAAAGAGAAACTGATTTTCCTTATTTAATGGTATTCAAAAAATCTGAAAAAATTCTAGAACATTCTAGATAAGTCTCTTTATGATTGTGAATTTTTTCAGATTTTTCGATTCCGAATCCTAGACGTGAAAAATTAAAAACGCAAAAAAGCGTCGAAAAATTGAGATTTCGAATAGAAGCTTTCGAGACATTAGATTTTTACTTTTACAGTAGTTAGATATTAGCATGACTGGTGTCCACAATTTTTTGTAGATTTTTCAGTCTGGTGCGCCGTGTTTAAAAAAATCAAAAACCGATATTTTCGACATATTTCCTAATGTGTTAGGAAATAACTATCTCTCGGTTAGGATATAGGGTTGAAACCTGGTGTACAACAATTTTTTTTTGCTAAGCTATAAAATGATATATAGCTCAATAAAATCGGCTCGATGCCACTTTTGACCATCTTAGACTGCTATACCCTTTCATCATCTTACGTGCTGATTTGAACGTCGTTGCTCAATTGACTCTCAATTCGAAAAGTCTCCGTGAAAGGAATCTTTTTCTCGATTACACTGTTCTTCCAATCTTCGTAGAGCATTTTATTTCGATACTCGTAAGAGAAGGGAGCGCAATAAGCAAGAAATCCAGCCGAGAGGACACAATCACCGACGATCTTCACAATTTGTTCGTGTAAGTTTTCCAATTCCTTCTTCCACCGTTCGTTCTCCGAAGATAAGCCGTTGATTAATTTATCAGCGGCTATCAAGCGTCTTTGAAGAACATCCGTTTCCTCTTGCAGCTTTTGTCTCTCCTCCATCGCTTTCTCGTATTTTGCGTTCAGTTCGGATATCGCTTTCTCGAGCTTCTTCAATTCACGCTCTTCCCTTTCCAAGGCTTTTCGAGCGCGTTCCGATTCCGCTTCCAACGCTTTTACGCGTTCTATTTTCGGTTTAACCTGGCATAAAGGTGTTAATTAGATCCGTATTGGCAGACAGTGGCGGCTCGTAGCTAAAATTAGTGGGGGTGCTGCTCCAGAAAATTTGTAGCCTTTGTTTTAAAAACCAGCACTACGGGAGGGACAGTGCTCTCTCTACTGCGCAGCTTCGCGCGCAGCTCCCTATGTGCGCATGCGCACACAGTCCAACGCCACGCCGCTGGAACTAATTGTAAGTCCACAGTTCCATACAAAGATTCTTGTATCTTTTTCATAAACTGGGGGATGGCTACTGACATTAAGCTTAAGGATTATATATTGTACAAGTATAAAGAAAGAATTAAAGAAAAAAGGACTCGTTATATTAAATGTTATCGATAATATCAAGTGGACATAGAGGGTGCTGCAGTTCCACAGTGCCTATACGCGAGCCGCCACTGCTGGCAGGTGTAAATTTTCTTTCTTCTACCTCTCTGTAAACGGCACAGTAGTCCAACACAGCGATTACAAACTTGTACAATCCGAATCCAGCTTTACTGATCGTCTCCATTTGATCCAGTTTAGTGGTCTTCTTCAGGTGAGCCTTAACCGATTGCTGTTGCTTAAGAGTGATCTTATCGCAGTTCATTTCTTGAAGTATCCTCAGGAACGCGGGATCGCTCATCATTCCTTTAGCACCTTTCCAAGATATGTCTTTCACACCTCGTAACATTGCCACGCATTCCGAGACTATCTGCACCGGTTCAGGCGGAGTTGCGAAAGATCTGAATTATAAATTATATTTTATATCAATTATTATTAGCCAACCCGTGTCTAAGATTGAAAATCTTGAGAAGGGGGCTATAGCATTTAGATTTTCTGAAAGTTGTCGAAAAAATTCTTGCACCATTATGTTTAGTGGATCAAAATCTCAACGAATGGCCGAAACAAATTTTTTTTTTGCCTCTTCCGGTAACACCGGAAATGACCGAAAAAGGGTTGACTCTAGAATGAAGCTCGCTCTAGTTCACTTTAGCTTGATTTAGTCGGAGGAGAGGAAATAAATGAGACATACCTTATTTCGGTAATATCCGCTTTCTCCAGTTCGCTCAAAGCCGCCCTAGCAGCGTCAAGGGCCGGTTGAGCCTCGGCCAACACTTGTTTCGCTTCCGTTTCTTCTTTATTAATAACCTTCTGTTGATCTTCTATCTCCTTCCTCTTCTCCTCGCTCAGTTTCTTCTTCTCCATCGCAATATCCGTGCTTTCACCAATGGAAGTCAATAATTGCTCGCAATTCTTCGTTTGATCCGCTACTTTAACCCTTTGTACCGCCAGAATCTCATTCAGATCGTTCAGCGTCACCGAAGCCTCGGCAATTTTCTGTATACCTTTTTATTTTCACCCACGTAAAAATAATGAATTCTTTGTCTGTTAAAAAAAAAAAACAGTTTTTATAAATACCTCCAGAAAGACGATCACATTGGGAATTTATATAATCCTTCGTCTCCACTAATAAATTCAGATAAGAATTGATGAAATCTAGGTAATGTTTCGGTGTTACGTAGTTTCTTCTGCGCAATTTCGTCTGGAAATCAATTGTATATTCACGGACGGTCTTGTGAACGTACACCATGTGTTGAACCAACTGTTCTGTATAGTCTTGCGGTACATTTGGATTCTGAAATGCGTAAAAATTAGAAGAAGCGTTTGAAACGAGATTGTTTCAAACGCGTACATCTCTGAGAGTAACGTTAGCCACGGCTACCAGTGCCTGCTCAGGCCATGGAAATATCCAGTCTATGGTGGTGCTGTTCACCAGACCAGGATAATTACGGCACCTTGTTCTAAGAGCATCTCCGGATGGACTCATGGACAAAGCGATACGCAAGTTTTCCAAGCTAGTTTTCACGAAATATGCCCACACGCTTTCCCTGAAAGAAGGAAGGAAATTTATTACCATTCGCTTGGTTTATTAACACTTTGACTGCCACGCTAAAACCGTTGAGAATTCCTGTATATTATCTTTAAAATACTTCATTACAATTTTATCCATATTTTCAGGTATTTAAGTGGTACCTCGGTATACGACCTTAATCCGTTTCTGATGTTTGGACTTATACCGAATAGGACGTATACCAAACCAACCTTTCCTATAAGATGTAATGTAAAAATGATTAATCCGTTTTTATATAAAAAAAAACTTCTATTGGTATTATATCTACATTAATTTTTCCTCTTTTATTCAAGAGCATCCCTTTTGTATGTAAGAGTACTAACCACTAGGGAAGTGGTTCACATTACAATATTCACATGATATTGTAATAATTTAACAAATTTACTTATTGTCACTCTATGACAAATTGTAAATTAATACATTAAAAAAAAAAACATTTCCTCGCAAAATTCACACAAAAAATTTATGTCGTATACCGAGATACCACTGTATTTCCAATTAGGTAAATCAAAGAATTCCTAATAATATAAGTGATGGATTCCTATTGAAATTCAAGCGTCGCCCATATATGTCTGACCTGGCAGTCAAAGTGTTAAAATCAAATTACACTTCACTTTGTGACACCAAAACCAGCCTCCTTCGCAGCATTCCTGCAAGAGTTTACAATTTCATCCTTGTCTTCGTCGGTGAAGAGAGACGGTACCACTCCGGTCATCAGCATATTGTTCACCAGCTCCAAAAAGCTTTCGTTGATGATATGAGACGAAGTGAAGACGAACACTATCTTCTGATTATTAACGCCCACCATATTGTAAAGATTCTTCATGTCCTCCCGAAACGAGGCTTCGTTGTAACCACGCGTTAAACTAATTTCGAAGGTTCGATAACCAGCCGCATAGGAGGCTAGGTTTATCACCGATCTCTTCCCACTTCCCCCGATACCGATCACTAGCACGTGACCCCGGTGCATCCTGAGTGCACGGTGCACTCTGGTCAAGTGATCGAGCGCATCGTTGAAGAGGACCATGTGCAGAATTGTCGCATTCCTCTCGTTGTAGTCTTCAAAAATCTGCTCGCAGATTAATTAATTAATTAATTAATTAATTAATTAATTATCGTCATTTGATTAGTATATAAATTCTCTTCAACTATCACCTCGAAGAATAAATTATACACAGCTTCGTAATCCAGCAAGTCTTCGTAAAATCGTGGTTCATCTTCGTTAATCGCATTTCTAAAATCACCAAACAATAAAGGATCCCTCATGGCATAGGCGACCGTCTCAGAATCCTCTTCCTCCCATCGCTCTTCGATCTTTTCCTTTATGTATCCATCTACCAGATCTTTGTCCTAGAATCGACGATGCTTCATATTAAATCGTCAAATATATTATTCAAGAATATGTTACCTCTTTACTGATCAGACGGTCACATATGACCCTGGTAAACTCGTTTCTCCAGAGCCTGACGATCTGTTTTACCGACGATAGATAATCGGGATGACTTTGCAGAAGTCCTGCAGTGATCCTCGACAAATCTCTCATGTTGAAGATGTAGTGAAATTTGCTTGGCGTTGGAAGCAGTTCCTTCGTGATAATCTAAGATCAGCAGAAGAAATGATGTACGGTATAAAATAAAGAAGATCGATGAAGTTTAGAAAGGAGGAAGAACCTGATAGAGGTTCAGCGTGATTTGCACCAGGTCAGCGGCGATTGCTTGCACTTCCTCCGAGAATATTTGCAAGTGTCCGGATAAAATACTTCTGTAAATATAATCGAGAGTTTCGTCGGAGGGAAAGGTGACGTTGTATACAGAGAACATGGAAATAAATCGGGGATCCACTTCGTTTCTACCACCGCCAGGTTTCCCCATTGCTGCCAGGTAACCTGGGAAACAAAATCGTATAATAGATACTTTTATTCTATGTGCAATTTATTTATGTAAGCGAACGTACACATGTCGTTCATGTACTTGAACGATAGATCCTTTTCCCGATCGTAGAATCCTCCTTTTTCGAATAGGAATTTCAGCAAAGCGATCGGCTGCTGAGTGCCATAAGTGTCCACCAATGGCATGTTCATGTCGTCGATGAATAGCAGCAACTTTTTTCCAGGCGGTGGACCATAAATTTCTCTCGTTCGTTTCTCTACAACTGCTTCTATATTCCTCTGCACGTCCATCGAACTCGTTCTCGACGAGAAATTGATCAAAAGCTGTTTCTGTTCGGGAGAAAAATAAAAAGATGCAGTTTCTATTTATCTTCGAAATAGAAATTTCTTCCTGCAGATGCTTACGTATTTATCTGTACTCAAATTTCGAAGGAATTCATTGATTATCGCAGTTTTCGAGGTACCCGTTTCTCCGACCAAAAGTGCTGGTCTGTCGAGATCGCTCATGGTTTGAATGAACCATATGGCTCTCGAAGTATCAACGGTTGGGACTAAAATTTCCGAAAAATGTTTCTCTCTGTCGTGAACGTATTCGGGGACCAAAAATCGCCATGGAATCCAAATATTCTTGTTTAAGTCCAGGTAATAGTCGTACAGTGTGCTCTCAGTCACGGGGATGTACCCTAAATTGTCATTTTTTTGAGATTGAGATTTTTGGAGATTGAAACTGGCGGACTGTCACTTGGGAAAAGGTTTCCCAGGTCTTTGTGTTTTCAAGGGCTATATATCTTGTTCGATCGAACTCGAGGGCTGGCAATAAAAGGGACTATTGCCAGAACCTCGGTTTGGTCGAAGGAATAGCTAAGCGCCAGGGCTAGTCCTCGAAGGCAAAGGGTTATTTTTCCCCCCTTCCAATTTTCTTGTGGCCAACCGTTTAATTTCGACGGAAAAACGGTAGAAGGACCGGACCAGTCGCCACGAGCACTACGCACGCATTGCACCATTATTAGCCAACCCGTATCTAAGATTGAAAATCTTGAGAAGGGAGCTATATAGCACTTAGGCTTTCTGTCACTTTTGTACAGGCCAAACGGTAAGAGTTATCGAAAAAATTCTTGCGCCATTGTGTTTAGTGTGTAGCAGTCGAGAAAACAAACTGTTTCGTCTCGGGATCGTCTGTCAGACTCGTCAGTGGAGTTGACGACAGACGATCCCTGCCCAGATACCTATCATACCGCGGTTCGAAACTTGTATTTATTTGAACCGCATGCCGGGCGACCGCTAGCGAGAACGCTGTCACCTCGCCGCCACCTAGCGGTCCCCAGCCCGAACTCGAGGCATCCGGGGAGACGAAACCCCCTCCACTAAACGATTGCGACAAGTGGGTAAAAATCTCAACGAATGGCCGAAAAAGCGTTGGCTCTAGAACGAATCTCGCTCTAGTTCACTTTAGCTTGTTATTTGTTATCAGGTGTCTAAATCCTTATGCACCTAGGTCACATTCTAAAAAACTTACGTATGGTCGCTGGTTTCTCGACGGTATCTTGAACCAGCATAAAACCAGCAGTCTTTTTCACGTATTCGTCGAAACGTGGTTTCTCATTGATAACCAAAGTTGCTCCCAGGGACCAATAACAAGCTTGAATGTACATCGCTTCGATAATTTCCTTTCTATCGAACAATGGCTCTATCACAGTCATTTCGTCTCCTTCGTTTTCAATCATGGGAGATGCCTTGTCTGAGATCTCCAGAAGACTGTCGAACACGTAACATAGTTGAGTTACCTGAAATAATTATTCCATACTTTTCTTATTTAATTATCCTGAAACTTAAAGCGAATTCGTCAATCGCTTCTCGTTCGCCCTATAAAGATCGTCCGCGTAACCGAAGCAAAGTCTAGACATTGCAATTTGCCTGCTCATTAATTTCGAACTCGCCATAAAAAGGCGAGTTAATTAGCGTATAAAGGTCTAATTGTTACCATGTTTAAGCCGGTTTGCGGTATGATCATCTTAAGCGGCGTGACCGCCTGCAGGCCAAGCATTCCTTCTATAATGAGCTTGATCGCCCCGTCAATGTATTTCTCGTACATTCCACTCAACAATTCTCTATCCGATTCGATCTTGCCCCGCATCCATTTCTCCATGTACGGATGATAACCCAAGTTCTTTGGATCTACGTAGACCATTCCTGCTCTGGATACCGTGGCCGGTGAGGCGTACTGCAGGTCCCCTACCTTTTAATGATAAATTCATTGAAAATTTATCATTATCGTGGGACATTCATCTAATTTATATACTTCGAATAATAGACTGCAATGATTTTGCATCTTGATCCTTTCTTGATTCGCCAGAGTAAGCAGTTTATTATCGTCCATCACGGAGTTCATATTCTCGATCCATAAAGCATCCACATCACCGTCGAACAAAATATATTTTCGTTCGTCTTTACCAGTGCCCATAGGTTTATTAACTTCTCGAAAGATTTTACTCAAAAGTCCATCCGTCCAGTCTCGTGTCACTGGATCCAGTACCCCGTACAATTCGTTCACAGTGCATGCCTTAAATGTATTATATTTTTATTGCTGATGATATATACCTTGATGAAAAATGAAATACCTTTGGATTCAGGGTGTATAGTTTGGTCGGTTTATCCAGACGAGTCTGAGCTTTACACAGGGTATCGATCACCACTGTTTTCCCACCCCCCGTGGGTCCAACCACCATCGTGGAATGTCTAGTCATCATCACTTCGTATAATTGAACAACCTTGTCCACCTAATTGAAATAATATATTCATCGAACCGTTGTATAAAATAAAATTGTTATATCCGAAAGTACGGTATACACGGGTTTCAGAGATGTGCGCGAACGCATAGGCCGTAATTACCGGTACGCGGCGCCAGGTGAGAAAACAATTGGGGGGGGGATCACCGTAAGAGAGACAGGACAGAGCAGCGAGCACAAAAGCACGAGTGTAGAAATGTGTCCCAGAAAGAGTGTTAGCCCCTTAAGGGGGTAGACACGGGTAATAGTAGCGCGTTGACATTACCGGCAAAAATGGGCCTATTGAGGAGTTTACGGGAATCGGTTATTCGTCCCTATATGGGAACATTTGGGACTGGGTGAGGGCTTTATTCGAAAGAGGAAGGTCCAATTACCCTTCGCTCAACTCATGATTTCAATCACAGCACTCTTTTAGTGGCCGAAAAATGCTTCGATTCTGCGACTGCATTTCGTCGATTTTTTACTATTATCCGTGTCTACCCCCTTAAGGGTCGGTCCCAACCACTCGACGTGTGGCAGAGCAGCTGATTTAAAGGTAGGGTCAATGAACTTGCCTAAGTCGATCGGGACTTAGGCCGACGCTGCCGTTCCCGAGCCCGTGCGCTATGCGCGCTCGGATTGGTCAGTGTTCTTCCTTAATAATTCAAAAACGAAGCTTTAAACATTTTCGCAAATGTTGTTCAGAATCACCCCAGCTATCACCGCTTTAAGCGGCTTGCACTCTTTCTGGGACACCCTGTATAGAGATAATAAAATAAGTGACAAGTGACTCTGGCATCCGAAGGATTTTCACACCGGACCCTTCCATCTGGTCTCACTTTTCCGACAGACACCACAAAAGTAGAAGATAAATAATTACTTGTTCAGAAAGCACAGAGTATCTTTGTTCTTCGAGCACCGCATTGACAGCCTCGTTAAAATCAGGATAATGAACTCTGGGACAATTGAGGTCAGGAAAGAGATCAGCGATCAGTCCCAAAAATAGAGGCACGTCGTCGTAGATGAATTTCGGCAAATTCATATCTCTGAGGGCTCTCATGAGCACCACGTTCTCCGGTAGCTCGCCGGAAGTTCTCTTCAGTTGACCGGCCATATTCAGCACGGATTTCAGTGCTCTAAGTCCGAAGTCGTAGTGATTCTGCTTGCTAAGCTGTTCGCGAGCCAAATTGTACAGGACCGTCATCTTCTTGGCCAGTACTTTGGCGGTCAAGAAGCCGGAACTGAACAACTTTATCTGACAAATCAGCTCGTTATCCGGGACTATGCAAACGACGGGCCTGAAGAGCGCCTTCACCGATTCCGGCAGTTCCGTTCGACCCGCGTATCCGGGATTCATCGTAATGAATATACCTACTTTCGAATCGAGCACGATATCTTGACCCTCGAACTATAAAAATGCATAGTTGCATATTTTTATAAATCAATTTTTCTTTTCATTATTTATACCATGAATCTGCTCGCGTTCGCCATCAGAGCTGATCGTATGGTTTGTAACTGGGTAGAAATAACTGAAAGTACAGAGATGTCGATTCGGTTGAATTCGTCGAAACAACCCCATGCACCACATTGCGCCAGACCGCTCAGTGTCTTCCCTATAGCCACGTAGTCCATCCCTTCGCCGCAATTCGTCACGATGCAGAGTAGTCCTAACGCTTTTGCCAGGTCCTTCGTGGTCTCCGTTTTCCCTGTGCCGGCGGGCCCTGGTGCGGGACATGGGATTATTAACAACCTTCTAATTATTAATAACCCGTCAGCCAGGTATAAATTACGTGGCATTTGAAGCGTTAAATTAGCCGTGTAACTGCGAACGCTTCTCTTTATGAATATACAGGGTGTTCCCGAAATCGTGGTACGGCACAAGTTTAGAATATGGGACATGCCCCGCAGGGGTGTGTCCTATATCTTTTTGTAGCTTATCACATAAGGTGTTCATATATGTGGTTCATAAGTGCCACAAATTTTTTTTTAAGTGATACAATACTTTTTTTTTAAAAGTAAAATTCCAGCCCTTTCTCAGGAGCCCTGCTTAAGAGGAGGGCGCCTCCTATTGTGAACAATAGAGGGGGTTATGGGGGACACAGTGGTGGTGGTTTCACTTGTAGGAGGCGTGGGAGTCGGGAGTTATGGGGAGGTAAATGATCAGAACATTCAAAATTTGTGACTGAAGCATTGATCTTTTTTTTAACACGCCCTCAGAGGACATGTCCCATATTCTACACTGCAGCCGCTATATCTTGTCATTGTGACAGCTTTAGAGACACTAATAAATTTTTTGACATGTGCAAGACATCGCATTATCAACGACCTTGATATGTGTATAAACATAAATAGAAGTAAGGACGATTGGCCAGATTAGGTAAACTAAGTGTAGCAGTCGAGAAAACAAACGGTGTTTCGTCTCGGACTGTCTGTCCGAGTCGTCAGTGGGGCTGACAACAGACGATCCCTGTCCCAGACACCTATCATACCGCAATTCGGAACTTCTATATTATTCGAATTGCATGCCGGGCGACCGCTAGCGAGAACGCTGTCATCTCGCCGCCACCTAGCGGTCCCCGGCCCGATCTCAAGGCGTCCGGGGAGACGAAACCCCCTCCACTAAACACGATTGCGACATAAGCAAATCGCGACTAGTTAAGTACACGCATACCTAACGAATATTCAAACTCGATTTTTTCAAAAAGGAAACGTCATATGAAAAAATTGTATTCTTTATTTTCTACTTATTTTTGCACGAGGAATTTACCCCCATTCCGGTTGTACCACGATCTCGGAAACACCCTGTATATCACAAGTCTGACCTGCGGGAGCACCTCCAAGGTGCATCGAGAGGGCTTGTGTAATCGTTAGGTATATCCTATCCGTTAGAGGTGTAACAACGAGTCTGCCATTAAGACCCATGTACTCGTAACCGTATTCGAAAGTGCCGGTGCACTGGTGGATCCATACATTGTCCGGGTCACGAAGCCAATAAAACCTTTGTAAGAAATTTCCGTTCATGTTAATATAATATATTGTTAAAATACTTTCAACTTTCACGTTGCAATCGTTTCGGAGAATGTATAGAAAAGAAAGGTATCGTTCTATGGGTAAATTGATAGCACACCTCAATTGACTTTCCCATTCGAATTCCGAAGGATCCATGATGGTATCTCTAACGAAACCTTCGATTATGTCTCGCATGTGAACATCCAGGGTTAATACCATGTCGAATTTCTTTCGATCGTTGTTCGTCAGTGTCTCTCCACCCATTAACGTCACCACTTCGTTTAGTTGATTATTCAGTTGCGAGAGATACTGGGAATAAATAATATTTGAGATTCTTGGATTTATTTTTAACCGACTTCGAAAAAGGAAGAGGTTACTCGATTCTATTTATCTGTGTCCGAATCTTTTGTACATACCTCTTTCATCGCGTACATTTGTCCCTTGGAAATCTTCTCAAACACGTTCTCCACCTCTGCTGTCCACCATATCTGATCAGCCGCGAGGATCATCATCCCTTGGAAATCGAACATCCATTCTGTCCTCGGTCTCCTTACCTAAAGAACTTCCTATAATTTTTTAATAGATTCATCTTTTTAGAAGTATCACCTTTCCATAATCGTAGACGGCTTTCTTCGTCAGATATCGATTCGATTTCTTCATCTCCTCGAGAGCAACCCCCATCCATTCCTCGATTTTCCCTTCGGCTAAAACCGCGTTTCGAAACTCCATAGCTTCTCCCTCGCAGGAAATTAACGCTGTGGTTATCACCCGATCGCTGTTGCTGTAATCGAAGCGAAATTTCTCTAAATTGTCGAACATCTTCCCCACGTGTTCCTGGATGGCTGTTGGTTGACCACTTCCAAGGATGGTCAGCAATTCGTCGTCGCTGAGGAAAGTGAATCTTGAGAAAACTACCCTTTTGCTGTTCAAGTAATCTGTCAGGGATTTTTGGCATTTGTCGAGGCCGTGTATCATTGCTTCGAATTCCTCCTTTCGTCCTAAATAACGAAGCAATTAATTTATTCTACTCTAATTCAATTTATTCTAATTGTACCATTGATTGTGCAACAGTCGAGGACGTTTAATCTCTTTGAGGTGTCCGCCATTACTTTCTTGAACGTTTTATCTATGTCATCGAATTTCTTCGCCTCGTCCGGTAATTGCAATCTGATATCACCACCCACGAAGATACCCTCGAGGTATAACCATTTTCTCTGGAGCTGTATCCATAATTCCAGATTCTCAGCGATCGTGTGCATCGTGATCTCCCATTTTTGTACGGTGTTCAAGAAAGGGCCGATGAACTGCGAGGCTGCCATGCCATTTACGTTCATCATATTGTCTTCTAGGACTTGATTCAATTCCTCGACTGGTCCTAGAATGAATCCACGATCCTCGGTGCCTGGGAATAGAAAAATTCTTCAACATTTTATATTCAGAAAATTAGAAAATAATAGCAGTACCTTTCATATGTTTCACCACCGTGAATTCCATGTTCTTCCATACTTCGGCTAATTCTTTCAACCCTCTTTCTATGGCGAGCTCCTTCACAGCGTTCATTACAATCTCCTTGGCAATGTCTTGATATTTTCCCAACTCCATCGCGAACATATTTTGCAGGGTGAACCTTGAAGACCGAATGGTCCAAGTTTACGCTTCATCTTTTAACAATTGTTATGAAATTTGTATCGTTAACTCACCCCCTCAATATTTTTATTTCATTCTCTTCCATATTTTTAAGTCTTTGAAAAATTCTTTTTATATAAATAATAAGTAAAAAAAGATTCTGTAAAAGAGTAATTATATGAGGTCTTAAGATTGTCACAGATAAAAGATAATTAGGTGGCTGAAATTAATTGCTTCTGCAATGTCCAAAATTATATTTTATCATAGACAAAAGAAAATAATAATATAAAAATGGAAATAAAAAATCTTGAAGACACACATTTAAAACACACTAAAAACACTTCGCTTCGTTTATAATTGTTCAATTTTAATCATCCTCGCACCTGTCGGGGTCCATATCGAAATACTGTCCAGTTTTTTTCATCAGTTCTTTCCAATGTCTTTCGCGCATCGCTTCGTTTTTCAATTCGATAAACAACGGTACGGAATTCTTGAAACTCTTCATGTTCAATTCTAATGCTTGCCCGATGCTAAGCTCCTTCACGAATTTCGACAATTTTCGGAATTCTCTGATGAAGTGATCCATACCGTCGATCAGCAGTTGAGGATTCAGGTTCACCCATAACGTTTGAGACCAATCATCCCTCGCATTTCTTTGCTGTTTGTATAAATCGTACAACAATTCCATGCCCTCGTAATCTTTTTTAACTTTCAAGAAACTCGAGTAATCGGTCGCTGGAAGATCAAACAGCAACTCCGAATTGATCATACTCTGGCGTCTGTCTTCTAGTTGAGCAATCTTCGCACCATATTCCTGTTGCACGAATACAATGAAAAATATTTCCAAGTTTCGTGCAAAAATATATTGAATTTTAATTCTGAATCTACCGTCATTTTGACCAGTCCAAAGTCAAGATTCTCTCCGACACTGCCAGGACCATTCTCCTCGAAATCCTTAGCAAATTCTTTTAATTCTTCCAAGAAATGATTGATCTGTTGCTGAGTCATCTCTGAAAATCTATCACAAGTGCTTTCCAGAGTGGAGGCTCTATAGAGAGCGCCCAAATAGAGCGATTCCCAGTCGTGTTGCAATTTGTGAGCCATTTGTTCGTCTTCTTCGGGATAAGGTATGTGGTGACCGTAAAAAGTTCGAAAAGTTTCCTAAAATAATATTCAAACTTAATACACTTATACCTAGCTATACGGCATATTTCGCTATAACGGCCTTTTTTAATTATGGCACTTTTTCGATTTTCGGCCCACAATGTTATACGGCCAAAAGAAAAATGCTGTTTTTATAGGAAATAAAAAGAATAAAATGCTTTATGAACTAAAAACTATATTATTTTATAAAATTTGCAACAGATCCAATTGAATTTGTATGGGTTTGTATCAAAATAATTGATTAGTTATAGGGCTTTTCGCCTTAGGACTTTTTCCGGAACGTATCTTATTTTATTTAATTATATTTAATTATATTTAATTATATTTAATTATATTTAATTAAATTTAATATTAAATTAAGTATCCGGAATTAAATTAAATTAAAGTTCCGGAAAAGTTGGTCGTAAAGCGATATTTAATTTAATATTAAATTTAATTAAATATAACATTCAATAATATTAAATTTAATTTAATAAATTATATTTAATTTACAAAGTTCAGAAAACGCACCTGATACGTACTGATACGAACTTCCGCTTGAATCGCAGTTTTTTTAATGTCAGAGATCGCTTGCATGACCGATGTAAAACGATCTAAACCTGTGATCACGATTTCAACTTCGCTTCGATATTGTTCAATGATCGATTTCAAATCGTGCATCCCTTTGATCGTCTCTTCTAATAAGAAAGTTCCTAGCACTTGCTTCCATTCGTTGGCGTGCTGCTTCATCCCCGATAATAAGGGATCCAGATTCAGGCTGATAGATTTTAGAAATCAATTAATTTAATCGTTAGTCTACGATAAGAAAAAGGGGATTACCGTATGCAGTAGAGATCATGACGAGTTTCCATCTCGTTCACCTCGTCGAGAATGTTGTCGTAGAAAGTAAACTTCTCGTTGTAGTGAAAGAGCGTTGGTTCCGTGGCTGCAAACTTCTTCGCGGCCAAGTTTTTATCGAAAGTCCATAGATTACTGTATTTTCTCCATCTTATCAGATAGTGCCAACATTCTAACGTCAGTCTGTGCGCTGACCCTTGAATCGTTAGTATATTATCATTCACTATCTGCAAGGTATTTACCAAAATTATACACTAATTATGAAAAATAATGTACAAGGAAAATGAAGAATAATTTACTTGAATGCTCATCACATCTTCGAAGAAAGTAATGCTTGTGTACTGATCACTATTGTTTCGTTTGTGAGGTTTACAATCCAGACAAGTCCCATTCATCCATCTAGGGAATAATTTTAACGACTCCAATAGATTCTTCACATTCTGAAGAATGATGTTGTAAATGTCTCCAGGCGATGGTCTTAGAACGACCTCGGAAGATATTAGCACAGCGTCCACTTGAAACAGTGGTTTATTCGACATCAATGATTTGTTGAAATGCACCAGATTCATGGTCATAGATCTGCAATGATCATCTAATATAACGTATGTTAATATATCGATGAGAAAAATAATGTACATTATAAACGAAGAGAATATTTTCTTCTCATATTTTTCATAGAAAAGTTGCATGGCAGAGTTGCTTCCTGTGGATGTTCCCAATACTAAATTTTCTAATTTTATCAATGTTGGACTTGTCGATTGATAGGCCTTTCTCATCGCGGTGAGTAATTCTGTTCTTCGATTCTGTATCTCCTCGAAGTACGTCTTTAAAATAAATGAATTATACATATGAATTTTAATTATCCACGCTTTGGATAATTTTACGTACTTTGCAAGGCAACAATTCGCAGTCGTATAATTCAGGAGGAAGAATGAATAAATTATAAGTCTGAAGCTCGGTATTTATTCTATTATTCAGGTCGTCTTTCATACGGCTCACTTGATCTACGATAGAAATTAGACCTCTTAATAATTTCTTACAATTGTTTATGTAATCTTGTATGTTTAACGAGTTCCAAGTGAAACGTGTCAGTCCAGGCTGAATATGTTTCTCAATATCTAATAAATTCGCCTTTAATAGCAATATCTGCAATAATAATCAAATTAATTTATACTAATAAGATATCATAGGAGTTTCGAACGTACATCAGCTTTGTCCATTTTATCAATCATCTGATTGTACTGAGTAATCACTCTTTCAGTAGCTTGAACGTCAGTTCTCAATCTATCTTTCTGAATGCCAGCTTCTTTCACTATGGGGGCCAATTCGAAGCCCAACTGTTCCATCAATTCGGCCTGTAATAGCAAATTCTCAATATCCTTTCTAGAATGGATTGACATTATAATTTCATTGAAAGTACCTCACGGATAATATCAAAAATCTCCCACTCAAAGTTCACTTCGAATCGAAGCTGGCATTCGACGAGAATCGAACCGCTCATAAATTCCATCCAAGTGATCTTCGCCCCTTGAGGGCCTTGTTTCTCCATAGACGAAGATACAGACGTTTTCTGATCCTTTTGAGAGTCTGATTTCTTTGCTGGAAGGAGTTTCGAGCCACCGCCTACCGAACTAGTCGTTTCTATTAAATAGATATCACGTTAATTATAAATTAATGTAGGCGTTTAGTGGAGGGGGGGGGGGGGGGGGGGGGGGGGGGGGAAGGGTTTCGTCTCGCCGAACACCTTTGTTTCGGGCTGGGAACCGCTAGCTGGCGGCGAGATGATCGGTGGATCAGTGTTCTCGCTGGCAATTCAAATATACAGGGTGATCCTCTCGCTAGGGGACACAAAGGAACTGGCGAAAATGAATCCCTTGACCGCACCATGAAGACTCACAGAGTCGTCTCGGCCCGGGTAGATCCCCGCTGGCACGTGACAATACGGACCTCTTTATGGTGTGGTCAAGGGGTCCATTGTCACCAGTGTTCCTTTGTGTCCCCTAGCGAGAGGATCACCCGGACACAAAGGAACTGGCGCCAATGAACCTCTTGACCGCACCATGAAGACACACAGAGTCGTCTCGGCCCGGGTAGGTCCCCGCTGGCACGTAACAATACGGACCTCTTTATAGTGCGGCCAAGGGGTCCATTGTCACCAGTGTTCCTTTGTGTCCCCTAGCGAGAGGATCACCCGGACACAAAGGAACTGGCGCCAATGAACCCCTTGACCGCACCATGAAGAGGTTCGGGTACTGTCCAGAGATGAGATGTTGCGGAGGCTAAGGAATGCGAGTACGATTGGTCAGAGTTTTCTAGTCACGCGTTATTGGTCGAAACGCTCACACATACTAAGCACGCCGCTTGACGTTGCTGGTGTGGGTGCGTGACGACGCAACGTGGGTACTAGGCGAAACAGACCAAGTGCTCTCTTTGCCCCTTTGCCGTCCCGCTCCGCAACATCTCATCTCTGCACAGTACACACACAGAGTCGTCTCGGCCCGGGTAGGTCCCCGCTGGCATGTGACAATGCGGACCTCTTCATGGTACGGTCAAGGAGCTCATTGTCGCCAGTGTTCCTTTGTGTCCGGCTGCGAGAGAATCACCCTGTATAGAAGTTCCAAATTGCGGTATAATGGGCGTCTGGGGCAGGGATCGTCTGTTGTCAGCCCCACTGACGAGTCTGACAGACGATTCCCGAGACGAAACGCCTTTTTCTCCCCTCTCCTACATTAATTAATATTTAACTAAAATTTCTTATACCGAAGCTTGGTTTCGATAACACGTCTCCTTTCTGAACCGAGCCCATAGGGGTGGATCCAGTCGAGCCATAACGTTTGCTCTTCGTTTTCCTCGACATTTGAATAGCATTCAAATTCTTCGTGATCTCTTCACCAGGAAACATTAACAAACCTATAACAAATATACCCCCCCTTCATATGAACAAAGTACTTAATTATTTTATTAGATGATGCTGGAAAATTCCTTAACCTTTGTCTGGCTCAGAGCGTGCCATCTTCAGGATGCTCTTCTTCATGGTATTCATCACTACAAATTGCGCTTTGTCGGCCCACGTACGATATTTTGATTCTTCGAAACTTTTCATCTGTTTGGCTATCTCCACGTACTGGCTGAATGCCAGTAACTTCAGTTCGCTGTGCTTTAGCTCAGGAATGCTTTGCAGGGTCAGAGCCGGCATTTTTAATCGGTGAAATAATTGCCTCACCCAGTATATGGCACCAGCCATCGGAGGGTGATACGTTAACAGTGGTGGACTTCGTTTTCCTGTAATTAAAATATTCGTTTATTCAATTTTCTTCCTTTCCTAAGGACAATTCTTCTTGCCTCTGTTGTATATGCCCTCGACCATGCTGATCTCCTTGCTAAACTGCTGCATGATGACGTCAAACTTCCGCAACAGTTGCTGATAAATCGTCTGTCTGGTCTTGACGCTCTTGAACTTGAGAAGCACTTCCAGACCATCTTCAGCGCTAATTAGCGTCATGAAACACTCGTCGATGAAGAATTTCGCCTCGTTCTCGAGGAAATGGACTTCCTCGAGGAACCAGATCATCGTCGCTTCCCAATTGTCGCGATTGTACTCGTCGAAGATGTTGAAATCCGCTTCTAGGATAGGCGTAATCAACCTGTCGACCCTTTTAATGATGGTGTCGATTTGAGCCGGGTCGCTGATGATGGATTTCAAGTGAGGTCCAAAGATGTTGTAAAAATCTTGAAGAACATTGGCGATTTCGTTCAATCCATCGCAGACAGATGCGATGTATTCCGTTTCACGAAACAATTGTTTCTGGTCGAACTCCCAACGATTCCCTTTCCCAGAATCCTCGATTTCTTTTCGATAATCCAAGTAAGACAACTTCCAGCTCTTCAGCATCGTGCTGGCGTCCGCTGTCTTTTCGATAATCTCTTCCAATGGCAGTCTGTTTTGAAGTGATCAATGGTAGAATTTTGAGAAGACCAGCAATTACTTACTTACTTGAACAGCTCTTTGGTAGCCAGATTTCTGATGACGTTTTGACACAGCTCCCAGGAGATCCTTTGCAAAAGACCCATCATCTTGTCTTCGGAGGCATAATAACGAGATAATATCCATATCATTCTTAATCCTTCGGTCAACGATGGAATGGCTTGGGTGATCGCTTTGAAGGAGCTCGATTCAGCAATCAGCTGTTACAAAATTTTATATAACATATTATATTGTGTAGGCACAGTGCCAGTTCTACCAATATTGGTGCCCTGGACAAGATTATCGTGGCGTCCATTCAGGGGCTCAAAACTTTTAAGAAAAAAAGACAAGGTAATAATATGAAACGATGAATCTATAGTTAGAATGTAAAAATTGTTTAACTATGCAACAGCTTTATTAATCTAAACGGATATGAATGAATAAATACTAGGGACACCGGGCTGCGGCGCCCCCTATAGATCTAGCGCCCTAGACGATTGCCCGACTGCCCCCCCCCCCCCCCCCCCCCCCCCCCCCCCCAATGCCGGCACTGTGTAGGCGTTTAGTGGAGGGGAAGACGGTGAGTCTCCCTGGACGCCCTTAGTCCGGATCGGCGACCGCCAGGTGGCAGTGGGATTGGATCTATTCTCTCGCTGGCGGTCCCCCGGCATGCGATCCATGAATTCCAAAAATAGGAGTTATAGGCGTCTGGGGCAGGAATCGTCTGTCGTCGGCCCTACTGATGAGTCTGGCAGATGATCCTGAGACGGAGACGCCTTTTTCTCTCCCTATAATTGAATAATTTATTTCTTCTTACCTTGAAGTGTCTTATAATAGTCTGCAGGAAATTGTTATTGTCCCTTGCTTCGGTATAGTCCTTCCACAAATCACTGTAGAAGAATTCGAAATTCGAAGCAATCGGCGACATCACTCTATTCAATAGTCCTAAAATTCTTTTGGCTATGGGGGTTTTTAATTGCTCCACCAGCATTAACAATCCCGTTTCTCGGTCTTGCCAATATTCAATCTCTGCTAGGGGACCTTTATCTTCAGGCACTTTAGTGTGAAACGATTCCAAAACCTTAAATGATTATTTTATTAATTCGATGATTTTATTGAAAATTATTATTTGGAATTTTACCTTTTGAATATGCCCACCCCAAGACATTACCACCTCTTCAAAGTGATCGATCACTCCTTTATTCTTCTCCAGCATCTCGTCTGTAACTTTTGGATCATGGAATTCCATAATATCTGGCATCGTCAATAAAAGATCTCCTTCGATTCGGTCTATCGTCCTAAATAAAAAAGTAAATTGATATTCTTTTTTTGAAAAAAAAAATAGAGAAGATTAATACTGACCATTCAACTTTGGTGATCAGTTTCTTCAGATATGACAAGATATCGTTTTTGCTTCGATCAATCGAACGCCGCACGTCATCTGTGTCTTTTATGGCGGATGCTGTTTTGCTCGATGGTTGATCGAAGGTTGAAGATACTGTATAATCGGTTCTTAATCTACTACTTTTCTTTTGCGCCGCTGGTTTCTCTTCTTCCATTTCCTCTGCTTCTTTTACCAAACCATCACCACTGCTCACCTCGAACTTTTTAGACATCGCTATGGATACACTGCGAAACTCTGACGGTCTTCTAAGAATTGAACTCTGTCGAATATAATTTAGAATGATAATCAATTATTTTAATTCTTTCGATTATATATACCCGGGCCTGAAGGATATCGGTTAAATTCTCCTCCTCGTCTGTAGGTTCTTTCCGAATTTCTGCAAATTGCGGTCCTCTAAATTGATGTTCCACCAGTGGTTTAAACACCTTTGGTAAAAAAAGAAGGAAACCAGTTACATTTCCGATAGGAATAAAAACGCTCTTCTCTTGATTCAAAAGTTCACAGTGATCTCCTCCGAAGAGTCGCTATGGCAATCAAACCCGATATACATGGTGTCGTAATTTTGACTAAGTCCAAAACCCAACTTTCGAACCTCATATTTCGGAAACCAAAAGCGTGCACCGAATAATATTCAAGGTGGCTACTGTGGAGGTCAAGGTCTATCACCATACCAAGTTTGGTCACGATCCGATGAGTCTTCCCGGACGCGTCGGATATATTATAGCCTTTATCTGATTTTTTCGAGAAAAAGTCAAGAGAAGAGCGAGAAAAAATCAAGAGAAGAGCGAAACTCAGAGTAATTGAATTAGTGATTGTAAAAAGGCGTTATCATGGTACCTGTGCAAGCATTCTGTTCATCGAAAGCAAAAATCTTCCTTGCAAAGATCCGACAACCAAGTAATTCGTTATCTCTTCGTCGCATTCTTGGTACGAATCAAAAGGCGGTACACCCTCGTCCTTTGTTCTTAAAAAATAAAATAAGGTGACGTCGTGTAAATCATTCCTACTGCCATCCAATTCGCCGCATATTATGTGGAGAACAGGTACTTTCTCTACTTTTTCCACCATTTTCTGTAATTGTATTCAATTCGTTTATCGAATTTCCATTTGCGAATCTATGAAATATTAAATATATACTTTAGTTCGAATGTATTTGTGCTCCTCTTCAGGGGATGGCACGAAATTTATGCTCACTAAGGAAATAAAAAATATTTTCAATCAATTGATTAACAGTAAATTATTTATTTCATTATTTTACCAGAATCATAACTCTTGGATTCCTCTTTTTTTAAAGAAAACACTGATGGTTCTCCACTACCCATTTCCTTAGATTTATCGTCTCCTTCCTGCTGTTCTTCTTCTCCTTCTCGTTCTTCTTCCGCATCTTGTTCTTCTTCCTCCTCTACACGATATTCTCCTTCTTCTTCATCGTCTTCACCCTCGTCCTCTTTATCTTCTTCATCGCCAATTTCGATTACTTCGCTGACAGCAGTGGACGATGACTCTTTACTAGATTCAATAGTCATCGAAGACATTTCTAATTGTTTCAGCAGAGCTAGTGGATCGAGTTTTCGCTCCTGTTTGCTCTTCTTTATTTTTCTCCTACTTTTTCTGATTTTCTTTGATTCCGAATCCATTTTTCCTGATCAAAGAATTAATGAAAGTTTCTGTTCGAGTGCAGACAGTGAAGTTTTCATTCAATTTTTTAATAATAGTTTGTGCAGAATATTTTAGTGCAAAATATGTTCAAACACGTGCAATAAAAAAAAAAGAAAAATACAGGTTACCAGCATTTCGGATTAATCTACGACCTTTCCTTTTCATCGCGAGGGCTGTCAGTGCAGCCAGTTTGTTCGCCTGTTTGCCTGTCGTTTATTAATCGATTAAATAATTTGAAAATTCATTTTTAATGAACAGAAGCTACTTACTTTCCCAAACATCTATCTCTTGCTGAACAATCTCTGTAGTGTAAGTTGCATAAAAGTAGACCACCTTTCTTTCGATATTCGTCACTCCGTATAGATCGAGTATCAGAAAATTAAGAATTTTATCCTCAAAATGCCTATTGTTTGCCTGTCGTTTCAAATTCGATCATTTCTCTTTTTTCTTTCACGAAGATGTTTTTTAATAGACTTACGTTTAAAAGTTTATAGAAACTCAGGTCCTGACCAGTTATCCCCAAGAACTTCATCACTTTGTTTCTTATCCACATTAGTCTATGAAAATTAATCATTAAATTTCCATTTTCCATTATGTAATATTCCAAATGAAATACCTAGAATCCATTTGCAGCACAGAATGTCTACTTAGAATCGCCAAATCATTGAGCTCGTTATCTTCATCGCCCTCAGTGTCAGATTTTGTATTTTCATTCTCTGTTTCAGTCATTTTCTTCTAATATTTAAAATACTATTCGAGTGACTATTTTGTATTCTTTGAAAAATTATTTTCGCAAGATTGCACTTTAACCTACCACCTCAAATTCAGAATCGATTAAACTTGGCTACGAATTACAATCCCTGCTGTATCGATGTTGCCATGGAAAATAAACAGACTTTCACAAAGGATTTCAAGGAAGGAAATTATTCTCAGGAATGTTTTAAATTTCTATTAAATAATAACGAACAAGTTTTAAAACGAATATACATGTTTTATTAAAAAATACATAATTGCTTCTTACTCACACGTACATACATTATTAATACACGATACATCTATTAATTGATTTTTTATAATTTTCACATGAAAGTTAATTAATTTCTATCGTGAAATGTTTCACGCTTAGCAGTCACGTTAATCATTTCAATTAATAAAATAATCTATTCTAATAATTACATCGACCCTTCTCTTACAATGTAAATGGTAACCATTAATGGTCTTCTAATTAAAAGAAGAATAAAAGAAAAAAGGACGAAACAGCAGGACATCACAGATTTCGTTCTACAACTAAGTTCTTCAGGAATGATTCAATAAATCATTACTACACATCCTTCGAAGTCTCATTCTTTTCCGACAAAGTTTCCTGGCTTGTTTGCTGAATAACAGCTTCCTTTTTCTCACTCTCAGCTGCTTCTGGTTCTATCAATCCACCTAGAACAGCTTCCACGTACTCTTCTCTGCCTCGATCAGTGTCAAAAGAGAACCCAATCGATGGTACGAACTCTGTCTTCACCACAGTCTTCCCAGAATCTGTGGTGAGGGTCGTTCCTGGCTCAGACGTCGTCGTAATTATCGTATTTGCCTTGGAACTTGACCTGGAAGAGAATCGATCACTTGTCTCTAAGGTGGTCCTGAAACTGCTGGACTCCTGATGGTTAACCACGTTCACAGTAGGTAAACCCTTCAGAAAATCATCGGATTCATTTTTCTGAGGAAGATCAAAGAGTGGTCGATCCGTCTTCAGCAATGGTTCGCCAAAAGTCTCAGCCAGTTGGTCCAGGATGTGATCCTTCAGTCTAGGATCAGTGCTCCTAACCACAGGCTCTGTAGAACTCTCTGTAAGCTTCTCTGTAACCTCTTCTTGGAATTGCATATTGAGATTCACTTCTTTGGCGATCGTCTGAGATGCTGAAGAACCGGAAACGACCTCTGGTTGGGTCTCCAGGTCTGAAGTATAAGCGTCAGACAAGGAGAAAGGACGAGGAGCACGGTCTAACTTCAATAATTCAGACATCAATTGAAGTAGACTGATTCTATCAAAGTCTTTACTTCTCGAAGAGTTTTGTTCAATCCTAGAGTGGTTATTTCCGGTGTTGGATTCATGATGGGTGTCTATGGTGCTCATTGGGCTGGTCGGTGGGTCTGTGGGGTGGAGTTTTGGCTCCACAGACTTGATTATCTCCAGTTCGTGCAGCTTATCATTAACTGTCGAACTTTCTTTACCTTGTTGAGCAATTAATTTGCCAATTAGATCATGTGCTGTTGGTATCAACTCTTCGTCTTTGTTCACCGTTAACGTTACGTGATAAGGAGAATTATTTTTCTCGATACTTTCTTCTATTTGCTTCAGAGTTTCTGGCCTGATGGGTTTGATCAAAGTCGTCGGAGTTTCATCTTCTGCAGTTCCAGACTTCGAGGTGGACCTTGAAGATTCAATTATTGGTAATTTCGTGACTGGAGACGTGCTGGGTTCTTTATCCAGCCTTGGTGTTACGGTTTCTCTGAATCTGTTGATGTCTGTTGTGCTTTCTGAGCGACCTGGCTCTCCAGACCCTCTAATATCCTCATAATTCCTGGTTACACTCACTGATTCATCGTGGGCAGTTGGATGATCGATATAGTCATCAGAATAAGTGTTCCGGAAGCTGGGTAACTCGGTGGTTCTTGAAGAACCATCATCCACAGTTGAGTATCTGATCAACAGAGTGGATACCTCAGACAGATCTGGAACATTTATTTGAAACTTTGTGCGAGACTCTTCGGGAGGTCTCAGAAATTTGTCTACCCTTTTAATAGAATGTTTCTGATTCGACGATTCTTCAGTGGAATTCTTCGAATTAACCGGTACACTTGAAGAATTGAATTCGTGCAGGTTCGTAGTTGCTTTTATGGTGCTTTCAATAACAGAAGGGGTCGTGAATGATACAAGATCCTCCTTCAAAATTATTCCTTGCTCTCTTTGATCGTTTCTTTGGTATTGTTCAGTTGTCTCTTCCTCCCTATTCCCTGAAGAAATGCTGGACTCTGGCCTGGTTAAAGTGTACCGATGGTGTGCCCTAACTTCTGCTTCTCCATCTTTCAGCCCATCGTTCACAGGATTCTGTTGTTGTACAGAAATCCCTCTGAAAGATTCACCTAGAGCATGACCCAGTCCGATGCTGCCTCTGGTCTCGATATCCTCTAGAATCTCTTCGTCGTCTCTGGCTCTATCGAATCCTCGATAAACCTGACCGAACAAAAGACCAGTTCGATTCACCCTATAATCATCAGCCACTCTGATTCGGAATCTCTCTCCAGACGGAGTTGTCTGTCTTTCCTCCTCGCTATTCACATCATCGTAATCATCCTCGTAGCTATCTTGCTGACTGTAATCGTTCGCTTTTCGTCCAGCTTCAGATTTCTTTACACCCTGATCCTCAACGTTCCTGCTCGCTGGAGTGACGAAGCTGTTGGTCCTACTGTGTGAGAAATAGTAGTCCGAGCTGTCTATCTCCTGGTCCAACTTATTGTAAGCCAAGGTAGATGGTCTGAAAGTGGTCGGAACCGTAGGGGAATAAAATCTCCTGGTAGTAGTGGTCACAGTAGGCACAGTGGGCGCATACGAAGGTTGAAACTGGTTGCTGAACTCGTTGGGTCTTCGATAGTTCTCCTGGAAGTGCTTGTTCCTCTCTGCATCCCTGTATCCTGGGTCTTTGATGTTCTGAACCCGGATGATAGGTGAATCTTGATAAGGAGACCTGGATTTCTCAGGAGGATAGAATCTTTCTTGATAACTTGGACTGCTCTCGATCTTCCTATCCTTGGATTGATAGGGTGGCAGGAAATTGCGATTGACAGAGCTGGAATAATCCTCGTAGTTGTTTCTTAAGTCGTTCCCTGTCGTATCCAGTGAAGAGTAGTCCGGGATTCTGGCTGGAGCTCGTTGATAGTCCACCACGCTGCCAGTTCGGTCAGGATCCACGAGACCGTCCTTGGTCACGTCTGTTCCTGACTGAAGGCTGATCATCGCGTACGCGTTACGTATCATCTCGTCGTCGTCTTGTTGATAACTGTTGCGATTCACGTCGATGTATTTGCCGCTGGAGGAACAGTCTACCTTGGTCCACCAGTCGCAGGTGAGCAGCTTCTGGCTGAAGATGGACCCTATGGGGCAGAGGAACGATGACACCAGCACGTCGTGGCACACGTGGAACACCTGGCATCCTGCCACCTCGTCCGCGTAGTAACCTGGTGGAAAATGTTGGATTATTGATAATGATAATGCGTCAGCTAGAAAGTAAACATGAATTTGTTATAAACACTGCGTGGTTCAAAGTTATATTGTTAGACCAGATGTCATCGGACTCATAGGCCTAAGGTCCTGGGTAATAGACTGGACGCAGTCCAGGTCTCTTTGATTTTATAAGTGGACAACAGACTTTCTGTCTTGTCTTTACGGCTTTCTCCTTCGCTTCGAGTCAGAATTTCAAAGCGTTAAGACGTCTTTCCGAGTGAAGAAATAAAGCGGAATGAGAAAGTCATTATTTATTGTAGGCCCATTTCCAATTGTAGGCGTTTAGTGGAAGGGGAACGGACGCTCTTAACTCGGGTCGGCGACCGCCAGGTGGCAGCGGGATTGAGTCTGTTCTCGCTGGCGGTCCCCCGGCATGCGATCCATAAATTCCGAAAAGAGGGGTTATAGGCGTCTGGGGCAGGGATCGTCTGTCGTTAGCCTCACTGACGAGTCTGGCAAACGATCCCGAGACGATCCTAATAGAAAAAGTACAGGAAATTTAGTTAGACGAGAGGTGTAATATTGAAAATAATTAAAAATTTTGAACAACAACTGGATAACTTCATGCCATTTGACACACCTGGACGATGTTTCTTCGTTCGTCCGAGAAATAAATTTTAATATTAAATGAGAAATATACATAACATCTCGCCTCTCGTGAGAATAAATTGCAGTTACAGAAGAAGAAGCATCCCTGTTACTTAATATATCGGGATGGACACGTTTTAATATATAAATATGTATGAAAAAAACTCGTTTTCTTTTTCTAAATCGAAGTAACTGCGTGACACTAGCAATGTTTACATACACGCGTTACGTAAGGATCATATGGCGTCGTTTCTATCTGGTTGACCAGCATCTTTTCTCTCTATCCTTTCGAATTATCTAATAGCTCAGTTTCTTCCGCGAGCTTTCAGCTGGAACACAAAAGATGATTCGATCGCATCGGTTCGATTGGATCTATCGAGTCGGTTGCGGAATACTTGGAAATTTCAATTAAACCGCTTTCATCGCGGGAACGACGCGACACGGATACCTGGCACGATTCCATTCGACAAGAAATTAGGTGTCGCCTCGTAGAAATCTAATTAGCAAACGAAACGTAACTCTCCGTTTCTTCAAACGATAAAACAATCCCCGTCAACGTTCTAGAAACACGATAATAGATTCTCGTTACGAGTCGAAACGTGTTCTTCACCGAATCTATTACTTCAACAAGCAACGTTCAAACAATTTGTAGTCGCTGAATAATAGGTTAGCGAGCTTCTGAATAGCGATCGCTTCGCGTCAGAATCGTTTGAATTATCTGGCTGGCCTTTATCTTATTGTTAGGCTGCTTTCGCCGACATTCTACTGTTTCCAAGCAACGTAAGTGTACAACATTATCAGGATGTTGCTCAATAATGAAACCGTAACAACCAGCGGAGATTGAACTTTCTTCGTACACTATTCCAGAACTTGCTTGAATTCCTCCGATTAAATAACGTCGTTCCCCTAATTCATTCTGTGACAACAGTAATGATGTCAACGGCAATTATCCGAACCTGTTATACGAATACGAAATCCTCGGATTTTGCAATGAAATTTAATTCATTATTTCTTGAAATGTTAGAGACAGCCGAATTGTTATTAACCATTTTCTCTTTAATTTCAGCTGGTCCGGAGGTTCTATTTACTCATCCTAAGTCGCGGGTTGGAGGATTTCGCAACGAGGAAGACAACTACCGAGTGAGTAAAGAAAATAAAACACCTTTTCTCCTAGCGGCGTTTACCTTTTCATGGTGAAAACGACATCGGTAAAGATTTTTGTAGAATGTTTGCCACAAAATGGCACACACCTTATCCCGATAGCGGGATAGAACGGTGACCTATTGCGAAATCGAAGAAAACGTTGCGAGTCAATTTCGCAGGCTGCACGTGTTGATCCTCGCCTGCATGAGAAACATCCTTGGCATCGATGCTAAAGGTGAAAAAGTGCGAAACGTAACGTTGATCGATGCGTGACCGTCTGACAACTCGAATCTATTAAACGTTTTACCAGACGTATTGTTTCTTATTTCCTTGAAGCTTTCATACTTGGAGCCTCTGAGGTACACTTTCGTTTAGATAGTCGAAGTTCGATCGGTCTTAAAACCATCTTATTTCCCAATACCAAAGTCGTGACATAAACCGTTCCATCTAGAATTTCGTTTCAAATCGAATGTCCGCGGTGAAATCGGGTTAAAAGGTTACTTATGATTCGATTTCGATCTGATTCACCTCGTGAACGTCCCTCGCACGTGAATCCCGTCTGCGGCAGCGTCGTGTACGCAGGATAATCGACTCCCGGCTCTCCTGGCACGTTCCTTCTAATATCCGAGAGATCTGCAATCCAAAAAATGGATAAGTTTTCGAATGGCTCCTCCAAAATTGAGAACTCAGGTTCGGTATATAACCTAAATTGACTACCAGAAACCGATTAAAATTGGTTTCAGACCTGGATGTCTTACCGTTTTTGAGATATCGTGGTAAGAAGTTTTTGTCTAATTTTGGGACTACGTATGCGCTATTGGATACTGCGCATGCGCTATTCAATACTGCGCATGCGCATACACAGAACCTAACCTAATCTAACCTAACCTTACCACGATATCTCGAAAACGGTAAGACATCCAGCTCGGAAACCAATTTTAATCGGTTTCTTCTAGTCAATTTAGGTTATATACCGACCCTGAGTTCTCAATTTTGGTGGGGCCATTCGGAAATACAACCATAATGTAACCGGTGTTGGAGAATACTTCAAACATTCAGAAATCAAAGTTTCCTCTGTAACTCCGTGTATGCTTCTCGTTTATAAACACACAAAGAGAGGTTAATTCGATACTCTTTTATAGAACAGCCTCATAACAGATGTAAGAAACGTGATTGAAGGATTAAATATTACTGCCATCGATATAAGCCTTTCGCATTAGTCACGTTTTTTTTTTATAAATAAAGCTCGAGAGATCAGGCATCATCATCATCGGAACAGGCTACCGGCTTTCAATCTGATTCATTGCTAACGAGCCATGAATATATACGTTCAAAAGTGTGCATAATACTCAGCCAAGGTCCCATAGAATGGATTCTTATGACATTAAACAAATATCATGGAACGATGCTGCGGGTTATATTGAACTTTCAAGAATGAACATTGTGCAATATGAATTATATACCGATATTACGCTGCTAATTGAGGATTAAAAAATTTTCAAGCAATATTCTCCAGACGTGACAATAATAATTTCCTTTCAACAAAGAAAGGAATGTATCGGTTGCCGAGATAAAGAGCCACGACACGTGACGATCCAAGGTCGTAAAAAAGCATCTCATCAGGATAATCACGCGTTTGTGACATTTAAAACGTGTTCACGGTGCTCCAGGTGCCGCACGTGATTTCTCCGCTTCGCAGCTCGTCATTTGCAGAAGGCTTCGCGCGACCTATTCCAGACATTTTTATTAGCTATCGCCTTTCACACCACTTGATAATATCCTTGTCTGTTATAATAAGAGATCTGTTCTTGAAGAAAGAAGTGTGAAGATTCATCGAAGAAAAAAAAGAAATAAATGGTAAAGGTCAATGTATTTTTTCTTGAAAAGTGAAAATTCGAAGGAGTTGGATCGAAGAAATATTCTCCGATTAACATATCAATAGCTTATCATCAATTTTCTTTCAACATTTTGCAATTAATAATGCTTGACACCATTTTTACCGATCGACGCGATCGTCTGAAACGAATCTGGGCAGGCTTGGAATGAAGATAAGAAAAAAAGTAAATATGCTAAAAAGCAATACGCTAATGGTTAAACAGCAGATTATCCATCATCTTGTGGCTATAATTAGCCACGCGTTGACATCATTTCTACCGGTTTACGCGATTGCTTTGGATGGAAATAGACACTCGGATTCTTTTGACTTGAAAAAGTAATTAAGCAGCGACGAAAGAAAAGATTTTCCATTTAATTAAAATTACTCGGTTGGCAAAAGGATCATGGTTTCCAATATGAATAAAAAAGGCACGTTTTACCTGTTTTCTCCTCGTAAGGATCGTACTGGCCACCGGCAGATCCATAACTGTCAAAGGCTCCCTCTTCTTCCGGATCGAAGTACTTCCTGCAAACGACATCCATACTTATTCAATCGTGCGCTCAGTGATCCGCGAATCGCGCAAGGAACAGCGAGAATTGCAATACCTTCCTCTGGTTCCATCGATGGCTCTTCGTGACAGGAAGCTCCTCCTTGGAATTTCATGTTCAAGACTGTCGGCGATGTTACACAAGACCAGCGTCACGAGACCTGAGGAAAAAAGGAGTGCCCGCGTTGAAGACGTCGCTGAAGAGAATATTTAATGGCATAATCAATCCGAGAATAAAGCAACGACACCCTTAAGAATTTAATAAATTCCATCCAATTATCTTGAATATTAGAATTTTTCAATTATCCCAATTTCATTTATCTCCGATGCTTCGTATTTTTCCTTAATACTCGAGTTACATTGTCACCCGCCTATATTACATCTCGACTTTCGAGAATAAAGCAACGACACTCTTAAGAATTTAACAAATTCCAATTATCCTGAATCTTAGAATTTTTCAATTATCCCAATTTCATTTATCTCCGATGCTTCGTATTTTTCCTTAATACTCGAATTACATTGCCAACCGCCAATATTACATCTCGACTTTCGAGAATAAAGCAACGACACCCTTAAGAATTTAACAAATTTCAATTATCCTGAATCTTAGAATTTTTCAATTATCCCAATTTCATTTATCTTCGATGCTTCGTATTTTTCCTTAATACTCGAGTTACATTGTCACCCGCCAATATTACACCTCGACTTCCCAATTCCCATTACGTATACCGCGAAATTGAAGTATCCTCGTGTAATCAAATAACGCGAACGATCAAGCCTCTAATTATCATCCCTCTGTCTACGACAAAACGTTTCCTCCTTCATTTTTCATCGACCCAGTCGATCGTTACGAGACTCGATAGTATAAAACATGCGGAAACCTGCGAAACAATGCTCTCACGATCCAGTTATACAGACACGCATCCATCAAGTTCGAAAGCGGATCCTTTGTTTCGTGACTCCGTCTATAGCTGCAGATACGCACGTATCATTGCATTGAGTAGTCTATTTCGGTTGCAGTTGTGGCATGCAGCAAAAGGAAGAAGAATTTTACCTTTCGTTAACACTCATTAACATCGTTTCATCATGTACTTTCGGTGTTAATCATGTAAGTTACCCTCGAGGAGTGAATCACCGTTTAGAAATCGAAGTTAATTATTCATTTGCAATAGGTAATTCGAGAATCTCATGGTAAAATTTTGAAGGATCTATCGCTCGTTAGTATACAAGAATGATGAAGACTTCAACGTCTCTGCATGCATCCGGGATAACGCTAACCTTAATGTTAATTTCCCTGGAAAACGTATGATTATGTCGTTCGGGATAGTAATCTCTCGGTTTACGGTAACACGGCCAGGCTACCGTGCTTTAATGGTCAGACTTATTTTTTTCTTTCCTCGTTTTACGTAATTCACCAGTTTGCACGGAGAATCCCCGCCTCCGTTTCGACACGGTCGTTGCAACTAATTTATATTTGCAGACTCCGTGTTGCGTTCATCGCGGACGAGTTAAACATCCAGCGTAACGAGTCCTCCTCTGACGCACTCCGAAGTTAACGCAACAGTTGTCTATCTTGACGAACGAGCCTGAAGATGGCGAAATTTTTCTACGACTACGCGAACGTCTGGTTCGGTTCCCTCGGGATTACCGAGCGATCTTGGTCCGCTTGAACGCGCTTTCTACGTAATGACCCAATTAAAAATCTATACCGCGTGTGGTGTCATTGAGATAACGGGATCACGCTTAATGGGAGGGGCGATTATCAGTCGGAATCTGAGTTCCAGAAATTCCAGTCCATCGATTCCACACCGCCGTCCATAAGTCATTGGACATTCTCTAAAACAGAATATGTACTCTTTTTAGAATTGAACAAAATTGGAATTGAGAATCTTTGAGAAGTTATAAAAATTAATCGGACTTGAGATTTTTTGAGAAGCTTTCAAAATTAATATTCTAAATGGTCGCGGTCGCGACAAAAATACTGAAGGGCACTTTTTATAATTATTTGTTTTGAGCTTGTAATGAAAATCACTAGCTTCAATTGATTATAACTTTTAGACGCGTTGACCGATATCGATTCAGCATCCATATAGCTTAATTACAAGGGACATTACCCAATCGACACACGCCGATTTGGATGCCCTTTGAGTATGATATAGAACTCAAAAAAATATTTGACACGTATTTTTTTTTCAGCAATCGTCCATGCTGAAGGGGTGAAAAAAATAGATAATTTTTCAATATATTTTTTAAACAAATAAATTTATCAAAAAGGTGGCTACATAGAAAAATTTGCACACAAATTCCATTTTGAATTTTTCGCCTACACCTAATAGTTCCCGAGATATTCAAGAAAATATGTTTTGCAACCCCAACTTTGAGGGCTATTTTCACCCCTTCAGCATGGACGATTGCCGATAAAAAAAAATACGTGTCAAATATTTTTTTGAGTTCTATATCATACTCAAAGGGCATCAAAATCGGCGTGTGTCGATTGGGTAATGTCCCTTGTTAGATCTACAAAATACGTTTTTAATTTTCATAACAAGCCCGAAAGAAACATTTAGTACATTAATTTTTATAGCTTCTCAAAAAATCTCAAGTCCAATTTGGTCCAATTTTAAAAAGAGCACCTATTATGTTTTAAAGAGTAACTTATGGACGGCAGTGTATAAAAGAACAAAAGTGATCCGATCTACCGTGTACTCGCTATCGTTGACATTAAAAAGATTCATCCAAGAAAGGTGAGCAAGTTGGGTAGCTCTGGAAACCGATGCATACCGATGCTCGTGATAGACCATGCGATTTTTCGTCTCATCGAAAAGTCACTCGTTTCGATGAAACTTTTGAAAGTAACATTTGCATCGACAATGAATCGGAGGTTTTCATTCAAGGAACAGCACTCCCATTGTGCTTCGAATAAAATTGTGGGAACGTATTTGCTGTTCCTACGTTCGAGAATCTTATTCGCGTCGTATCGAATCGTGTTAATTGCCAGTTGTTAATGAGATTTTGTAACTATCCTGAAGTTTCGAAAGGAAGTTTTATAAAAAGTACTCTTCAGGTGTCTCTTATGATAGAGAGAATGAAAGGAATATTATTTGAAAAATTAGAAATTTTTAATGGTCGTTTCTAAGTTCATTAGGGACATTCCTGTTGAACGACGTCGTTACCATTATTGTAGATAAATCAAACGCTTCGCGGTTCGTTACACGCTACACAGGCGACATCAATCACCTCGCGGATCCATTCAATCCAACTCTGCCTCTAAACGCGTCGTGTAAAATCAAATAAATCACTCCTACATTCACCTACAAAACAGCGAATCAATTGTTTCGTGATCGGTCCTTTATAACGAGATCTATATCAATCCCAGAATTTCGAAGAATTCCATCGAAGCGAAATTTTCAGAGACACCAAAAGCAAAAGTTCCATCACTTCGAGTGATAGTCTGTCCTCAAATATTTCAGAAAATAATTGATATTCTGAATGAAACGTCAGTGCAATGATCGTAGAAAGGATGAAATATCCAGCACTATATCAACCGGTCATCCTATCAAGATCCTCATCGTTCGAATGGATTCACTATCACCATCATTTTCTCTCGAACGATCCAAATGACCCACATCGATGTCCATCGGTTCAAACGATTTCTACAAACGTCTCATTTCCTACCTGACCGTCGATCGACGCGTTGGACGAGGTAAACCGATCCGAAGAGGACAGACGGGAAGATCGAGCTCGAGCCAGGAAATTAAAAACACGGAACGATATCTCGACACTTACACAAAGTACGCAGTCTGATCGGCATGTTGTTGCACGTTGCATGAGTCTCGACGAGCTGTTCGGCACCGAACGTTCCGGCCAGCCTGAAGCAGCCGATGCACTGGGAGCTGGTACGCGATCTCCTCCCGAGTCTTCTTCTCGGTCCCAGTTCCACCATGGAAGGGATCAACGGGTCCGGATCCCTCTTACCTTTCTTCTCGCTTTCCACCTCTCACCCGTGCCTTATGGACTCTATGGTCATCCCTGCAACGATACTCGCAAGACGCGATAACAACATCCCAAGACGCTTATTTCCTCGATGATCGTACCAACTAATTATGTTACTAATTTCAAATCACCGCTTTGCAATGGATCAGGGAGTAACGTGGAATAAAATGTCAGATCGGTCGCAACGATCGTGGGACGTGGATCTGGCAAGTCTGTCGGTGGAAATGCAGAAACGATTGAAAGGAAATCGATGTGGACGCAGGCAATAGCGTTCGCCGTGTACCATCTCGACGCCTCGACGACTTATCGGACCGCTCTACTTTCCATTTTAATTGCAAGCAAGTGGGACTTTCTGATGGAATTCGATACCTGGAAACAGACGGCAGATGCGACCCACTCTTTATAGGCTGATTCTGAAATCGTGTCGGAGAAAAGAAGAGAAAAAAGAAAGGAGAGGGAAATTTCTGGAGGAATTAGATAATCAGTATAGTCATAGATGGAGAAGTTGGAAGGTGTCAGCGTTGAAAACAACATCCCACATTCTTTCTGGGCGTGAAGTAAAGCCACAGGACAATGCGCGGTGTCCTCCACCGTCATTTCCATCTTCCATATCCGTCGTAGGAGCAAAGGTCTCTCGGAATACCGGTATCACTGACCTAAATGCACGCTGCATCGGTACATCGGTGCGTGTAATTGAAGAAAGAGGACACATTATGCAAGTTCGATGACATTGCCTCCGTTCTGCATACGAGTCTTGCATTCTACCTTTCTCTTTCCATCGACTTTCTTCCATTCCTCTTGCTTTCTTTGCGTATCGCGCTCTTTTTATCCTCTCACTACCGCCGACTTCTGTAGGCTTCTCTTTCATTTTTCCTATTTTCCTTCTTCGGGGTATTCTCGGTGTTTAACAGATCTTTTTATAATTAAAGTATCAGATATTTTTACAAGGATGCTTAAGAAATAGAGTTACAACGAGGTACACTGAACGGTCTCATTAATTATAATCATCGTGATTGAACTTTCATCGTTTAATAGCAATTGAAATGTCCGTCAGTGTAATAAATTAGTGGGTAACGCAAATGATTCATGAAATCGCTACCGTTTTCGTGTCACGATATAAACACACGGCTAGCGAGGACATATAATGAATGAGTGCAACGTTCGAGGGATCCTCTTCCGAAGATTTATTCAACTTTCTTTTCATCTCTCGTACTTTGTATCAATTTAATGGAACTTTCTACTCTTTATCGATGATTTTTCATTTAACCTCTCCTTCGTTTTTTCCCATTTTTTCCATCGCTGTGTTCGTAAACGTAAGAAAAACGAACGGACTGTTACGCAACAGGCCGGATGATACTTTCACGCAAATTCCAAATATTTCTGTGCCTTAGAGTGTCGTCAACTTCGTCTTCTAGTAAGACGAAGAATCTTCTCTCGCTTTTCTGTCGTTTAAAGAAGCAGGTTTGAAATTTGTAATCGCGAAAGAAAGCCATAAATGGTAAAATGGTAAAATGGTAAAATGGTAAAATGGTAAAATGGTAAATAATTTTGATTTCTTTTGCCACGAAGACATCTTTCCGAGACACCCTGTATCTTGGCATGCATTCCGCGCCAAGGGAACGGTACCGTTTTCTGCGTGAAAGCAAACGTACCCCGGATTTTCTTGTAAATCTCAGCGCAATTGATCGGCGAAAGGACGATCTATTGCCGCACCATCCTCTCCACGCAACGTCCAGTTACGTGAGAAAGGCGAACGGTATTCATCGAGAAAATGACAAGTCATTTCGTTTTCTTGAAAAATTTCAATTTCACTTGATATCACACACGTGCGTCATTAATCACAGTCGGTACACGTTGTGAATCAGACAGGAACCAACCAAGACATTCGCGGCGATGCGTGGGCGTTGATCGAAATCGAAGTAAGATATCAAGCAGATATTATGCGTCGATTTGAACAGCTGAATCGATCGGAACCATTGATTACGGCAGACAGAACGATGAAATTTATTTGATTAGTTCATTCTTTCGTAATGTCCCATTGAAATTGATACACGATATCTCATTTGCTCCTTTTGTCAATCATCCTGACAACACCGGCACGCTTTCAGAGTTCAAACTTTCCAAACATTGTGCTCATCTTCGACAATGAACAATCTCTCGAGTGTATCTTGTAAAATTTCAGAAGAATTTTTTACTTTTTTTTAGCCTCGGTGAATGATAAGATTCGTTTAATGAATTAACCAGGCTCTCCAATTAACATTGATTTAATCAGACGTATTTTAATGAGGAAAATTTTTATAAATACACGAGAACCACTGCTGTTGGATCATTATTAAATTCTTATTGAGAAAGGTCGCTGACTAGTCTCTCTTATGATGTTCAGGATGACCCCCAGTTTTGGAACGAGGCCAAAACGAAAATCGGCATGTTCCAAGCGAAAGGTGAAAGTTGTTTTTGTCATTTCGATGTTCCAGATCACAATGGCATCATGGTATGTTCTTCATTGATTACAAAATAATCCATACCACCCACGAAATGAACTTAAACCTTGTGAGGTAAATGAACTCTTCGTTCTTCTTAATTACGAATATGAATCAACCTCGATTGTGCTTTTGGCAATTAACCCTTCACTCAGGTATAGTTTCAAAGGACCATTATTTTATTTCATTTATATTTTATTAGTACAGAGCTATCAGTTGTTGCATTACAAATTTAAAGTATTTTTTTGCAAAATTCAAAAAGGAATCTAAAACTGCATGATGCAGCCATCTCTGAGAAACTTTAGGAAACTACTTAGCACTTTTTGCTTACCATACTTTTTTGTCGATGAAAATTTTTTACCTTTATCCAGGTTTAATTATTGGAGGTTTAAGAATGGTAATTACAATTTATTTATGTAATTGAATTACTTGTTTGAAAATTCTAAAATTTTTTAAAAAGTGCACGTGGCACCATCTCCGGGAAACTGCTGCAAACTACTTACCATTTTTTAGTTGCCATCGTTTTCTATCATTGAAATAGTTCCTACATTTATCTGTAGATGGCGCCACCGTACAATTTAAAAGTACCATTTATGTTCTCAAGCACCCGTCAAATTCAATTTCTTTTTATTATTATAAAATGGAATGAATATATAAAAATTATCATTTCTAAATATAATAAAGGAAAGAAATTTCTTTTTCCCCTTATGTTGAATTTTGAAAACCGACGAAGGAAATAGATATTCGCGCTCTATTCTTCCGTGTCACACAACTCGTTTCATAATTATTTGAAAATCAAGGGAGTCACCCTTATTTACACGGTGCGTTAACCCTTCTCGCTATCCCTTCGATCGCGACAAACATTACAATGCACCCTTGTGACATTTTACCTCGGTCAAAGTACTTGAATTATGCAAACCTTTTTTCAAGAAAAAATTAACATTTTCAATAGAATGAACTGGCAATTATAAAACAGACTCGGAGGTACGTGTATTTCATATCCCACTCTTCCAAATTTGGTAGACAATCCAAGGGGTCCATTGTCAGTCGATCCGATCGCTTCAACAAATTACAAGAAACTCCTTTTTAACTTGTTCCTTTTGCTGGCTGAATCTTCAAGGGGCGCCCACGTACCGTTTCACAGTAGATATCGATTTACCATGAACAAGTGATACCGTTTTGTCTCTTATAAAATAAAAAACCCTGTAATTGCTTCATTACGCTCTCAGTGTTGATTCAACGTCGATTGAGAGAACCGTGCGCCCGGTGATCCCTTTAATTGATCCATCGATTAATTAGAGACTGCAGTTGATGGCCTATTGATTACCCCCGGTTGCCATTAATAGTCTCTGAAAGCCAGCGAAGTGGACGTATGAATGGAATTTTTCTCTTGAAAGGAATTCCATTTTGAACCGGCCTGTATGAATGCCCTGAATACCAAGTTTAGGCCGATAAGGCAACGATACGCGAACGTTTAAAATGTTCCACAGATAAAACATTTCTTTCTCTACAAAATTGACACCGTTTGCCTATTTCGACCTCGTGCAACCTCGATTCGTACTTGGAAGGAAACTTAATTTTCCCCTGACTCGAATTTCACTTTCCCGAATATTACTTCGGCTCGTCTATTACTACTATAGTCTCGTAGCAAGCAGAGGGAGGGCACGAAAATTGGCAAACTTTCCGAAGGAGCACGTCCATCGACGCGTCTCGTCGTGCACCACGGATGAGTCAGATAAATTATGAGCGAGCAGAGCGGGATCCCTTGCAGGAAGTTGCCATCGATTGTCGCGTTTACAGGAAAATTTTCCTGGAAACAGAAGATCCGCAGTGTGACTCATGGTCCCTCCGACCAGATTCAAGGTCATCGATCCGCCCACCGAACGCGACGTTTTCGCAGACTCCGTGCTGTGCTGCTAGAAAAATCAGAGGAAAAAGGTTGAAAAAAGGAGGCGGGGAGAGAAGGAGTTTTAAAAGAAAAAGAAACAACGTTGGGAGGAAAAAAGTTCTTTAACTTGATCTCGATATTTACGCTACTATTTACAATTACACGATAACTGATCGGTACGAATTCATTGAAAGGCAAAGCGTTCTCGGTAGAACGATAATTCCTTTCTAAATAGTCGGCCGGATTGTCAGGACAATGTTGATACGGTCGATCATGAGTGACGCGCGTTTGATACGGTTATCAATCTCAGGGAGTATCATTATTTAATGGTATAAGTATAGTAACAAGCAGCGATGGTATGCAGCGCATAAGAGAACGATAAGAACAGCATTCCTCTGTCGGCCAATCGACGCGATTAGAGAATGGTAATGGCATTTAACGCCTCTTGTTGCTTAATTGCCAAACGACTATTGCCGTTTCGCTCGAGTCGGATTTTGATTAACTTCGATAGACAATGAGCGTCGATAAGCGTGGAAACGATAACCCGGATAATAAATTGTATTCTCTTTATTCCATTTTGTTTGTCGCCGATTGATA